GTTCATCTTGATTACTATTTTTCGAATGAAAATACCAAAAAACGACGAACCTTTCAGGTCTTCTTTGAGATCATCCATCACTTCCAAATAATTTCTCAGACATTTTTCCAAGTAATATATCGTCCGAGATGCTCTTTCATCGTCAAATTTCAACCCTTTTCCGTTTCCCTTCGGCTTGGAAATCGAATCTTGTAAGCTGCACATTTTGAGATGCGCCTTGAAGTTGATATAAAGAACCGGAATTCTACACCACTCATTCCGACAAAGAAGATGAATTCCCTCTAATACTTCGCTGAAGGCTTTGTTTTCTCGTGTATTTCTCGGATGCTGGGGACGACGACAGAATGGGCATACTTTTTCATCATCAGACATCATTTCCAGCCATGTAGTAATGCAACAATCACAGATGATTTTTCTACAACAACTTAGCTCTGGAAAAGATCATTTTATTTTCATCTAAATTTTAGTGTTATTTTCAGAGCCTGATTTCTACAGGGTTTTCGAAAATTCTAAATAAAGTCTTAATTAAAAATATCTTGTTTATTGACTTACTCGATGCATATTCCACATTTGAAGAGTTCTATATTGTTATTTTTTGTTGTATCTATCTCTGCATCGAATCCCATTACAATTTTAATTTTTCACTGAGACTTTTACTAATAAAATATCTGAAAAAATGTCACAGAATATCTGCTCGTAAAATGACTCTTTCAAACTGAGACCTCAAGATTTACTAAAAAAAGTGCTTCTTGAAAATAATGAATGCCCGAAAACAAGAAGTTCATTCATTTTCTTGGCCAGCTGCGGCGAAAGTAACTAACCGCGGAAAATAAACGAGTAAGAAACTGCAGAGTCTGTCAGTTAGCACGCTCACACGGAGAAGTCACATTGATCGAACACTGGTTATCAGATCTGATGCGCGAAGATTGGAGGGAAGTCACGAGGAAGATGATAGAGCACCTGCTCAGCGAATAATGTTTCATGACTATCAATCATCGTAGTGTAATTTTCTTCAAACACGATAATGTTGACCTGCGCAAAAATTTAATACAGATTTTTGGTCATTTTAGTTTGAGCATTGAACTTTTCGTAACTCTAGGAGAAAATTCGAGTTCTTGAGAAAACTGCCTCCCTCTTTCGGTAATTTAGAGTGGAAACAGAAACGGAAAACATGAAGATTTTTCGGACCTTATTTTCGACATGATTTCGTCCGCTAGCGTTACACGAATTCGTTTATGTTCACAACTCATGCTTACTGATGCTCCCCGCGCTGTCAGTAATGATTCTATCGCGAGCAAGATGAAAGAGCAGTAAGATAGAAAATGTAACGCAATTATGCTATCGTCGCTAGTAGCCAGGTGTTTCTCGGCGAATTACCCCGTGACGGCCGTGGAAAGCGCCTTGAAAGGGGTAGCATGTCCATGTCTCCGGCTCCCGATAAGCCCAGGCAGCTATATTTTCGTCAACAAACATCGCAAGAAATTTCAGACTCTGACTCACTATTCAGTAACGTACCTTTTTGATAAGCACTTTCAGAGAAGTGAGGCGCAAGTTTCTGAATAGGAAATAAATCCTGAAAATAGAAGCTATAACCCGAAAATAATCGTCGAAAATAAACTAGCGCTGCACCTGGGAAACGCTGTTGACAAGTTAACTCGGAACAAGGAAATCCTATTTTTCGTTCAAGACGAAATTTACAACGAAGGAACCCGCTGCGTTTTCAATCACTTCATTTATTTTTGAATTGAGAAGCCGCTTTTTAAAAGAATTATTATAGGTTTATTGAATATTTTAAACGAGTGAATTAGAAGCGGGGTCAAAACCATTCTTTATTAATAAGCGTCCCATGTTCCAATTAGGAAGGAATTCGGAGCACTGCCCTAGAATCTTACGTATAAGTCGCCGGTCGAAATTGGCGCCTGGCAAGAAATCTGCCTCGATGCGAAACGGTAGTATTAAATTTAAATTCCATGTACGCAGTGGCTAATCTGCTCGGTTCGGCGTTGAGGCACTAGAATTAGATGGCAAAGTTCGCCCCATTCCCACCCTGATAAGAAGCCCTGATCCAGCGCGCGATTTATCCGATGTTTTCAAAAGTCTTTGGCGCTACCCATCTCCCTGTGTGATTTTCGCGCGTTTCGCTGCTTTCGATCCGATTTGAAATACAGGATACTGGCGGATTTATGCCACCGACGAGGGAGGCGAGCTTATCCACCGAGGTCACTAAGGACAAGACGTTGATCTCGCTTGTTAGCCCCTGCAACCCCAACATGCCATCTGGGAGGTTAATTCTAGCCAGGTGCCGAATTACTGCCATTTCATAAAATATTAAGACTTTCCAAGCATGAAAAATAGACGTTCTAATGACATGTATGTTGGGTTAATTTCGAATTTCGAAAGATCATTGGGAAAAAAAATATTTCGAAATACACCGATTCTGTTGAAAATAGAACATTCTGTGACAAAAATCTTTCCTTCGAAAATTGAAGGATTAAAACTTTTATCACTGAATACCGCAAAATCGAACATGAATTTAACCGGTTTCTGAGAATTGTGAATTGCGAAGTGTCTACCAGTTTCTGCGTCAACATAGTCTTTATCAGTAAAATTATAGTAGTGAAGTATGAGCGAGGCATTCTGGCGAAGCGATGATCTCCTTAGAAATGCGCTCATTAGTGTCAAAGAGAGTAGTACCTTAAGGTCAGACCTTGACGTTAACGCGACAGAACCAGTCGATAAGCGCTGAGTCCGAATGTGCTGACATTTTTCAGGAAGGCGAACGTTCTAATCGCGTAACTCTGCGAAATGATCATCAGTGTATGCAAACGAACTAAGAAGACAGTATCGTTTCTCAAATACAGACGTTTCATTTACATCCCCTTTCTTTCATAACAAGATGTTCAAAATAAGTGAACACGTCTTTTTTTTCTACAAAGAGGGAGCTTATACAAACGCTTGAAAGTTTTAGTAAACATCAAGTACTTATGTTTAATCGAACTTTTCGATGAAACGAAGCAGCTTAATAAGAACAGGAATTTTATATATTATATCATTGTGTTTACTAAGAGAAAAGTATGAAATACTGACTTTGAAGCTTCGGTAATCCGAGTACTTTACTCTGTAAAAATATTCTTTTGATCGAAATTAGACTCCTTTTATTTCAATTTTTTTGGGATTTTAAGAGCCTCTTTGAATTTTTCTGATTCAAGAACAGCAAGAGCTCGTTCTCTTCGTTGATTTCAATGCCAACTAGTAATTTGGTCCAGAGTTCAAAAAATTTATTACATAAAATTTCCGAGGAATCCAATTCTTTGCATGGGATGGTCATTTTCTTCCTGAAGAAAATTTATCAGGGATGTGTCCATTTCATGCCGTATTATGAGTTTGCTGCGGCATATTTTTTCGACTTCATGTATATCTGCATGATCTCTTCCTTTAGCATTTAAAAGTAGAGCTTAAATATACACATCAATTGAAGAGATTCAACTTATTTTGCATGCACTTCAAGTATTCCTCGTTTAAACTATACAAATGAAAAGCAACTGAAAAAGGCAGAATTGCAAAACTCGCATAATTAAGCTTAGTCCTTGGCTCCGCTCTTTATATCCCGAGAGTCGATAGTCTATTGACAATACAGTACTCTAACACTTCATATTTGATTAATCAACGGACACGATTAGATATACAGTCGATTAGACGGATGACGATTTTCAAGGAGCACTGAGTGAATATTTTATTCTCCCGCAATATAACAAAGAATGAGATTCCTTTCTATCGAAGAAAATTTCCTAGAAAGCCAATGCTTTGTTCGTGATCGTGATTTGAATGTCTTCTAAAATCGCCGCCAAAATAATTGCCCATCGATGAATTCATCATGTGTTTGATCATCATGTGGTGCTGGCAGACGTATTCCAAATTGAGATGATCGTGGATCAGAGCACGGGAACGATGATCTTTCGCTTTCAAAAGAAGATCTTAAAAGGTAAGACGATAGTTGAAATATTGTCGGAATCAAGTGACCATGCATGCATCGAAGATAAGAGTCATTCAGCTTGTACAAGTCGAGGGCTCTAGCAAAAACGTAAAATATTATTGTTAATCTCATGCAAGAAAATCTTTATAATAATATTTTGAGAAAAGGAACGATTATTTCTTCCTCCGTTCAGCAATTTATATGGAACAAGTTGAGTTTTCCCGCTATAAATTTCCCTCTTTAGAATATTCAATTGAGCAATTTGCTTGTATAAGGAGGCCTGAGCTTTTTCGAGGAAAGACTACTAAATAACTTGTACAGTTCTGTGAAGAGTTTCCGCACCCTTTGTGAGCAAGGTTCAAATTTTGATTGAGCAGTAAGCGGTATTTGAGCGATGTCTGAGCGATGAGCTCGCTCAGCGCAACCGACATGTCTCAAGACCGCTCAGCCGCTCGCTCGCTCAACTTGAGATCAGTGAGCGGTTGAGCGGTGAGTCCACACTTTTCTAAGTGTTTTTGGTCGCTTGAGTAATAATACGATTTTAAGGCTTCATTTTTTGGAGACTACCTCGACTCTAACACCCTCAAAATCGTGCTTGAAAATTGGCCTTTTGGCCGAAAAATAGCGAAAATGGAGCAATTTTGGCAAATATATCGAATTTTCTTGGTCTTAACTCGCTCTGGTCAAGTTTTCAAACAACAATTAACCCCCTGACGCACCGAGAACCAAGAATAAAGAGGTTTGGAAATTTTCGATTTTTTCGCGGAAAAGTTGAAGGGGGGTCCTTTATGATAAATGATAAGACAATAAATAGTAATTCGTTTCCGTCAGTTTTTTTATAGACTGAAACACTGAGAAACGTATTATTTCATGAAGTGCGAAAATTCCTCTGACCAGATGAGTCATTGGCTTTTTGGCCAATGAGCGCGCGCTTTCGATAGTTGGTGCAGCGTTTTCTTCGAGCGAAAAGACACCTTCAAAACCGTTACAAAAAAGAGATTCGACAAAATTAATCGTAATTTGAGAGATGCTAAGGCCTAGTCTTTCCAGAAGATGGCGAATCGGCAACATTCGATTGACTAGTTCCGTCAGCGACCAAGGAAAAGGGTTTTTATCTGAATTATGAATCATTTTCAAGAGCTTGCTTTTCAAACCTAAAAAAGGAGCGGAGCTGGCTGTCAGTATTCCAAAGGGGACAAGATTATCAAAAGCGATTCCACGTGTTTTGTCGAATTTGGAAGAAATCGACGGAAACAAAGTCAGACTTGGAAAAGACATTTCTCAACGAGTCATCGAAGATATTGAATACGGAATCGAGAAGATTAATAAATCTGGCTCTGAAGCAATGAAGGTAAAAGTTCGAGAATTACAACGTACTGCATTAACGATCTTTGCTCACTTCCGGGCTCGACAGTTTCGATTATTCACTCATCCAGGCTTGACAAAAATATTTATCGACTATTTTCAGGAAAACACGGTCCGCGAGATGGAACTATTGATGAACTCGATCGAGCGTCTCCAGTCGAACCAGTATGCAGTCGATTACGCACGGTAAGACACCGGAAATAACAAAAACTCGATCGCAAATTCAGTTTCTAGAGACACGGACATTCTCGTCGAGCGACAGAGAAATTTCACTGAAAATTTAAAAACGCCCACGAGATTGAATCTGACCTACCAGAGTTTCTATGGCATGTCGTTGAAGGAATTCAACAGCTTATCGCCAGATGAACAGAAAAATATCACAAAGGCCTTTTTGGACAACGAACAGGAGTACATCAACAGTGCGAGGGCCATTTCTTTACAAAGGGGGCACAAGCGAAGTAAATTTATGCAGGTAAGATTGTCCACTGAAACCCGATTTTTTCTATCAATTTTCTAGATGAAACAAGCAATAGACTCATTTCGAGCACGCGAAAAGAGTAAAAAAGATCTGAAAGCGAAAATAAGAGCCGGTGAATTCAGTCAAGCTACAGAGCTCCAGCGAGGTAGGACAACTCCACAGTTGCAAACCCTTATCTTTATCACTAGAATACGTCGACTCAGAGCTTCATTTGGATCCGCCGACAGAAACAGTGGACACTTCCATTCCCACAATTTACAAATCTGATAGCGTTCGCGATGCAAAGGGCAAGGAGTGGGACACCACATCCACCGTCCGCCGTGCTGTTTACTATTCTCTTTTCCTAGCGATAATGGGTTTAATTTCTTCAATTCTTTACCAAGATTATACTCGTCAAAGTGACGACGGGGGCTTTCAAGGCGTTTATATTAACAACAAGCGCGTTCTCTAACTCTTTCTTCTTCTATTCAACAAATGCCCTTTCGAATACTCGATTTTGTTAAGACTGTGAGGGAAGGTCACTATGGCAGATCAAGAAATGCCCACTTTCAAGCTCGTGCTTGTCGGCGACGGTGGTGTCGGCAAGACAACCTTTGTCAAGCGCCACTTGACTGGTGAGTTCGAGAAGAAATACGTCGCCACATTGGGAGTCGAAGTTCACCCCCTCGTCTTCCACACCAACCGTGGCCCCCTTCGCTTCAACGTCTGGGACACTGCTGGCCAGGAGAAGTTCGGCGGTCTTCGGGACGGATACTATATTCAGGGTAAGAGGCTAATCAATCGATTTGAGCGAGATCAATACTGTTTTCATTTGCAGGACAATGTGCGATCGTCATGTTCGACGTCACCTCCCGTGTGACTTACAAAAACGTGCCCAACTGGCACAGAGATCTCACCCGAGTATGCGAAAATATCCCCATCGTCCTCACTGGCAACAAGGTCGACATCAAGGACAGAAAAGTCAAGGCTAAGTCGATCGTCTTCCACCGAAAGAAAAATCTCCAAGTAAGACATCTCTCACAAGAGCACCTTTCTACTCTTTTAGTACTATGACATCTCAGCGAAGTCAAACTACAACTTCGAGAAGCCCTTCTTGTGGCTCGCTCGAAAGCTCGTCGGAGATCCCAACCTCGAATTCGTCGCTGCGCCAGCTCTCGCGCCACCAGAAGTGCAGATGGATCCTCAGATGATCAAGGCCTACGAGGATGAGCTCAAGAAGGCTTCCGTAAGTCCCTTATACGTTAATCCCTCTCTCAATCTATACTCAAGGAGTCTGCCCTTCCCGATGAAGACGACGATTTGTAAATACGGAAGATTGAAAAAGTCACTCACATGTCCGATCCTTGTGCCATATTTTATGCCACTTGGATCGCCTACTTTATTTACTATAATAGTATAATTGAAAATTGTTACAGTAACCTCGCCGAATATCAAAATCGCAGAGCATTAGGACAAATTGTTAGGACTGTACCTCACTGCCACCATATGTAATTGTTCATTAATTCAAAAAGCAACCATACTCCCCTGTGCAGTGCTGAGCCCAGCAAGGCGCAGCGATTTCCTTCGTATACTCCATTAACTCTCTTGACATGTCTGGACAACCTTACATAAGGGCGAACAGTTAAAAACAATAAACTAAAACAATTCCCACAGTATTCATTCATCCAGTTCCCTGATTCGTAACGCCGACTCTCTTAGCTTAAAGTAGTTGTATCTTCTGAACTTCTTCAGTAAAATTTGTTAAATTTAACAACAGTAACTCGAAATTGGAAAGAAAAAATGATCGTTGTTCTTATCTTCTATGTCTTCAGAAAGCCTACAGACCAGAACATGGCCGACTTGTTCCGGTCGATGTTAGGAGGTTCGGGAGATAATCTAGTCGGGTCGGTCGTCGAAGCTGGCCAACACAGACTCAATGTCACGAAAAAAGTGGCAGAAGGGGGCTTCGCGATTGTTTATAAGGCGACGAATGAGATGAGTGGACAGACAGTTGCGATAAAGAGATTGTTGTCCAGTGATCCCGAGCGAAAGAAGGAAGTTATCAGAGAAGCGGGACTTCTCAAAAAGATGAACCACAAGAATATCGTCGGATTTGTCACTGGTAAGTTCTAGTGTCGGTTTATAAATCTTGAAGACTTTTTAAGCTGCGCAAGTTGGCAAAAACGCTGCAGGATATGATGAGCTCTTGGTTGTCATGGAATGGTGCCCCGTTCAAGTCACAGATTTACTTAAAGACAGAGGAGGATATCTAGATCGAAACGAAACTACAAAAGTCATGTACCAAGCTGCATCAGCTATTGGCGCCCTTCACAAACTCAACCCGCCGCATATTCACAGAGATATCAAGGGAGAGAACCTTCTGCTAACTCAAGGTGGCATCGTGAAATTATGCGACTTCGGCAGCGTAACGACTGAAACATATATTCCAGACGACTCGTGGAATCACATGAAGCGTACACAAGTCGAAGAAGACAGTCAAAGATGCACAACTCCTGCTTATCGTGCTCCCGAAATATGTGATTTATATTCAAACTTTCCGATTGATAAACGACAGGATTTATGGGCAATGGGTTGTTTACTGGTGCTTCTAACAACAGGAAAGCATCCTTTTGAACTCGGCGAAAAACTAGCAATCATCAATGGACGGTACTCGCCTTCAACAAGACCTGAGCATGCTCCTTTCTCGAGTATAGTCAAGAAACTCCTGGTTTTGGACCCAAGAAATCGTTGTGGAAACATTCCAGACCTTATGGATACGTTGAGAGCCGTGGCGGATAATTGTAACATCCAAGGAAGGTATAATTCGACCATGCGCGTATCATAAAACCAATCATAAATTGTTAGCGATCCAATAACACCAGTGCCGGCTCGAGCAGAAAGCCCTCCTAAGTTCTCGCCTTCTCCTTCTCCCGATCAGCAGGGAATGTCGAATAGCTCATCCTTTGGCGAGCAGGTAAGTTATCTGACGATATTTACATGATTTCTTTAAAAAGACGTAAGCAGGCACAATACTGGAATAAGAAAAAGGTTTGATAGGTGACTAAATTTCACTTTACAACTGGTGCTAACTATAGACGAGATATTTTACTACCTAGGGTGTTTTAAAAAAAAATTTTTGGATTAAACGAAACTATTCTTATCTTTAGGCTGGTTCGGCGCTCAACAAAGCTGCCAAAATCGGCTCCGGTCTTTTCTCGAAACTCAAGTCAGGTATTAACGACGCTGTGGGCAGTGCGGCTGAGTTCGCCGAGCAAAAAGGATGGGACCACCAGTTACGAAAGAATGGAATCAATATCCCGCGATCGGGACCAAAGCACTCTCAGGTGCTGTTGGATTAATTTCTCATCATTTTCTTTTTCAAAATTTATTTGTCATCAAAGTAAAAACTATTCTGTAGGCTCCGCAGGAGTTCAATCCATACTCTGACTTCAACGATCATGATCGTGGTAGAGACGAGCCGTCCTACCAGACGTTTGATCCCGATCCCGAGCCAGTAGTGTCAAAGCAGCCAGAGCCACAAGCTGCTCCGGCGCAAGCACCAGCACAGGACGCTAACTTTTTTGACACTCTTGATTGGTCGTCAGGTTTTTGATTCTCTTAATCATTACACTTCTTATCATCGTTTTCTTAGCACCAAAACCGTCAGAGCCTGTCGCACAAGCAGCTCCAGCTCAGAGTGCACCGGTCGCTGATCTTCTTGGAGGAATGAATTCTGCTCCTTCTCAACCTGCATCGCAACCAGCTGCTTCAACGGCCGATAAAAACTATGATCCCTTTTCTCAATGGGAGCAAAGGACTCCAACGAACAACAATACGCCCAATGCCTTTGATCCTATGGCCCCAGGTACTACTTCAAGACTCCTGTATAAATTTTCAAATTCAATTTCTAGCCCCTCAGAAAAAAGATGACGGACCAGATCTTATGGGCGACTGGAGCGCCTCAAATATTCTATCAAGCAGCGCTGGTGCAAGCCGAGCAAACTTTTCGAACATGCAGCAATCTCAGCAACAAAGTCAACAATCTTACGATCCATTTGCCAACTTAACTTCCATGGGTAGCTCTCTTCCAAAGCCTTCGATGAACCAAATGAATGGATCAAACAACATGGCTGCTGGATTTCAACCCACTCGTCCACAACAACAGCAGCAACAACAGCAATATAGACAACCACAACAGCAGCAGCAGTCAGCAGGAATGGCTGGCGGTGCTTGGGGAGCCACATTCCAAACAAGACCAGCAGCAAATCCCGGACAGGCTTCAGGCGGGTGGAATCCGAATGCGTACATGCAGGTAACTTCGTCTTCTTTATCGGCATCAGTGTAAATCGGCATCCTTTCAGACGAACGTAAATGCTTACAAACAGCAACAAACCAAAGCACAACAGCCTCCTTCTGCCCAAACAAATGGTCAAGCTTCTGGTGCCAAGAAGGGTGGCGCTTTTGACGACCTGCTTTCTGGCTTCGGCAATATTGGTCAAAAATCGGCGGAAAAGAATAGGAAAATGGGCGACATGAAGGTAATTTATTTACTTACGGATGTTATTTAACGCCGCATCTGCTTAGCGCGAGACTGAAAACAAATATCGAGATCCAATCGATGTGAAAGTAGAGACTTGGGCCAAGGGCAAAGAGGCAAATGTAAGAGCATTAATTGCCTCGCTTCAAGATGTCCTCTGGGAGGGCAACACTTGGAAGCCAATCTCTGTCGGCGAAATTTTACAGGTAACAAAACGAGGAAAAAAACTTGGGGATTAATATTTAATCGTCAGCCTGTCGCTGTAAAGAAATCGTATCGACGAGCCTGTCTCGTCGTGCACCCGGATAAGCACACAGGCGGAGAGCACGAGAAACTCGCCAGAGCTATTTTTATGCAACTATCTGAGTCGTATACGAAGTTCGAAGAGAACCCCTCGATGTAAAAAATGCACTTCAACACCTGAACACTTGTTCGCCCAGTTTTTCAAAATGCGTCATCGTCATTCAGCTCGAAAATCCCTATTTCCTATTATTCTAGAGAGAAAGCGCTAGAAGAATTCTATCTTTAGTAGACTATTTTTTCATATTCTGCGTGCCAAATCAGCATCTTCCTTAACTTCCTTATTGCTCAAGATGAACCTTTCCCTTATCAAAGTAGAAGTATCTTCGTAGCCGTTTTTTTTTTCATTTTTTGCATCAACCTAATAAAAAGCTTTTATTACACCATAAACAAGTCGGATTGCTTTCGCAAACAAGAAACCATGATAAAAATGTTCAATACGTTGAATCTGCAGAAAATTTCTTCAATTTTGTACCATATGCAATCTCAAAACAAAACATAAAGAACAATATTTATTTATAAAGACTATTTTTCATCATCCAAAAATAAGAAGCTTTTTTCTCGTTCTTATATCAAACTACTATTCCCTCTCTTCATACTCCCTATCTATCATCAAAAGAAGATATAACTATTTTTTTCGTTACCAATTCATTATTTTATTTTATCGCGTGTTTTATTTTTCCTACTGCTTTTTTCTCTATACTTATGTGCAATAATAAGCGAGATAATTGTTCAAATAAACATTTATATTCAATAAAACTTGAAAACGAAAAATAGCGAATTCAGATTTACTAATAATGGAAGCGTCAGAACCAGAGGCTATAGCTCCTGAGGAAACTTCTCCAGTAGAGAGTTCTGAAGCTGAGAAAGCCTCTAATCCAGACGAACCGATGGAAATGGAGACTAAATCGGAGGAAGAGACACCAGTCGAATCGGAAGAAACCCCAGTACATTATGATGAGCATTCAAAAGAAAGTGAAAAAGATGGTGAAGACAACGAGGACTCACCTCTTGGTGAAGAGGAGCCTGTCGAAGGTACTCGCTCTGAAGCTGGTGAAGAAGAAACAGCCGAACCAATGAAGGAAGATGACGAAATGAGTACAAAAGACTCTACTTCCGAAAATGTAATTTTTATGCGAAAAGTAGCCCTTTTAGTTTTGACTTCAGAATATCAGCAACGTAAGACAAACCGACTCTCCTGCCTCTGTCGCTAATTCCGAACACTCTGCCAGGCCTAACAAAAGAAAACGAAAAGGAACTCCAACGCGACATTTGGAGGTAAAAGACTCTCGTTTTCTCTAGAAAAAATAGAATTCGCATTCAGGTCAACCACAGTGATATCCAAAGCGAACGCGAACGAGAGGAAGTCCTTTCGGAGAATCTTCCTGGATCGCCAAAGAATGAAGCCCCCGTGGTCGAGCCTACAGAAGCAGAATCAGAGGAGAAGAAGCAAAAAACGAAGTCTAAGCCTAAAAAGTGAATTACTAAAAAATGTTTTTTCTCAATCGAGCTTTATTTTCGAGTTAATTAATACCCGTATTAGCAACGTTTTTTAAAAGAGGGATGAAAGATAACTGTAGTAGCGTACGTGCCTAGCGCCACTGCTCTGAGTCATATTTGATGAGTCATTTACGTTTTCATTGAGGTACGGGCCCCCGCGATTGGACTTGTTTGGACCCCCACAACATTACATGGAACTCTTCGGGCCCCCGATGCGCCAGAGAACGGAGCATTGCTCGGTAGTCATCAGAGGAATCGGAGAAGAGGAGCTGTATTACGGCCCTGGGGACAAAGATCCCGGCGAAATTGTGATCCCCGTTCGAAACACCGTTCAATAAACGATTTTTTGTTAAAAATTTTTGCGCATTAGTTTTCTGTGGACTCATTTACTATTTCGATTACCGCATTTATTTTTTCATTTACTAAATGCCTTTTCAACCAATTATTCTATTCTGAATACGCGTACACACAAACATACACGTGAAAACTAAACGGTAATATTTTAATGAAAAATGCAAAAACAACATAAAAAAGCTGTGAAAAATTTTCCAGGCTAGTTGCGATTTCCCGATTTTTACTATAGTTTTCTCTTTTTTGAAAATATTTACTATTGAAATAATTTTCTTCATTGATCGTTTCCTTTCTATTTCTCCTGTCCGAGCTCAAGCCCTGTCTGTTCTAAAACTACTTGTGACACTAAGAGTTATTTTATATCTGTTCCAAAAGGAGTTACTAACAATTGTATGATATTCAGGATGCCTGAGCATTTTCAGCGTCCTGAGAATGCTCTCAAAAAGGCACAGGAGTTTCTGGTCGTCCAGAAGCCCAAGTCGGCCCAGGAAGTTCTCATCGATGTCATCAAGAGTAAGCGACATCGAAATTGGACCAAGGTACTCGCTTCTTTTTAAACCAACGAAGACTCATGCGTTCTTAGGTCCATGAACAGATTATGGAAACCCTGATCGACTTAAACGTCCAGTTGAAGGACTCAAAAGCAGCAAAAGAGTCGCTGTTCCAGTACAAGCTCACTTGCCACACGATGAATGTTCAAAGTCTCGAATACGTCGTCCGAAAGTATTTGTCGAAGGCTGAGGCCCGCGTCAAGCAGGCTCAGGAAGAAAGTAAGAAGCTCGCTCTTGAGCGCAAGATTGCAATGGGCGGCGTCGATGCGTCGGAAGAAGCTGATAGCGAGACTCTCGCTGCGATTGAGGATTTGGAAGTTCCTATGACTCCTGAAGACATGATGCTCGGCGCTGTCACCGGCGAAGATACCCAAGATCGAGCCAACATCGAAATCCTTGTGCCATGGATCAAGTTCCTCTGGGACGCGTACAGAAACTGCTTGGACCTTCTCCGAAACAACAAGCCAGTCGAGCGACTCTACCAAGATATTGCCAAGCTCGCTATGACCTTCTGTGTCAAGTACGATCGAAAGAACGAGTTCCGACGACTTTCCGACACTCTCCGAAGCCATTTGAACCAGATCACTCGAGGAACCAAGGGTAAGAACGCCGCGACTGCGATTTCCCTCCAGAATCCCGAGTCTCAAGCTATTCATTTGGACATCCGAATCGCCCAGCTGGATTTCGGCATCAAAATCGAACTCTGGCAAGAAGCCTTCAAGGCTGTTGAGGATATTCACTACTTGATGAACATCCCGAAGCGACAACCACACCCTGGTAAACTCGCTGAGTTCTATACCAAGCTCGGTGTTGTCTTCATGAAAGCCAACATGCATCTCTTCCATGCTTGCACCCGACATAAGCTCTTCAAGCTCACTCGTGATCTTCGGAAGAATCTGTCTCAGCAAGAGCTCTCCACCCTTGCCTCGATGATGCTTATCTCGACCATGTCCATCCCCATCACATCGGTCAAGCACGGTCTCGGAAAGATGCTCGACATCGAAAATGCTCTAGTCGAAAAGCATCAGAAGATGGCTCGTCTCCTTGAGCTTGAGCGAACCCCAACTCGTGCTTCTCTCATGACCGACATGATCTCTCGATATGGCGTTCTGCGAATCATCCCAAAGCAGCTCGTCCGACTTTACGAGCTTCTCGAGACCGAAGAAGGCTCTTTGAAGATGAAGGGCGAAGTCGAGGACATCCTCAAATGGCTTGAAAATCACGAGTCCGAGCGTATGCGAGAGTACCACGCTCTCTACGCTCAGAAAATCAAGAACGTGATGGCTTCTCGAATTCTGATCCAGGTCTCCAAGATCTACATGACTGTCAAGTTCCCCAAGCTTATCAAGCTTCTCCCCGACATGTCTCGACAAGAAGTTGAGCGAATGATCGTCGATGCTTCTCGAATCGGTCAGCTCCGCGTCCGAATTGATCATTCAAAGGACATCATCAACTTTGGCCGAGAATCCGACCCCGCACCACTCTACGTCGATGACGAAATGTCCATTGATCCTTTGACTGCTTCAAGAACTGACACCCAAAATGAATGGATCTCCAACCGTCTGAACGATCTCTCGCGAGTCCTCGAAATGGCCATCATCCAGCTCAAGTCTGATGAGGAGCAGAAACTTACGATCAAGCGCCGAACGAACAACTATGCCGCTTACATCAAGGCACGATCCCGAGAGTCCAACCGACTCAAGAACCGACGAGATGAAATCGAAGAGCGCATTGAAGAGTGTGAAACTGAAGTTCGAGAGCGAGCCACCCGTGAGCGAGAAAAGAAAGCCCGAGACAAGGCTGATAAGGAGAAGGAAATCGCTGATAAAGAAAAGCGAGACCGAGATCGATTGGAAGCTCTCCGAAAGACAGAAGAAGAGAAGGCTGAGCAACTCCGACAGGCTCGTGAAAAGCTCGAGAGCATGCGCAAGTCTGAACTTGGTGCGAAGCTGTTCTCTGATCTCACAGCTGAGATGCTGCTGACTGTTGACTTGAACGAGCTCTTCCAGGAGCGAGTCAAGAAATTCAAGGAAATCAAGCGTGAAGACCAAGAAAAGCTCAAGAAGGTCGAGCGTAGCGTAAGTTTGAATTTGATAAAGCATTTTTCTTATCGTAAATTATAGTTTGATTACTTCGAACGAGCGAAGCGACTCGCTGAGATTCCCAAAATGGAGGAGTACAATCGAGAGCAAGCTGCCAAGACTCGACTCCTCATGGAGGAAATGGAAGACGTCCGAATGCAACAAATGCGATCTGACTGGGAAAATGATTTGGCGACGAAGCAACGACTGTCTTTTATGTCAGAAGATGCTGCAGGTTTCAAAGAAAAGCTCAAGGTATACAGAAACGACTGCCAAATGGATCTAAATGTGTTTTAGCGAGAGCGACGAGAGCTCTACGAAAAGAAGAAGAAAGCCTTCGATGCGGAGGTTGCAGCCGAACGAAAGATCCGTCTTGAACAAAGAAGACAAGACCGAATCGCAGAACGACGCGAAGAATGGCTTGAAGAATGCCGAAAAGAAGAAATTCGACGAAAGGAAGAAGAAGCCGAGGCCCGTCGACAAAGTAAGATTATTTTTCTTTTCTCAAGTCTTATTTATTTTTTAGAAGAAATCGAGGCCGCCGAAGAAGAACGACGAAGGGAAGCCGCCCGACGCGAAGGTAAAGTCTTATTTCTTAGCAAAGTCATAAATTTTCAAGCAGAAGAGGAGCGAATGCGTAAACGAAGCCCACCTCGAGACGATCGTTATCGACCACCAGGAGGTTTCGACCGAAGACGATCTCCATCGCCCGGAGGTGCTGGTCCTTGGCGACGTGGAGGCTCTCCTCCCCGAAGAGGCTCCCCTGGCCGTCGATCCCCGCCAAGACGAGGACCCTCGCCCGACCGCCGCGGACCACCCATCCGTTCATTCGGTGCTCGTCGATCTCCATCTCCTGGCCGAGGAGGCGGTGCTTGGAGAAGAGGCCCATCTCCCGGCCGTCGATCTCCACCTCGACGATTCTCTCCTCGACGGGACGGACCACCTCGAGATGGACCAGGTCCCCGACGATTCTCTCCTCGTCGACGATCACCATCGCCAGGTGGCCGACGACCATACTCGCCTCCACGACGAGATGGACCAGGCCCACGACGCTTCTCTCCAGGTCGACGATCGCCTCCAAGACGATTTTCCCCACCACGAGGTCCACCTGGACGACGAATGTCTCCTCCACGACGCGGAGGCTCTCCACCGAGACGAGGAGGTTCCCCACCTCGCCGACGATTCTCGCCACCAAGATCAGAAGGCGCCTGGCGAGCAGGTCCACGGGATGATCGAGGCCCTCCCCCACGACGAGGTGCCTCGCCACCGCGACGAGGAGGTTCTCCGCCTCGACGAGATGGACCACCTGCTTGGCGACGGGACGATCGCCGAGATGAGGTAAGAAAGTGATATTTTTTCTAAAGTTAACATATTCTAGCCCCGTGGTGCCCCACCACGTCGCGAGCCATCTCCTAAGCGTGACGCGCCTCCTGCCGAGTCTGATGGCTGGAGCACTGCAGTTGGCAAACGCCGTTAGGTTAATTTTAATTTAATTTCATCCATCTAGGTTAAATTTCTGTGCATCGAAATTTCATATCTCATCTAAATATAACCCATCTTTCTGGTGTCCTACTACGTTCAATAATCAACCACCCCCCTTGCCCCTGATCAATGTCCCCCGTTCTCCAATAAATATAAAACTCAACCATCCCCCACTCAACCGTCTCCTCGCACGTTAGCCCCGATTCTGAATTCTCCACAATGGTTCAAAAATAAAATGTGTCTCAAGCAGACGAAAATCAATACACAATTGTTTTAACAGCAGGATACAGTCGGATTAGACGATTAGTGCCTATCTCTCTCCGAATTTTTATTGTTTCAGATATGCAACAAAGAAAAAGTGGAAGCAGGGCGTTCGTTTTGCAGCACGCGTTGTGAGATTGTGATTTTGTTCTGAGTAGAGTCCTTGTTGTCTCCCAATGTTTGGCATTTCGAGGAAAAAGAGGCCGGCGATTTCTGGCCCCTCCAACTTTGAGCATAGAGTGCATACGAGGGTGTCGACCGAGGAGGGGAAACTTATTGGACTTCCTGTTCAAGTGAGTAACTTTTGAATAGCAATGGCTAAATTTTGAAATTGAAGAAATGACCTAAATGTGAAAACGATCGTTTATGGCGATTTCTCGGGGTCAAAAACAAGCTGCTGACAAGACATCAGCCTAATTTAAATTCCTAGTGGCTATCAATTGTGAACGAGCGTCATCGAAATCGCCAGCCCTATATTGATGCCGATGTCATCACCCCAATCTGCTTTGAAGACAGGTAGAATTAACTTAAAATCTAACTCACTTACGCTAATTGATTCAATTTGCCCCTACTTTTTAAAATGCAAATGAAGTGATATCAAACAAGGGCAAGGGTCTAATTAGTTTCAATTTTTGGTAACAAGGCCCAAAGGAATCTTGAGACGACTGAGAGATGTGGTAATGAAGATGCGCGTAATCAAGAAATTCGCCAATTGATATTGATTTGTAGGATCATTCGTGGAAGTCAAAGGCGCAAAAATGTGGACATTGCCAGGTCAAATTCACTCAGAGAAGATCGAGGTCTTGAACAGCCTTCGTCGACAAAACCGATTCTCAGGTAAAAAAGCAATTTCAGCGATTACGTGATTTTAACAGTGCGCTTTACTTACGCGTACCCGTCAATAATTAACAAGTTTACGACACCTTGTGTAGAAAGACAACTTAGAGTAAACGACCCAAAAAGGTCTCGCCACTTCCTAAAGAGCCAAGAGCCAAAAATATCCATGACAAGCCAAAGTCGCAAACCTATTTCTATTTCAAGCCGTTTTCATATCTTGAGAAACTCGAGCTATGTCTGCAGAATTCCGACTTCCAACAGGTTTACAGCTGTTTTTCTTAATTTCAACATTCACAGTTCTACGGTCAACTAGAGAACATTCACAATTGAGTTGTCAATTTATCAATTTGAAGCTGACCCTCGAAAGAAGGTCATGATTCAATTTTTATTTCAAAAGGGATATTGATTTATTTTATTTTATATTCAACCACACTTATTAAATTTAAAAGATACCCACTTTTATTAATTCACAGCACATTTTCAAGAGATCTTTGTTAATAATTTTTCCAAATAAAAGAGAAAGAAAACGCACATCAAAGAAAATCACCTTTTATATTGAATCCGATATACAGTAAAAAGAAATTGCATTGATTCTTTGAATAGGCATAGAAAAATAAAGAAAAGGCGACGTTGAATTAAAACCACTTCTTTAGCGATATTTCGGAGACTGAGATGCAAAGCTCTTTTGCGAAGATGGATATTTCAAAAGAGAATGGTCAAAGAACGTCTTCTTCATCAAGGTAAATTGATTGTAGATAGTCTGAGTTGCCAATTCTTTGTTTTTCCTTGTTATTTATTGATAACTTTGCGTCATATATTGCAATCTTAATTCAAGCATTGTGACAGCGAAATACGTAAATGGCCTGCTTGAAAGAGGCAAATTTAATTTGATATCGAGCTGATTTAATATTGCATTCAGCAATTATACTGTTTCGAAGTCTGCTGCTCGTCTTCACTTCCAAAGTCGCCGTTCAAATTCCAACAAAACTGGAAACGTCAAATCCGGCGATAATAGCCATCCCGTGCCCAAGTCGAAATCTACGTCAGGGCTACACGTCACCCAGAACAACTCCTATATTCAGCGGATTCAGATCAACCGTAGCATACCCAGCGACAACAATAACTTGCCTCAGAAACGTATGTCTATGTCTATGAGCATCTTCGCGGGTCATTTAGCCTTGGTAGACGTCAGAGTTAACGAAACTCGTTATAAACTTATTCTTCTTTCGTAACTCGTCGATTCTAGCCGCTACAAAACCTCGGAAACTGCCACTGACCCAGTCAAAATCGACACCCAACTTTTCGCAAGCCAACAATCTCAAAGTACAGTTTCAAAAGCAAAACCAGAAGCAGAAAGTCACGCACGAGGAGTTCAAAGCTGCGCTGATGTGCGTCGTCTGTGATGGCGATCCAACGACGCATTTGAAAATGATTCGCAAAATTGGTGAGGGTTCTACTGCCCTGGTCTACCTGGCCGTCGACAAGCAGAACAGACAATTAGCGGTGAAAAAGATGAACCTCAAGAAACAGCAGCGCAGGGAGCTGCTTTTCAACGAGGTAGGTTTTTTTGGATTTTTATTACTTTCATTGCGTTTTGCTCAACAGAAATACTAAAACGGCGCATTTTTTGAAACTTCTGGAGCAGCACGAAATTTTTTAGTTCGAATCGTTGTTTTCTTTTTTCTTGAACGGAGCATGAGATTTTTCATTCCAGCCGAAATGCTCGTGCGCTTCGGCGATCGTCTTGTTCGTGTGGGCACACCAGACGCCAACTAACTGGTTGGCCAGGTCTTTTGTTTCGTTCAATCGATGAAGAGAGCTTTTTTTCTAAGATTTAAAGCTTTTTCGGCTCGCTTTTATTTAGAGCTTTTTATCTTTTCCTGATAAATTCTTCTCGTTTCTCTTCGGTTAGTCCAGAAGATTCCAAAGCTGCCAAAGTCTTCTTTCTTTCCGCGAGGCTCTTAAAATTCATTTCTTGAAGCTCAGTATATCTTCCAAACCTTTGTCAGTTCAGCCATTTTTTCAAGAATCTCCGCCTTCGTAATTTTCTCCTTTAGCCGTCGAAGGCCGTCTTCATCCAATTTCGCTTTTTTCACTGGAATAAATGGCATCTTTTCAGAAAGATCTTTCAAGTTTTCTGTTGATTTTTCGACTTATAAACTGAGCAAATAGGTTATTTTGCCAAGTGGCGTTGACGCCGGCTCGTTTTCGTTCTAGAAAATATTTTTTTTACTAAAATGTTGGGAAATAGTTTTCTCAAATAAATTTAGGTCTGCATCATGCGCGACTATCATCATGTGAATATTGTGGAAATGTACTCTTCTTTCGTCGTTCATGATGAACTTTGGGTGGTTATGGAATATTTGGAAGGGGGTGCTCTTACGGATATCGGTAAGAATTTTATTCGTGAGCTTTTCAAATGATGAATTCAGTGACCCGAACTGGTGTGACGATGACAGAGCCACAAATCGCTACCGTCTGTAAATCCGTTCTACAAGCCCTCGTTTACCTTCACGATAAAGGTCCGTGCCGATCGCAAATTCTCTTTATTTGGTTCATCAATTTTAATGATTTTTAGGCGTTATCCACAGGGACATCAAGTCTGACTCGATTCTTCTGACGTCGCAGGGACAGGTCAGCTGATAAGTTATGTATTGCCCTCTCTAATTTAGTTTTTAGATTAAACTTTCTGACTTTGGATTCTGCGCTCAAATCTCGCCAGAAATTCCGAAAAGACGCTCATTTGTCGGAACGCCCTATTGGATGGCGCCAGAATTGATTTCTAGGTAAGAAATAAAGTAAATCACTTTAATAATCCATCTAACAAAGAATTCCGTACGGGACGTCTGTAGATATCTGGTCAATGGGAATCATGGTGATAGAAATGGTGGACGGAGAGCCACCATTCTTCAACGAAACGCCTATCAACGCGCTAAAAATGATCAAAGATTGCGTCCCGTCAAAGATGCGCCATGCAGACCAGGTAATGAAACTTCTCATGACGAACGCTGTTCACTGGCTTTCTTAGGTGTCGACAGTTCTGCGCAACTTCGTGAATCGTCTTCTAACTCGGACTCCTTCGGAGCGCGCTACCGCCGAGCTGCTGCTGCGCAATCCATTCCTTCAACTAGCTCGGGAAAATTCATGTCTCAAACCGCTCCTGTCTAAACGCTGAAGCTTCAGCCCTTCTTCCTAATTACAGTTCCAAAAAATAACTCTTACTCTCGCCGAACAAGAAGCGAGCAATTGATCAGCTGGTGATCTGATCGAATAACAAAAAAAACTTAACGAGTTCTACTTCCAAACTTCTGCTTCCAGCACTACCTGAAGAAAAAAAAAAGCATCCTCTTTCCAAAAATATGAACGAAGATAAGAATTTCTCTTACTGTATTAGTTATACAAAACCTTATTAAATATTAATTTAAATACATCGTAAACAAAGTTCAGTGTTTTATGTGTGTTATTTTTCCGATTTATGTGTTATTAGTTATATTCTGTAGTTTTAGTTTAATTCTAGCCATTTGAGCCATTTTTTCGCAAGAAATTTAACTAAAAATTAACGTACTTCTTTCATTATCAGTTTTCCTTCTCAAAATGCATCGAAATGCATTTTTATTCTCTTTCATTCAGTTTTTTCCTAGAACCCATTCTTCTATTAACAACGATTGCACTTCTACTCTCACTTTCTGCCTTTGTAGTTTTATTATTTTATTATATTCGCTCCAAAAGATTCCCGTTCCTTTGAAAACAACCTTTCATGAAAAACATCAGTGCTTTTATATAATTCAATATTTTTAGATTTTAGGCAATGGGAATTTCCGGACTCTATGAATTCATAAAACCATGCGTGGATAAAATACAGACGCTCAAAGCGATAAGGGGACAAGTTGTGGCAGTGGATATGCCCTGCTGGGTGCATAGAGGAGCAGTTCAAGATGCACAAGGCGTCGTTATGAATCCAGAAAGACCATCAGAAAGTAGGGAGTCTTCCTTGATTTCAACTTCATTTTTACTCTTGTAGAAATCAATGCTTTCTGTCTCAAGCGACTCGAGCTTTTGAAAAAATTCAATATCACTCCAATCTGCGTCTTTGACGGCGAAAAACTTCCATCGAAAAAAGCAACGAACGAAACTCGCCGGGCCCGTCGCGAGGAAAATCGACAGAAAGCAATTGAGGCGTTGAAGAATAATCAAAGCTCGTGGAATTTCTTCATCCAAGCGATTCGCATCTCCCCGGAAATTACTCAAGGCGTCAAGAGCATGTGCAGAGAGAAGGGATACATGGTCATTACGGCGCCGTATGAAGCGGATGCGCAATTGGCCTGGCTTTCACGTGAAAAACGAGTTGATGCAGTTATTACAGGAAAAGTTCCTACTATCACAGTAAAGCATGATCTAATTTCATCTCTTATCTATTTTCATTTTTGAACTTTTTTAAAGAGGACTCCGATCTGTTCATTTTCGGAACCAAGCGTCTCATCACAAAACTACAAGACGACGGAAAATGCCAAATCGTCGATCAAAACAAAATTGACTCCGTCAAAGAATTAGAAAAATTTGATGATAAGCTGCGATGGCTTAGATATGCTTGCATAATGCAGGGCTGCGATTATTTTCCGAAAGGAATTCCTGGTTTTGGACTGAAGACGTCTATAAAACTGCTTGTGCGTGCGTTTGAACAGGATGATCACTCGTTGAAAGCGATTATGGAGAAAAAGAACTCTTATTTTAATTCAAAACAATTAGGCAGTGTTCAAAAAATATGGTCGAACAGCATCTGCAATAAAGCAGTTTTTAAAAGCACTCATTTTACTTTCACATGAAAAATGAAATCTCGAATGTCTTAAATTGTCGGAAGCGCTTATCACTGCCCTCAATCCGTCCTTCTGTCAATCTTTACTTAGCCTCATTATTTTTGAACCGTTCGAAAGCAAAGTGGGAGCCAAACACGGCCGAAAAGATAACCGATGCGGAGGACACATTTTACTACCAGCTGATTGTTGACACAAAAAATAAGTCCGTGCAGCCGTTTCAACCCTATCCAGAAGGAAAATCGGACGCTGACTATCCTCAATGTGGCTCGATCAAGACGATTGAAGATGTTCGAAAGTCGCTGCAAGAAAAGAATTTGAATATTCTAGAGGCCGTCGGGGGCAAAGCGGAAGTGAAAATGGAGGCAAAAGACAATCCGATGATTGTTCAATCGCCTAAAACTGCGACTTCGCTGAAACGAAAAAGCGACCACGACGGAGGCATCCGAAAGAAGGAATTCAAGCCTGACAAATCGTGGCGCTTGGACATCACAAAAGCCATGGGCAGCGAAAGCCTCTTGCCAGTCTCAAATGATTGCCGAAAATCGTTCAAATCGGTCGTGCCCGGACGAAAAACGGTGGAAACGCCAGATGCTGAAATGCGTAGTAAATACTTCAGGTACTTTATTTTCTGTTTATTCTGTTTTCAACTGGGCCAGTTTTACGCTTGCTTGATTTTATGAATTTCTTTCGTCTGATTTCTTCGTTTAATTATTTTAACTTATTTCAAGTGTGTAAACCTCACGATAACTTTAGAGAATCCTCGGTTGGCTCCGTTTCTGATACTCAAAGCTCTTCTCGAAGCATAACTCCTCCAACAAAATCTAAATTTCTCGACGATTTATTTGCTGGAGACGAGGAATTTCTGTCGGCATCTCGTCCCTTGAAGCCAAAAGAAGAAGCACCAAAGCCGGATCTATCCAGTTTCGATAAGCTTTTTCTTTCAAAAGAAGCCAATAAAACAGCTTCTCAAAAAGAAGAAGTAAAGGAAGAGAAGAACTCCGACGAGATTGTTTTCGTGTCCAAGAAATCGCCTGTAAAAGCTTCCCCGAAAAAGCTCACACCATCGCGCAAGATAATTTCACAAAAACGCAAGTCTACTCCTTCTGCTGGTCAAGCCAAGATATCTTCTTTCTTCACGAAGAAATAAGCTTTTTATGTTAGATGCGCATTCCTGACCCTCAATCTTAGTTCAATCTATCTTGCTCTATCTGCTCTCATCAGTTCATTGCCTCACGAAAATCAACAATACACTGGTACAGAAAAACATCAGTTTCATCTTTCGTGTCTTAGAATGGATGAAATAAGGATAGTAGCTCGCCCAAGAACAGAATCATCCAGATCGTCAAAAAGCGATCTTAGAGAAATCCCGATTGCAAAGCCTCTTCTTGGAGACACTCAAGGACAAGTGACAACTTTTAGGAAGCAAATCAAGTAAGAAAATCACTTTGAATTTCGTTTGAACGTTTTTCCAGCAAGCTGAATCCTGAAAATCTAACAACTATTTGCTCCGAAATTTCAGTTTTCCTTGAAAAGTCGGCGGCTGATATCGCTGTCAAACAAACTGGTATTCAAAATCAACTTATTCAAATCGACCAGGGCCTTGCTAAAGTAGACGAAAGAATAGAAAAGGTAGCTTTTGTTGCTCTCATCATAAAATTTTTAATTCGCAACTTGAAGCAAAATCTGAGCAAGTACTGCTCCGAAATGAGCAAGCTTGAAACGATGCAGTCCCGCACAGAAAAACTTTCAAAAAACCTTCATGATCTCGCTAGATCAATAAATAATATCAATATGAAATTGCCCGAAGACAAACGCCTGCCACCTCTCAAGTTCTGATATTTTTTCATTCTACTGAACCTGTTATTCATTATAATAATTTTTTATTAATTTGAATTTCATACAAAAATGAACATTTGCAAAAGCGAAAATTTCAATTTCAGTCGTTTGCTTTCAGTTTTGTAACCTCGTGGTTTCCGATATTCAATATGGGCGTTTTGTTTATCCAGTACCCAACCACTGATAGTTACATCGCTTGTGGAAAGTGTAGTACACCAATCGGTAAGTGAGTCAAAATCATCCTTGAATCATCAATGATCAGTATCGACCGCGGAAGCGGTAAAACCGTCAGAGGACGGAAACGCGACGCAATCCTTGCACTACAAGAAGATCATGAATACGACGCAAGGAACTCGCAAACGCGCAAGCAAGCAATCCACGTTTCATTTTGCCAGAGTACCTCATCAGACAATCATTGTAATTTCTTATATTTTCGATGTACGTTATATCAACTCCTATTTATTTATCGTTGTTGTTCTCCTTTTATCTCCAATGAATCGTTTAGTTTCGAGATATAAACTGCGTTTCATGTAAAGCAAAACTGGGAAGATATCACGAATACTCAACTATTGAATCACAGGTTCAATTTCTCTCAATATTAACTTTGTTTTTCAATCCTTTTTAAATAGAGATGGAGCGAAGGGACATACGCAATCCAATGGAAACATCTAAAAATCGTCAACAAGCAAGTCTCGCGTCCAATGACGATCTGTGACCTATTCAAGCTTCAGGAAGACCCACTTAACATACACTCTGAGACTTCCAGTGATTCGGAATCCCCTACCTCTGACTTCGACGATATCTAAAGATTGAAAGTTTCTACTTCCGATAGTGTCTCTATTCGAGTGATTCTGAGGCTGGAACTCATCCACAGTGTTTCAAATCGAAGTCGTCTGATTCTTTCTAGGATTCTTTTCGTTTATTTTTAATTATCGTTTATCTTTAATTGTTAATTGATCTTTTTTCCTTGTATCTAGTGCGTTATATCTTTGTATAGTTTAGAATTCTCAAAACATCAGTTTAACCTCATTAACAAAATAGGCAATTTATAGTCTACCTTCTTTTTTGTATCACTTCGCATTTTATCCTCTATTTACTCCAATTACTAGTCAATATTATTATTACTCACATGTTCCCTTTCCCCCCTTTCTGTCTGAAGTCAACTAACAGCATTCAAAGTATCACCATCCTCTATCTCCTAAGTTTGTTCGAAGCCAAGTGTTTTCGAAGAATCCATGTGCCAGTGAGCTTAAAATCGATCTGAGTCAGCTACATTTTTTTTCTTTTCCGTTTGATTTTTTTAAGTTTCGTTATGTTGCCTTTCTAGGAACTACTGCCAGAATCAATGAGAGACATGTCACCTCAAAAATTTCAATTGAATTTTAATAAATTCAGGATAAAAATGGGAGTTACTTTTCTCCACCACCCGAATGGAACACACATCTACTCTTGCAAGGAATGCGATGCGCCACTGACAAATAAAGACGAAATTGTAATTTGTTGACTCTGGTTGAAACCCGGTAAATGAATGTTCAGTTTTCGAAACGATTCACTGGCTCAACTGGGCGGGCCTACTTGTTCAATCGCGTTGTCAACGTCGTCCACAGCGATTCGAATTGTCGAGTGATGCTCACTGGTCGACATATTGTTTGAAAATTAAGAATTTTAGCGAGAGTTTATGGTCAATTAAGGTCAGAGACGTTTACTGCAAGAACTGCGATACTAAGCTTGGATGGATGTACGAATTTGCTGTCAATGATGACCAAGTAACTACTTTATCTTAGATAACAATGATATCTAAAGCGGAATTATAGCAATACAAAGAAGGCAAGACCATCCTCGAAGTAGCATTGATCCAAGAACGGCCAGAGCGAACTGGAATCGAAGGGCGCGTGCATCGCGATTTCCGAGAACTAATGCAAAATCATCGCACTATGGCGTTTATGTATGACCCTAACTCGGAACAAGCCTGAGATTTTAAATATTTCTAACCTTTCAAGACTATTCTTTATTCAAAGACTAACAATAGCGGTTCTTGCTCTTTAAAATCCCGACATCAAGACCCGGATTCATCATCTTAATTCTCGCTTTTCATACTTATTACTGACTGTAAACAAACTTGCTTATTGCTAAAAAGGTAACAGTTTGACTGTAGTAGATACAGTAGATCTCATCGTTCTTGTCTCATTTTCAAGATTGAAGACCATTTCTTATTTTTTCTGTACATATTTCACAAAACGCAACCCTGGTGGTGATGTTTCAACCTTTCTATTCACAATAAATTATCTATTCTAAAATTTTCACGTCTTCATTTTAGAATGCGCGTTTTTGGCATTTTGCTAGGTCTGTTTGGCGCTTCTTCGCAAGATATAAACTCAGTTGCCAGCATTTGCACATGCGACTTGACTAATAAGTGCGACTTTAATTGTTGTTGTGATTCGAGCTGTACGGCCGAAGATAAAGCTCTCTTCTCGGATTGCATAAAAGTCCCTGGCTTAGATGTGGATACACAATTTTGTACCTTTTCAAAACTTGCGCAGTCACAGGTAAGCATTATACGCTGACAATTAGACTAACATTATCACAGTACGAATTCACGACAGTTTCAACTGATTCCTCGAATCCACTTTGCATCAAAATCGACAACACAGACTTCCGCGAGAGCTTCGTTGCTTCAGACCCGATCACAACAGCCGAGGCTCTTAACAACGCGATCACCAACATTGATGTGAACCCATGGCCTACTCCAGCAGTATCAGGTTCAACATCTTTCGTCTTCGGAAGCGCTCTTACGGACTCATCTGGTGTTGCAGTAAAAATACCTGGAAGCCGATTTTCAAAAAATGCTCCTCAGTTGGAATAAGTTTTCTGTCCGAACGAGAGTCATCATGCTTTCACAACACGCAGACTGACTGTGGAACTGGCAACTGGCTCGACTCATCAACTTTTCTGACGATCACTCCTTCTGGAATCACTCCTACGATCTCCTGCTTAGATTCAGCAGGCAACGCAATGACTTGTCAGCCTAGTTCTTACGCTACTTCCACCTGCTCCAACGCTGTGGTCAAATCAGAAATAAACTTTACCTTCGCCAACGGAGCAATAACTGCAGTGACGATAATTAACACCTTGAAAGATGTCTCAACTGCGGTCACTTCTCAGACAATCTCACTTTCCTTCTTACCCCAGGATACAAAATTCTTCTCTGGTAATCCAGGTTACATTGTCGGTCGCCCGCTCCGACAGATCAAAGTGGAGAGCGGCTCAAATGTCGCTGGAGATTACACATTCAGAGCGATGGACAGAACGATTTGCGATAACATTAACGACGCTTTCTTCGATCGATCTCACATTGTCAACTTTGGCATTGACTACTCTGCGTCTTGTGTTTATCAAGTTGCCACTGATGCGACTTGTGATGCTACTCAAGGTAAGAAACACCCGTAAACATTTTGCTTAAAATTTTTAATAGCTCTTATCAAAAACGCTCTGCGGCAACAAGAGTCGAAGCTCTTTGCCGCCTTTGGAAATGTACTCGCCGATGCTGAAGACCAATCTCTCTGGCTCGCTCCAATCTGTTCAAATGACAATTGCGAGCCTTCTGCTCAATGTGATGTTTCCCAAAACACTTTCGTCTCAGGCCTCCATTACCGGATCTTCTATCAAAACACCGGCTATATTCAAGCGCCTCAAAAAAAGGTTTGAAGAATTGGTTTTATATATTTCATAAATAGATTGGCGTTTTGGTTTTTCTTTACACAGTGGTGATCCACAGAGAGTGGACTTAGTAATCTTTTAACAGGTCTAAATTTTGAAGGTCGTATGCGTCTTTTTCGGCGATAACTCGCTCTAAGTTGATATTCATGCTCCAGGATGAGCCCGATGATCGCAAGAATATTTCAGATCTAGATTTTCTTATCAAAAAGTATTTTCTGGGTTACTTACTTTGCACAAAGCTCCATTTCCGCCAGCGAAAGAATCTCAAATCTATTTTCTTGATAGTTGGTGCACCCTTGAGATTGGAAGCGCTCATCTAAGAATGGTAACAGCTAAAAAGACTTGTTAGAACTTCAACTCTTTTGTTGGTTTATCTGACTTGTTGCGATAAGAAAATCTCGACTGTCGGCATGTCCTTCAGGATTTCAATTTTGACACGCTCAAGCATTTCCATCTCATCGGGTGGCGCGGCTATGTACATGACTTCAATGCCAAGTTTGCTTTTAACCTTTCCAAGGAAGTTTACGAAGGCTTTTCCTAGACGGCCAGCGTCGTGCATCACTTCTAATATTTGTTGACAGGCTCTTGGATTTCCATGATTTCCCTTAATAACATTCTATAATATGCAACAAAGAAGGAGGTTGAAACCTTGCAATGGTTCGCCCAGTCGTCGTCATTATATCTCCAGTGAATCGCCACGTATTTTCGTTTCATCCTTTGTACGTGGAATTCCCTCACGCTCTCAGTGACGTGCTTCGGCCTCGGCGTCATCGTAATAATTCGCTTCATTGTGGCCTTTTCCTCTTCAGTGAGTCCTTGAGAATGCTTGGGACCCTGTAATGCCATGTGGAATGAGATCCCACGATATGGGAAACCAAGAACGGCGCACTTCTTATCCGTATCGTAGTACTTGTTAATCTGAAAGAGTTATGTCACCATTGAACATTTAACTTGCTTCTTGTTATCTAAATTGTTACATACAAGTTCTAAGTTTTCGATGAATGAGAAAGGTCCGTCTCTGGTTGTTTTTGGAATCGCGGAGTATGAAGGAAAAATGTCTATGTTAGGTTCTGGGCACCACTTTTTATTTCGGTCGGCTCGGTTGATATCGTTGATTATGAATTGACCTTGAATTTTATAATGAAAGAGGTTCATAGAAAATGCTTAGTAACCCGTTGGAGTCTCGCAATTCATGTGTAAAAAGTCACAAACGGCTCTGAACCGCGATATCTTCGTATTCGTGCAATAAGACGATCGTGTAGTGAAGAACGCATCAAATCTTCTATCACATGATCCAGCAACTGTTTCAGGCGGGCTAAGTGAAACAGTTTCTCGCAATTTCGCTACGTCCAGACGTAGATAAGCTGGAACGATTTCATTTTGTTGCTCAACAGTGGCATCGTTTCGTACGTGTTTGAAAAAGGCGGCAGAATCACGGTTCGGTTCAGTTTAATTGCCATAAAGACCGTTTCTCTAAAGCCATGTAATTGATTGTTCGGGCCATAGGTGAACACAGGGATGAGAAATTTATTTGGATCCAGCTTATATTTTGGCTCCACAATTTCCTCCCAATTGACGCCTTCTTTAATTGTACACGTATCTTCTGTTTCAATTGATTTCTGACTTTGTTTCTTTTCTTCTACTTTAGGAATCTTCTCCTTCTTCTTCGGTTCTTGTTCTTTTGGGATATAAATTTTTCTATCGGAAATCGTTCTTCGGCATCATGCGAGTCCACAGATAGAAGAACGTCGAGACTCTTGTCAAAATCCAACTCTATAAGCGGACGTTTAGGAACTTAAAACTAATCCTGGAAAATCCTCACCTGATGAGGATTCGCTTTCATCGCTCAAGTTAAATCGTCTATGCTTCTCCTTCCGTCTTAGTTTCTTTTGCTGCCATTGAATTAGGGTAACAATCATTAGTGTCCAAATGAGACCAAAAAGAATGACCCTTCGGATTTTTACCGCCCAACGTAGGGGGACCATTGACGTTCTAAAAGTTTTTTAGAATTCGACTCGACATTTTTCAAATTTGACACATCATAAGTGAAAGTTTCCATTATTTTGGCAGCTTGCTATTCTGCAATCAGAAATTTCAAGGCATATTTTATGAAGGTGCATTGATTAATTAGTTCGAAATAGCGCTCATGAAAGATATAAAAAAGTTGTCTTACCCCTTTCCGGTCGTCTGGAGCAAAGATCCCTTTTCAAAATAGTATCTCTCGGTAATCTCTCATGATGTTTATATAAGGCGTTAGGTGAGGTTGATTCTAGCGGTGCTGAACAACACACCACTGGAAAAAGTAGCAGTAAAACCGCCTTGCCTTGCGGCAGCGATTTCAGCACTCTTCCAACGCCGGTCCGGTGTTTAAATCTGATTCTATGACCGAAAGGCCGTCCTCTATATAATTATGCAGACTAATAATTGTTTCCATTACCGAGTCTAGTAAAGACCATTGTTGTTGCCGGTGATGTTTACGACCTTTCAGGCAATCCTCCAATTTTGATCGACTTACATTTTTCTTTTCATCTTCTTTAAAATTATTTTTCTCTTATTGAAAAAGATTTCTTTTGCAACCCAACATTGCTTGTTCTGAATTTAGGTCCCTATTGATGTCGGATCCGACAGTTATCTCCCGGCGAATGTCGCCTCATTTTCTCACCAAAGCACCTTAATAACTTTTTTAAGTTCGACATCCCAATAAAGCTTCTTCCACATTTTTGAAGAGCATCAATACATTATAAAAGCATTAGAAGCTATTCACTTTGAACCAGCTGAACGCCCTAGAATATTATGATCATCAAAACAAGATGTTTATACACGCCAGTCCAAGATTTTAGACTTTCAAAATAAACGATTTCATTAGATTGTCGCTGTTGAAATGCTCTGGGAAGCTGCTAGTGCTGCACAAGGCCCGGGATTTTCCATCAAGAGAGCGAGAAAGAGACGGACTTAAACATCTTTAAGCTCCAAGACGCTTCCGTCCAAGAGTAGTCTAAATAGGATTAATTTATCCAAGTGCGAGGCACTCAAGAAAGAGCAGTGAAGTTGAGATTTTTATCGCGCGTTAAACTTATGAAAATCCCGGACTCAGTAGTTGCTGGCAATTGGCAAATCCAGCTTTCTAGCTCGGTGACTTTCGTGGACATATCTTCCAAGCCGACTCAAGTGTTCAATAAACCGCCGGCGATCAACGTGGAGCTCCCAACCAACTTCCTCTATCCATTCAGAAAGAGCTTCGTCTAGATGAAGATTCAAGAGCTTCCAAGAATTACTGCCTGTAAAATTTTTGTTTCTTTAGTTTTTTAATCCTGAATTTCATTTTTATACAAATTTTCTTTATACCTTTCTTGTTTAGAAAGAGGGATGATTCGGCAACTGGCTGCGAGGTGGCCAAAAGCCACACAGATAATGATATCTGCTGGGATAGCAGCTACAAGTGACGCAACTGTTCAAATAATCACAGGTACAGCGAGGATTATTTTTATTGAGGTGACGATTTGAACAATTTTTCATGTCTTATCGGAAACCTTCCAAAAGTCCTTGGTCAGCTCACTATGAAAAGTCTTCTATAACATGTCTTTTCAGAGCCAAGTTTCGACCCCTCAAGGACATTTCGATTCTTTTCAATCTACGTCTTTTTCGCTGGTCCGTTAAACTTGGGCTGGTTGCTCACGCTCAACCGCTTCGGCCTGCGCCCAGTGCCAGCTGTGTTTGCGGATCAACTCGTGTTCTATCCCTTTTTACTCACCGCTATCGTGTCACTCGCCGCGTACGGGAAAGCCCTTCAATCGGACGCAAGGCACTTGACAGGAAAAGCTGAATTGCCAGCCATGTCTGAGTTGATCAGTAATGTTGTTGCAGACTTGCCAGAGCTGATGCCAAAGGCTTGGTGTTGGTGGATTCCCGCTCAACTGGTCATTTTCTCCTACGTGCCCATTTTATATCGTCTCACAGCGGTCATGTGCGCCAGCTATTGCTGGAATCTGTATCTTTCCTTCGAAATCAATTCTGAAAAGAAAGCTAAAACTGCCTGAAACAAAATTTTTGCAATTACCTCCAATCAGTTCCCTGCACCCAATACACACTTTATCTCTTGCTAACAAATGAATAAAGGCTAACCATATGATGATTAAAATATGAACTCAATTTACAGTGAAATAACTGTACTTTGCCTTTTGTTGTTTCCCCTTCTATTCAGTTGAAAAAGCAAGGCCTCAGACGCCATCCGCAGTTGATACATCAGCAGAGTTTGTAATGAAAACCTTTTACTTTTTGACTTGTTTGGTTTATCTGGGTGAAAGCTCGAGATATCCAGAGTGGGATAAATGGTCAGGAATCGAAAGACACGGGAATCACGATGTAAATTATACAGAAAGCAAACTAGCAGGATGGGTGAGTAGAAACATCCGTTGGTACTTACTTGATTCACTGATCACTAGACACCAACTTAAAATGTTTTGGATTCAGCTTCCGGGGCTCTTGAAAATATTTTAAATTTACAAGTAAAAAACGCAGACTACCTCACTTTTAGCGGGTGTTTGTTGATGACCGACTAAGAGAGGAGCACGGACAGGAACCGTTCGATATACTTCGAAAGGATTTATTCAAAGCAGCGAGGAAATTCCCAAAGGCAGCGAGAAAAGTGTTGAGGAAGAATGTGGACATCTTCATGTCGAAAGACTTTTTCTACGACGAAGCAACTTCAAAGATTTTTAATCGGACGCATGTTGAGATGAGAAATCTCTTCTTTCTCTTCAAAAAATGGCCTCGAGAAAACCAACCAGGTAATACAGTAATGCTCGCAGAATCGGCTAATGTACAGGTGGTGAGTTTGTATCGGATATGATCGTGGAGATCTACAACTACCGCGATTTCGTCAACGGCACTCTCAACCACACGGACGCGTTGTTTGGGATCAAACTTATATAACCCTACTTTCTAAAGTAGTCAAGCTCCTTACTTGATCCTTTTTGAAAGCGTAAGTACCGAAAAGCTACACTCGAGATTTGATATTCCACCTGGAGAAACGCAGAAGCTGTTGACTCGATGATTTTAAACTAGCTCAGTCGCTAAGTGACTTTCAATGAGCGAAATATTTTGGATAAGTCCTAATCAAAATAAACCTGGATCAGAAGTCTAAACATCTAATGAAATTGCAATTTCGAAAGTTTTTTTTTTGTAAAAGGTGTTCATCAACGACAGGAAATTTTAGTTGAATTTGGTTCTTGAGTAAAAAGTTATTGGGTAAGTTCAAGATGAGAACATGATTTAGTACATGAGTTATCACACGCGTGGCATGCACTTCTTGGCTTTGAACATCAGGGACGCTAGAAAATTGAATATATTAAATCTAGACGGGCATTTAGGTCAAAAGGCTAACTCCGTTGATTTTCAATAACAGGAAATTCTCGACAACTTCGCGCGATGCAACAAGACTGGAATTTACTTCAACGTTCCATCCGCCATTGCCGGCCTGGTGCCAAAAACGTATGGAATGCAGGATCCACGAGGTAATCATAATTCCAAGTTTCCTTCTTTTGGGAAATAGCTCTTGCGCAATTGCTCAATTGATGATGCCGATAAGAGCTGTGGGCATCCTTGAGCGTGGCGTTTCTTCGTGGTTACAATGATTACTGGCCATTTACTCGCGGACAACTCAAAGAATACGACCCAGGTATTTTATAATTTCACAGCAAGACGATGCATCAATGAACATTTTTAAAAAAGAAAGCTTTAAATTGCTGAAAAAGCTCTGGAACTCTCCACAAAATCTGCTGGTCGACAAAAACGGTTTCTCCAAAGATGGCCAGATCAAACCTTATCCGACTCGCTAGCTGTACTTATAATATTTTTAAAGCACTGAACTGCGAAAAAATAAACGGATCTCTACTACTTCCGGTGATCTTCGGATATTCAACTCAATCTGATTTTTAAACATCAAAAGTGCCTGCCAAAGTGCTGCATTTGACAGATACTTGGCGCGGCACGTCGAATGGGTGATGAAAAGAAAATAAAGGGATAATTGGTCTTTTGAAATCGGTTCTATCAAACTTGGTTGGAGAGAAACGTGTCTCGGAATTCAAATTACAGGAAATTCTAAGAATTTCTACTGCGAAAGTGAAAAAGAAAAAACGCTATTTTTACTATACTAAAAAACCTCTTGAAAGTGGACTACCAGCATAGTTTTGTAGTTTTGAAACTTGCTATCAGTTTAAATGTAAGCTTTAGTGAATCTTTTAATAACTTTAATATACTGCTAATATATTGACATTGAAAGGATGAACAAATAGTTTTAGATATTCGAGATATTTAGAATTTCATGAAAGCTCACGAAAGTGTGTCGCGCGCCATTTCCATACTTGCGCGGCGCCCCGCGACAGCGCCACCAATGTGTATAAAAACGAATTATGCACTAGAATTGTGAACAGTTAAGGATTTGTAACTGAAATAAAAATCAACCGCGATGAAGCTGTTGAGTTTGTTATTATCGAGTTTTTCGCATGCACAGAGTGAATACAGAGGAAATCGACACATTGAACATCGTTTGCAGCACGATCATGCTTTTATGCGAATGCCGACGGAAAGGAAAGTGTTTAATAAAAATTGATTTGAATTTTTGCGAAAGAAATCTTCTATAACATCATTTATAGATGGCTGTTTGAGTACCCGAGATGTTTGGATGGAACTTGTGGCCAAAAAGGAAAAGATTTGGTTGAATTCGAGCAGCGAGGATGTGTCAACAAAAACGGTGTTCCTCTGATGAAGGACAGTGGATCTCTCAGCTACCCTCTACTTGACAAGGACGGCAATCGATCGAACTACCAGAGACGAGACAGTTGCATCTGGCAAATCACCGCAGCAACTCCAGGAAAATGGCTCAAACTAAGAGTTACCTACTTGGACGTAGAATACGACGCTCACTGTGGTCTCGATCGCGTTCACATTTTCAAAGGTGGAATTCCAACAGGGGGATTCACGGCACAACTCGTCAAGAAAAATCCGACAATGAGAGTGGGACGACTCTGTGGCGGCCGAAACCCAGTGAGTACAGTTCTTATGCCGTAGAGACTTACGATGCTTTGTTAGGACAAAAATCGGGGAAATGGTCCGATGCGACACTGGAGATCATTTCACGACGCTTCGACAACACTGACTAAGTTCTACAGAAAAGGGCAATGTCCGACAGAGAAAAAGAAGCGAAAAGGTAAGGTTGTAAATGTTGAGAAAAAGTGCCTGCAAAATGGATTCGACAACTGGATTGACCTGCAGACGAACTCGGTGACAATCGCTTTCGACGCTGATCAGAAGGAAGAGTACACAGGAAAGGCTCAAAATGCGATAAAACTAAAATTTTGCTTGTTCAAATTTTGACCTAAACAGGCTTTACCGTTGAATGGACGACCGAAGACGCTCCTCACCCTCCACCACCACTCCCCACCGCCGATATCCCACTCATCGAAGCTGATAAAGTCCTTCTCAAGAAAATTGCTGGCAACGCTCGTGGAAGTAGCTGGGGTCTCCTGAAACAAGTCAAAATCGAAACCTCCTCTGGTACTAACCCCAATGAAATGCGTCAAATTCGTCAACGGGCTTACAACTTGTGGCGGGATCATTCGAATAGACGGGAGGATATTTTCAAAAATTTGAAGCACGAAAATTGTCTCCGAGGTAAATATCGAAATAGCTGCACTCACAAAACGTTTCAAAATAGATTCGAAAACAGACATGATGCCAAAGTTCCTCGCAGACCAACTGCACGGAGAACTCAATCGACCTTTCCATCAAGAACAGCTCAAAAACACCCTCAAAATCTACCAAAAAGTTCTTTACTGGAAGACAGAATACTGCGCCAAATATCAAGACAACAAATACGGCCTTTACAACCAGATTGAGCGACTTATTGGAACGATATACAATTACGAAGAGAAGTATCAACGAAAAGTCGACTACGAGGAGTTCTCAGCCTGGTTCAAGCAAAAATGGGATGAAGAAAAACAGCAACTCCAAGAAGCTTGAAACATTTTTCTTATTTAATCGTTTCAGATTATTCTCCTTTTTGAAGCCAGCAAGAAGAGTTTAATCTGAAGCTTTCTTGTGCGAATTTTACTTGTATAAATCGTGTGCTCTAAATAAACATCTAACCAACTCATTGCCAATCGAAAGTATCTCCCTCTTGCGCAAATCGCTGAACTCAAAGTGTGCGAAAACAGCCACATGTAGGCAGTTCTGCGGAAATTTAGTGGCATTAAGAAATTAATGAAAGTTTCTTTTATTCTTTTCGGAATTGCACTCGGGCAGATTTGTCCCGGGGCAGAAGAATGCTTAGAGTTTTGTACGCAGACTTATGAGACCTGTAATCGTGAATGCACAGATAGCTTCTGTCTATCCCAATGCTTGAGACAGTTTGACAATTGCAACTGGGGATGTCCCTGTGAAAAGAATTGCGAAGGGGGATGCCCTTGCCCTCTCTCTGAGTCTGGTTGGGCTTTTTGTCCTGAAAACGAAACTGGCTACGTCGATGATAGCATTGAACCTCTCACCTACAACGTCAATCTCCGCCTCTGGCTCGATCCCGAAAATCAAGGAGAACACCCAGCGGAAGGTGACTTCCATTTTGATGGAGAAACAACTTTCTTTTTCAAGCCGCGAAGGAATACTGATTACCTTATTTTAAACTTCTATGATCTTCATTTCTCGGAAATCAAAGTTGTAAATCTGAATAGCATCTACAAACTCGAAGGACAGAGAATCTACGTCGCCATCCCATGGCATGATGGTTTCAAAGCAGGAATCGAGTATCGACTCGAGGCTAAATATTTCGGATACATGCGACCAAATAACTATGGTCTCTACCTCTCCCAGTACGATGACGACCAAGGACGAACTCACTATCTTGCTGGAACTCAATTTGAAGACGAAGGTGCCCGAAGAGTTTTCCCTTGCATCGATCAACCGAATGCTAAGGCTGAATTCAGGCTCAATGTCACTCACGAGAGAGATTTTGAGTGGACTGAAGGTGGAATCTCTTACTGGGCGAATACAGGAATGCCCGGCTTCACTTATGAAAATCCAGAAGGCTCGGGCGTTATTACTACAGAGTTCTCTAAAACTGTGAAGATGTCTACTTACCTCTTGGCAATCACCGTGACTGACTTTGTCTCAATCGACACGAGTTCTGTTATTGACCAGATTCCGATGGCGCATTCGTATCGACCTGAATACAGCGTTCCTGAATTCAACAGAGATGATGTAGCTTTTCACGCGGCCGAATGTGGAAACCGAGCGCTTGATGTTTTTGGACGACGCCTTGGAGTGTATTACGGCGATATGGGAATTCCTAAAATCGACCAAACAGCACTACCAGATTTTTCTGCTGGAGCAATGGAAAATTGGGGACTTGTTCTTTATCGAGAAGTGAGCATGCTCTACAATCGTACATCTGACAGAACTTCGACCAAGCACAACATTTGTCTGACAGTCAGTCACGAACTGGCTCATCAATGGTGGGGTAATCATGTGACCTGTGATACATGGGAAGAAATTTGGCTGAACGAAGCTTTTGCAACTATTTTCCAGTACATTGGCGTTGAGTATGCCAGTGATTTGGATGAGCGATTGAACTGGGAGGAAGATTCTCAGATTGGAACATGGGATTTAGACGACTGGTTTATTATTGGAGAAATGATGGCCGGATTAGAAACTGATGCTTCTGTGATGAATTCTCAGCCACTTCTAAACAAAGAAAATACTTGGAACCTTGGCCCTTGGGGCCCTGTTGGAATCATTTACCGAAAAGGAGCTTCAATCTTATCGATGATGCGGTGTATTCTTGGCGATGAGATCTTTTTGGCGCTACTTCCTATCATCAACAGAACCTTGCTTACAAAAATGCTCAAACTGATGATCTTCTCAATAGTTTTGATGGTTTTATTAGAGACAATAATGTGACTGTTGCGGGTAACTCGTACGAAAAGAAGTATACAGCTGGAGAGTCTGTTCAGAGCATCTGCAAGGATTTAAAGGAAGCTGGAGGTGTCCGACTTCCAGCGAATGGCAGCGACTTCTATTCTTACTTCGACACGTTTGAGCCCTACATCAAGCAAATGGGTTATCCTTTGCTGACTGTCGACACTGATTTAATCGACGGTGATACTTATGTCAAGTTTACTCAACAAAGATGGGTTGGTTCTGAAGATGAAAATAACATCGCTGATCAGCCTCCAAGTACTTTTGCTTATAAATGGTCCGTTCCCGTCGTGTACTATCATTTATCTGGCGAAAACTTCACCCAGGGAATCTCATGGTTTTCATCCAGTGATAACGAGCACAGCTTTTACGCTGGAGAATTCGACTTTTTCCTTGTCAATCACGAGTTCAAGATGTTCCACCGAGTCCTTTACTCAGAAACTCTCGAAGAAAAATTCTTGACCAACTGTCTTCTGATAAAGATATGATTCCAAAGGCTGCTCGAGCAAAACTCATCGCTGACTACTTCGCCTTTGCTGAAAATGTTGAACTTACAGGTCGAGATATCACCAACGCTTTTGAAGTCGCGAAATTTGCAAGCGAAGAAACTGAAAAGCTCGTCTGGGATGTCATTAACTCAGCGACGGCATACACAAGCACGATTTTACGATTCACTGAGAACAAGAGTCTTTTAGACGACTATATGCAAGTTCAAGTGAGAGCTTTCTATGACTTGTATGGAAATGCAGTTGTCGGTAATGACGCGGAGCATTTGGCAATGGAGCGGGCTCTCGGAGTAGCTTGCAAATTTGGCTTGAGTGAGTGTGTCAGTGATGCTTCGACGGAATTCAATCTGGTATATAGATAAATGTTTCAACTCTTTTTTTATAATTTCAGTTTGTTACACGAGTCAACGGCGTCGTTGACTACGAAAATGAGCCAATGGCTGACAGAAAGGAATCTGTTTACTGCTACGGTATCGAAGTCGGAACGCAAGATCAATGGAGACTTCAGTGGAGCAGATATGCCACTGCATCTTCCAACGAACAGGCAATTATTCGCCGATCACTTGCATGCACGAAAGATCCCGTCATGGTCCAAGTTTACCTTCAGCTCAGTACTCAGGACGACATTAGGCTCCAAGGTAATATTGGTTATTTAAACGGTCCTTGCAATATTTAGATAAACACTACTCATTCGTTGCTCTTGCGAAGGGATTGTACAGTCGCGATGATACTTGGGCGTTTGTAAAGACAAACTGGGACTATTTCTACAATATGTAAGCTCTATGAAATCATGGAAGAGACCTTATTTTCTTTAGGATCGTCAATGAGGGTTGGACACGCGTAGGTCTCATTATTGATGCCTTAGCAGAAAGCTGGTCCACTGAAGAAGACAAACAAGACCTCCAAGCGTTCTACGAGCAGCTTGAGAAGGAAGATCGACTTGCAAATTTGAAGAAGACCTTTGAAAATGCTCTTATCACTGTCCAGAAAAATATCGACTGGCGGTCTAACTACGAATCTAAGCTAGTCGACTGGCTAACTGAAAACTAGTTTAATGAAAATAAATTAGACTTTGATTTTATCCAAGTTAAATAATTTATTATTAAATGATGAAAAGAATATGCGGAGGGACAGAAGGAAAGAGTGCTATTCTTTGGCGGTTACAGGTAGATTCGTTATCATATTGAGTAATTCAGATGCCGTCGGTCTAGCGAGCGGATCTTCCTTGAGCATTTTCTTCGCAATAGCCATGATCTCTGATCCATACATTTTCGGGATATCGGGAACGTCGACCACAGTGACGTCTCTTTTCCAGCAAAGGAAATTTTTCTGTTTCCTTTTCAACTTTACAACGACTTTTTGCAGCGTGCACATTTCGATCAGCATCACTCCAAGTGACCAGATGTCCGTTTCGAAACTGTATGGAACTCCTTTCAGAACTTCTGGCGAGACGTATCGCGGCGTTCCGATTCGTGTTTTCGCGCGCTACAATGGTTTTACAAGACTGTATGTTGTCCATTTTTACCTGATTAGTCTCAATTTTCCTCGAGATGCCCAAATCGCCGATTCGAATATCATCAGTATGTCCAGTCAGGAAAATATTTTCAGGTTTGATGTCTCGGTGAACGATTCCTGCTTCATGCAGCGCCTTGACACCCTTAATTTCAATTTGATGAAGTTATTTCATGATAAGCGCTTACCTTTGCAAGCTGCAGCATCCATCTTCGAATAAGAGAATAGTTAAAGGGTCGCCTTTTGTATCTCCTTTCAGTGATTCTGTCTCTCAAGTCCCCTCTGTCGCAATATTCCATCACAAGATGCAGCTTGTTATCGCATTCAAAAACCTCATACAACGTAACAATATTTGGATGGTTAATATTTTGCATCAGCTTTTTGCGGGTGAGGTATCATTCTACGCAAATTAAAACAAAATGTACTGAATTAAACCCGTTCCTCGGCTTCACGTTGGGCACCGTTCGCTTTGTTTGTAGTGAGCTCATTGAGGTCCATATACTTTAGGACGTATTGCTTGTTTTCGTTGTCGCCCCTCTTTTTACACATCATTACAGTCCCGCATCCTCCTGATGCTAAGTATTCCCCGAGTTCATAATCGTCTAAAATTGAAAAAAAAAATTCTGAGAAAGAGAGTTTTTGATAGCCTACTTGTGAGCCTGCCGAGCTGAATCGTAGTCGGGCGACGCGCAGCCATTTCGGGTTCCTTACAAACTGACAAAAATTAGAACTGACAACATAGTGCTCATCGGTGTTCTAGAGACGCTCGAATGAAGCCTCAGAAAACGACATTTTTCTCTTAATTTATCTTCAGTCTCCGCAAAATCATTTTTGAAGCAAAAGAAGACTTTATAATGAGCACTGGTAGAAGGTCATTGGCGTTACTCTCTTGCCTGTTGAATTATACGCTACAACGACTGATTTACTGGGATATTTTTTGAAAATAGTTGATTGACAAAATTTTTGAAAAACTGAAATTTCTCTAGAATGTCTATTGACTTTTTAAAATTTTGACATTTTACCATTTAGCTTGCAAAAGCTTTGACGGTCCTCAGCAAGAATATAAAAAGGTATGAACTTGGGTTCAATTTTCGATTGATAGTTCTTTTATTTTATGATTGATATTTCTAAAGTTAAGGCTAAACTGATTGTTGATAAATCGGGGTTTGAACATCTATTTCAGATGCCGAATGAGACGGCAAAAATGCCTGCAAATAGTGCGGGGCGAAAGAAGAAAGACAGAGAGAGCATGACTGGAATACCAGTCAGCCAGCGACTTATCAGAAAGTATGGATCAGTCAAAGCAGTTCTTAGAGAGAGCGAACGACTTCAGAAGATAAATAGTTCCGTGAGTACTTTCGAACTCAAGGAACCAATTTAATTTTGAAATATTTTAGCGAGAAGGAGCTCTACAGAGAATAATCCATCCTTACTCAACATTTCGCTTCATGTGGGACTTGATGATGATCTTCCTAATTATAATTATCATCTACACATTTCCCGTCTTTCTGGCCTTTCCCGCGTTCGATTTTTACTCTCCTTTCGGGCATGAGAGCAGCTGCACTCACCGCTACACAGCAATGGTTGTGAACATCATCACAGACGTCCTCTTCGCGACCGACATCTTACTCAACTTCCGCACGGGAATTGTGGAAAACGAAGCTGAAAATATCATCGTTATGGATCCAAAGAAGATAAGAATGGCATATCTCAAGTAAGTTTTGTTTCTGAGAACGTCATAACAGTAAATTTTAGGGGATGGTTCTTCTTTGATTTCATCTCAACTATTCCAGTAAGCATAATATGGGAAGCAATCAGTGGCGCTACGCATGGAAATCTGGGCTTGATGAAAATTGTAAAGCTCTTTCAGCTTCTCAGGCTGATTCGTGTTACTAAAGTTTTTCGAACGAAGCATCAGGTATTTCGATATACAAAAGGGAATATTTCTAACTGATTTTAGTGGAAAGAAATTGAGTTATTCCAGTATGACACAGCAGTAATTGCTTTCAAGTTGCTTGGGGTCCTCATGCTCATCCTCACTTTTTGTCATATATCAGCTTGCTTCCAGTTTGCGATACCGCTTGTTTACGATATCCCTCCAGATACTTGGATTGCATTTAGAAACTTGGAATACAAAGAATTAAAAATACAGGTTTGTCGCTCTCCGTGAATTTTAAATTAAACACTTTTCAGTATATGTGGTCATTGTTTCGGGCGATGTCTCAAATGATCTGCATTGGGTATGGACTGTTCCCTCCTGTCAGCCGAAAAGACAAGATCGTGACGATTTGTATGATGATTACCGGCGCGATCTTATTCGCCGCATGCATTGGTATCTTGACTTCAATTGTCCAAAGTCACAATGCTTCGAAACGACTCTACAAGGAGAAAATTGCGTCTGTCAAACGTAAGACTCAATCTTTCTTCAGCATGGAACCATTATTTCAGAATACATGAGCTTCCGAAAACTACCGGTTGAACTCCGAAAGCGAATCACCGACTATTACGAGAATCGATACCAAGGAAAAATGTTCAATGAGGAGCAAATCAAATCCGAGCTTAACGAAAGTCTCCGTCAGCAGCTCATCAATGCTTCTTGCCGAGAACTCATTGATGCTGTTCCCATGTTCTTAGGTAGCTTTCAATCAGATTGATAAGACTTTATCCCAATATTTTCAGAGTGCGACGACGACTTCATCGACAAGCTACTCACGAAGCTCAAGTTCGAAGTCTACCTTTACGGCGACGAAATCATCCGGCAAGGCACTCTTGGTCGGAAAATGTTCTTCATCTCTCGTGGCTCCGTTCGAATCCTCAGTTACAAAAATCTTGGCAGTTCTCGAGTCCTGACAGACGGCGAGTACTTCGGAGAAATTGCCCTTCTTCACCCAACGAAGAGGAGAACTGCAAGCGTTTTTGCTGAATCGTATTGCTACATGTACTCACTTGACGTGGATGACATGAATCAGGAAAGAGTTGAGATTGTAAAAGTTGAACTTTTATTTCAATTTTTTGTCGACTGGCGACAGAAGTCTACCAACTAAATAGACGAAATTGGACGGTCCAATTTTATTCTTTATTATCTTAACTCTTGAAAAGGTCCTCGAAATGTTCCCCCACATTCGCCGTCAATTCATGGCTGAAGCTCAGAGTCGATTGGAAGCACTCGAGGAAGAAGAACGCAAGATGCTCCAAGGCGCCGACCACGGAATCTCATATGAGATGTCGAAAGCCTCGGTTCAAGATTGGTACAAACGAAGCTCAAGAATGAGCCGTGCAAGAACTACGTCTACGCTTTCTCGCGTCTCCAGACACCAAACGATGGGTTTGAGTGATTACGCAAAGGACTATTCAAATAGACAGAGCCTGCGACGAGGAACAACGATGAACAGATAAAAATACAAACACCTGCATATTTTTATCTTCATAAATCTATATTATCTATTTTCAAATAAAATATATTTCAATATAAATCAAGGATCAATGAGATGATTTAAAAGTCAGGTCTTTATTCATCCATTTGGTCAAACGTCTCTTCCGTTCTTCTTTTATAAGCAGGCTAAGCATAGACGCAATTGCTTAGCGTCATACCGCGTAGAATGAACTAGTTCTCGTCCGATCACTGAAGTTAGACTACGACGGGCGTGGTTAGTACTTACATGGGTGACCGGTTGGGAATACCTCGTGCGCTAAGCGTTTTGATTATTTTCAAAACGCCAGTTTTTGCTACCAGATACTTCACAATTGTTATAATTTTGGTTTCAGCTACTCAAGTGAAGTGTGAAGGAGAGAATAATTTCTTGTTGAATCAGGGCGTCGGGCGGGCGGCGTGGCGTTAGAGAAAAGCGCCCTCCACCGCGCGCTTTTCCAAAAGAGGACGAAAATAGGAGCGTGCAGCGACCAAACGACCTCGAAATCAAGCACCCTCCTCCTTACTCATCCCATTTTTGAGTCCGATTTCGATTGTCTAGAACAGGTAAGAATCGTCTCCATGCCCCCTTTCTCCTATCCCTCTCGCCTCTCACAAGGAATGAATCCACATAATCAGAGTATCAGTCGTGAGCGAACTCGCATCGAGTAAATACTCTTGAAAGTAAGGGATCTCTTCATGCGCCAGTTTTTTATTTACAAATTTCAAAGAAATTTTTTAAGTTTCAATTAGTGCCTTTTCTTCATGAATCTTCTTCCGCCCAAACCTCGGGCTTCTGAGCTCTTCGTTGCCTCTCAAGGAAGAAATGACGATGTGATACATCGTTTCGTATTTTTTTGGATTCTTTGTTTTGAGATCTTTTACAAGCATCAAAGCGCTGTCGTGTTTTTTGTTCATGAGGTTGATGTCTGCGCCAGATTTGAGGAGTAGTTCTACTGTCGTATGTTCGGCGAAAATGACTGAAAAAATAGTTAGGAGGGAATGTAGAGCGGTTTTCTTCATAAGAACAACCAGACAGTTTCTGCCAAATTTCAAGCTGAAAATGATTATCTGATAAGAAGATATTGCAATCTGTATTGATCCATCTGACCCTCGAAAAAACTAAGTAAGTCCAAAGTCAACAGTAAATCCTCGATAACGGAAATGTGCGCTATTTGCCCAGTGCAATTAAGTGTCTCCCGTAGTTATTTATCGGCGACTTTGGTATTTCCGGGACTTGTCAATCTTTCAAATTCAAAGCATTCAAAATATTCGAAGTACTGTATCGCTCCGAAGAAACTCACTTGCTGTATGGAGACAAGCGTTTCCGTTGCTGTAAATTTTGTCGATCGCCTTGCTTCCATATTTTTTCTCCAGGCATTCGAGATAAATCCGAAGAACCCGCCTGAACAAATTTTTAGGCAGGAAGTAAATTATGCGCGAATCTAGCTGTGTTTACTCGGCGACGCTCTTTTCCCACCTATAATCGTCGATCATGTCAATACTGATGGCGTTCCACTTGACAAACAGCTGCAGCGGCGAGTTTCCCCGCTTGTCCTCGATCGTTGGGTCTTCGCCTTTATTCAGCAGGATTTGGATGATCTTGGCCGAGGTCAAAAACACATTCGATAAAAGAAGAAAAACACGAGTCTTTGACAGCCCGTAAATAGAGATGACATCCAGCGCAGGCAGCGTGTAAACCTGTCTTTTTGTGGTTCATTTTTAATCTAAGATCAAGGAATAAATTTTATTGATTTCTTGATAATATTTCTATAAAAATAACGAAGGGTGTCACGATTTAAATTTTTGAGCCCAAAAGTCTGGGCGACCAAACAATATTTTAATATGACATAAATATCAGATTTTTATGGAAAAAGTAACTTTTTGAACCTTTTCCATCCAAAAATCCGTCTGGTTTGGAATATACGCCGCCGAGGCGATATATTTTTCGACATCACGCGCGTACCCTTCAAAATAAGCTCGATAAAGACAGCCGCAAATATTGATAAGAAGATACCTTTATGGCAGGCAATGACAAAGTCGTCGATCGGGCTGTTGAGTGAGATCTTCTCCTCTGTTGATTGATCCAAGCTCTTTGCTTTCACACCTTCAATAATTCATTTAATTCTCTTAAATCGCGAAAACGAAAATTCTTCGGAAAAAGTACCGTTATTGATCGAATCCGTAAAATACAGAATTTTCTCTTGGTTCAAAAAATACAAATCCATGTCTGCCACGATTTTCGATTTTTCTCAATCTGGCCATCACTTTGATTTGTGCCCTCCCGTCCCGTTGAAATTTATTTACGCTACTTTTATCTCGCATTCATGAATTTTGGTAGCCAGAGTAAATTCCACCAGCTTTTTCACTCGAAATCATTTATCTGCCGTAAATTCCTTCTATCGTCGTTTTTTACCTTTTAGAAAGCTCGACATGTCTCCTCTCTGGGCAGCGATAGCTCCGCCTGGCGTCGCTTACAAAATTATGGGCGACAGATTTTTTTTAAAAGAGCTCGTTTTTGATCTAAATAGCTCAAATATTGGCCCAACTGCGAGCATGCGCGGCCACTCGCTTGTTCTTTTTACAATTTGGCCAAGGTCACTTATTTTTTACGCTCCATGCAAGAAAGATTTCTGAACGTTTCTTTTTGCTATTTATTTCTCCTTGTAAATAACCAGCCTTCAAATAGGGCTGAAAATAACAAGATTGTTAACGGAATGAAATTGACCGGATTAGGTTTAAGCTTTGTTTATTTTGGTGTTTTATCAGAACTCGTGAAAAAATAACCGGGTTGAAAGCTCTCCGTAATAATAATTGGTAGCTCCCTTCGCACCCAACTTATCGTTCGATTATCATCTGTTCTCATTAATTTATCATCAATTGTAGCGAGGCAGTAACTTCCATCGTTTATTCCGATTCCGTGAATTCCTTTGTCTGGATGATATTGACATGCCTCTTTTTTCGCCTCTGAAAAAAAAAATCTTGAAAAGTTAAAATTAATTTAGAAACCTTCAAAATCCTTTGTTGACAATTGAATTGAGCATGAAAGAATGAATCCTGGGAACTCTACAAATTGACAACCTTCCGGGAAGTTTCCGGTGCAATGAGTTGTCTCTCTCCACCTTATTAATGATCCCTGGAGATCGATTCTCTCTTTGAGCACTTTTCTCAACGATTCCAGCTCGCCGTCATCTAAAGTTTAAATCGTATTATGAATTTCGATAATTTTGGAATAAACCATTTTTTCCAGCGGCAATGAACTTCTCGATTCTGTAGTCAAAATATACGAAATCCATGAAAAATATTTTATAAATCCTTCTTATTGTCCTTTTGCTGACATTTCTCCAGGGCTCAAGCATCTCGTCTACATCGATCGGCTTATTTTTCATCTTTCGGCCCCACGAAGATATCTGCGGAATGCTCTTCAGATTTTGAAATCTGTCTTCTCGGTCAAACACGCGCAAAACGAAGTCGTTTTCTTCAAAAGCATATTCTTGTTTTATAATGAATTCGTAAGGAATGGCGCACGGATTGCAGTAGGTGTGAATTGACTGCCAGTGTCGGTCTCTTTGCCCATCGAAATCGGAAAGAGCGACAACTTCGACGAAAGCTTCAAACGAGTATTGATAGGTCGAGTTTTGCATGTTTTGGCGCTCGAATTTGGTCAAATAATACCCGAACTGACTTTCGATCGTCCCAAGATATGCATGACCTTTTCTAAATTTATCCTTCCATGCTGAATAGAGCCTCGCCATCGGATGACGTACTGTCATCAGCGTCATCCATTCTTCGCTACCAGTTCTGCCGAAAATTTGCTGCTCAAGTAACCATGCGTTTCGATGCATTTTTTCTGGATATGACCACTCGTTATCTTTTTCATGGATCTTCAATTGTAATGGCCAACTTCGACTGAATTGCAGCGAAAAATTCTGTCAATTCAAATTCTGGGTCAAAAATTGTGTTTGGGAAATTAAATTTTAACTTTAGTGATCCATGCTCAATAACATTGGGACTCCACATTCCATCAGAAAATTTAAGAGAGCTAAGTGCTTTCAGCCAGCTGGTGCTTCCGGTTTTGGTCGGAAGACATGTTCTTAATTTATATTCTAAAACAGGTCAATTTATTATCTTGGCTTTGCGACTTTTTTTTACTTTCGTTTTTGAAGAGATTGTCAGGCAAACCAAGCGGATGGGTAATTGGCTTGCATGAAATATAGTCTTTTCCGGAATTATTTATATTTTTCTGGTAGTTCATGAGCTTCAAAGAAGTCGCGGATTTGTCCTGATACAAATTGATAATTTGTCTCGATCGCTCGCACACGAAATTGAGGTGTTTTCTTCTCTTCACAAATGTTTTGTAAATTCTGCTTTTTTTAGTCGCTTCATCTACTGGAAAGTTGATCACATCTTCCGTATCCGATTCTTGTGTTTTAAAAAAGGGTGCGATAAAATTCTCAGTTTTATCTTCCGACAGGTTCAACGTGTTTGCCCATAAAACGACGAAACAAAAAATCAAAATAAAAACAAAGTCTTTAACAGAACTTTCCATTTTTCTCTTTTTACCAAGACGATTCAGAGATCCGAACTGAAGAAATGCTGATATTTTGGAATGGCAAAAAAACAAACTATTTTGAGGACATCTTCGATATTATCAAAATGTCAAACGAAATCGTGCGCGTTAATACAACAAGAAGAAATCACAATGCTTTAAGGCAAATAATAAGGTTGTCTTCCAATATCATTGCAACGGTCTTTTTGTTTGTTTTATTATAAATGATAAAAGAGGTATTCAGTATAGAATTAGTTGTCGCTCAAAACCCGTTGATCGATAATTAATTGTATTTTTCATGAAAACAGTCAACAAAAACGTCAAGTCCATATAATCCGGCAAGCTTTCGTGGGCATTTATTCGCTGTAGTTATTTTATCGTAAGCATTAATCGGAATGTAGCTGTCATTTTGAAGCATTTGAATGTGCCATCCCATTTCCTCAGAGTTGAATTCGCCATAAACGAGCTTGTAAATTGGCTTTTCATTCGAAAGCTCTTTAGAGACGTATTCAGCTTGTTCCTCATTGATAATGATTTTTCTGTAGATACCTCTTTAAAGAGTTTTGATCATGCATTTTTCAATCAGGAGCCTTAAGTTTAGCACCTTTTTTCTGTCAACTAAGAACTCTGATCCTGAAAAATAATTTTGTGTGTATTTTGACCAACGGACAGCAGGTTTCACCTTTTTTGTGCTCGACAGCTTCGTCTTTATCTTCAAATGAAAAAAATGAAAGGAACAAAATCAGATTTTTTCATAACTTACGAGCTTTCAGTTCAAGAAAATCCACACAATCTGGACATGTGCAATCCCATTTGGTTGGCACACAGTAGCCATTTGGGCTACAACATGGACCATTTTCGGGTTTTCGAACAGTCCAGTCATGTCTGTATTTGGCTTTGAAATCGTAATAAGTGTGAATTACACTTTACTATACAGTCGTTACGCACAATTCCGGACACTTTTTTTTCAGCAAAAAGGGCAAAATGTCCGTAATTGTGCGGATTCTAGATGGAAAAAATTTTTGTTTTCAAAATGCTTGTTTTTTATTCAAAACGTAAAATGTCGAGAAAAAAGCAGAGAAAACGGCCAGGATCTACCCGTGTCGATGTAGAATTCAAACAAAGGCAGTTTTACTGTCGATTAATCAAAGCTGGCGCCGGATACAAAGAAGTCAACAAATATTTCGAGAAGAAAGAACATAAAAAGCTGCCTAGAGCAACATTCTACGATTGGAGAAATAAAGCAGACGAGATTCTGGCTGCTGGAAAGGTTGCGAACCGTTGCCGACCAGACTACAAGCAGAGTGACATTCGAAAAGAGTTTGACGATGATCTTCTGGCGATAATTGAATCTTCGACTGTGGACATTGAGGGCGTTGTTGGCCTGCAGGATGAAGCTCATAAACTTGCAGCTACGGAGAAATATAAAGACAAGGAAGAAATTACGTCAATGTCTTTCCATCCAGACTACTGCAACCGAATCATCAAGTCGTATAATTTGAAAATTACACGGTCAGTTAGTACGAAGGTCATTCTTTCTGACGTAGAGATGAAAATGGAACTGGCTCGGCTAATGGCAATGTGCAGTGGTTATGATGATGGGAACATTTGGAACCTCGACGAATCCGCCATGTTCATTGCGTATGCTCCAGAAAAACGTCTGATCATTCGCAAGAATGAATGTTTTCGAAAATCAAAAGCGAAAGATGAGCGCCTCCGCTTCACCCTTACTCCGATCATTTCCGCTGACGGCGATGGATCCTTTCTACCAGGGGTCATCGTCAAAGGTACTCAAAAATATAACATTTACCTTCTTCTTTTATTTAATTAATTTTACCAAAAGAAAAACACATCATTTATCAATCATTTACTGAAAAATATCAGAAAGAAATTCTGGGCCAAAAAAAACTTGGTCCGGAAATTTCTGGGCCATAAGATAACTTGGTCCGGAAATTTTCTGGGCCATAAGACCTTGGTCCGGAATATGAAATTTTGTAAATTTTTTTAGCAAATAAAATGACCACTTGGTCTGGGCTGGAAAGCTCCCGTACTTTTGTGTCAAATGGCACAACGATGCTGGCGAAAAAATTTCCGTGCTTCGTTGCGTACTCTAACCAGAACGGGTGGATGACCCGGGAAATTTTCAAGGAGGAGCTTAAGGGATCCCCCGATTTCGTCAACTTTGACTTCGAACTACTTTTTTTAGGACTGAGCTTTTTACAAGTATGAGGGCTCATTTTGAAGCCCCTTTTTTAATGAACAAACTCTAGTACAGAAATTAATTTTCATAAGGGGAAACACCTTGAAAAGACGGGCTGAAAACATTGATACTCGCGAAAAACCCTACTTTGGGCCATTTTCAAAATCGAACTTAGTTTTTCTGCTCTTAGATAGAGCCCTAAATCAATAACAACTGTCTTCCTTGACCCCTAATCTACAATCTCTAGTACAGGCATGTGATTCCGTCAAGGATTGTAGAATTTTTCTTTACAAAATGTTTTTTAACTGATTTTTGCCATTTTTTTGACTTTCTTAGCTCTCTAGCACCTTTTAGTGGTTAGATATTTTATTTAATCTATTTTTTTCTAATTCAGTTTTCTCTGAGCTTTCTTAAGAGCCCTTATTCATCTGATTATGTCGACTTTGAAAAGTCGAAAAAATTGCGAATTTTTTCTAAGTAAAATTTTTCGTTAAAATAAGCCATTTTCAAAGCTGTGTCACGGCTTACCACGTGACGGACTCCCTTTGACGTAATATATGAAAATGATCGCCAGACAACGGAGATTCCAAAAATATATCACATAAAAGCTCTCGATGATATTTTTCAAATCGGGAGGGGATCCCTTAAGAGATTCTCTCGGTTCTTGGCCCGGGTAAAACCGGGTCAAAAGAACTTGCTCCTCCTTGACAATTTCTCGGGTCATCTGAATGTTGACCCTTCTGCGCTTGGAGTTACGAACGTTGCCCTGGGTTTTTTCAAGCCAGGGACAACTGGGGCATATCAGCCACTCGATCAGGTATTTTTCGCCTGTCTTAAAGGCGGGGGTTTGTCAATACTTCGTTAAAAATTATTAAAAGATAAATTAATTTAAAACTATGTAAAAATATATAATTTTGACGATCTCCTAATAAAAGGAAAGTACCGAAAATGGCTGCGGTCTTTCCGACAAGAGCACCAAAAAACTTCGCCTGGACTGGAGTTGGGAGTCAAAACTGCAGTCAGGCTCGTCTCCGAAATGTCTCCCAACATTATACGGACATGTTGGCGAAAATCCGGCATTCCTCGATTCCAAAAGTATCAGGTATAATTTAAACTTAATATCTTTCTTTACAAACTTATAAATTTCGGAAGCGCCTATCGAGAATGAAGATGAAGAGCTCCAGCGCCAACAGATCAAAAAAGTGGAAGAAGAGCTGCTTATGGCCCGGGATTTCGCGCAACTTGATCTTGGAGATGATCGCGAGCATGTTGACGAACAACCAGAAGAAGCCATGGAAATTGCACCTCAACAGAAGCCAGAAAAGCCGAAGAAACAAGCAAGCATTCTTAGTTTTTTTGCAAAAAAATGATCGAGTAAAATAAAGATTTCAGTTAAAATTTTTGTCGAATTGTCCGGAATTGTGCGTTTTTAATTTTTCCGTTTTCCCTAAATGTCCGGAATTGTGCGTTACGGAATTGTGCGTAACGACTGTATATGAATAAGAATGGTTTCAAATTTCTCGAGGCGAAAATTGGTTCTCACCACAAAAACCGTCTAGAATGTCGAGCCAAGAGCCTGTCAGTGCTGCATCTACTGTTATTGAACTCAGGCCCGCAGCGTTGGTAAAAAGGCCCATCAAGAATCGGCGCCGAAAGCTTGCTTTCGTACCAGGGACAACTGAAAGAAATATCTCTGGCCTCGTGAAGTTCATCTTTTCGCATTTTTCCGCGTATTTGAGGATCTTCGAAAGCATGCATTCGTAATCAAATTTTGGGTAATGAATGGAGATTGCATTAACAATAGTGCAAAAATCATTTCCGTTTTCAAACTTGATTCCCCACGGGTGAAATTCATTGACATCGAAAATTCTATCTTCTAACCCAGCTTAAAAGGGGGTCATAAGAAAGCACTCCGATAACTTTGGAATTTTTAATAATGCTAAAATTTGAACCCTTTGACCCTTTCGTCATACAAATGCCAATAAAAGCATCATCAATAGATATCAACGGATTGAGCTGCATTTGTCCTTCCAAAACGAAGAGAGCATTTCGGTTCATAATATGACCAGAACCAGATGCATACTTCGGATATACTTCTTCTGGCCATCTAAAACAGAATAAACAAAACTGAGCTTTATTTTTTCGCGACTTACACATCAGTCCTTCTTTCCTCCATGATTTCATCTAATTTCGTCGTGTCGCTAATAACGGAGGGCATTCCCTGAATAACTCCACCCCAAAGTGCAGCTTCTGCATTTGCTTCGTCCCAATGTTTTTCGAGAAATTTCATCACTCCAAGTGGATTAAGAAAATTGTCATCGTCTCCTCGGTAAATGAATTTCACATTGGGCACGTTTTGTTTTGTCCAAGAGTAAAACATGCTCTCCTTGAAGGTTAAATTCCAGTACGAGTCTTGAAAGCTCCCGTAGATGATATCATCGAACAATTCTTCTTCCGCGAGAATTTCACTTTCCTCGAAAGAGTTATTTTATTTAATAAAATTAACAAAGAGATCAGCGCGATACACAGCCAAGATCTGATAATTATATTTCTAGCAGTTTGCAACTCTGTTCATGGGCATCCTCCTTTTTCCGAGCAAGAACACGAATTTTACGTTATATTTTTCGCGATAGAAATCGGAATTACCAAATGATTTTCTTATCGAATCTCTCTTCATTCGATGCTTATGTGGGTGATAGTTAAAAAGTTCTTTGGGAAGAAACATAATGATTTTCTTGTGTTACCAGTGATGCAAATTTTGCCTTCATTTCGCTTGGCTGAGCCGAGCTGATCTGAGTGAAAAATTCTCTGAGCTAAGCTAGCCTTTTTCAGAGGTCATTGAGCTGAGCTGAGCAGACCCTAATAAGAGCTTATCTGAGCTGGGTGAACTCAGCTAAGCTGTTTTTACTGTATTTTTAGTAGTAAAATTCTGATAAAACCATTGAGTGGAGCTGAGCTGAGTGATACTTGTCTGATCTGAGCTGAACTGAGAAGATCAGATCATTTTCTTAAACTACTGAGCTGAGCTGAGCGACCGCTGAGCAAATTTGCAACTCTGTGTGTTACGAGCTTTTTCTACTATCGCTTCCTTAAAAACAGTTTTTAGACCAAAAACAATTTCCACATCCTCGTAATTTTCTCTTGGCGAATGAATAATCTCATAGGGCCTTATATCCTTGCTTGGAGGAAGATAAGTTCCGTGGTTGATAAAAAACATCAAATGATCATTTTTTGTGGTCTCATCTTGAGCTTGATATTTCTCCGAGTTAAAATAAAGCTTTTCTTGTCTTAAGCCAGTTACAACAAAATAAATACACAAGAATATCACAAATAAAAATATTTGAATATTTTTAGTGTTTGTATTCAAGCTCATTTTAACAAAAAAAGGACAGGAAAACGAGCCCAAAGCAACGACTCTAACCGGGGATTTGATATTTTGTCGAACCGCAACCTAAATCCTTACGCTTTTGCGCCAAGAAAAAAGTATGAAAGAGCGTAACAAAGGGTTTTATTTCTCGAAAGTAAAAATAATATAAAGTTTTAGTCTTGTCCTAGTTGTTAAATTAACAGTATAAACCAACATCTCTAGATAATTTTATGAACTAAAACTACAACTGTAAAATCAAACGTCTGCGCTCTTTAATCTTGAAAATCATCATTCCAGGGCGAAAATGACGCTCTGGCAATGGCCCATTGCCAATGGGAGACCAAATAATCCCCTTTCTTAATAATGGGAGAGAAATAGATGAGAACTGCCTCCAAAACCGGGGAAAGCCAGGCACGAGCTCTAGAGGACATTCACATCAACTTTACCAATCATAATCTTCTGGCAATTGAGAAATTCGGCGAGGTCCCTGGTAATCGACGATCCATTTCGAGCGCGGAATTTCAGAGAACGCCTGAGCTTGAAGGCTTTAGCAGAACATTTGTTTTCTTAGGTCTAAAGTTTAGACTCTAAACTTTTTAAAGATATAAAGGGGGCTTGGATTATTTATCCTCTATTCGGCCGTATTAGACCAGGCGTTTTTTAGGAGATGCACGATGTGAAAATGTACAAAAATATAAATTTTATTATACAGTAAAAACCCAATAATTGGCCGGTTTTCAGATGTAAATTCCCGAAAAAAGCGGCCAAATTTTGGGTTTTTTGCCGGGTGGCCGAGTTTCCTCTCCAAGAAGCAAAGTTTCGAAATTTTCGAAAATCGGCATGATTTTCACGTTTTTGATAATTTTTTTTCAAATTTTTGCTTGTTGGAAGACATTCTTATTAGAGTTTAGTCATTAACAATGATTAAAACACTTTTAAAAGCCTATAAATGATCAGAAAAAGCATCATTTGGGCCCAATTATGATGAAAAATTATGTATTTTCGAAAAAGCGGTCAAATTTTGGGTTGATTTCAGGTTCCAAAAAAGGCGGATTTAGACAAAAAACGGCCAAATTTCGGGTGGGCAAATTTTGGGTTTTTACTGTAAATGAAACTCGAAAATTATTGTTGACCAAAAAAATCCGCTCAAGATAAGGTTTTGACCTTCTTTTGACTTGATTTTTTTTTTTATTTGTGCTTGTTGGAAACCCGACGAAAATCCGACAAAAAAACCCGATAAAAACCTGATCCGATTTTTCATGACCCCTAAAAACCCGATCCGATCCGATCTTGGTTTCGGGCGACTTTGTTGAACCTAGAACACAGGAGTACGTGTTTCTCCTGGAAATTTCAGGAGGCAGGTCACATTAATGTTCGCCCTCGTCTTTCTGCAGGTACGCCCTTGTGATCTCTTACCGACTAATTTATCGTTCTAGCGCAAATGGGACTCTTTGGGGCAAGCGTTTGTCGACGCGAAATCTGCGTTGGAAAAAGAACTCGACGTGACTTTATAAAGCGAACGCGACGAGCATACTTTGAGAATTTCAAAGACCAGCTGGGACTCGTAAGTTTATTATATTACACATAGACTTTTGATGCAAGTGTGCTTAAAATTTTTTTAGGCAGAAGATGAAGATAAAGATGAAGATGAAGATGAAGACGTTGATAAAGATCAGGTAGGGTTAGGGTTGGATAAGAAAGTTTGATTGAGAGTACTTAACAATTGGCAGAAGGATTTGATTTTTTTCGATAAATAATAAGTCCTATCTAAAAATAGCAGGCGTATAAGGAGTGAAATAAGTGGCAGTAAAGAATACAAACAAGGATAGGTTTCGGTACCTTCAGCTCATTTGCCTTTTAAACATCTGCTTCGCGATAGAGCTGGAGTTTGTTTCTTAGTCGGGCGGTTTAATCCCTGCATGATCTGGCATCGAGTGTGTTTTCGAACATATTCATAATCGCCAAGGTTGACTCGTTCAACGGTTGTTGAGTCAGGGCTAAATTTTGCCTTCAAAGGGGCGATCTTTCTAGCGACGTATCCATTTTTCGATTTCAAATAAATTTTTTTCTGAAAATTGTCTCGGGATTATTTGAGAGTCGAACTTCTGTGGCTTGGTCACTTCAGTGGTTGGAGTCAGGGCATATCTTGAATAAATTGAATGCAAGATTTTTGCTACTCATTTTTGTAGATCACTAACAAAATATTAGATGGACTATGATGCTGGTCAAATGGTTAAAGGCGGCGACGGACTGGGGAGAATGGAGGAAGGCATGGAAGAAGGCAGCGAAGGCGAAGGAGAGAGGGAAGAAGGCGGCAACGAGCTTTTGGTAGTGGACGAATACGATGACGGCAGAGCAGGCGAAGAACAGATGCAAGAAGGCGGCAACGGGCTTTTTGGAATGGACGCATACGCAAGCAGTGATGAAGGCGAAGGCGAAGAAAAGATGGAAGAAGGAGATGGAAGATGGTGATGGGATGAAGAGGATGATGACGATTATGGCGAAGGCGAAGACAACGAAGCGACGAGGCTTATGGTATTGAACAAATTTGATTTAAATTATTTAATAAAAAATATAGCAAAGGATCACGGGTGAACGCAAGTTACAATTGCTTGCACAGCAACGAAAAAGAAAGATGGAGAAGAAGCTCGAAGAAAATCTTCAGCGAAGAATTGAAGAAATAGAAAGAGTGAAAGAACGCGCACAGAATCGAGAAGCTGCATTTGAACATATGAAGGATAACCTGGAATCGATGGAGGAGGAGAGTAGACAATTATATCACCGGTGCGAGATGGCGAAGATTGAAATGAACGAGGTCCGGGAAGAGATCATTGAAGACAAAGCAGAAAAAAGCGAAAAGAAGAGGAAATAAAGCGAATCAGAGAGTTTCAAAATAGGCAGTCTCAATAAAAATTTCTGTAAATATATCTATACTAAAAATGAATGATTGAGAATGTTCTTTAAGATCTTTTTCAGCGTGTCGATTGCCTTTTTATTGTCAGGTGCAGCACTTAGTTTCGGCAAAAGCAAATTATAAGCGTCGGGTTAACTCAATAGATTCAGGTGGCTACCAGCGATTAGGAATGACGTGCTTTTTTTAAGGTTGTGCAATTTATTACGTCAATGTCGTTGATGTCCAGGCAGTAGTAATCACATGTTTTTTTTTCGTCAACTGATACACAGATTCTGTAGGTTAATTCCTTGTGAGAGGCGAGAGGGATAGGAGAGAGTGGGCATGAAGACGATTCTTACCTGTTAGACAATCGAAATCGGACTCAAAAATGGGATGAGTAGCGAGAAGAGGTGCTTGATTTCGAGGTCGTTTTGTCGCTGCACGCTCCTATTTTCGACCTCTTTTCGGAAAAGCGCGCGGTAGAGGGCGCTTTTTCTCTAACGCCACGCCGCCCGCCCGACGCCCTAATTCAACAAGAAATAATTCTCTCCTTCGCACTCCACTTGAGTAGCTGAAATCAAACTCATAACAATTGTGATTTAAGGAAGCATCTGGTAGGAAAAACTGGCGTTTTGAAAAAATCAAAACGCTTAGCGCACGAGGTATTCCAACCGGTCACCCATGCCTGTTAATAAAGCATGTTTGCGACTGTTTTTCGTGGCATTAGAGTCATCGGCTGGGTATTTGGTCAATTCTATCCGTCGTGACTGCGTATGAGAATTCGTTTAGTAGTTGGGCTTAGCACGAAAGTAAGTATCTTCAGAGAACACTAATTCCGCGCGGTGTCCGATAACGACGGGGTTTCAAAGCTACTCGATCAAAGTACTCAGACGAGAGGCTTCACGTTGCCAAAATGAAGCTTTTCCCTGTTTTTGCAGCGGCTGTTTCAGCACGAGGCGAAGTTAAGGCGCGGATAGAGAAATAAATTTAGAGAAAAATAATGAGATGGAGCTGTCACAGGTCACTCACAGTGAATTCTTACTTAGGACAAGAGATCAGAATTATTTATACTGCAATACCGTAGAATATATTTCTCTAACTTTGAAAAGAATGATGACAGTTTTGAAAGAGTAGATGCCCGAATTATCGGTGGCGAAATTTCCAGTCTCGGCAATTGGCCATGGCAAGCGGCTATGCTTCACGCAGCATACGGTGATCACATCATCTGTGGAGGTACCATCGTAACGCAGAAGGTTATCATTGGAGCCGCTCATTGCGTCGGCAAGTTTGAAGCCGATGAGCTCAAATTTACCGCCGGTCATACAGAGGGCTTTCACGCCAAAACGCAAACTGCCTCTTACCAGTGGAGCACTGTGAGACGCGCAATCGCTCATCCTGGCTTCAACAGTCACTTCCACAACGACATCGCGCTTTTCGAGCTAACAAGGCCGTTTGTCTGGACAGAATACGTCCAACCTGCATGTTTGCCAACACGCGAGTTTGTACCATCGATATTTGGCCGCTGTGTAGTCAGTGGCTTTGGGAAGGGTTCCAACGATGCGCTGAATCACGCTGTCATTCCAATTTGGGAGAAGCAGTCTTGCAAGAATATCCTCGAGTCGCAAGGTGGATGGGGCTGGACTGGGCTTCCACTCGACGAATCTCAAATCTGTGCTGGCTACCAACCCGGCGGAATCGACGCTTGTCAGGGTGATTCTGGTGGTCCGTTCGTCTGTGAAACAGAAAAAGGATGGGCTGCGATTGGTGCGGTTAGCTACGGATACGGATGTGCTCAAAAGAACATGCCTGCTATCTACGCCAACATTCCGCTCTACTACGACTGGATCCACGGTAACTCTTGTTAAAATGAATAATAAAGTCTATTTCTAAGAATTTATCGCCGAATCAACGTCAGAGGAGGGCAAATATGGTATACCATCAACTTGCGGAAAGACGTCGACTGAAGCGAGTTTCCCAGTTTTGAAACCAACGCTTTTTGACTTCGAGACTGGAGGCCCTGCTGATGAATCCGCTAGAGGTGATGATAAAGGTGAGTTGTACAATTATATTAACAAGCTATAAAATGATTGCCAATCATGAAACCAAATAATACACAAAATGTATAATCGGCGCAGGTTTGTATGAAAAACGAAGAGAGACCAAGAACGACGATTGTCTGAGACGAGGAAACTGGTAGATGAAAACCTTGAGGAGTTGTGAATAAAATGCTGTTATTTTCAAACAAATTTGATTTTTCCCTTGATGAGGCAGATAACGAGATAATATTGTAGCATTTATCGTTGTTTATTTTACAGCAACATGAAGGTATTGGCATTTAACTGATTTTTATTTTTGTATTTTTCATGTGGTCGATGTTGATGTTCGATGGTATTGTTTTCATCAGGAAGTATTTGAGTATGTTTTTTCATTACTCATTGATAAATAAACTTTATTTACGAAACGTATTTACAAAAATGGAAGCAAACGAGAAATGGCTTATCAAAAAATGTGTTCATTTCCCGAATAAAATTGAAACGCGCGACTGTGGCTCAGAAAAAGCGTTTACATACAAAAATGATAGTCTGTTGGTCTGTTAGTGAGCTTTTGTTAACTTAATTTTATCAAATTTAGGTATAAAATTTAATTAAAAATCGTTTTCTCGTGTTTTATACGCATTTCTGCGGGGGTTTGTTCCAATGACAGCCAGTTTGAGTGCAAACGCACCGGACTACTCGACCGGTAAATTGTAAATTGAATCCTCGCAAGCAACTAAGAATAAGATAGGTAAATTATTGATGGAATAAACTGACCTGAGCGTGCACTTAGACCCATCATTATAATGATTCGAGCAGAAGATCTGCCCGTGTTCCAAGCTCAATGGATCACAAGTCGTATCCACCATATTCGTGGCTAAAAATTGGATAAAAAAGTAGATTTTAAAGCTTTGCTCACATCTAGCAGAAGTAGGCATTTTCGCTTGGGCAGAAGTCGGAGTGTGATGATATGTCTGTTCTTTGTAGAAATCATTTTCTTCGACAAACAAGTTATTGAAGAATTCTCCGCTGGTATCGATACTTGCGCCACCAAGTGATCGAGCCCAAGAAGTACTTGACGGTGCCGACGCTTGCTTCTTTGATTGTTTCTTCGTCTTCCTACTGAAAGAATCTCTGGCCATTTTCTCCCTGAAGGTAAAGGTCAATGCATATCAAACAGATCAGCATTTGTGGAATCTAATTCGACAAATTTAATTTCCGTAGAGTCTAAAAAATCACATAAAACTGACCTTTCTCTCTGTTCAATTCGTTGTTTTCGTTTCTCTTCGCGACGCTGTTCTCGCTCGCTAGCGCTGATTCCAGTGCCACCACCGACTTTTCTTTCGCAGTCGCGTGGCTTCTTTGACCAGACGCACTCGTTATTATCACATAAGCACTGAAAAAAATGATTAAGTTCTTTGAATTGGAAGAGTTGTTCTTTACCTTTCGCTCAGCTCCTTTCTGCTTGATTTCAAAACCCTTGCTACAGAGGTAAGTCACGATAGAGCCACTATTGAGTCCATCCGAATACTGTAAGAATCCATCTTCCGGTGGGATCAAATTCGGGCAACCTTCAATTTTAAGCTTAATTCCATTAGACAAGACTATGCTACCTTTGAAAGGATTGATAACACCTTTGGTCGTCATCGCGCTCGTGTAGTCTGTGGTATAAATTTCCGTTGTGGTTTTGACTGGCTCCTCAGTTGTGGCCACATCGTCATGGATAATTTCCTAAAAAATAAATAGAATCAATATACGATGTAATGCCACACTGACGCCGCATAGGAATAATTTCGTTTTCAATGACCTTCTATAAAGACTCTGGAACTTCGAAGTTTTATCATATTCACCTTGTATTCTGTCAAAAATTTGTTGAGGAGCTGCGAAACTTCCAGTTTGCTCAATCCAGGGAGCTGATTGAAGGTCTCTTTTAGCAACGACGGATAGAAAGTGATGGCAGACTTATCTTCAGACTGAACAACAAGAGGTTCATCAACAGGCAATGACGCTGTTTCTGGCTCCATCACTTCTTTGACCGCCATAGCAACTGTTCCAGGTGGAATTGGCTTTGCACTGTAGTCATCATAATCTTTGAACTTTTCAACACGCTCGTTGTTGATCGGTCGTTCAAGAAGAGGACGTGTTTCTGGAACAATGAGCTTCTCTGCCCAAGCAGGCTTATCAATTTTCTTATGAATCGAGTCCCGATCTGCTGAATTTCGATCCAAACCAGTATTTGTGTTGAACTCGTTTTTGAAACGATTTGGATTTCGAGCTGTGGCTGGGGCTTCTGTCGTCACAGTAGTATAGATACTCGTGGATGCGGGGATTGTTGTTGTGGCAAATTCAGTAGTCGTTGATTGCGCAGTTGTGGAAGTTCCATCTAAGAATGCTTGCCAGTCTTTTTTATTTCCCTTGATTCTTCGAGCCCAGTTGATAGGTGCTTCTGTCTCCAGCTCTATAAATGATTCTGTTGAGGAAACGATCGATTCAGTTGTTGGTGGTGCAGTGGAGGATGTTTCTTCTTCCAATTCGTAAATTATGCTGTAAGGTGATTCTGTTGTTTCAGCCCAATCAAATTCAGCTGCGTATTGTGTGCTGGGAGCTGGAGATGTAGAAGTATAGTTTACTTCAATATCATGAAGAATAACGTATTCTTCTGTCGTGGTGCTAGAAACGGTACTTGTTGTAGAAGTCGTCGTTGTGGTTGTTGTTGTAGTGGTGGTTTTTGTGGTTGTTGTAGTCGTTGTAGTGGTAGTTGTAGTCGTTGTAGTCGTAGACGTAGTGATCGTCGTAGAGGTTGTTGTTGTTTTTGCCTTTGAAGTTGTTGATGTCGTCGATGTCGTAGTTGTAGTAGTTGTCGTAGTTGTCGTAGTACTAGTTTTTGTGGTCGATTTTGTAGTAGTCGTTGATGCAGTAGTTGTCTTCTTTGTTGTCGTTGTCGTGGTGGTGCTAGTGGTGGATGTTGTCGTAGTACTAGTTGTCGTTTCTGTCGTTGTTGTTGTTGAAGTCGGTTTCATTGTCGTTGTCGTTGTTGACTTTGCAACTTGAGTTGTTGGTGCCTTATGCAAGCTTCTTCCCGCGAGAGCATTGGCAACTGGCTCTTCTTCTTGAAAGGATGATAATTTACACAGTTATTATAGATTCTGCAGCGAAGAGAAAATATTTGAGGCAAGAATAATTGGAAAAATATCCCATCCATTCCTGGGACAACACAGTCGGGCATCGCTCCTTTCCAACTGCACCCAAGAGGAATCATCACGGGTCCTTTGAACATCTTCGCACAAGCGCAAACCTGGCTTCCCATGCCGAAACCAGATTTGATCTCGTCACAAATAACTGTACAAATTGAATCTTCAGAAATTCCCTTTGAACACATCATTCGAGTACCAGGAGGTTGTGCCAAGGGTTTGCATCTTTCCAGAGGTTATCAAAGATTATATTTTCAAGAGAAAAATATCAATAAAAAGAAAAAAATCAAAAAGTAACTCAAACTCCGCGCCTTAGACCAGTAATTGTCCCCAGACTCTTCTGTACTTCAAACTCACCAACAGGCTTTGGCTTGGGCTTCGGTTTGTCGAAGAAAAAGTTGCCACCAGAGCCAACTAAACTCGCCAAGTTTTTGGTCTGACCTAAAATGTGGCGTGAAGTTGATTTGCATAATTTCAAATAGACGAAAGAAAAATTATAAAAATGATCTATTACCGCAGTTCACTACACGTACCTTAGTTATTATACCTATTTTACCTAGTAAATCGCCTGAAGAAAATCATTATCTTTCCTTCCCACACTCCCTTTACTTACATTTGACTGTCCCCAGCAATAAGAGGACTTTTGTAAACAAAAGCATGTATCTTCGTTGTCTTCCTTGTTTTTTCTACTTATCTCTACTTTTTCACTCGAAAAGAAAAATTACTTCTACGATATAGGGGCTGAAAATTTTTGATATTGCTGTTTTCAATACAAATTTTTCATAGTTTTTCTTCTCGCTGCAGAAAATTTAATATGCGATGACCGATTGATGCTGACGGGTGTCCGACGCGACGAGGCGCTGTTGAGCTGTCATGATAATCATGAAATTAGCGGATGCGATGGTCGATAAACCTGTTGCTTGGCCTTGTCTGGCGAAGGAACGAACGACAAAAATTAAGGTGTATTCGTGAGGATCTTTTTGAAATCTTACACCGCATCCTAAAGATCTTAGAAATGAACTTTCTTGTACTTTTTTGTATCAAAAACGAATTCGAAGGTAGATACTATTACTTGATTTTTATGGAAAATATTATACGATATTCCATCATTTTTATGAAAATAAAAAGAAAAAAGTCGGCAAACAAGGCTTCGAGATTAGAAGTTGCAAGTGGCTTCACAGCAAATTCGTTATCCAACTTCAGAGCCCAAATGTCCTTCATTATTCAGACTGAAGTACTGTATTCTTCGTTCAATATTAACTGATCTTAATTCCCATTCAAGTTTAATATTATTTGAAACGCAAGCCTGAAAATGAACTTTGCAGGTTAACTCAATTTTAATTGAATATCTTCCATGTCTCTAAATACCGTCACACTAACCATAATTAATTTCATCCCTCACGGATCATAACAAAACAAGATCTAAGAAGCATTTTAAAATGAAAATGAATATGTGTCTTTATTTAAATACAGCAAGAAAATTCGCGCAAAGGAAAACAATCACGTGACGACGACTAGTGAACACAAGTCTCTTATGAATCTTTTATACTTCCGGGGTATCCAGCAGATCTGCAGCTAAGTTAGATAAACGCACTTCGGCATTCGGCCATCAGGTGTCGAATGAATCTGCCGGATGATTTCCTCAGCAGACGTTTCAAGACGTAGAGACGCTCTAATTAAGATTTAATATAAATACTTGGAGGGCAACTTAATTTACGCAAAGCAATTAACTAGGTCGTCTCTCCAAAGGTGACTCTAATGAAAATTATAGAACAGTAGCTCATCGAAATTATGAGAGCTCTGAAAGCTTAAAGATACATTTATATTTTTATCTGCTATCAGCTGGTACATGATCGTTTCTAAGTCGTTCAAAGCTCGATAATATACCGACGATATGTATAATACAGTCGACTCTGGCAATTACGAGTAGCAGAATTACGAGTATTTTGACAAAAACCCGCCAATTTTGAAAACAAGGGATCATCGACCGAAAATAATTTTTTTCGAAAAAATTGAGAATGCTTGATTTTAATCATTAACCCGCTAACAGGGTGGTCGATTTTGCCTACGCTTTTGCCTGTCTGTGATTGAGTGAAAACATGGATCCGGGCATGCGATTGGCTACTCATTTCCACGCGTGGCCGTGAGACGGCCACGCGCCTGTTACCGGGTTAAATCTTTGGCTTAAGAGTCTCCGGCTCTTCAGATGGTTTTAAAGCAGCTTCAACAGATTGAAAATTTGCATTATTTTTTTTATGAAAGTCTGTGAATATTATTTTAATTTTTCGTTGACAAAAAACTTTCCAAAGGGGTACGGTAGTAGCTTAGAGCCTTAGCTCTCTCCTGAAAAAAATTAAGGGTTTCCCTCAGCTTAAATCCCTGAAAAAGCTTGATCCTATCAACCTGATCTTTAACGGCCTGTATATCATTGAGGAGGTAGAACTAGATTTTTTGAACAACCGTGATTTTCGGGATCATCATAAGGGAAGCGGTTGTAGTCGAGTGTTAAATTCGAGTTCCAATTAAATTAAGGGTGTAAATAAGATAGTTTCGGAGAAATACTAGCTCCAAGAAGGCCCATTTTCGCAATTTTCGCAAAATCGAGCCAAATTTTCCAACTCGGAGAATTACGAGTATTTCACGAAATTCCCGACAAAAAAAGGCTCGTAATTGCCAGAGTCGACTGTACGTAATCAGCTCTACCGAGGCTAGGTTTTGATGACTTGGGATAGAGACGATTCTTTTTAGGGATACAGTTTGTTGAAACAAAATGGTCTTATTTTGAAATTTGGAAAATCCTTTTCAAAGACAAGAAATGAAAAGAATACATTCATGCAGCCCTTCATCGTCTAATTTAATGACGACGCCAGCTGAATGGACAAGTCATGGACTAAATTACAGATTCATAGATTCTTAACGATCATTTTGTAAAAATACTTTGGCCACGTGTTGCATACTACTTTTAGCGTCCTTCGCTATTTTCTATTTTCGCTTAACCGCTAATCGTTTATCGAAAAGCCGCGCGGGCCTGTGGGTTGTGTTTTCGTTGCTTAAAATCGAGCAAAAGCACTTTTGGCGATTGACTCTTTGGATATGTTGTATTCTTAGTGCGAGGAGGGCGAAGGTTATCCCCGTCTCATCGGATATTCAGCCGCCCCTCGTGTAGAAAGCGTTCCCCCCGCGGCCACAGTCACTCGCGCTACTGCCGCAGGCGAGTAAATACTTTCCAATACACAAGTCAATAAACTCATTTCAATTTATACCCATTCCAAGCGCAAAGGAGACCCAGAATAACCAAAGAGATAGGCATTGCCAGAAAAGTAATTAACAGAAAACGAGCAAGTAGAGAGAGAGAATGTCGAAGAAAGAGGGTTCAGAGCAGATAGGAAAGGCTTCTGAAAGAATGATCGTGAATTATTACGTATATTACGAAACGAGATACTTTTTATTAATAAATGAAGATAAAACGTGCATAAATAAGCCAAAATAGTTCAGGAAAGTCAACTGAGCCAAGCGAAAACGCTCCTTAAAAACACAGTGACCGATGTTGCTAGCGCTGCTAGAATACCAATCAACTGCTGCAAGAATCGCAGAAGCTCTTCACCAGAAACTGGTCGATCGGCAACGCAGATGACGTGCCTTAGTTCCGCAAGGTAAAGAAACAAATGAGAATATCTTTAATATTCTCATTTTCATAAATCATGAAGGTGAAAAGTGTTTTCAGCGATGATCGACCCGGAATTTTGGCTAAACAGAAATCATCAAGCAGGTATCCATTAATAATATATAATCAGTAAAAATTCGTAAAGCAATATTTAATTAGCGAGGCATTTTGGAACAGTGTCATTTATTTGACCTACTTGTTTAAAAAGAATAATGTACAGTCGACTCTGGCAATTACGAGCCTTTTTTTGTCGGGAATTTCGTGAAATACTCGTAATTCTCCGAGTTGGAAAATTTGGCTCGATTTTGCGAAAATTGCGAAAATGGGCCTTCTTGGAGCTAGTATTTCTCCGAAACTATCTTATTTACACCCTTAATTTAATTGGAACTCGAATTTAACACTCGACTACAACCGCTTCCCTTATGATGATCCCGAAAATCACGGTTGTTCAAAAAATCTAGTTCTACCTCCTCAATGATATACAGGCCGTTAAAGATCAGGTTGATAGGATCAAGCTTTTTCAGGGATTTAAGCTGAGGGAAACCCTTAATTTTTTTCAGGAGAGAGCTAAGGCTCTAAGCTACTACCGTACCCCTTTGGAAAGTTTTTTGTCAACGAAAAATTAAAATAATATTCACAGACTTTCATAAAAAAAATAATGCAAATTTTCAATCTGTTGAAGCTGCTTTAAAACCATCTGAAGAGCCGGAGACTCTTAAGCCAAAGATTTAACCCGGTAACAGGCGCGTGGCCGTCTCACGGCCACGCGTGGAAATGAGTAGCCAATCGCATGCCCGGATCCATGTTTTCACTCAATCACAGACAGGCAAAAGCGTAGGCAAAATCGACCACCCTGTTAGCGGGTTAATGATTAAAATCAAGCATTCTCAATTTTTTCGAAAAAAATTATTTTCGGTCGATGATCCCTTGTTTTCAAAATTGGCGGGTTTTTGTCAAAATACTCGTAATTCTGCTACTCGTAATTGCCAGAGTCGACTGTATCTACTAAGAAAGACTAATAAAGATAACAGTCGAGCGCTGCTTTTTCATTAGGACTACGGCAAATTCTCAGACAGATTGTTCTAAATTCACTCTTTCATGAAGACATGGAGTGATCGATTGCTGCTCTATTTTGGTAGATTCTAAGCAGATTAATTCGGTATCGATCTTTTTAGTTAATTATACGGACGTTAAATTTTAATTGTAGAATTATAATCATCATAAATATAAATCTTACTGAAAAAAATTTTTTTGAGCTTGTTGGTGGAGATGATCCGCCCGGGCCGGGGGGAATATTGGCCGACCCCTGCAGCAAGCCGCTCGAGTTCCCCACAGCGGATAAATTAAAAATAAAGTTCAACCCTTTTCCTTATCAAATTTTGGATAAATTTTCATAAAATTTGGGCACAGAGAACTTGACCCTGGGGAAGCATGGGCAATACGATAGGGCCCGGCTCGAGCTTTGATGTTGAAACGTTGATTATTGGTGGCGGCCCAACGGGACTAGGTGCTGCTTATAGGTATTTCAAACATGGTTTTGAAGATTTACTTCAGACCATTTTTATTGGATTGGCTTATTGAATATTTTTGTACAGGTTTCTTTTTGGAGAATATTTGTTCGGAAAAAAATCAAAAGTCGACCGTAGTTTAAATTCGACATGAGTTTGAGTTGACTTTGTTTTAGAGTTAACTTCCAGAGAGACGGTGTTTTTGTATTAACAAGATGTTAAAACTAGAATTTAAATAACTTAAAATGAAAAAATGACAGTCGCATTGACCAAGCCTTGCGAAAGTCGAATAAATATGCAGTCAAGTACTGTATTACCACTTAGTAGCGACTCTTCGACTATTTTCTTCCTCCTTTTTGAATATTTAATGGCTCCAGTTAATTGAACATATTGGACTCCTTAACTTTGGTTTTTAGGTTATCTCAATTGGAGAAGGACGACTGGGTTCTTGTTGATGCTGACAAACAGCCAGGCGGACTTGCGGGCTCTTTCCGGACGCCAGAAGGCTTCAGATTCGATCATGGGTATACAGTGCTGCCGAGAAGATATGATTTCATAGAACACGTCTTGGCTGAGCTTGGGCCGAAATATGATGCAGAAGGGAAGCTGATCAAAAACCGCGAATTCATTGAATTCATCGAGAAGGTCAGAACCAACTGGGTAAGCTTGCGGAGCCACTTCGTCAAGTTCCCGATCCAATCCAACCTCGCCGGTTTACCAGCAAAGGAACAAGCCGATTGCCTCGCCGATTTGGTGAAGGCGCAGATTTTGGCAAAAAATGTGCCAAACGAAAACCCCCCGAATAACCTTGATGATTGGCTTTTGGAGCAATGGGGAGAGACCCTTACGAATCTCTTTTTCCGCCCAATGATGTTCAAGACATGGGCGCATCCGACAACGAAGCTTGCGCATAGTTGGGTGCATAGTAAAATTCCTCCCACAGATTTGAAACGTGATCTTGTAAGAACTTTGGATGGGGAGCAGAAGGATGACTTATGGGGCCATTCCAGCAGCTTCAAGGTAGAACTCATATTTTGAAACCTAAAAATAAATAAATAAAGTACCCAAAACGAAATGGTCTTGGCGGAGTTTGGAGAATGCTCGCGAAAAAGCTTCCAAGGAACAACGTGAAATTCCGAGCTGAAGTCGTTCAAATTGACCTTGAAGAAAAAGTCGCCAAAACTCGAGATGATATTGAAATTCGATACAAGGTAAGACAGATCCGTCTGAAGGGATCTTTGTTTAAAAAATTATTTCCGAGAAAAACACGCAAAATTTGCCTAACGATCCAAAGTGATAAATTAGGAAACGAAAGCGGAACTTCGGTGGTTACTTAGAAAAACGCCCGTAAAATAATTAATTCACAATTGCCAAGATTTTTGAACAAAATTAGACGGTGATTAGCATTATGGAAATTAAACCCTCGGCTTATTATCGAGCGTGATCAGTCCCAGTTCCTTGGTTTCTTCTTCCTGACGTAATTTCGATTTCATATTTCGAAATTGACTTTTTACTTCAGAATCTTATCTCAACGATGCCTCTTTCTACCCTTCTCGATCTGACCGGTCGATCAGACGCCGCTGATCGACTCCTTCACAGTTCTCTCCACCTGGTCTGTCTGGGCTTGCGAGGAACACCAGAAGATCTATTCGGCAAAAACGGAGCTATCTACTACCCAGAAGTGGGAACAATCTTCCACAAAGCCTGCGTCTTCAGCAATGTTGATGCTGATTCTGTTCCCGAGAAGGTGAGTCAAATCTCAAGAGCCACGAGGGTCATTATCATCGATGAAATTAACCTCAAACAATGATCCATAATATGGACTTCATTTCATAATATCAACGCTGGGTTTAAGATAAGGAAGTAATTCAGCTTCCATGAACTTTCGTTGGCAATTGGATCGATTATCATTTCCTAAATTATTTTATAATGACTTCCGCCTGAGCTAATTTTCTGGAAATAGAAATATCCACATCACCAAAAAACATGAAATGCTTGTTGAATTAGCGAGCGTGACTAACTTTCAAGTCGAACATTCCCTTAAAACTTTTCAAATTGCGCTCAATGACGTGGTAAAATCTTGAGACCAGCCGCTGAAAGCTGATTCTTCAAGCTCAGCAATCTGATTTCAGAGTCATTTATTCTACGTACTTTATTTTAAGATTATATTATAAATGTCCATATGCTTTCGTATTTTCTTTAACTTCGTGTGAACCTAATAAAAACAACATTCCCATGCTTCCTAGAGAGCCACTTGAACTTACTTATTCCTTTTCCAACTAACGCACATCCTAGACAACCGAGCTGATCACCCTTCGCCGAGCGGACCAAGAAATTCAAAGCAGAGACGATGAAAGCTACAAGCCCGGTCCATATTGGAGCTTGATGCTTGAGATCTCTGAAGGCCCACTAAAAGAAGTCTCTAATGCAACTTTGGTTGAACAGGTGAGCTTTTACTGTGACTGAAATCGTTAGAGAAACTGTCGGATCAGCAGAAAAAAGCCAATAATCCAAAAAATGCGCTTTTGTTTATGCCTTGCTTCCAGTTCGCGAGAATCTGGGGTCAGATGGGGCGCTCTCTCCTTCTTTTCCGAAGGGAAACTGATTTTTCTGGTAATAATTTGATTAAGGTGATCATCGATTGTCTCGGTGTCGGTCTTCTCAAACCAGATGATGAAATCGTGTCCATGCATGTCACGCAGGTAAGAGTCTCAAGGAGATAACTGGAGCACTTTTCGAAGTAAATATTATCATCAATCTTTGTATTTCCATTACGAAAAGGGACAGAGTAAAAAAGAACCAGGATTAATTAAGAAGTCGATAGAGAATCACATTATCCTTAGAAAAGCGTCTTTAAAATGAGCAACAGTTGTATTCAGATGACGCACGGCTTCCCGGTGCCGACGATCGACCGCGACGAGATTGTTAATGAACAGTTGGAGTGGTTGAAGTCGCATAATGTCTGGAGTAGAGGCCGTTTTGGCGCCTTTAAATACGAAGTCGGAAACGCTGACCACTGTTTCATCCAGGTAGATGCCGATAATAAAACAATCAATTAACGATGGTTTATCTAGGGAGTAGAAGCAGTTGACAACATCGAGTTCGGAACGCCTGAAAGAACAGCGATGAACCCTAGCGAAGTCAACAAAGTCGGACAAATGAATGAATACCCAATTCATGATGTTGAGCTTCTCAAACAGGAACTCAAGCAAAAACCTGATCCAGAACCGCCAATTGATCCTATTGAGCCGCCAGACACAGATAGCGAGGTAACACGTGATACAGTTTATTCAAATAAATTATTCAAAATAATAATCCCAAACTAATGAAGTTGGTAAAATTATAAGGTCATAGAGACTCGTCGTTTTATTAGTCTAGTAAAATTCGATTTGAAATTAATTATTCATAAAAGCATAAAAGTGAAACTGGAACAATTGCCGAATTTAAACTTAGTCTCTCGAAACCTAAGAATTAGCCGCAAAATGACGGCGAACAAGCCTCACTTGGACGCATAAAATCTTCGGTATCCTTAACCTTAAATCGATCCGAAATGAGAATCTTCGGTTTCTAGTGTTCATTAGCACATACTAAACACAAGTGATTAAGGATATCCAAATGGGCATTAAATCCGACAGTGTGTCCGAAATCGCCGCCAGTGAGTCAGAATCGGCAGTGCTCGTCACCAGGCCGGATAGCGAAAGGGATGATGACACAGTATCAAACGTTACAGAAGAAGCTACTGATTGAAAGCAAGCTTCAAAAAACATAAGTGTCGATTTTTCTCTCTTTTATTATTTCAAATTTCAAATCTTATTCTACTGTATTCACTATTATTATTTCTAAGGACTTTTTCCATTCTCATCAATACTTCATAATTTCATATTTTTGATTTGTTTCGAATCTGTTATTTTTTATTTAGGATAATTCTTTTTCTCTTGTTGCAATTCTATTATGATTATTTTTTCACGAAGACAAGGTCGGGCTAGTGCAATAGAACGTTTTTCGTTCACCAAACCCAAACCGAAAAAAATACTATCAAATGAATATTATATATTATACTGTATCTCATTGAACTAACCTAACACTACTGTATATTCAACTCTTTCACTTCATCGAAATACTACGTTTTGATACAAATTGTCGGCAGCATTTAACTTGTATCTATATAAAAAAAAAGTAAATAAATTCTAATATATAATTATCGAAAGGCAAAGTCGTGTCATTTCAATGATTTTTCGCTGGCCATGGACTTGAAATTTTCCAGAGAGCACGGACCGCAAAAAGTAAATGGGGCAATTAACAAATTTCGCGGCGATTATTATTTCTTGCTTGTTCAAAGAAAATAAGAGTAAAGAAGACTAGCAAGATAGAAAGAAGGAGAAAATTCGAGGCATGTGGAGCGGAAATGATCGTGTCTAGCGATATTTGAACTATAAAAGTCGGATGCATTTAATTCACTAATAGTGAATCTTATGAATGGGGGCTTATCAAGCATGTATTTGTTCGTCAAAAAAAGAAGTTCAATCTGAGCCCCTAACCAGCCCCACACGTAAGGCCAGTAAAAAGTAGATAGGGGTCGAACTTCGGTAAATGTGGGGGGGATCCGGCGACTAAGTTTTCTTGCTTGTCAAATTCAATTTTTGGCGATGAGAAAGTAGACAGTCTTGTATCGGTTGAGAATAAAGACACATGTTTGTCGGCCTTCTGAGTTGAATGAGTGAAATTTTATTGATCATGAGAGCTTTATTTCTTATTCAATGTATTTTTGCAATTGACGACTCAACGGCAACTTCCCTCATTCGACAAGAAATTCAACGGTAATGTCTGTTTTCTTCGAAAGTAACTCAACCAAACTCCAACTTCAAGCGCTTTTTTGATCTTTCAAAGATTAGCCTTGCCAACTTTTGTTCAGATGCAAGCAGTACAACATCTACCACGAAACGTGCGTTGAAAATATAAGAAGTTCATTTTCAAATCGCTATAATTTGCCTGTAACTTGCGCTTTTACATCTGACTGGGAGACTGTTCAAGGTGACGCCAAAATTGATCATTTTACTCGAGATGGAAAATTTTAGCTCGAACCTGGTGGGGAATAGTTGAACCCTACTATGGGACGATCATGTGCGGAGAATTGACCTACGTAAACGTCAATCAGAGCATTTTGAATTCCGTGAGCGCAGAAGCTGGACAAGCCTGTGCAGGTCTGAGTGGATATGATTTCAACGGGTGCGCGAATAACTACATCAATGATCATGGAGGAGCTCGATTTTGCTATGGCGCTGGTTCGTGGAATCTGATTGTATCGGCACCGGCTTACCAGTACTGGAGCGGCTGGGGAGGAGCATATTCTTATGTTGGCCCTTCTTATGTCATTGCTACTTGTATTGACAGATAGTCGAAAACATTGAAATAAATTGTCTCCTGAGCTCGAAAGAATCGTGTCAGATTGTCTGCATAACAAAAGAATAGCAATTGAAAAGTATGAGAAGAGAAAATATCGCTAAATCCGTGTATTTCCTGAATCTTAGTGTTTTCAATAAAATTTTCATTCTTCCCTGATTTCTTCTAGATTGAGGTCCTCAGTTAGGCGCGCGCTCTGATTGGTCGAGCATTTTTCCCGCGGGGTGGAAACTTTCCCACGCTACTTTCGAAAGCCAAATTCTTCTCCTCGGCGAAAAACTGATTTTTAAGGAAAAACGAGGAAAAAGGCCGAAAGAGAAATAAGATGTACATTAAAGAAGTGCGGATTCAGGGCTTTCGCTCTTACCGTGATTCTGTTTGCGACGTTTTCAGGTAAAAAAATATTCGTTGAATAAATAATCAATTAAAAATATTTTTTTAATAATAACGCGTACTTTAGTCCGCAACACAACATTGTCGTCGGTCGAAATGGCTCCGGGAAGTCGAATTTTTTCTCGGCGATTCAGTTTGTTCTTTCGGACGAATATTCGAACCTTCGGACCGAGCAGCGGGTCGCCCTGCTTCATGAAGGCTCTGGACCACGAGTTATCACTGCTTACGTCGAAATCGTCTTCGATAATACTGATCGACGACTTCCGATGACTAAGGAACGGCTCAAAACTAGTAAAATAAAAATAAAGCAGCGCCTTTTGCAGCGTCTCAAAATTTATTTACTAAATATGACATTTCTTACAAATTATCACCTGAAATCAACTATTTTCGAGCCGAAAAATAGGACGAAGTGGTTCTTCGCCGCGTCGTCGGTCAAAAAAAGGACCAATTCTTCATCGACAAGAAAAACGTAACCAAAAAAGATGTCGTCCAAATGCTCGAGAGCGCTGGTTTCTCGCACTCGAACCCGTACTACATCGTCAAACAGGGTAAAATCAACGAAATGGCGACTCAAAGCGAAAAGGATCGTCTCGAGCTGTTGAAGGAAATCGCCGGAACGAGGGTTTATGATGATAAGCGCTCCGAATCGATGGATTTGATCAAGAAGACAAATGATAATCGGTCAAAGGAGCGGGCTCTAGAATTTTTGAAACAGTTTTCAGAAAAAATCAAACCCATGTCAGGGAACAACAGTTTCACATATCAGATTCTCTCGAAGAAATTTCAATAAGCTTCCCTTCTTTTTGGCCCTTTTTATTCTCAAAAAACAAAAAAAAAATCGACAAAAAAGAACCCTCGAATCAGGTTAACACGCTGCTCACCCAAATCGTCGAAAAACTCGACTCTTTGGAGCAAGAAAAAGAAGATCTAGCCGAGTACCAAAAATTCGACCGTGAAAAACGTGCGTTCGAATACCTCATTTTGGAAAACCAAAAGCGCGAAGCCGAGCAAAAACTCAAAAAGCTCAAGAATCAACGCGAGCAAAAGCGCGAAGCAAAGACCGAAATTCGAGAAAAGAGCGAGACGCTGAGAAAACAGCTTGAAGAGGCGAAGAAGAACTTGTCCGATGTAGATCACAAGCTCGCCAGAGCGACGGACGAGAAAGAATCAGCTTCCAGCGAGAAGGAGAAGCTCATCAGCTCGAAGACGAAATACGAGCTTGAAATCAAGGAGCTCAAATTGTCAGTCAACGAAGACAACCAAACAACGAAAAACGCCGAAGAAGAACTCCGCGAGTTAAAAATAAAGATTCGCGAAAAACGTCACGAGCTGGATCAACAATTGACGCCTGAGTTTCAACGACTCAAGGCGCTAGAAGACGGCCTTTTCCGAGAAAAACAGGGGCTCGAGAGAAAGAAGGAAGAGTTGTATGCGAAGCAGGGGCGCAATACTCGATTCATGGATCAGCAGAGTCGAGACAGCTGGATTCGCCAGGAGATAAGTCAACTCGAAGCGCAGATTTCCGCCAGAGAGCATGATCTCAACCGGGAACAGGAGGTTAGGACTTGCCTTGACTGCTATCTTAGTTTTCGTCCTCATAGTCATAGAGATTTAATATTATGCAGCGCAGTTTATCTAATTTGAAGCTTTTCAGGATACTTCTCGCCTTCGCCGCGAAAACTCAGAACGCGACAATGCAATTTCCCAGTGTCGCCGCGAGCGAGAAACGCACAAGTCCAAGTGGGAAGAACAAAACGACGCGCTGCTCAAAATCAAGCGCAAAAAGGACGAAATCGCGAATCAACAGAACGAACACTGGCGAATTCAAACGAAACTCCAAGCGGACAAAACTCAGCTCTCCGACGACATGCGCAACAAGGAGAGCAAGTTGCAGGGGATGATTGGACGCTCGACTTTGGACGGAATCAACGCGCTCAAGCGAGTTCGAGCGCGATTCGAGCAACAGGGAAAACAACGGCTGGTCGAGGGATATCTTGGCTCGCTCATCGACTGCTTTGAAACTGACCAGGTCTGGGCTAAGAGACCTTTAGGTTACTAAAATAAGACCCCTGAAAGAGCCTCAAAAGAAAAGCCCTATTACGGCTATTTTTAAAACGAAGCTGCAAAGCGCTTTAGTCATAATTTTTACAGCATAATGTACTCAAAAGATCGAGATAGTGATTTCGGTGAAGCTGCTATGCGGCGTCGATTTAGAAAAGCCTCTGCGCTCCCTTCTGTTATAAAAAAATTTTCCCTGAGCCTGCTTTCCAAGCCCAGTAACAGGCCTTCTTCACCGCCGTTGAGGTCACCGCCGGCGGTCGATTGTTCAATCATATCGTCACTGATTCGAGCATCGGAACTGCGTATTTGGACGAGATGAACAGAATGAAGCTCTCTGGAGAAGTGACATTCCTTCCTCTCGATCGACTCATGGTCGCTGAAGAAAACTATCCTCAAGATGCGAAAGACGCTCTGCCGCTCATCGACAAGTTGCGATTTGGCGATCGCTTCCGAATTGCGATGCGATACGTTTTCGGCAAAACCCTCATCTGTCGAAACATCGATGTAGCGACGAAGTACGCAAGGAACAAGGGCTTCGATTGCATCACACTCGACGGCGATCAAGTTTCCCGACGAGGTGCGTTGACAGGCGGATACATTGATACTTCCCGCTCGCGACTGGAACTTCATCATTTGAAAAAGCAACATTCGGACCAGATCTACGCTTTGGAAGACGAGATCCAGCGGAATCGACAAGATCTCCAGAATTTTGACGAGCAAATGAATAAAATTCAGCGAGAAATTCAAAACTACGACGCCGAGTTGAGCAAGTGCAAGGATCTGTTTGACAGAAGCTCGCGAATGTTCACTCAAAAAAGGGAGGAATACACTCAATACCTCAAGGTAATGCTTTATTAACAAAAGAATACCCAAAAACCTCAATTTTTAGTCCATTGAATCGCGAGAAGAATCAATCAACCACTTGATGCAGCAGCTCGAATCCCTCAGCAGCGACAAAAAAGCCCTTGAGTCGGAGCTTGGAACTGAAATGGCCTCCCAACTGACCCCTCAAGAACAAGAAGAGCTCCGACGATTGACTGAGGCTGTCAAGGATAAGACACGGAACTTCCAGGAAATGACTCAAAAGCGAATCGATGTCGAAAAGAAAAAGACCCGCGTCGAGGGCATTTTGAAAGGTACTCCTTGGCGATATCTTGACGTTGTTTCAATAGAACTCTTTAGATAATTTGCTGAAAAGAGAGGCTTTTCTCGAAGCGGGGATGAACTCAATGGAAGGCGACGAGCGAAGGTCTGATTTGACAGAAACTCTTGACAAGGTAAATCGAATCTTTTTAGAAATGGAACGCGCTTATCTATTTCTATTAGCACGAGCGAGTGTCTGCCCAACTTACCCAATGTCTCGAGCGAGAGAGCGAGCTTCTGACGAGCATCCGCGAACACGAGCACGAGCGAGATCATATGTCCAAAGTCGTCGAAGAATTCAAACGGTAAGGATATGATTTTGCTAAAAAGATTCTTGAATTTCTCTTAGACAACAGAGCCACTTTTCGCAAGAGCTTTTCGACGCGGATAAGCAAGCTGATACGATGGCGGCGAAGGAGTCTATTTACATCGACAAATTGGTAAGAAAGGGATTTTAATAGGTTGAGAAAGGAAAAATCTTTTCAGAAAAACGCGGAAACGAAGATCATCGACCTTGGTTCTGTGCCCAACGATTTGATCGAGAAATACAACGCTCAAAGGTAACCCCCTTGTTTTGTCCTCCAACTAGCAGTAAATTTTAAGCACCAAGAATCTGTACAAGAAACTCGAAGATGCCCAAAAAGCGCTAAAAAACTATGGCCATGTGAACAAACAAGCCTTGGATCAGTTCATGGCGTTCTCTGAAGAACGTGCAAGGTATTTTTAATTCAAGGACTTTCTCAAGTTTTTCAATCCCTTTTTTAGGCTTGAAAGACGGCGGAACGAGCTGGACGGCGAGTCAGAAAAGATCAACGAGTTGGTAAACTACCTCGACGTAAAAAAGTTCGAAGCGATTGAGACAAGCTTCAACGAAATCTCGAAGAACTTTGCTCTTGTCTTTTCAAAGGTAGAACTTTTCTATTTGTTCCTTTTATTAATGAGAATTCCAGCTAGTGCCTCAAGGAAGCGCGCATTTGGAAATGAAAGAAGACAGCCGAAAAGACCCGACGAAATTCTCAAAAGTCGAGCTTCTTTCAGGTAAATTTATAAACCCCGTTCTAAGATCATTTAAATTCTGCTTTCAGGAATCCTGATCAAAGTTTCTTTCTCCGGCCAGGCTGCGGAAACGCGCGAAATGTCGCAGCTCTCGGGAGGACAAAAATCGATGGTGGCTTTGACTCTCATCTTCGCGATTCAAAAGTGTGATCCAGTGCCTTTCTATCTCTTTGACGAGATCGATCAGGCGCTCGATCCGGCTCATAGAAGAGCGGTAGGTTAAATTCATTCAATAAGGTTTTTCACGGTTATTTTTCAGGTCGCTGAAATGATGAATGAAATGAAAAACGACGCTCAATTCATCACGACGACTTTCCGGCCCGAGTTGCTCGAATCAGGAGACAAGTTCTACGGCGTCACCTATCGAAACAAAGTGTCACACGTGAACACGATCACAAAGTCCGTGGCGCTCGATTTCGTCGAAGACGATAAAATCAATGGCTAGCATTTTTCTGGCGCTCCAAAAATTAGGTCAGAAAAACTCTTTTTCCATATTTTACGAAAAATTTAGGTTGGAATTCAACTGCCACACGCAAAATTGCCTCTTAGCCCAAAATAACTCCGTTCGAAAAAAAACATTCGTTCATCAACTGCCTTTACTGTATTTTTATTCCATTTAACTGCCTTCCCACATGTCTCAGAGTTCCAGACAATGCTTATATTCCCACTGATATTTTTAATAAATAACAAAATCATCAATTTTCTCTGTCTTTAATTTTGATAACGTAATAACCTCAAACGATCCTATCTCCAGAGAACCGAAAATGACTCGTATAAAAGTTTATTACACAAGAGTTCCGTAGCAATTTATTCCTTCGCAGTCTTCGAAGGGATCGTGGTCGATGTCAGCGAACTGGACTTCGGAAGTCGTTTCCCACCATCCATAAGCATCGAAAGAACCCTAAACAAACAAATTAACCAAGGTATCATCAGGAAAGTGCATACCTGAAACTGAGCATTCAAAAGGAAAGCTCTGTAGCCAAGCTCTCCAGGATCCATTTCGATAAAATAGTCGTATTCGTAGTCGGAGTTTTCAATCTGGTGAGGCGTATAGTGTTGCCATACATTCGCCTAATTGGTTTTAGTTTGAAAAATGAAGCTCATATAACCTTGATGGTAAGGGAGTATTCCAGGAATTCTTCTTGGTCCGCAATGTCTCTGTCGAATTGATAGTGGCTTGTATTCTTCAGGGTTATTTGCTTGCCACCTTCATAGTCGTAATTGTCAAAGACACCCTCGAAACCGGGAAAGTCTTGCTCAAGTTCAAATGGTTTGAAACTTCCCTCTCTGACCTGGATGAAACGGTAATCTCGGCGTTCTAAATTTTAGCTAGAGTCGAAGTCAAGATTTTAAATCTACTTTTATCCCGAGAGTCGACAATAAACGCATCCAGGCCTCGTAGAACATCATTTGTCTGGATTCGCAAACCACGCCTTCCATCATTTCGTGTGTAGCGAGTTGTGCAGTAGTCTAATAGTGCGAAGACATTTTAGCTATTTGTTGATGTTTACGCACCTGGCATCGGCAGATCAAGCATTGACGACAGGTAGAATTGACGCATCGTAAAATACATAACTTTTGTATTTCTTCTGTGAAGGACAGTTGCGTGTTCCGCGTTTGGAAGAAGTCGAAAGTATGTTGGCCCTTTCATATCTTTGAGCCAATAGTGGGTATCGTCAGCCATAAAAAACTCGTCTCCCGCGGCTGAGATTACAAGCTTAGGCATGATAAGCCTGTCTTTAAGGGGGTGGTGGTCGAGAAAATTTTTTTCGACTTTTTAAAATTCTATTATTATTTTCAGATTCCTTGATAAAAAAGGAGTATTTTTGGTCTCTAGCTTTTTTTTATTAAACCAACTTTATTTAAGAAAATTTACGATTTTATGCTATGAAAATGCCATTTTCGGAAATTCTAAAACGCGTTTTTCGCACTAAAACCACTTAAAAATTGATTTTTTCCTGCAAGATTATATTTCTGGATCATATTTTAATTATAAAAATCTAAAAAAAATACGATTACTGTTATGTTTTCGAAAATTTCATTTTAAAATGAATGAAAATGACGATTTTTCAGGCTCCCAGCATTTTCGATTCAATTACGAACTTTTTTTCTACAGCGATACACTAAATAATCTCCACGCGCCCACATCCGTAAGGGTCTATTCTATCATCATATGAGGTTTGATCTTTGAAAAAAAAGTTATTTTGCCCGTAATCTTGGATTGAAGTAGGGTCCACTTTCATAAAATTTTTATCAGCTTTTTCAAAAAAAAAATTTTTTTTTTCTCCACGCGCCCACATTCTTTCAACGTTGATCTTTAACCCTAGAAAATATAAATTTTCTTGTCCCTTTCGGTTTTTTCTCAATCATGGTTTAAAAAATCTTAATTCTCGACCACCACCCCCTTAAACGTGTATGGGTCGAGAATCTTTGCCGCTTCAATGTTAAGCGGGTCGTCCAACGTTTTCGTAATATTTTGCTTATAATATGGAGCCATGGCGAAGCTCCAGCCGCCGAATGCACGCCAGTAATGATGAAAATTGGGAATCATATTCAGAAAGCTCAACACGATAGGATTGACCGCAGCGACACGCTTGTAATCTACAGCAGCAGTGAGCCACGCCGTCCATCCTCGCTTTGAGTAGCCCCATGGCATGTACTTTTCGAGTGGAGCTTTTCTGCAAGGATGTTTTGATCCAATTCGACCGCATTGCTCTTGTTGGAGAATGTCTGAAGTGGCGTTGAAGGCCAGGACAGCGGCCTTGGCCATCGGCATCAAAAGAAGCCTCTCGTGCTCAGTTCCGCCTGTCTCCAAAAATCGTCTCCATGTGTACCCAATTAGATCGTCCCCACCCAGACCAGAATTGCCGTTATTCCAGTCCTTGAAACGCATACGCCCATTTGGTATTTGCTCCAAAGATATGCTGACAGCTCCAGAAAACGACGCTATGAAGAAAAGTTTAATAGTTTAGTACTGCTTCAGTGACCTACCGAATCGCTTGCCTAGAAATGTCCCGAGGGTGGTGCCGTCTGGTGGACCTGTTTCTCCCTTTTTATTGCTCCCACCTTCGACGAGTAAAGCAGCTGTGTTGACAAGTCGCTCATCATAATACTTATGATCAGGAAGTGGGACAAAAATTGTAAGCCAGTGGATCCAATACTTATTCCCAGTAGCTTCTAGATGCCAGTCTTCATCAGGAAGCCAAAGTTGAGATGTAAAATTGGCTTTTATGACCTGCATGTCACCGTTCGCGGTGGAAACAACCTCATTTGACATGACCTCAAAATTGAACGCTCCGTCTTAAAACATAAATTCAGTAGAAATTTTTGAAAAATCTAACCATCTCTCCAAACGTATTCATCCAGCGGACTTTCGGGATATTTCTCTGGATGCTCCAGTTTTTCATGCGGATTTGTGCAGACTTTTATTGAATCTGCATAGTCACTATCTGAAAGAGTCGTTGTTGTAGGCATTGCCGTTGTCGTAGTTTTCTCTTCATTATCTGCAATAGCATCGTAGATGATATAAGAAGTAATTCCAACAATCGCTGCTGCGATGAAAATATCCCATATCAGCCGCAGCCGACTACCCATATTGAAAAAGTTCTCTTTTTTTTTGTCAGAATGTTTCGCACGTGTCCTTTAAATTCCAAGCAGAAGAGCTTACTTGTTACCAAAGCAAATAGAATATAAAAGTTTCAAATAGAGATTTCTTCTGATTTGACATTTAAGATCACTTCGTAAATAGATAAACTACTCGTACGAGAGGGAACTCCTCAAAACACCCAAGGAAAAGAAGCTTCGACAGTTTCAAAAACAAGACTCTTGTAACACTAGTACAAGGGCGTAACTGTCGGAGGTAACTGTATTTTAAAAACTCGTTGTGAAAGTTTGTTGTCTAAACCGTCGAACTTTAATCTTACTCTAATCCTTTCCCCTTAATTCTATAATATAGTGATATCAGCACCCTTGCACGTTTTCCTTTATCTTATCAGTCGAGTACGGTGGCGCAATTCCGGGCGACACATGTAGCGCATCCCAGTTTATAAGCGCGATGTTGGAGCGTGAAACCAAGATAACTCGAAAAGTTTAACTGAGAAGAAACTAAAAGATGGTAAGAATTAATTGAAAAATACTTTAAACTGACCATAGATTTTTAGAAAATTTCCCTATCTCTTCTCGCCTGTGTTTCAGCATCATTCAAAGGTCCAGAAATCACGAGGAGCGTTTCGGGCGAATGGGTCGACAAATACATCGCTGCTGGTCGACATCGTCGACAGTCCGAGAGATCGGATTTTTCAGCAATTGCAGCGATGATCGCTTACTTGCAAGGGGAAGGAGCAGACAACGTCGATCCATCAACACAAAACATGGAAGCAACACTTGCAGATATTGAGAAAAAATACACAAACTATGGCTGCTACTGCTGGAGAAACGGCGCTCATAAAATCACAGCCTTCTCGGCTGGTTCCGGAAATGTCGACTGGAACGATAGAGCTTGCACACGCTTATACCAGTAAGAAAATTTATTTAACCTTCATCTTTATTCATTTCAGATGCTACAACTGCATTAAAAATGACTACGGAAGCACTTACCATGAAATCTCCTACCAAGCCGTGTTCAAGACTGATGCTGAAGGAAACAGAGTCATCGAATGCGCGGATAATGCAAAAAGTGACGGCGAGAATGCTTGCCGATGCGATGCTGCCTTCGCTGAGGCAATCAAGTTTAACCAGGATCAATGCGACGTAAGAATATTTAGTCGATTAACCATATTTATGATGACTTTCAGAATGGTTCTGAAGACAAAGGCGGCAAAGCGTACTGCATCAATGAAGAGTATCGAACTGCCAACGGTGGTGGAGATTACGTTTGCCCTCTTACTCTCAAAGACGACACCGGAATGAAGCACGACGCCCTCCCGAGAGATAAATGCTGCGGAATCTATCCGAATAGAATCCCATACAATCCTGCAGGAACCGACTGTTGCGAAGAAAGGTAAGTCTGCTTTCTAATTAATTAGATACTCATTGAGATTTTACCAATAGAGATGAAGCTGCAGACAACGTCTTCACTTACAAAATCAAAAAGCAAGGAATTTGCCAAGAAAACGGCGGAACTGTCGTTGTCAGTCAAGAGGGAAATCCTCACAGCTACATCCCAAAACTATAAAGTTTAAACAATTAATTGTAACTAACTGTACAGCTCAAAAATATCATGTTCCCTGCAAATAAATTTTACTAAACAATAAAGCCATGAAAAAAATCATTTATTAGATAGAAAGAAATATGCATTTTTGGTTGTCTAAAGACTCTTCTTGATGAAGTTCAAAAGCGCCAAAATTATCAGTGGTGCGAGGCATTGCCAGACGCGGTCCCAGAATCGTGTGACATATTCGAACTTCAATTGCATCGCCTGGGAAATATTGACTCGTAAGAATTATAAAAGAAGAAACTTACGAGAATCTCATTCGCATTGGGAGCATCTGAGGTGGAGGTGGTTTCAGCCAGAACAGCCGCAATGAAAAGAAGGAAAACTCTCATTGAAATGAATCAAGTTTTTATTCAAAATTACTGTCAACTTGTAAATAGCTCTAGAAAATCTATCGAAACATGGAAGAGATTTAAGCTATGATGGATTCTTCCCAGAACTCGATGGATCTCATGGACGATCGGCGCCGAAATGCTCGTCGAATTTCCACTTTTGGAGGTCCAGTCTTTTTCTTGAAGATCTTCTTTATTCCTTTGAGGGACATTCTCCGTCTGATCGAGGATTTTTTGCCTTGCTTGTTCACATGATCGACAGAAAGAAAGCTGCCAAGAATAGAGTTTTTCTCCATGATTTTCTTAATAAAAGTTCTATTATTTCTTATCTTTGGATAAGGAATTAGGTTTTTTCTTACTATGACGTCCAAAAAGCGAGATTTTATAGCTCCCGTTAGCTTGAGCATCATCAAGTGGCACCGCAGCGGGGTATCAAACTTGCCAGATGTGGGTGATTTAGTATGATGCACCTTATCTGATCCAGTCAATGTAGAACACAATTTTCCGGATGCAAGGCCTAACATCGTCACATTTTATGATTTTAAATTCGAATTTCGAACCCTAGTGAACCGCGGTTTCGAATATGGCGCGGTTATTTGCTCACCAATCGTTGCGCGTTGATAGTTGATAGAAAATTCTGGCGATTTTATCAGTAACTTTTAACGATCATATTATGATATACGAGAAAAATTCAAAATAGAGCAGAGTAGACATAACAAACGAAAATTGCTACTTCAGCTGTCTAGTTCCCACCAAAACAGTTCAACTTTTTTAATTTCAGTCAAGAAGTCTATTTGAGAAATGAGGACGTTCACCCTTTTACTGGGCTGCTTACAGGCAGCGAAGCTAAAATTTCAAGAGAAAACGGACTTTTCTTCTTACCCAGAATTCAGCGACTGCGATAACTGCGCATCAGTCGTGCAAACTGTCGATGGATTGACGGTCAAAAGCGGAGTTTTGGACAAAACTGCTATTGCTTATGGGACTTATGATGATACTCTCAATACAACCGGATGGGAAAGGGTTAAAGACTTTTACATAGAAAGACATCTTTATTTCTAAAACGATTTTAACCCTACAAGGGTGTCTTGAACATCCATGCTCACTCCACGAAAGCCGGCGAATTTCCATCAACCGTCTTTTGGGCCGCGGGTCTTTTAGAGGGGTACTTCACTGCAGAGCGTATCAAGCAAAATGCTCGAAATATGGAAGCGTATTGGAACTTCAGTGAAGAAAAACTCCCGGTTCTCCAGAAATTCTTTGAAGATCAAGCTGCCTGGGCTCGAAATACATCAGAATATAACATGAAGGATCCGTACTGGCTGAATGTGGCGAATGTCATGCAACAGTTCGAGGGTCTCCACGCGGGAGTTCAATTAGTCGACCCAACCATTACTCGCTGGGATGTCACGATGCTGAACGGAATCGGCGATCTCATCGATCTCGAACGAGCTCTGTTTCCGAAGAGTAGGCCGGACTTGAACGACATGACGGAGGAGCAGCTCACCCGCTTGGAGCAAAAATCTGGCCACTGTTCTGCTCTCGTTCGCGTTACACCTGGCTTCGAGGACATGTTCATGGGACACTCTTCTTGGTTCACTTATTCTGCAACTAACAGAATCTTCAAGCACTACACATTCGACACGAATGAACCTTCTATTGCCGCAACATCGATGAGCTTTAGCAGCTATGCTGGATACTTGGAGTCTTTGGATGACTTCTATGTTTTATCCTCTGGACTTGTCATGCTTCAGACGACGATCAACTGTCTGAACTCTTCTCTTTATGATCTTGTTACACCAGAGAGTCTTCTCTCTTGGCAGCGAGTTCGCGTCGCCAACCACATGGCTACATCGGGCAAAGAATGGGCTGATTACTCAATGCGATACAACTCTGGAACATACAACAACCAGTACATGATCATCAACAACAATCTTTTCAAACCCAACGAGCCTCTCGCTGACGATCTTCTCTGGGTAATTGAGCAGATGCCTGGCCACGTTGGAGCCGGAGATCAAACCGACTATCTTCGAATGGGCGGTTACTGGCCAAGCTACAATGTTCCTTTCTACCCTGAGATTTACAATATCTCTGGCAATGCAGCTGCTGCGGCTCAATTCGGCCCAGAAAAATCTTACGAGGTTATTTCATAAAAACTCTTCTGTTGAAAATATTTTTTTAGCTCGCTCCTCGTGCTAAAATTTTCCGACGAGATGCTGGCAACGTTAATAAGTTCCAAGAGTTCCAAGATATTCTACGGTATAATGATTACCTCAACGACGAGTTTGCGAACGGTGATCCTTGGAAAGCAATTTGCTCTCGAGGTGATTTGGCTTCCGAGCCATCGCCGAGCGGATGCTACGATACGAAGGCCACAACATATGAAAAAGCTCTTTCTATGGAGTCATGGGCACTTTCCGGTCCGACTCTTTCGCATGGTCTCCCTAAATTCTCTTGGAAGAATTTTAAGAACAATCCTCACGAAGGACTGCCAGAAGAATTCGCTGATATTTTTGTTCACATGAAGCCTTCTTTATAACGTCAAATATATGATGTCTTGGTAGAGAAAAAAATTTTCGACAGATGACTCCTCTATGTATTCATACGGATTTTATTTTAATATCTAAACACTATCTTTAGCAGTTAAGATGTAGTTACTCTCTGGTATCAAAAAAATGATAATTGACCTACATTTAATATGAGACATTTTCATGCTGATATTCAATAACGAACTCGTTTCCTCCACTAATTCATTTCAATAAACCGGAGATAAAAACCGGAGATATAATTAATCCACTACCGTCTGAGATCCGCGACGGAGATCATGGTTCCCAGGTCATCAGAAGAGCACCCGACGACGGAAAGTCAGGGAGATCAGACGGATATCCTCGCTAACTGGGAATTCGCCGACTACGCCATAGTCACTTCCTCTCGCTCACTCAATACTTCAAACGCCTGCGTAAGTTCCGGTGAACTTCCTCAAAGCAGTCTCACTCGGAAGCTACGTTATTAGTAATTAATTCTATTTATATGCCATTCTTTATATTTGTGGAAAAGATAGAGATATTTTTATTGAATTTTATTGCTTTTTATAATATTAACACAAACTTGAAGAGAGTTGAACAAAGAAAAATAACGTGTAAGAAGGGATAAGAAATAATCATGACGTTGTCTTCGCTACTTTGGGCTTCGATAAGTCCAATGGTTGATCGCTGTCGGAACTTCTTTTTCGTTTGTTGCCGCTTGCTGCAGGAGTGGAGCTTGTGTTTGTGGGAACAACTGCTTCGATCATACTTGGTGGTGGAGGGAGGGCAAGCGATGGGTCAACTGCAGGAAGCCAATCAAGTGGAGATGGTGTTCCATCAAGTGGCAACTTCGGAAATGCTGGCAAGGAGACAGGAGGAGTAGTCGTAGCTTGATTTTGTTTGGTCAGGTATTCGACAGATGCTTGGTGAATCAAACACTGTAGTTGATAGCTGTGCAGAAGCTCATTGTACTGGCGAAGGATGCTCTGATGGTGGCTAACCATTGCTTCCATCTGCGAACTCGGCTCTTTAGTCGATGAACCAGTGCCGGAACTGGTTGGGCTAACGGACGAAGCAGAGCTTGGCGAAAAAGTTGGTCGAGGTCGCTTCGTCGTGGATGATGTCGTAGTTGTTGTCGAAACCGGAGTTGTTCGAGGAGAAATGCTGGGGCTGATTCTCGGAGTCACACTCGCATGATCGCCTAGCTCAATGTCAGCCATATTGAAGTTATCCGGAAATTGGACAAAACGGTAGACAAATTTTTGGCCGTTGACTTTCTGGATTATGTTTTTGTCGTAGTAGTAGCGTAACGCCCGGCTGAGCTTGTCGTAGTTCATATTCGTCTTGTTTTTCCTCAATCCCCAGAGTCGAGCAACTTCCTCAGACCTGTGCAGTTTGAACTCTCCATCCGTTGAAGTCCAAGAGATAAGATGCTTCGAGTTTGAATCCATGAGAAGCTCGAGGAGAAATTGCCAGAGCGTGATATTCACATCGAAACCTGAAAATTATATTTATGTTGCTGTAAAATGTAAGTTAGGTGGAAGTGAAGAGGAAAGAATAAGCACAATTCTGAGGGCCCAAAAGACTATAATTATGATTCTATCTACCGGACATTGATAAGAAGCTTGAATAGCAGTTTAGAAAAGTTATCAGCATAATGAGCTCGGCGCTTCATCCGGAGCGATTCTGGGCGGAATTAGTGCCTCAAGCGGAAGGACTTTGACACGGGAATCCCGGGTGAGATAAAAACCGTCGTGGTGGTGCTGGCACTACCCACCGCCGGAGATAGTCGCTGCCCTAAACTAATAGAAGGATTGGCGGGTCACTTCCTTCCTCTACTTCCGCAACAGGTGCGAGATTCAGATCAGTGCCGACGAGCACCACCACCTCCGCCCCACCAATTTTCACCAGGATGTTTTTCGTGTGAGTTTTAGTACGTTCCCTCATCCTCAAAACAGTAATTTTGGAAGCCTGTATTTTCCCCGGGAATGTGTTTTTTGGCGATTTATAAATTGCTGTCGTTTAGCGAAAAGATAATGCTCCTCCGAGTTAGAAATATTTAAAGTTGCGCGAAGTTGAAATTCAGCCTAATTTCGAGATAAAATCTGACGGCGGAAGGAAGTGAAAGGCTTCGCGAGTGAAGCCACCCTAGCACCTTTGCGATAACGAGGGACGTCGGGTATTAACAAGTGACAAGTGGCAGGAAGTCAACACCGGAACTCGGACGGGCGTTATCGCGGGCGCCCGGTGGCACCGTCAGCACCACCATGTGGTTGCTTCTTCAGATCACTAGTATCCTCAGAGCACGGCGTTATCATCCAATCTCGGCAGGATATAAATCCTCTCTGACGCCGGTACTATGAATTTTTTATCAGTAGCAAACCCAGTAATCAGTAATCAGTAAAAAATGACTTTGATTTACAAAACATCAACGAGCCCTGCAAATACTAAACCCATAATCAGCCCTAAACCTTATCAGTTACTCAGCGGGAGACTTACACCTCTGCGAAGAAAACACCCCCTGTAGCTGGAGGGTGTATTAGCGGAATTTAGTTTCCTTCCGGTGCCGCTGATTTTATCTACCTATCGCTCAAGCACCACCAGAGAAAAAATGTTGAAGGTGTTTGTGCGAATCCTCCAAATTTCTTATCGCAGCGGCGAGTAAATAAGCCGATTTCCTCACGGAAGTCGGCTCAAGAACCATAAAGATTAGCGAAAATCCTCGACAACGGGGAAAGCTTTATGAAAACCGGACCAATCTTTTTTTGCTTGATCAAAAGGGCCGCAGCTCATGGTCAATGCCAACGGCGCGCATCCGGAGGAAGAAGGTTTGAATAATTTAGACCGGGGCGACGTACATCAAACGAGCACCGGCGAAATTTGGCTGACTGGAAAAAAATGAAAGGGAGCTCTGATGATGGATTCGAAAAAAAAGCTCGAGCGTAATCACAGACTCCCCAGCATTGTTCCAAGTCACACGTAAAACAAAAAAAAATAACTGACAGTAAGGTTTTTATCCTTAAAACTGTATTTTGAAGTTAAAACATCAAGGCCATGTTTCATCCGCCCAGGGTCTGTTCCATATCCTGCCTTGGAAAATAAACTACCCCCTGTGGAAGTAGTAAATCCTGACTTTAACAAAGACTACTTGTTTAACTTTGAAAAGGGAAGTGCTGTTCCTGTCTTTATTCAATAGGTTGGCGCGTGAGAAAAGGTGTCTGATGACACAGAAAAAGCTCTTGTACGGAGTTACCGGTTGCGCTTCCGTCGATAACAAATCCCTTTCTCGGAAACTCGTACGGTAAGACACGGATTTCCGTCAGAACTAAGCTCGCGCAGATTGAATTGTTCAAAAGGCGCATCGCAGCAGCAGGTTAACCCACCCGCAACACGCAGCGGGCTGATAAAGCCGCTTAATTGCGCCCCTTTTTATCTAATTTTTCCATTTCCTGGTCAAGGTGTTTTCGACCGAGATTTTGGCTTGCGCTCAAGCACCTTTCGGGGATGGCTTAGGCCTCGGCTATCGGAGTGGCCAGCGGATTTCCGAGATATCTCTTAGCGAAAGCTGAACACGTTTTAATCACGCCTCCCGGAAGTTGTCTTTAACACCTCTCCATGGGCAGTCACGTGAGCAGGACAAGTGGCCTCTCGAAGGCGGTAAGGTCCTTTTGGAGTCAGCCACTTCCGTTGCTGATTGAGCGAAACCTCCACACCCATCCATCCTGAACTAATGACCCCTGTCTTTCGAAGCCTTTGGTCCTCGATTGAAAAGGCTCAAGGTCATTCTCAAATAAAAACAGGGACTGATGTTGCTTTCTGAATCGAGCAAAAATGATAACATGTTTACCGTATGAGATTTCCGGTGAGTTTCTGGTACGATGTAGTGATGAATCCCAGTCGATTAGCGTCGCCGCCGGAAGTTTAGTCAGAAGGATGATTAGATCTGGATGTACTCAGGCAGGGCCCGGAAATGGAGCCGGAATATATTTGTGGCGTTGCATAAACGCAGCCCGCAATAAAAGCCGTCCCTTCCGGTCATAATTTGTCTCCTCCACCCGGAATCGAGCAAACCAGCGCCGGAAGGGGCCATCCGGGCACCCTTCTTTCCCAGTTAGGTGTTCTGACGTTTAGTGTGAGTCTGCCACGCGAAATTGATAAATTATATTTTGACACTTTACGAGCCCAGATCCGGAGAAATTTGACTTTTTGAGACGTCAGAGGAAGTGCTTTTCGGAAATGGTAATTTGCGAAAATAAAAGTGCGAGAGCGGAGGAGCTTTTCGAGGAACTATAAAAAGTCAATCTCCTTTTTTTTGGGTGAAAAATTGAAACAGGAAGTATTTCCGTGAAATCCATATCTATCGGAGATTCAATTATGCTCCCTAAAAATAGACCCGGTGGAGGATAAAATTCCGGAATATTCTCAGCGCACACCGGATCATCGTCTACTGCCGCATGACATGTTGAACTTCCTAGCGGAGCTACTTTGAATAAGGTTGTGAAAGAATTGCACATTTTAATCCGATAAAAATATGACAATTCAAATAGGCTCAGTCATGGGTTCGATTAATGCATAAATGTGTAATATCAACTTAAATTTCTTAAAAAAAAGACAACAATCCGAAGGATAGAAGCTTGAGTCCTTCGGCCGGTAGTGCGGCTGCCGCTGCTACCGGGAGGTATGTATTGCCGGATATCCGTACTACTGATAAGTTAATAGCGGATGCTGCGCGAAAGATAACTTTAATCAGATTGGCGCGGCGGATAATGTCAGCCAGCACCACCGACGAGCGGACGTATTCAGTCCTTTTCGAAAGAATTGGAGAAATTCCAATAAACTAATCTCCAGCTGATCGGGACAAATTTTCAAGTCCAGCCCCGATCAGCTGACTCCGACCATAATCGCTTATTAAAGTCTTCCGATTAGCGTACACCTTCGTTATCAATTCAACTTTCAAATTCAGCCTGGAAGCTTGTGAAAAATGCAACTCGGAAATCCGACTTTGTTTGCATTCTGATTCCATGATTACATCTGAAAAGATAGGGAAGGCATAAAAGATGCAGGGCGAGACATGAGAGTAGTCGTGGACTCGATAGATTATTCAACATCCCGGAAAGGCGCATAAATATTCACTCCATCCGCGAGAGCTTCACCCCGGATACAAGCCGGCTGACAATGGGAATCAGCCCAGTTCCGGAATCTATCAAAAGCAGCTCCCCGGCAACTATAACCCCTATCACGTGTTACTCTCGAAGACAAATAAAAATCCGACATTATTCATGCTATTCTGCAGAAAGAACTAAAATAAGATTAGGATACCCTTATTTTATTGTTAATTCTTTGTCAAATTCACCTTTTGACCAGATAGATAGTACAAGTAGAAAAATTAATAAATGGAAAAATCTTTAATATTCTTAAAATAATCTTGATTGACGAATCATCAAATGATAAAATTGAAATGAAAAAAAACACTTGAGAAAACTCCGCTATCTGGCCACAAGCAACAGACCTCACAAAGCAAGCTCTGTCCCGAGCACTGCCGTTGCGTGTCCGACGGAACTGGTCTATTCAACGTCCCGGAAATCGCCTCGTTGACAAGTTTTTACTGTCGACGAGCGGACTTCCGTGTCGCGGCGGCGGCGTTTTTGTTTTTCGCAAAAATGAAGGGCCCCGCAGAGTGGCATTGTGCTGATTCCAAGACCTCTTCCGCTGGAGAAGAGCTCCAGAAATTACCGTTGTTAGTTTTAATTACCTTTTGCTTCGTACGACGGGATTGATGCGGCGGAAACAGCGGGTGCAGGCTTCGGCGATGGTGGCGACGGGGTAGAACATGGCGCTGCGACTGGCATCACAGTTGGGATCAGCTGGCTAGCTTCGAAGGTGGCCAAAGGGTTTGTCTTAGTAGCATCAGCCCCTGGCGTCTCGATCTTGATCACTTCCATCTTCTTTCTTCAGCGTGAAATTTTCCGGCTCCTATCCGGCGCGACGAACCGTCTGGTCGCTTCTTTTCTTCCTAAATCTCTTTTTTCCTTCTTGTCAAGAGGTCAATCTCTGTCGATGGAAAATATGCAGATGTATTTGTTTAACTTTTTACTTTTTGTGAATGAAGCTTTGTGAGTGTGTTGGTGGTTTATCCGGCTGGCGCGAACGATGTGCTGGAGCTCTCCTGCGCGTTAGGGGCCAGCGCTGGGCTAGAGCGCGAACGGGCGCCACCGTGACTGCGGCAACCCCGAGGATGGATCCCTTCAGTGAATCGACCGGACTTGGATCTTTGCACCTCCGTTTTCATTCTAAATATAGACTAAATATCGACTCCGGCTGTACAGTTTGAATTTTTGATTAATCCGGGACAGTCTGGGTCTCAATCATCCCGGAAGTAAAAATCCGAATAAGACACCCTGCCATTCATGACTACTGCCTCATATGAAAATCATGCGCTGGTTCGTATTTCCTGAAAAGGAATTGATTTCCGGAGAGGTGATCCGAATTATCCGGCTTATTTTTGAATTTTAATAAATAAAGATTATTATTTATTCGACAAAGAAAAATCTATTATAAGTTTGGTAGCATAAAAATGATAGTAAAAAAAGAGTGATGAAAAATCCTCAAAATCACAATGCAGTCAAATCTATTTCTGCTTGTTGAGTCTTGAAGTGTGCTTTAACCCCTTGTGGATCAGGCACTGGCACTAGTTGAGAACTGGAAATCCCGTTCCCTCCATTCTCTCGGAACTGCCTTTGCCCGACCGGCGGGTAACACCCGTCGGAAAGGAAATCGCTTCTACCCCATTTCCTGGCTTCGGTTTTTACACTCTGGAAGCCAAATAACTCAATCGCGGTGCTGCTGACTAGGAAGCAGCTCACTTCCGAACCTACTTCCTCTCGACGCCAGAAGAAGAAATCCCACCGAGAAGCGATTCGTTACTACAAAGGGCACGAAGAGCAGGGAAATATGAAGAAGCCAAAAAAAGTCAGCAAATTTCCGCCGCGGTAGCTATAAAGCGAGGCGCAAATCGCAACGGGCCTTCCGGAGTTCTCACTTCTTCCTTTTGAATCCACCCCTATTTCTTCGCTCTATCAATTTATATGATGATCGCTCTATCAACTCAGTTGATGTCTATTAACATTGACGGAAACTACCTACTATAAGTTATAACTTATAAGTTTCCTAACGAAAGAACTTATTGTAATTTAATTCATATTGGGTTCTTTTAGATTAGTACTTATCAAAAAGCCTTCGCTGGAGAAGAAAAAGGTAAAATACCGAGATTGGGCCGCGACAATTTCCGGTTTTGGCTGCGTCTCGGTAGCGCAAAAAGGGTCGCTTCCGCTCGCATCAAAGGGGAGAATAATTGCGCTGTTTAGCTACGGCACCGGGAGAGGAAGAGCCGAACCGGACTTTCCAAGTTTGTTTCTTTCCATTATTCACTTCCTGGGCAGAATAAAGCTGAGAACGACAATATTTTATTTACAGCAGGAAAATCGGGGCAATATTTAGACTTTTGTTTCAAACGGAAAAGGGCGCATATCAGCTGGACAAGAGGCTCGTGTAGGGTTCGCAACAAGAGGCCGAACATGGCGCATTCCGGTGGAGAGGGAATCCTTATCAGCGAGCCGGGTTCCGACATCCTGGAAGCTTATCGGTACAATTACGGACATGAGGCCCCGGATAGAGGAAACCAGATATCATCGAAGTTTTTCAACGCCATCATCTTTCAAGAGCTCTTTCTAGAGCTGTGGATTCTTTGAATTGAGTTGATCCGGGATCGCGAACAACCTGCACCGCTGAGGTTTTTGAAAAGGGTGTTCAAGTTGATATCAACCTATAGGTCTTATTGTCCGAATCGGCGATCGAGCTCTAGACATGTGTCTCAAGCGATTCTTCGCTACATTCGATTTTCCTGTACATGTGCTAGCAGATGACAAGACTGAGGAGATCATAAACTTGGTAAATCACTGAAACATATTTACCGGACTGCCTAAATAATACTCCATATTGGTCCCTAACTATGTACAAGCTAATAAAAATACTCACATTCAATTAATTTAAACATTGCTTTTTCAGTTTTTCCGTACATTTATGGTATTTGGAATCACACGAAGAAGAGTTAATTGAAGCAAGTGTTGAATTCGGCAGGACGAGAGCTGCGGAAACTGATAAGAAGGAGCTCCGGTCCCCGCGGGGCCTCATTTACAAAAGGCGCCAAGTGCTCGTCCGTGCCAATCCCTATCTCTGTCGCATCCTTCCTTCCTTTAGGTTCCTTTATCGCGCGACTTATCGCCAATTCGGATCAGGAACTGCAACCGGCGGCATCCCCTTTTTCCGCTCAGAAAGATATCGACGTCCGGAGCAGCAGCGAAGAAGATAAACACCGTGCGCCGTGAAACACGGACGGTTCCTTCAAGATCCTTGACCTTTTCAACAATTTTCCGACTTTCATTTTTCGCCCATAAATTATCGCTCCAGAGTTCTTTAAAAAGTTTATCAAGTTTAAATACAGCCGAAGAATTAAATATAACTAAAAGCTTTAAAGAAAATTTAGGAATAAAAAATTCCGCTGAATCTGCAGTTTTCATATCATAGCTGAAGTAGCGCTGAAAGTCTTATCGCCTTTTATGAGAACCTAAAAAGATGCATTCTCATTTACACTCGATTAAATTGTTTGAATTTTACAACTGCAAATCCCTCTGCTTTTTCGATGTTCGAACTTACTTATCGGCTTATCCCATAAAATCAAAGAACAACAAGCTATAAACAAAATGAAATGGTTTAAGTACGCTCTAAAGAGCTGATAAGCTTTCCTCTCTGATGACAATTGTGGATAAATCAAAAATAATCTCGTTCCCTGTGTGAGCGGCGATTGTTCATCCCTTTTTTCCCTATCACTTCAAGAGCAAAAACGCCCAAGAGAAATCATGAGAAGCTTTCTTTATGTTTTCGGCTTGGTTGTTTCACAGAAATATTACGAACCCATGCTCAATTATGGAAGCTCTTATTTGCCAGATTATGGATCAGACCAGGGCTGGTAAATTCGCGTCCTAAAATCTGTCGAAAATTTTTAGTGCACTAAAATTAGTGCGCGAATTTATTTTGTCGAGACTTTAGTGACTTTCGCGTCTCTTTCGCGTGAGTCTCGAAAAGTGTCGAAAATAAAGGCTGCTGATTGGCCCGCCAATGAGCGCGGGCTCTTTAATTCTAAAGAATACGTAAGTTTGAGAATTTCAAACTTCGCTAATATTAGAATTTCAAAAAGTTTGGTTTCAATAATGTGTATTGGGTAATTGAGGGCGTGAATTTTAATATAAGGTCAAAAAAGACTTTGTCAATTCATTTGTTAATTTTCTTTATGAATATAAAGTAACAAATATAGGGAATATATTATATAGGGAAAAAAACAATTCAATTTTTGTTTGCAACTCTTTTTGTGCTGGATTTGAATGATAAGGTTAGACTTTTAGCCTTAGATAAGCTTTCTTAGGGAGGTCGTCTCCCTAATTTTTTTTATTGAAGGGCCATCCGCAGCTTGTTCTTCCTGCTTTTTCCCTTTCTTGTCAATCTTCTTCTTGTCGTTGTTCGACTAATTTCGGTGTCCTCAAAAGTCTGCAGCTGGAGCAGCCTTGTGCGAATTGTTGATATAATTCTTTATTAACAAAATGATATATATTTAAAAAATCAAAAGGGAGATCTTCTCCCAAGTTCATGCTTACCTTGTAATCAAGAAAGCAGATTTCCTCCCAATACAATTTATTATAAAAAATTACAACGTTATATGATAGCCTTTATCCTAGAAAACTAAATAAAAACTTTGGGAGGAGTTCTTCATTAGCAGTTATCAAGTAAGCGTGAATTTCGGAGGAGACCTCCCTTCTAAATTATCAAATAAATATGATTCTGTGAATAAAGAATCATATAATGATACTGAGAAGAGCTCTTAGACCACGTATCAGTCAACGCTGCTCTGGCTTCCTTGAAGACAGCGATGAGAAGGACAACGACAAGAAGAAGAAAGGCAAAAAATGATGAAAAGCAGGAAGATCCAGCTGCGGATGGCCCTGCGATAAAAAAATTAGGGAGAGGAGCGTTAGCATGAGCTGTTCATGAGCACGTGAGTGAGCTCAATGAGCATGCTCACGCGTGCTCATACTCACGAAAATTTTAGCATCCCCGTGCTCACGCGTGCTCGTGCTCACGCAAAATTTTCAGATTTCAAACCCTGTCCCTAGCAAAGCTTATCTTACCTCATCATTTAACTCGACAAAAAGAATTTCCAACAAAAGTTGACTTTTATTCTTTTCAACATATTTGTTACTAAATAAGTAATTTTTTTTTATTAAATTGTGTCATATTTACGATGCATTGATTTTTATATACTAGCAGTTTCAGTTTGAAGAAATTCTTCCCTGATCAAAATCGTCTTCCATGAAACTATCATCCGGGAAGAGCCTATTGGATGATGAAAAAGAGCCTCTTTTTTCGCGTCTTTAGTGCTGATCGGCTCTCGAAAAGTCACTAATTTCCCCAAGAGGAAAAATTAGTGTCATTTTAGTGCACTAAAGGCGCGAAAGACGCGAAAATGTCTCTAAAAAAATATTAGTGCGCTAATTTTTTTTTCTTCGAGAGAAAATAGTGCGCTAATTTACCAGCCCTGGATCAGACGATATTTTCGGGGATTATATTTTCGACGAACTAAAGGACAAATGCGAAGGGTTGAAATACACCGCTTGCCAAAAATTACTTCGCGAAGATTTACTAACAGGAAGCGACAACAAACTCATAAATCGGAAACTGACTTTTACTCGGATTAAAAGAAAGGCTCAGAGTGTTTGTCATCTTCTGAGAGAGTACAACAAGATCTTCAAGCCAACAGAACAACCAGGAAAGAAGATCAAAATTAAAGAAAACGGATGCTTTCGTAAATTCGTTCCGTTCCATTTCAGCGAAGAATGTCATGATAATTGTGAATTTATCTTGAGCTGAAGATAATCATGAATATCCGGGTCCATGAAACTCGTGTTTTTTGTACTCAATTGGAAATTCCCAGCAATAAGAGGCCTCTGCTTCGTATTCAAAGTACCGGCTTTTCTTTATTTTATGAAATCTATACATTTGCTCATCTAAACTCTTCAGCAGATTGTATAATTAAAATAGTATCCATGGACAGTCTCTCCTGTATTAGAGCAAGTATTAGCTCTTTCCCAAACGGACTCAACGATCGAGCTTCGAATGGACATCAGACAAACTTGGATGGAGGAACGTCTAGTATGGAACAAGGATGAATACGGCGGAAGCGAGTATATTCATGTCTCGTCCGAAGAATTGTGGAATCCTGAGATAGTCCTGTACAATAATATCGATGGAATGTTCATGCCGTCTCTAGCAGAGACGAAGGCTAGGGTTGATTGGTCAGGGAAAGTAACGTGGAATCCGTTGTCGATATACAAGGCGCACTGCGATCTCAGGGTCAAGCAGTTTCCATATGATATCCAGGTAGAAGTTCCCAACAAGCGTGTTTTCGTTATCTTGTTCAATAAGGCGTGTACTCTCATGTTTAAATCGTGGGTATACGAAGAGGAAGAGCTGGATATCCACTTCGAAGAATATGCTCAAGAGAACATGGCAAAGATCCAGTCTCATATAGAATGGGAAGTGAGTGGAGTGAAAGTATGGGAACAGACCCTCGAAGAGTGGACCCAACACGGAACTAAAAATATAACTTATTTCGGGTTCAGAGCTTCCTGAAAATAGATTTTGTATAGATTTATTTTTAACCCGCAAATCAGGTGTGCTTCACTGTTTTTCTCAGTCGTTTGCCGCTTTATTATACGCTGTATATAATCGTCCCAACAATTTGTGTCACCGGACTGGTTGTTTTTGTCTTTCATGAATGGGATTTTTTCTAGTTAAAGTTCTGCATGAAATGAAAGAAAAAAAATCCGATATGTAGTCTCCCTCAGTAGGTGGCGAAAAAGTGACACTGTCAATCTCAACCCTGTTGACTCTCACTTACTTTCTGGTAAGATCATCATGTTTCAGCACCTGTCCGCCATGTCAACAGGGTATTTAGACTCTCGTCTCCTATATCACGCCAAGATCTTCTTATGAGGTTCCTATCATTTCAAAGGAAAGGGTTCTATATAATAGCACTTGTAAAAATATGCATTATTTTTCGGGAAATAAGTCCCCTAACTAAGTACCTTTTGTTCTCAATGATCCTGGTTGGACTGAGTATCGTTACTTCTGTAATCGTCTGCAATATCCATCATCGCTCACCAGCAACCCATCAGTTTCATGGCTGGATCCGTCACATCTTCCTCAATGTGCTCCCAAGATATCTGCTCATCGAACGACCAAAGAAAGAAAAACCAACTTTCCCGATCGGATACAGATTTTCAATCGACAAGGACCAGATTGACTTACTCACACATGCACCTCAGCATGCAAGTGGACCTAAAGACATGCCAAACAGAGCTCCAAGACCGAGTGTTTTCGAGAAAAAGATTCTGACAGCAAAAGAGATTCGGGAGATCTCAGGCTCAGGGGCGATGAGGGACAGTGATACAGATGATGAAGCAATGAGCATTATTGAAGACGTCGCTAGAAGAGTGGCAGAGGCTTCCGAGATGATGCCTCGAAGAGATGCTCACAGGAGGGGTTGAATTTGCTTATTTCGAAGTCTTGAAATAAACAACAACCCAACAAAAGAGGATCAACAACATCAATCACATCAGGCCGCCAACGACGCATAAGTCGGCAATCAAAAATCATGGCTGGAATTTCGATGGACAGAGTCATCTACAGCAATAGAATAATCCGAATGATAGCGGATCATGAGAAGGAAGAAGACGAGACGAGCACGCAACTCGATGATTGGGCTTTTGTAGCGCTTGTTATCGATAGATTACTTCTGATATTATTCGGCATTATCGTTCTTATGGGAAGCTTCGGAATTTTCTACCGATTCATCTTTAATTTCAAGTCGATCGAGATTCTTCATGAAGAGCACTACTCGAGGTTAGGTTTTACCGGAAAATTTTTGCTAAAATTCTTTAGAATAAAAACTCCGACTCTTCCATAACTTCATCCATTCTCCTATTTGTATAGTTCTTCAAAAGAAAAAAACACTGAATCAACTCACTACAGTTTATTGTATTCAAGTCTTATCCTTGCAGTTTTGAAAGAATTTTGTACCAGAAATAGAAAGAAAGTGGATTTCTAGCCTCTTTCTTCTTCTCTTCCACTGGCTTTTCTTCGGCGTCTTTCTCTGCCGAGTCGTATGTTACGTATTCGTAAATGTAAGTCATCAATCCAGAATCATCAGAATCGTCTATATCGGCCGCTGTGTCGTAGTCTGGATATGGAGCACGTAGACTTGTTCGATAGGGAGTAAGAGTAGTCGTTGTTGTTGGCAGTTTAGTCGTCGTCTCTTCTTGGACTCGAACTAAAAAATAAGAATGATATTGAGAAGCCATAAAGCATTTAAAGCTCAGCTAACTTCGCTCTCATGAGAAAGGGATGAATTTGTGATAGGCTCTTGTCACACCCACGGTGGTGGGCGCGTGCATGTTAGGACCATTTTCAACATTAGTTGTTTCCACTGGGTCTAATTTTTTGACGCCCCAATAAGGTCAGCTGGCGGACCTGGGGCACTGAACTAAAATCATTTCTGCTGAAACTTACCGTCGCAGTAAGCGCCAGTCCATCCCGGAGGACAGCTGCAGAAGCATCTCTCAGTGGAGCAGTAACTGCAGATTCCTCCGTTTCCACATCGACAGTTTTCAATTTCACAACGATAACCTTCATAATTGGCAAAGCATTCACATTGATAAAATGGTGCTTCATCCAAATCGCGACAGGTGGACACTGAAAGAAACATTTTACGAGTTGCGCGAAAGAGAAAGTGAAAAAAGTTTGCGATGGCCGGGAATCGAACCCGGATCTAATGCTTGGAAGGCATCAATGCTGACCATTACACCACCAACGCTTGAGGGGCGGCTCGAAAGAGTTAGATATAATGTCAGGGAATAAAATTTCAAGAGAACTGTACTTCGTAATTTTACTAATAAAATTTTTGAAAATTTAGATTAACTATTTTTTACCTCCTTGGGAATCACAGGGATTGTCAGCGCAACTTATGTGCGATTGAGTTGTTGTGGTCGTCGTTGTAGAAGAAGCAGTCGTTTGAGCGGCTTTAGTTGTTGTTGTCTCTGGAATTTCTGGAGCAACAACAACCCAATCTGGTGACAGTGGATCTTCTTGCACCTCGCATGTTCTACAAGAGAGCGGACACTGGTAAGTCTGGATGTACCAGTTGCCACATTTGTCCAAATGCAGTTCGCAATCTGCCATCAAGTCTTTGCATCCCATGACAGCTAGAAATTGTTTGTTTAATTCAGACCTCTTTCTCTTTTATCTACCTGAAGCAAATAAAATCATCAATAACATTTTCTCGAGAGTTCGATAATCTGTTGGAGGAGCAAGAATTCCACGGGTACTTGAAGGCAAATTGGCGAGTAGGGGGCGCGCATGTGTGTTCAGCTTGGGCTACCTAATGACCCTGGTTAACGCGTACAGTTTCAAAGCGACAGACCGGTTCCTCCTCTCGTAAACAGAGGCGATTAATGCAATCAAAAGTGCGATTGCCATTTCTGCGTAAAAATTAGCGGCCCTGCATCTTCTTCCTGCGATAAAATATCAAAGCTTCTTTCATTTTAATCGATTTAAAATGAAGATTTTGGTGTGTTCGTGCTTGAAATTTATTGTGTTTGAGATTTGATTATGATTTTGTTTGTTTTCATTCAATAAACGAGCTCGGGCAGTAATTGGAAAATCCTATTGTTGAGTGTGTTTCTGTGTTCGACCTCTCTATATAATATTTAATTATATATTCTTTGTAGTCAACATTTGACTGTTTGGGTTTGACTTTGAATTATTAAAATAAGCTAGCTAGATGAACTTGGGGAAAATGACAAATAAAGCAGCGGAATCACTTTTCAGACTTGATCTGTTTCTCTTCAACTTCGCGTTTCATTTTTGCATGTCTTTTTCAAGGGATTGAATTAGTACGATTTGATTGTCACCAAGAGAGCGTGTTTTCACCAGTTCCGGAATTCGGATAATTTTCTATTTACAAACATTTCATTTTCACTCGGTCTCTGACGAAGCTGGCGACGCTGAGACAGCAGAAGCGCGTCTGCTCGCTGATGACTGCCGATCCTAAAAACTCCCGTGAGAAATTGCTTTTCAGTCCCTTTTCCTGACGTCGTCTAACATCAGCTTGCTAAAGTCCTCTTCTCGCAAATACTCTTCGTCCGAGTCATCTCCAATCACGTCGGTGTTCAAATTGCATCCGTTGGTCAAGTAGTTTTCCAATTTCTTGATGCTGGCGAGCAGAAGGCCCAAATAAGGCGGACTTGGTTTGAGCGGTCTGCTTTCGAATTCGGGATGCGCTTGGAGCCCGACGAAGAACGGGTGATCCTTGAGCTCGATGATTTCCATGCGCTCGCCGTCGACATCTTCGCCGACGAATTTGAGTCCTTGTGCTGCAATTTCTTGGACAAAATCTGGATTCACTTCGTATCTAAGACAACCATTCAAAACTTGTCATTCTCCAATCATACTTACCGGTGACGATGACGCTCGGAAATCTTTTCCTGCTTTCCATACATTTTGAACATTACACAATCTTTATCTTTGAAGATGGTCGTTCGTTGACCACATCTCATTGTTCCTCCCATAACGCCCTAGAATCAAATGATTTAGCTTCTAATCTCATTAAACTGCATCTTACTGTATGATGTTCAGGCATCGAAATAATGACTGGATGTTTCGTCTGTGGATCAAACTCAGCTGAATTCGCCCCTTCGAGTCCCATAACATTTCTAGCGAACTCAACTACAGCCAGTTGCATGCCAAGGCAGATTCCAAGGAAGGGAATCTTATGCTCTCGTGCCCAGTTGATGGCTGTGATCTTTCCCTCTGTGCCTCGGGTCCCGAAGCCTCCAGGGACGAGAATCCCATCTGCGGAGCAGAGTTTTTGAAAAGCTTCGTAATAACGAGCGGGGTGACCGAGTTTGGCCTCATTCTGTAAGTCTTCGGAGTCGATGAATTTTATAACGAGCTTTCTGTTGATCGCAAGGGCAGAGTGTTTCAAGGCTAGAATCGATTGTTTCAGAATTATCAAATTATTATCATGAAAAAACCTTTGATGACTGAAACATACGCATCCTCAAGTTGGATGTATTTTCCAACAAAAGCAATGGTCACTTCTTTGAAGGATTTTTCGGACTTGATCGCTAATGCTCGCCACTTTTTCAAAGTGTTTTTTGATCCCACATATTTCGGCAACTGTAATCGCTCGCGGATAAACTTGGTAACTTTCTGCTCATGTAGGATCAGTGGCACGCGGTAGATTGATCTACAAAATTACAGCGATAATTAGCAGGAAATTGAGGGTAGTTAACTCACCCGACATCGTGGACGGAAATGACCTGGTCGACGGAGACGCTGCAAAACTGTGAAATTTTACGCTTTGTTGAGTCTTCCAGCGCTAATTTGCAGCGGCATACAATCATGTCGGGGGACAATCCTTGACCACGCAGCGTGCGAACCGAATTTTGAATCGGCTTTGTTTTCTGCTCTCCTAATGAAGGAAAAATTAATCATCAAAGAGACATTATTACGGCAATTACAAAGTACATTCGCCGCTGATTGAAATTCTACCTGATCCAGGAGTAGGAACAAGCGAAACATGCAAATTCATGAAATTTTCCTTTCCAATTTTAAATTCAAACTGACGGAACGCCTCAACAAAAGGCATTGATTCAATATCGCCGATAGTTCCTCCAAGCTCGATAATACACACTTCTGGTTCAAGATTGGTACCATCTGTAGGCAGCTTTGCCACACGCTCGACTGTGTTCATTATGTGATCGGTCACATGAGGAATAATTTGAACTGTCTTCCCGAGATAGTCTCCGTTTCGCTCCTTTTGAATTACTTCTGAGTACATTTTGCCTGTTGTTATGTTGTTGTCTTTTGTAAGGCTCAAGCCGATGAATCTCTCGTAGTTTCCAAGGTCGAGATCGCATTCTCCACCGTCATTTAGGACGTAGGTCTATTAAAAAGGTCAAAACAAGGAACAAGATGGTGGATCTACCTCTCCATGCTCATAAGGGTTGAAAGTACCGGCATCAATGTTAATATAAGGGTCGATCTTTATGGCCGTTACTCGCAGACCGATTGACTTCATCAATGTGCCGATGGAAGAAGAAATGATTCCCTTTCCTACGCCAGATATGACCCCGCCATGGACCAGAATGTACTTCATTCTTGACAAAAGAAATAAGTTTGAAATCAAGCTTGAGATTTTTTGATGTTTTATTTTTCAATCAGAGGGTGAATTTTGGACAGGAGAAAATTTTGACAGGTAGATTATTAACATGCTATGTTTTGGGGATGTATTTCTATTGCTCAATTAAAAGAGGTTCTAATTACTTGTAGCGACTGGACAAGATCAGTTTTTATTGAATGAAAATTTATTCTAAAAGTGTAAGAAGACAGGCCCGGCAGCTGGGTAGAGCGCCGGGCCATGCAGGGACGATAAAGGGTAAATGGTAAGGGGAGTGCTAGATTCTTTATATAAGGATGGGCAGTATTCATCGATTGGATTGCTGACTCAGAAGCCACCAGTTTGACTTTGGAACACGTCGATTGTGTCCTCATCTTCCATTTCGAGGTTTTCGGGCGTATCCGTCTCCTAGAAAAAGTGTCTTAGGTTTGTAAACAAGGAGAAAGCGCTTACCTTGACCGGGTTCCCGTCAAAACGGAATCTGACAAGGTTGAGCTGGAGACCCTGGCGATCGCAGTATGCCTGCATCAATTTTCGCAGAGGAGTGTGCTGGAAAAACATTAAAATAACCCTCATTTCGGTAGTCACCTTTTTGATTTTGAATTGGACGACAGAGCCATCCTGACCAGCGACTTTCAAGTTGATGTGTTCGACCTTCTGTTCCTCGTCCGCCATGGCAACAAAACGTTTCTAAATTCAGAAAAGATAAGTTAAAAGAGTTAAATAAATAACTGTTGTTTCAAAAATAATAATCAACTGTCAGTCGATTGAAATTGTAACTGTGATAAATGAAGGCAGTTTGATAAATGAGGGGCTTTTGGTTTTCTCTCAAGGTTTCAGCAACCGGCAGTGTAGTTGCTTTTGACTTCTTCAATTTCTGGCCAGGGGTCGGGAATGCTCAGAATTGTTCCAACGATGACTTGATAGCTTCTATTCACGACCATTCCGAAATTAGAGGGCGAATCGTCTCTCTAAAAGTTTGCTATCAAAAATGTGCGGATAATAATTGGTTTTACCATGATTGGAATCCAGTTTTCATCTTTTAGATAAATAAAAACGACTGTATCTAGGCTGATGTTGAACGTATGGCAGTAGGTGACCATCATGCTAAAGAAGGGTCGTTCCTAGAATGATAAATTATAGAGGTCGTTCAATATGAATCGTGATTACCATGCACGTTATTTTAAAAATGACTTGTCGTTTTACGATCGCGTCCATGACAATATCAGCGTGGGGCTCATCCCACAGTTCCTCGTCTTGGCTGTCGTTTTCATCGTTATTTCTGTCCATGCCTAAAATGGTCCGATAAATCACTGGTTTCAAGATACTCTCAGCTGTTCAGATTGCAGATAGTCAGTTACAGTCGTTCAGTTCAGCGAGAATAATAATTAAGGCTAGCTTCACAATTTCGATCAAATCTTCTTTTTACACTTCCATCTTTCGTCTTTTACTTTCGATTTCGCTTTCGGCACCACTCTCCGAAGCACCGCCATCTGGTTTGAATTCAGGCTCCCAGTCGGACTCGGAGTGGCTCGCGTCGTCGAAGTCTGTCAGGTCGTTTTCGGTGAGCAAGGGCCCGTCGAGCTCTTCTTCGTCGTCGGATACGTTGGCGTTGGCAATGGCGAGCTCGAGCTTTCCTTGGAGTTTGGTCAGCTGGCAGAAGGTCTCCGATCGGATCTGGAGAGGAATTCGCGTGCTACCCGATATTTAACTCAAGGCATAACAATTAAGAAAGTCACCTCTCTAAGACATCCTTCGAAATGGCGGCCAATGGACCAGAGTGATATTCTAGCGAAGCGCGGAGCCACCGGGCACTAGCTAAAGCTTTGTCAGGATCTGTCTGTAGCCGTCTGGAGACTTCTTCAACCAATACTGGTGCCATCTGTGCGGGAACACCTCTTACTGTTTCCTAAAAAGACCATCTCTAATCCTATCTCTTGAAAAAGTGAAAAAACGCTCGATTCTGAGCGAGAATTGAGTGATCCTGCGATGATTTGAAAACTACCAATCGAAACGTTCTGCTCTCTAACGCCTACATGCTCTGATTACTCATTCATGATGACTCACTCTGATTAATTTCGGATCTTTGTATCGGAAGAGCTGGGTAAGTTGCTGATCATCCCTGGCGTGCAGCGCTTGCTGGAGGACCATCGTGACAGAGCCTGCCTTGGGCGCCGACAAATCTTCCTTCTTTGAGATTCCTGAAAATCCTATGAATGATCTGGGAATCGAACTCGCGCCTCCAATCCCGGTGGATCTTGACCGATGTACCACTAGGCCATCGATCCCAAAGGGAAAGGCCCCAAACACGAGGTTAAATAGAAGCAACCTCGAAGTCAACATTTCCTTACCCAATCTTTCAGCCATTGACATATCAGTTTCATTGATGGATTCGCCTCTCTTTCTTCTGGTCGTGTTTTCTGCAGTGGCTCGTTTACTTGGTTTAACTTCTTCCAATACATCGTTTTTCGCCGATTTACTGCCTTTTCTGTTTTTGCTTGTCAGGCAGACTGTTCTTTCAAGATTCTCGTGCCCCTCAATCCCGATCGCTTCCCAGACGAGATTACTATCGACTCCGTAAACAACGTCGACTTTTTCATTCCCAAATCGCGCGGCGAAGATCTCTATCGATTCACCCGATTCATCGGAGATATTCAAGCTCTTCTTGGCCTTGATAGGCTTGCCCTTCTTAGCGATTGTGAAGATTTCAAGCTGATGGCCTGATCCACTCGATTCGTTCACGACTAGAACGGATTTGTCTTTGAGGGAAACTGATCGAGCGCTGAAAATGAAAAATATGAAAGCGTCGATTTGTAAATAATTTTCAATTTGAATTCAATTGTTTTGATTCTTAGTTAAAATTTCTAACTTACTGTCGAGTGAGCTGTAGTCGGCATTCTGCCTGATCCTTTCCAGCTGTCCAAATAGCCACTGATTTCTCGTCCTTTCCATATGATGCAATGTACGTATTATTGGCAGCAACGCTTTCTACCAAATTTGGATGGCCGGGCCATTCGCATTCTACTTCGTTGAGTTTGTTGAAGACCTTTAGTCTGCGACTCGCGGTGGCAACACCATCGGCGAAGGAGAAGATTTGTGTCACTTCTGACTTTTTATTCTCGGCTTTGAAGATTGAATCCGCATCTTTGAACTCATTCCATTTGTAGATTACCCCTTCTTGTGCCTAAAAGCGAACTTAGTAGAAGAAAATAAGCAGTAGATCTTACCGAGTAAAGAACATTTGCAATAAAAGCGACTGCAGTGACGCTAGAATCCAAGTTTGACAAGATCTGTTGCTTGCCAGTGTTCATTTGTTGCACAATAATCGCCCCAGATTCTGTTCCAATTGCCAGTACCTCTCCATTATCTACAAAGAGATACTAATAATAATCGACTTATTTTTCAACCAAACCATTCAATGCGAGAGAAGTAGCGCCACAGGCAGGCAGTATTTCCGTGTTTCCCTTCGATTGACGATCTTTGATACAAATCCGGCCATCTTTCAACAAGACTGCCACTCGGTCTCCTCCAAATGAACTATTTCTCATTGCATTCACTACCTTCTGAGAAGCCATTCATTTAATTTATTTCATAGATAAATGCTTTATTTATAAATATATCGGTAACACTTGGAGTATTGCACAGAAAGAAGAATTGTGTATAAGGCAAATCATAGATAGTGATAAGAGAATAAATGATAAAAAAGAGAGTGCTGCAGAAGTAAAATTTATAATTTATTATTTGCGAAAAGAAGTTGTAAAGGCACCATTAGCGGTTTTCTGGAACTAAAATTGGCATGAAACAGAATGAAGAAGGGTAAAGTTCAAAATCGACAATTGCGAAAGTTAGAGCTTGAGAAGTTTAGCTTCAACCTCGTCACCAATCATCTCGGCGATGGCGAGCGAGGCAGTGCAAGCTGGAGATGGCGCGTTTCTCACGTGAAGCATTCGATTGGCGAGGGGTCCAGTTCCCTGGTCGAAGATGAAATCGTCGACGAGAGCACCAGAGTAATCCATCGCTAAAAAATTTGAATAAATGGCAGTTACTGCAACCGACCTTGAGCTCGAACACCAGCAGGGCCTCGCATAATATCCTCTCGCTGAAGTTCCGGAACGAAGCGCTGAAGATCCTTCAGCTGAGCATTCAAGTTGAATGTTCGCCAGAGCTCTCCCATGCCAGCGCCGATGTTCTTGAGCACAAGTTTGTAAATGCCAGGGAATCGGGCGATGTCGAGACAGTCCTTGAGATCGAAGTCGAACAAGTTGTAGCCCTCTCGCTTCATGCAAAGAACGGCATTTGGTCCGAGCCAAACGTCACCGTTCATTCTTGGAGTGTAGTGGACGCCGAGGAAGGGGAATTTCGGGTTTGGAACTGGGTAGATATTTCCTAAGATGAAAGAGTTAAAATTTTCCATTATCAAAGCAACAAACCATTGATCCATTTAGCTTTATCGGGTGCCATTAGGAGATAATCGCCACGGAAAGGTACGATTTTGGGGATTTCCTCTCCACCTGACTTTTTGGCAACTCGATCAGCGTGAAGACCAGCGCATGTGACGACGTATTTTGCTCTAATCTCATCTCCGGACTTGAGGGAAAATTTAAGAAGAATTGAAAAGTGGACTTACCGCGCTCTTTACAGAAATCGGATAATCGCCACCAACATCGTCGAAAGATGCAACTTCATAGTTACAGGTGACTTCGTGGCCTTTTTCTTGGACCTCTTTGGCGTAGTTTCTTGAGACAACTTGGTAATCGATGATTCCTAAGAATTGAAAAGCAATTAATTTCTATAATGGCAAAAAGAGCTCACCTGTGAGAGGGGAGTGGATAGCGCGCAAGCCAGTACAATAAGGTTCAATTTCTTTGATTCCCGCTGCATCGACCATGTTTACAGTGCAACCGTTGGCGATGGCTCTATCCCAGAGAGCATCTAGTCTCGGCAATTCTTCTTCTTCTGTCGCGACGATCAGCTTTCCGCAACGTTTGTAAGGGATGTTGTGCTCGTCGCAGTAGTCGTACATCATCTTCAGGCCTTTTACACAGAGTTTGGCCTTGAGAGATCCAGGAACGTAGTAGATTCCAGCGTGGATAACACCTAAGATAATGGAGAAAAAGGTAAGAGTGGATTCAAACCTGAATTAGATCCAGACTGATGAAGAGCCAGTTCTGGTTCTTTTTCGACAACGGCGAGGGACAAATCCGGATGGCGAATGTTGACTTCTCGAGCTGTGGCGAGTCCAATGATGCCTCCACCGACAATGCACATGTCGACCTCTCGGCCTTTCTGAGCAGCGACTGAAGACGAGGCAGCGAGCTTCCGGCTCAATCTCGAGAACTGCCGCGATAACATGTTGAGTCTAAACGGAAATCAGGATTTCCTCTTGGAAAAGTAAAAAATGAACGTTTTGAAAGTAAAGTTATTACAAGTTTTTTTATTATGCAACCGTCGCGCAAGGGCCGCCAGGCGTGTCGAGTACTAGAACTCAAGTTTTTCATTTTTTTTTTCGATGGATTCTTTTATTTACAATAAAACTAGAGCAAAACTGTATAGACTGAGATACTACGGTAGAACCCGCGATAGTTTCTTTTCGAAGTTCAAGCTCAAAGATGAGGCGTTGTCGGCTTAGACTGAGAAAGAAGGAAAAAAGAGAAAAGAGAGAGTGGAGAAAGCTCAGAACCAGTAGTCAACAGTAAGTTAAATGATAGTCCGATCTCTAAACAGTTAACAGAGAGCGACTGTAGTGTGTGCATATTCCAGTTTGGCAGATAACTGGGCAGTGATCTTGGTAGAGGTGGAACTCTAGAAACAAGTTAGTCGTTTGGAGAACAAGAGTTAGTCGAATAAATCGTCGTCGTAGCAGATTTGCTGGCGGTTGATTTGAGGCTTCTTCGTTGGTGGTTTCTGAAGCGGGGTTTTTAGAATCGACAGGGGTTAAATAGAGTACCTTTTGAACAGGTCTTGGTTTTGGCTTCATCGGAGCCTGAGGTAGCCCAGCATTGCTGTCTGGTATGTTTTTGTATTTATCTTCGGACGGAACAATGACTGTATCGTCTGCATACTGTGGAAGCTCGAATTCTGGCTCATCGAGTTGAAGAGGACGCGCTTTTGCTGCGCCCGTACTTTGTCTTCGTTTGAATCCAGCACTAGAAAAAAAGATGAAAAACGGTAGTTTACGATGGAAAAACCTTTTTCTTTGGTCGACTTTCAATTTGCCAGCTTTGAGGAGCATTTTAGCACGTTCAGTTGCGCTGGAAGCATTTTTGACTTGATTTTTGAGCTCTTTTTCGTTGAATTGACGATCCATGTTGAAGTTTTTCTTCACTAGCGGAGCTTGATTATTCTTTTTATCGGCTTTTTCCTGCCTAAAATAATTTAGAAAAACAGAGAAAATGAAGGAAATCAACCTCAGTCGCCGTAGTTTCTCTTTTTTCTCCTTCAATCTGATGTAGCAGTTGAGCAAGTCTTCTTCCTCCTTCGTACGACCCTTTTCTCCCCTCATTTCGCCCGATCTCTGAAATGAAAACTTGGAAAAAAAATGAAAAAGATGTGCCTTGACTGTGGATCGAACACAGGACCTTCAGATCTTCAGTCTGACGCTCTCCCAACTGAGCTATCAAGGCGAAAGGATGTGGCCAGTACGGGGATCGAACCCGCGACATTCGCGTTATTAGCACGACGCTCTAACCAACTGAGCTAACCGGCCCTGGGAGAGCGATTCTAGAATTGCATATATAACATTGCTTATTCAGTTTTAGGTACTACAGTCATTTCTCACCGTTGTTAACACCGAATTTCACTCATGTTTCTTAACCGCATGGGCCAGATCGGGGGTAGAGGCGCTGGGACAGAAGGTGCATTCCACTGTCATTTAAGGAAACTATAGATCGGCTCGACTCGAAACTTTTAGACAGTACTAAATCTGGGCCGTAGATTTCAAATCTGTTGTCAGAAATTGTTTTTGACATTTTATTATTTGTAAAAAGTGGTGTTAAATTTCTGGTTAATTCTAATAAAGTATTTTTACGACGATTTTTTTGCAAAATAAACTTAATTTTTGAAATCTCGAAGATAGAAAACCTATAAATAAACTTTATAATCACAAATATCCGACAGTTGGTTCGGTTTCTTTTAGCAAATACTCAGCGGGATGAAAAGAGCGCCCTGCCTAATCCGGTGTAAATCTCGGCTGGTGACCGATAATTTCTCGAAATTCAGCATGTAAGGCAAGAAGTAGTGAAGGAAACCCTATTCCAATTTATAACTCATATGAACTTGTAGTTTTTGAGATATTGACTATCAAAGTCTTAAATGACAGTGGAATGCACCTTCTGTCCCATGCGGTTAACACGGGGCGCTCTATCTATTTTTGGAAAACCCAAGTTTCTTAACAGGGGTGCAAAGCTCCGCTTTCCAAAACCGAGAAAGGCAAGCTTAGCAAGCGCCCATCTATTTTCGGAAAACCCAAGTTTCTTAACAAGGGGCGCTCTATCGGTGTTAACAACGGTGAGAAATGACTGTAGTTCTCAAAACGGTAATTTTGAAGAACTGATATCGTTTAGCTGAAACTAAAACACATTCAAATCAAATATAGAAACTAAAATGTGTATTTCTTTCTGAGATATGGAATAGTGAAAGTGAAGGGCAGCCAGTAGTAGACAGTGAGAAAATAAAGCTTCAAGCTTGCTCGGTGATCGTCTCACAAGGAAGCTTCGAGTGTGAAGTGTCGTTCATGCTTGCTTCTGAAAGAATCGAAGCAGTATGGAGCGCACTGTCCTGGGCGCGTGCGAACATCTTATAGGCATTTGGGTACATTTTCAAAATCACCCAAATTCCCATCTTGTCGACGGGCTCGAGCGAGGCCAGCCAGTCGAAAAACATGAGCGGGGGCTTGGTCGGACAGAGCGATTCTCGTTCGCTGGACTTCTTTGGCGGTTCGTGTCCCTTTTTCCAGCTGATGGGTGTGACCGAAGAGAGGCGCAGTTTGCCGTAGGAAAGGGAATATTTTCTCGTGATGATGTGATTATGGAAATGCGTATTGCTCCGGAACTTGAAGTCTGAACAAGAAAACAAATCAAAAGTGCCAGAAAAAGAGCAATTTCTAACCAACTTTGATGATGTGCTCATCCTGCAAATAAGACAGCTCGAGGTCGTCGAAGAAGTTGAGCAGCTCAAAGTCCTGCTCCGTGAAATGCTTCAAGATTCGCTCTTCGCATTGGATGACGGTGTACCAAAAGTCAGGGATCGACATCACCATTTCATCGCGCTCGGCAAAGAGGAGGAACAGTTTCTTCCAGTTTTTACGCGAATGTTCGACGCTACAAAATATGAAATGAAAATGATAGGATGGTTATAACCAGTCCCACCGGATTTTTCTCATTTGATCTTGTATCCTTTTCTCCATCGCTATAATTTCGTCGTTGTTTTCAACGATCGAGATGGCGCTTCCAGCACTCACACGAGACATTTTGACCGATTTCTGAAGACAAAACTTTACACTGTACTGTGAAGAGACGAAAAAATGCATATCAATAATAGAATAAATTTTGTGGAAGAACGATTAGCTGATTGAACATCCCTTCGCTTCTTCTTCTTTGCGTTTTTTCATTGCAACTTCTGAAAAAAAGTAATCGATATTGTAATTGAATAATGGACTCTTTACCCAGTTTATGTATATGCTTGATAGCCTTGTTGAAGTCATCTCTACTCCAACCTGTCTAAGAGTATTGTTTTAACAAACATAACAGGGTCAATCCTTACATATTCCATCAGGGCAAGATCATCTTTAGACGGAGGGTGGCTTTCATCCCAGTTGTAGTAGTATTCCTCTTCTATCCAACCATACTTTTCACTGATCTTTCCTTCCGTTCCTTACACACGAATCAAATTAATGAAATAGGTGCTTCAGAGCCCTTACCATCAATCATTTTCCAACGAAAGAGTCTTGTGTCTGGCTTTGGCGGAATATCAGGTTTCTTTTTAGAATTTCGTTTCTTTCCCTCGTGTGCTTGTGTGCCAGGAATAGTGAAAATGAAGGTTACTTTGTCCTCTGGGCTCATGAAGGTCAAATCACCCTCGAACCCGTGCTCCTCCTTTTTAAATTTCATGAGGTGAAGACCAAGATTGAAGGAATACCTTGAACTGCTGGATATAAGTTTTCAAATAAAGCATTCTCAATTGAAAATCCGCGGAGTTTCGCAATCGAAAGTCCGGGTCAATCTCTGGCTCTTCTTTATAAACCGATAGAATGGTGTATCTCTCCTCATTTTCCTTCTTGTTTTCCATAAAATCTCCCTCGTAAATTTAGTTTCTGAGTTTTGCATAGAGCCTAGCCCTACTCTCAAGAATTCTAGAGAATGCTGCAGACCGATAGATGGAGTCATTTATCGAGAATTGAATTTATTTGTCGAGTTTTTTCAGTAAGTGTGTCTGGATAAAGAAGCATAAGATCTTGAGTAGAAAACATAACTATTGCACTTGATAAGTAATCATTCCGGTCTTTTGTAACTCAGAGGCATAAGAAGATTGTAGAATCCTTGCTCCAGTTCAGAAAGCGCCTTCCAGTAGACAAATTTCCTCGCCTGAACGGGATCAGGGCTTTCAGATGCGTAGTGAGGATCGACAATCAGAAGATAGACATCTTCGAATTTTCTGCCTTTTCGAGCAATTCCGAAAATGCCCTTTGAATAGTGGTCGTTTTCACCGCCCATCATTAATGGCGCGCCAAAGTTGGAAAAGTGCGTTAAAATATCGGGAATATGAGCGTAGATTTCAGCTGCAGATTTACAGTGGAGAACTTTGCAGGGAATGTTGTACAGTAGGTCTATCACCATACAGGCTTCAACGGTTCCGATCCAATCGCGGCTTTCTTCTTGTATTTCTTGACCCATTGATCCGAGTATCGCCTGGTATTTGTGAATGCTCTCAACTTTGGGAAGCGTTTTCTCTTCGAAATGACTAATGATCCAAGAAGCGATGGTTTGGAGCGTTCTGTAACCGCATCCCCAGCCCCGATCGTCGAAGCTGTCGCACATATAATGCCAATATTCGTACTCGCCCATCACTGCAGAAATCTGACCTTCGGTGCCTTCTGGAGGGTTGTCGAGTCCGAATCGATGAACATTTTTGAGAAGCATTCTTTAAGCAACAAAAATGATCATCAGTTAGATTAGATACTGGCAGCATGTTTTAGAAAGAAAAGGTCAATTGTTTCTAATCAGAGTCAGACATTGCTGACTTGTCGGAGTTGTCTGACTTTGCCGATTTCGCATCCGAATCGTCAGAGTCATCGGAATCGTTGATAACATGTTTTTTGTGCTAGAAATTGTTAATAGAACAAAGTGTACGCAGATATTTCGTACCTTTGGAGCGTCTGAATCATCAGAGTCACCCCCACTTTTGTTTCGATTTCTAGCGAAGGTGTCTTCATCGTCAGATGAATCCTCTAAAAATTTGTTCGGAAAACTTATTGGAAAGAGATTTCTTTACCGAATTTCTTGATCGGACCCCGTCTCTCTGCATAATCCTCGGAGCTCTCCGAATCGCTTCGGTTGTGGACGCCTCTTTTGATCGCATTCAAACTGTATGAATTGTCATCGTCGTCCTCCAAGTATCCTGCTCCCATGTTCTTGCGCATTTCTCGCTCTCGCATCTTCTGCCGTTGCTAAAAAAATAATAACTATCGAAAGAAACATGTCAAAAACGAACCTGCTCTCGGCGCAATTCAGCCTTTCCTCGTTCATCTGCTTCTCTGATAAGGCGCTCGCGCTCCTTGTGAGGATCGTTTCCACTGACTGGGATGACTTTGACTTTTTGCATCGGATTGTTGATCCTTTGCGCAAGTCTGCCCATGATCTTCTTGTGAGTAAGAGAATTCGTTGAAGATGGACGGAAAGTGAGTTTAGTTTGGAAAACAGCCTATAAAAAGCGATCGGAAACCAAAGTAAGCACAAAATAAATTCACCTGTCCTTGAAGGCCAGTTCCCTGTCGAATAAACAGATGGTTGAAGTCTCCCTTGAGCTTCATACTCTGAATGTCGTACTTTTCATTTCCCAAGATCAAACTCTGAGTTCCATCTGACCAGCGGACGATTTTCGCATTTGATTCAACCTTTTCCGTTCCGTCCGGCTGAGCAACTTTTCTCCATCTGATCGTATTCTCAACTTTCAGTTTCAATCGCGTTCTTCCTTCCTCATCGAGGTCATCGTCTTCTTCCACCTCGTCTTCGTAGTGGGCGGGATCGAAGGGCTTTGGTTCGACTGATAGGAAATTCGGAAAGCGCACGAAGTTGATTTGCTCGCCTAAGTTCGTGTTGATCTTCGGAATTTCGACGGGAATGATTGTTTGATCACGCTTGTCCTCGTCATCCGACCCTGCCATCGGGTCGTCCTGCGTTGACAATGCTTGTGACTGGGACTGAGATTGCGTCTTTTCATCCCCAGACTCGTCAGACGACATATCACCAAACATGTTATCAACTTCACTTGCAGGCTTTGTTTTGTTGACGTTATCATCATCCGAATCATCTGACGAAGTGGGCAACGCGGTATTCTGAGCCTTTTTGATATCATCATCCGAGTCTGATCCACTATCAGACTGGCCGTAAGTTGGAGTCCCTCCTCCTTGGTTCTGGACGGGAGCGTCTGAATCTGAGGAGCTTCCGGAACTCATTCCTGTCGGAGTGGTGGCTCGGGGTGGCGGGCTTTTGTTTGGCTCGTCATCGGAGCTAATAAAGATGAGTTTTTATTGCTTAAAAATTAAAAATATTCTACAACAGTTACTGTAGTCGCGTGATCTAAGACAAATATTTGTCGGATCCAAATATTTTTGAAAAACGGAAGTTTTTAACGACGTGACAATGAAAAAAGTCCTTGTGTTGACATTACCCACTCTCTGAATGAATACAGAGGCAGATTTGTTAGATACCTGTCTGAAGAATCAATCCTCGCCGCGACGTTATTGCCGGAGCTCGGTTCGTTGTCAGAGTTTGAATCTGACATTGAGTTAGTTGGGCGGCGCGCTTCGCCTTCAGAGTCCGAGCTTGAATCCAAATCAAGGGATACCATTCTAAACCGCCGCGCTCGTTTATTATATATTCATAAGAGCACTAGCTGAGAACAGATGGACTAGGACCGAGAGAAGATTTTACGCTGTAATCAGCAAAACTGGTGGTCACATGACGCCGTGAAATTTCATTCGGCAGGGTATTTTGATGGGAGACAAAACAGGGTTCGTCAAATTTGAAATAGGAAATCGAGCCGCCTGGCAGCTTTCTTTTTAGGACCAAAAACCTCCGACCCCTACGCCACCCACGGTGCAAAAAAGGAAAGAGAGAATAGTGAAAACTGGTCGCGAGCGATACTCTATCAATTCTATTATTGACGCTATTGACGACAGCAAAGAGGAGACTCTATAAGAAAAACAAAAGAGAGGAAAGGATGTTTCGTCAGAGAAAGCTCAAAAAAGAGCTGAAGAAACACAGGTATATTTAAAATTAATAGACTGAGATGATTTCAAAAAAATTTCGCGGGCCTGAAATCGTCAAAAAACTTCTTGTCTAGTTTTGAAGAGCTCGTCGAGACGAGTCGAATGATATATAAAACTCCAGATAGTTTTAAGATTTTCCGCCAAAAGTGATAAGAAGGTGGCTTATCAAAAATTTTCTGACCGGCGCCGTTTTTGTTCTAGAAAAGCTGAGGTGATGCTTGACCCCGGAAAATGATCCTCATGGTCTGGTCTATTCCGGCAAAAATTTCAGCTCGTCCTTACATATCCTGCTGTGCTTATCAGCGAAAAATCAAAAAATAGTGCATTTTGTTGTCGCTGCACGTTCCTAGTTTTCGGCCGATTCATAGTCCCATTTTCCTCGGAAAATGAAATTTAACGATAAACTCGGCTGGGTAAATGATGACGAGCTGAAATTTTTGCCGGAATAGACCAGACCATGAGGATCATTTTCCGGGGTCAAGCATCACCTCAGCTTTTCTAGAACAAAAACGGCGCCGGTCAGAAAATTTTGATAAGACACCTTCTTATCACTTTTGGCGGAAAATCTTAAAACTATCTGGAGTTTTATATATCATTCGACTCGTCTCGACGAGCTCTTCAAAACTAGTCAAGAAGTTTTTGACGATTTCGGCCCGCGAAATTTTTGAAATCATCTGAATAGATGCTACATTTCTTTATTATATAATATTTTAAAGGGTTGAGCTTGAAAGAACTTCGGAAGAAAATCAACTCTTATCAAACGTCGTAAATCAGCTCAAAGACTTCATAGCATCCAGCGTCGAAAACGAGCTTCAACTAGTGGAGTTGAATGATCACTTGTCAAAAATTGCCAACTCGCTGCTTGAAAAACCGGCGAATGTCAAAGAAGAACCGGAAATTGAGCGAGATTTGATGCTCGATAAGGTTTTATCGATTGACAGAAAAGTCTCGCACTGGATGGAGTCGAAGACAAAAGAAAAAGAATGTGAAGGCGGGTGTGTCTAAGCTTTTTCTACAGTGCTTCAAGCCTGTAATAAATCAAAATCCGCTAAAAGGACACCCTTAAATAGCGCTAAATCAACTTGTGGTAGAGGTCACCGAAAAGAACAATGAAGTAAGTCAACCTAGGAATAAATTCGCGGTCACTAAATCCTTCTTCTACAATAGTTAGATCAAAAAGTCGAAAACTTTTCCACCTGCCAGATTTGCATGAATTCATACGATCATAAATCCCAGTGAGTCAGAATCACCTAACAATCAATCTCATTATAATAAATATTAAAGCCATCGGTGCATTTTTGCCGGCTGTGGTCATGTTTTATGCTATGAATGTGCGAAAACGATTTCTGAGAAGTCAAAACGAGGCAGCACACATCTCAACAAGTAACTCCCGCATAAAAGTACCCTGTTAACGAGAATTTTAAAGATGTCCGACTTGCAGAAAGCCAGTCAGCTCAACAAACATCATCAAAATATACGAAGCAACTTAAAAACCTCCAATTTTTACCCAATTCCAGGGCCCCTGCCATCATTAAAAACAGAAATAAAGAGGGTGAACACAAAAGCGTTTGAACAATTTTTGTTATTAAAAATATAATGAAACAAGAGTAGAAAAAGAAAATTTGTAAAAAATATGCAGTGGATTGTGTTGGTTTTATACAAGGAAGCGCTTGTCGATCATAGTGCGGGAAGAGAGATTGCGTCGGGCTAGGTTTTGGCGCAGGAAGCGGATGATTCGGCTCAGGATGTAGGTAATCACAGCTAGGGAAGATTAGAGTCTGCTTCAACTGATGAGGATACCTGCAAGGATGAATGAAGTAAATGCAATGTCAAAGACGACGAATGATAGAATTTCGAAGACAACTAAATGTGATTCGTTGCCGTAGAAGAGCGCATTTCCGATCGTTTCACCTCGTTGATCTGAAGAAGGCATAAAAATGTTTCTATATCCTACTTTTACCTCGGTACATATCGGAGATAACTGGCTGTGGTTGGTTTGAGAATTCAATATCAAGGAACTTCTCCCAAAGACCCTTTGAATTAAACTGAAGTTTCAAGCTTGGAAGTCCGTGCATGAAGAACTTTTGCAAAAATGTGTTGAGACGGCGATATGACTCCACTTGAGACTTGTTCTGTTCGTCCTCATTAGCCGCGCCCATAGAGTTGCCAACCATGGCTGCGCGGTAAAATGTGTCGTAGTACTGGCGGAATTCATTGGTAACTTTGATTTCGAAAGTCTAAACGACCATTTCAACGTCTTCTGACAATATATTAACCTCACCGTTATGTCTTGTCCTGGTTCAAGGCCTCTAGTGCCAGTTTGGCCATTCGCTTCACGACGCAAGCAGTTTTGCAAGTCAAGCATGTCAGTATCCGCACGACCATGAACACTTTTTCCATGAACATAGTATCCAAACCTTAGGAGAAGCATAAAAATTAATAAACGATGTTTTCACTCACTGTCTATGGGTGAGAGTAAACAACGAGACATTCATAACCGACAGGAGATCGATAAAATTCAAGATTGGATTGAAAAACATTGAAATAATCAGACGATTGACAATGTACTGCGCGAGTGCGGTAGATCCATATACGATCATGGCTAATCCAGCTCGGAGATACAGCGAGTCTTGTCTCAGTGCGTCGTTTTCGCAATTGAATTTGAACGCAGGCGATTGATTCGGTGTTGTGCAGCCATAGTTGTCGAAATTGAGAACTAAATATTTCAAGAAAGATTTTTAGTTTAGCAGAACGCTCAAAATACCCTCAAGAACGAAGATAACGACAAAGAGTTGCAGCGTAATGGAGGTTTTCCTTGTTGTTTGGATCTCTGACCATTCATTTGCCGCTAGAATTGTTCTCCAGATCGAGATCTTCGAAGCCGTGGTCTTTTTCATGGACTGATCTCCTTCTGCTAACGGCCGCTCGCGCTCCCAGTCGATGAAAAAGACGTCTGCGTAGCTTTGGTCCAGGACGATGTGGATCACGTTGATCGTCTTGAAAACGAAGGCAAGTACAGTGACGGTGATGAAAAGGGTCGACTGGTCTTCTGGAAGCTGTCCAGGATCGACGCTATTGTTTGCAAAGAAGGTATAGACAGCAAACGAAACGGAAGTAACGAACATTGCCCAGGCAAGCCCATCGAGGATAGATAGAAGGAACTTGATTATCATCGTTCCGTCTAGCATCATCGTTCCATTTCGTCGATTCCAGGAAATGAATGGGATCAAGGAGATGAAAAAGAAGACGCCAACGAGAACACCGAGAACGATTTTCCATTTTTCTTCTTCTGTTTCAGCAGCTTTTATGTACTTTATCTCGAAGGATATATCGGCAGCAGCGCCATCTGCGTTATTCACGTCGCCATAAACTGCAGAAATCTGTGGAGGAAAAATTGTGCCGTCTTCCTTGATCTCTGTCGAAATCGTGAGTGACTTGAGAACGCGAGTGTACTCTGCATTGCTGACAGTATCAGCCGTAAATATTCGCCGAGTAAACTGTAACGCAGGATTAACGCTAGCTCCACAAGTGCTATCGCATGAAGTTTCTACGGGAAGCGGATAGAGTTTGTTATTATCTTCCAAATACAAGTCCATGAATTTCGTATTTGCAGGCAAGTTTTCGACAGTAATAGAGCATGTCTGTTGTACAGGGGCACCAAAGGACCAGAGTTTTTCAAGATGATTGTCGTATAATTTGCATAATTGAAGCAGACCTTTTGTTACTTTTTGAAAACCAAGGAATGTACCATTGACACTGTACGTAGCGATCGTTATATCAAGGGCAGATTGATAGTCAAAGCTCTTTTCGATCCCAGTGTAAGTCGTGAGAGTCTGGTAATCGCTGTCTGCGAGGATGATCCATGGAAACTGCTCGCGCCAACCTTGAATGGTCGTCAGTGGCTGGCGATTGGTTTGAACTTCCAAGAGAAGATTGCAAGCCGAGCCGCTAGTTGTAGTCAATTGAAGAACACAAAGATTGGCCAAAAAATTACAAGCCGTTGAGTCTTTGCCATCAAGGCACTTTTGATAAGAAGTCATTAGATTTTCGGTGAAAAGATCCGAGGAAAGCTGCTGCCCATTCCGAGTGATCGTTGTTTCTGGATTGACAGATTGAGCTTGGGCAAAACAGACATCGCCAACGGAATTCGCGACAGAACATGAACACTCGTTAGAATTCGGCAATGGTAGTTCGAAAGGACAGGAAATGCATTGATCAGACTCGCTATTTGTTGTGTATGCAGATGTACAAGCTCCACATGTCACAGTGGTTTTGAAAGACCCATCTGGATTTCGCTCATCAAGAATTTCTTCAGAATTGTCGCAGACACAGCGCCCGGAAGAAGCATCAAGAGTGCTTCCAGAGCCGCAAGTGTAGCACGCAGTTCCATCCAAAGAAACCGCTCCAGAACATGCAGTACAGGTGAGAACAAGAATGGAACTGCTATCAAGACTGTAGCTTGTTGTAAAGCCCTTATTGCATTTACACTCGTTGGGGTGAAGCGAAGTCGTTCCAGAGTTAGAAGGGCAGCTCACGCAGGTCAAAGTGGCAGGATCGAAAAACTCTGTCTGACTACAATCGGCGTATGTTTTCTTGGCGATAAAATAGGACTGCTGACAGAAGACAACTGGCAGTAGAAGTGCGCCGAAAAGTTGTTTCATTGTTTTTAATGCATCTGAATTGTAATTGGGATGAAATGAGATGAATTCATGAACTATATTAAGCAATATAACTTTACACGCTAAATAGTTAAAATGACTTTGAAGCAAGTGGGAATAGAGCGACAGAAATTTTCAGATTTTTGAGAATAAAACTTTGCACAGGTAATAAAGCTCGTAGAAGCTATTTTTAATTCTTTTTTTTTTACTTTGAGCTTTCGAATATAATTGTAACGTGGGTAAGAATGATGGGTATGTTTGATAGGCTGGGTGTTTGATTGTCATTTTTGAAACGCATTGATGACAAACTTCAAACTTTAGAAATGTCGGAAAGAAAAAGACTTTATCAACGATTTTTTATCAACACAGGAACACAAAAATGGAACATAAAGAGAGAAGTTACGCCAGTTTTGCACCAGTTCGTTTTCATCACGTGGTGCGATAAGGGAAGCGTTGTTTTTTATTGCACTGCTGGTTTGGTTGGGATAGGTTTCGCTTCTATCTAGAGCTCGTCGGGATCATGTGACGCGTTAAGGTGTGGCTTTGGGTTCTATAAAATTGTATGATGCTCAGCTAGTAAATGAGGGTTACCTTAGCAAGGGAGTAGAAGTGTTTCAGGTTCACTTCCGAGTGACTTAACAGTACGGAAACACTACCATATTTTCTAGTCAGCTTTTCCAGTTTATTTCCCTCTCTACTTCCTAAGAATACGGAGCCGATTTTGACAGTTGACTCGCCATCAGGAGCCATTGAAAACAGTGTGTTTGTATCAGCGCTACAAGCACCAATAGAGGAGCGAATTAATTAAAATGAAGTCTTACCTTGTATCTTTTTTGTTATCAATAATGATCGCACCGATAGCACCAGCTTGCTCTGCGTTGAGAACTTTTTTAGCGAACATACATTCACCACGATAAAGTACCACAATTTTTCCTTGCATATCTTTTGGATTCGTAAGACTGGAGCATCCATGGCTCGGTTGTCCTAAAATCACATGAAGATGTCTCTGATATTCTCTATTACCGTATGCAACTTCTCCTATTAAAGGACTTTCATAGAAGTCATCACCAAACTGGGCAGGACCAGCGAGGGAAGTGAATCCCTCTTTTCCGTCGATGAGCACTCCGAAAAAACGCATCGTATCCAAGGAAGAGTTCTTTTCTGCCTCCTTGTTCAGCTCGATCATTTCTGACATAAAAACAAGCCCTTCGTTGGCAGCAGCAGTGGAAACAGCAAGTTCAGCTTTATGAATTAGTTGTGTTTGCCCGGTATGGGTCATTTCAACGTGAATTCCCATCCGGTTGAGGAGCTTTTCGTGCTCTTCGTTTCCTGGAATGTAGTCTTTAGCACGGAGACGGATATGAGTTGCCATGTTTATGTCCGCCTTGCCTTGAGACTTCATTTTTTGCGACTAAAGACGTGTTCTTTAAACCGAAAAATGACCCATTCCTACCTTTTTGGCCTTGGAATTCTTTTGAATCCAAGCTCTTGAGTTTTCTCTCCAGATTTCCAACGTGGCTGTGTCAAAAAGCGTGCCCGACTTGTTATCAGCTCTTGGATTTGGGCACGATTTTTCAGGAGAGCCATCTGGATTTGTCTTCGAGAAAGTCGGCTCTACATGTTTCGTGTGGTTTTTGAAAGAAGACAACCACATGGGAAGGAGATGAGCTTCCGTTGTAAAGACGAATTTACTTGGATCAATTAAAAGCTCGGAGTCATCGGCGAATAAAAGATAGAGATATTTGAACATTTCAGCGAGGAAGAATGAGTCCATCCTATCTTCGTGATTCTTTTTGCGAACATCTTTGATTCCAGCGTAGCCACAGCGTTTTCGAGCGTAGGTTTCTAGCGTATTGATGATATCGAGGCCAACCTGAAGCAAATTAAAACCTGTTTTATTCTTGAAATAATACCTGTAAATAGTAAGGATCATGAGTAGCTTTATATAATAAGTAAGTAGACTCTGCGAATTCTGGGCGAAGGGGATTTTGACCCCAGTGAACATCGAATTTATGAGTGAAAGCTTCAGGAATGAAGCCGTATTTCTGGAACACTTGATAAAGAAGCTCATGTATTTCAACAGCGGATTGAATATCGCCTTTCAACACCTAAAATCGTTAATTTCGTTTCATATTAACTTAAGATACCTGAACACCCGGCCAAAAAGCAGATAAAGAGTCGATAAACGACCTGGATTGCTCAGTCGGACGATGCATATGGACATCGATCATCATTGGTCCTTGTTGAATAAATCTTTTGATAGCGTCGTAATGAACATTAAATCGCTCCAAATAGGCCTCATCTCCAAGAAGAATGTAGGCTTTCAGCAAGTACTCGTAATAAGAATCAATGCCAGCCCCAATACCGCTTTCTCTTCTGACCCAATCGCCATTGTTTACATTTATGACTGTTCCAACAAGTCCTGATCCGTGATGCCGTTTCTTCCAAATAGAGTCAAGTGCGATTCGAGCTTTTTCTTCATAAGTACTATCACCGGTAAAGCGTGAGAGGGCGGCAAACTCAAGAATCAAAGTTCCCGCGCAGGCTGTACAGGTCTCTGGTTGGCTCTTTTTCACGTTTCCAGTTTTCAGGTTAATTCTGGACATTGGAATTCCAGTTGTTGTGTTGAAAGCGGGAAGGAGTTTGTCGCCCATAATTTTGGCAAAGCGAAGAATGCAATTATCGTACTAAGAATTGATTCATAAGAGAATTAAAAACGCGTCTTAAACTTACATCCATTTTGCCCATGTCAGCAAGCTCGAGTGCCATAGCGTGACCTCCAAGTAGCCCGCCAAGAACTCGAATGTTTGTCTCAAATGTCGAAATGATGAAGTCGCCGTCAAGATTCAACGTCTTATTGAGCTTCACAACGGCATCTTTGAACTCGTCCACGTACCCAAGAAGGGCAAGTGTATCCAAAGAGTCGATAAGCGTGAGTTGGAAGTTTCCAAGAGCATCGTCAACTTCTCCCCTCGATTTTGTGACGCCACGTGTTCTACCCTCGCAGCTTAGAGGCATGAGCTCATCAGCAGGATACGCATAAAGCATGTAACTGTCGTACGCATGCCTAGAAAATGTCGCTCTTGTCCAAGGAAAAGTAAGCTCTACCTGAACATGCCATGGACTTGCTTGGTAATATCAGCTTTGTTCAAATGAACCTGCTTGCCATACACTGCCAATATAGGGCCTATTAGGCCTAATAAAAGGCCTCTCACAAGGCATGTCCGCATCCGACTTCGATCTCGACTAGATTTTTATATAATCTTCAATAAAATATCTTATGCCTTTGTTTTTCATTTTACTCGAAAGCGTTTTTATTGAATAAATAACGAGTTAGCGTAAAAAGAGAATTTGCGCAGTAAGAATTAAAGTTGGTGGCTATTTTGATAAAGGGTACGGGGAGACGAGTGAACTTGAGTAATGGAAAAGTGAGCAAAAAGTGCGTTGGAATCCTGCCAACGCCGATGTTAAAATAGTACGTATTTGGTTAGAATTATTGCAGGAATTGTGAAAGAGTAGTTTTTTTCAGGAAAAGAGCTTGTGAATCAAAAAGAAGTACAGTGAATAGGCAAAATCTCGAAAGGCTACAGTATGGTGAATGTGAATGAGTTATAAGAAATGAATTATAGAATGGTAAAAACGGGAATGGTGAAATTCGAATACAGAAATAGTGAAAAAGAGGCAGGGCGCGGTGAAATGTGATGTAAAAAAATAAGAAAGTTTTTATGTGGCTTCGTTGTCTTTTGGGGCATAAATGCTTATAGATGCAGCTGAGCTCGACGTTCCCGAGGCGTTCTTGAGGAAAACTTCGTATGTGCCTGTGTCTTCCATCATCGAACTTGCGACGCGTAGAATGTGTGTCTTTCCTAAAATAATTTTGTTGATTTGCTTGATAGTTGGGTAGATCTTACCTTCTGGATAAGCTGGAAAAGAAGTTCCAGCTTCCGTAAGAACATGAAGCCCCTCTTCAGGCTCTGCCTCAATAACTTGATCTTCAAGTGTCCAAATGACCTCATCCGCATGAATGACTTCAACAGACAGCTCAAAAGGCTGTCCAAGAGCAAATTCCCTATGAGTTAGAGGTTTCAGAAATCGCGGGAAGGGACCTTGACGGACATCTGCGTCATCCACTCGCTCTACATTAGCGTCAGAGGTTTCCAGGGGCTGGGAATGTACGGGCTCTTCAGAATGAGCAATGACTTGCTGGACCGTGGAAGCTTTCGAAGACGACGAAGCAGCGGAATTCTCAGCGTATGGTCCTCGTTGATCTCCGTCTGACTCAGAGCTAAAGATATTCTAGATAAAAAAGATGTTCAGAATCAACAAAAATTACCTTGTCGATGGATTGTTCTGCTGTTTTGCAAGACGCTTCGCTAGAGCTTTGTGGAGCTCATCAAGACTCTCAGGCTCTTCGTCCTCCATGTCAGCAAGGTTTTCAGCTGTTTTCGACTTCTTGAGATTGGAGCGGAAATCAACTTGCTCGACTTCATGAGATCGAAGGTCGTCAGCAGTTACTGATCTTGTTTCGACCCTGGATTTGAGCTGGGATCGGAAGTCAAACTGGTTGACGCCTGTATCATCAGAAGAAGACTTCGGGGCTGAGTCTGGACGAATGAGAGTGAGATAAAACGGCGCTTGAACCTTATTTTTGTTAGAAAATTCTAATAGTAACATATCTTACCTCAGCATGAACATTTTGAGCTACAAAGAGCGCTTTTCCTGCAAGTGATTTGTCAAATTTGAGAATTTTCAAGGTTGAGCAAACTTGATCATCCTCATAGTTGACGGTCACTGTGACTCCATCCGTCCGTCCTTCAGTAAAAGTGCGATCATTCAATTTCCAGCAGACATCTGGCATAGGATCTCCTACTGTTAGTGCTGACAATGTGAGAAGGTCGTTTTCGTGAACCTTAATAAAGATGAACCATTGTCAATGGGCTTTGACCTACCTCTGCGGAAGAAGGTCTTTTAACAATTTTAGGCTCCGACCCATCTTTCTCGACTGACAAATTTAACGTCTTCGAGGAAGAAGCGAATTCATTGGACGCCACCAGCTAGAATTTTGTAACAAATCGCAGATATTCGATCAAAGCTACCTGGTATAGTCCTGCATCATCAGGAAACACTTCACGAATGCTGAATTTGAAAGTGTTTTCAACTCGCTCGAGAATAAAGTCAGAACCGTCGATTTCCAAATCGATCGCTTCATCGTCATTTATCCTCTGAATCGAAAGCTGATCACAGTTACTGATTTCCTTAAAAATAATTTTCAAAACTCAACACTCTATATTTTCCTCTTACAAAGGTCCATCCAAACGGTTTCCCATCTTTCGCAGCGTCATCGGAGGCTTGGACGAATTCTGGGGCACTTTGTTCACGAACTGCCGAGAGTGAAAATTTGTCGACCGTATATGTCTCGTTTTGAGCAGGCAGCACGCTGTTATCAACGAAGGAAGAATTCTCTTGAGAACTAACCCTTAATTTGTCAAATTTCAAATTTTCGACGGTGAACGTTCGATTTTCAGCATCAGATTTATCAACGGCCGTGAAATATTCAGTTGCTGTCACTTCTCGTCGGATAAAAACATCGCTGTTGCCCGACTCAGCTTCTGCCTCGGATTGCTTCTCTTCGAAATTAGCCATCGTCAAGGTAATATTCGGGTTTTCATCCCACTCAGACTCATTCTAACGAAATCAAAGTAAATAAAAGCGAAAACAGAAGTTCATTACCTGTTCGGTACGATGAGAATCAGCTGAAGTCGTGCGTGAATGCTCAGAGACTTCGACGATCGTTTCCATCGGTTCAACAGCGACTTGTTGCTCATGCATCGGCCGGATTCGGAGATGTACCTTTACGTAGCATGATGAAGAGACTGATCCAGTAGAATTTGTCGCTTAAAACATAATATTGGTCTTATGTCAACGAAAATCTTACCTTTTACTGAGTATTTGCCCATATCCTCTGCCCAGCAATCCTTGAGAACGAGTTCCGTAAGTCCTTCGTCATCTGGCGGTCCTTCCCAAATCAATTCCTCGAGAAAATACCAGCATATTGTCGGTGTCGGTTTTCCAGTCACTCGACATCGCAGCACAATATCGTCTTGCTCGATAAATGTCTTATCCTTGAGATGTTCGATAATGGCTGCTGGTTCAGTTTCTTCGCGCGGTGGCTCTGGTATTTTTTGATTGACCTTGACGTTGACAGTGTATGATGCGAGTCCAGCTTCGTTTTGAACTATGAGATGGTATTGGCCTTCATCATCTTCAGTTGTCGACGCAATCTCAAGCTTTGACACTGACTCGTTCTCCGTAAAGAGCGCATTTGTCACAGGCTCTTTATTCTTCATCCACGTAACAGTTGGAACTGGCACACCAGTGAATTCGCAACCGAGAACAAGTGGACTGCCCTCGTTGACGGATATCTGTTCAACAGGCGTGGATGTGAAATCAGGAGCGACCCTCGTGTATCGAATGTTGCATTTAGAAACTTTAGTATGAGACTTGTTCGCAATCAAACATGTCAGTAATCCTTCGCACTCTAAGGCCATCTTCTCAATCGATATCTGTGAGTAACCCCCTTCTGCCAAAGTTCTTGAATAAACATCAATGAATACGGGTAGTGGCGCATCATTTAGCATCCAGGTTATACTCGTCGCAAGGCCAGTGTACTTAATCGTAAGCATGATTGGCTCGCCAAGCTTTGCCTCTGCCTCAGAAGGAAGATCTTGGATTATTCGCGGCGGATTAACTGGCGGATCAACGACGATTAAATTGGTAGTGCCTTCATCCACACCAGTTTCATTTTCCGCAATGATTGTGATCCTTCCACCTTGAGTACAGTTGTCAACAGAGAACATGAAACGATTTGGCGCTATCATTTCTGCAACTTGATCGTCAAAGCTCCAAGTTACTCTCGTACAGGTTGCCTCGACCTCTAAACTGAATCCGTGGCCAGCGCGAACTCGAATTTCTGCAGGAACATGAATAAGAGAAGGAGGCGCCTGGCGGACGGTGACTTCACATTGACTCTCAATAGTGGCTGATGTTATCGGATGCTGGGCAACAATCGTGTAGGTTCCAGAATCGTCGACGAGTAAGTTTTTCACATGCAGCTCGTAGATCGACCCATTTTGAACCAAATGGATGTCATTTTCTTCTGAGGTCTCAAAACGCTCATCCTCGAAGAACCATCTCACGATTGGCTCCGAATATCCTTCTAACTCAGCGCTTAATTTGAGGGAGTCGCCTTCGACGTAAGTCGCATCGGACAAGGTTTTTTTGAAGTTAACAGGAGTATCTGCTGCTGTCTGAATTCCCTGATCCACGGGAATGTTTTTGTTATGGATGAAGCAGGAAACTGTTTCAGAGCCGCCAGCATTCGTCACTGTCAGCGAGTACTCTCCAAAAAGATCTTCGTGGATTCCACGCACTCGCAATCTGTATTTGTCGCCAAATCGCCGATGAAATATGCCATTTGGAAGCTCAGATGATCCATTGAAGCGCCAAACTGGCTCACCTACACCCCCAATCACTGTCGCTTCTATCGTGACATACGAGCCAACCTCGGATATGACTGTTTCTAGCGGCTCTGTCACGCAAGGGGGAGCAATTGTTGAAGTGTGGCTCGAGTAAGGAATGGACGGGATCGAGCGCTGCGTGTCCGAATGATCTGAGCGACTTGTGACTGACAGCGCCTTCAGAGAACTGCGAATACTTTGAATGGACTTGTTCGAGCCAGTCGATTCCAAGTCATAATCTCGCGCGACCGTATACGTATCGGTATTCTCATAAGTTTTATCCATGGACAAATAGGTCGATCGCTCTGGAGGGGCAGTGTTCATTTGTAGATTCGGGCTTCGACCAAGGACCGCGTAGCTTCGATTTTGGGACGATCCTTGAGATGAAGAAACCCGATCTTCCTCTGTTGATGTCGAGTGCGTTTTTGAAATCGATTCAGCAGTCTCACTTACACGAATAGTCGCACTCGCGTGTTGCCGCCCAAGTGGATTTCTCGCAGTGATTTTGTAAGTTCCACTAAAAAAATGAATTAGAATGGCTAGTAGAAGTCTTCTTACCTATCAGAATGACACGCTCGTACGATGCTCAAAACATGCTGCTTTCCCTCAGATGATATCGTTGTTCTCTCATCTTCTGCCACAAGCCGTCCATTCTTCTCCCAAGTGACTCTCGGCGAAGGCTGGCCAAGGAGACTCGCTTTGAGAGTTATCTCTTCACCCGGGCGGATAACAGACGGCTTCGGTCTGCTGAGAAAACCTGGCGCTCTTCGCGCCCCTGTCAGGCTCTCAACGGATCCGGCTCTTCCTAAGCTCCCATACGACCGTTCCTCTCTCATTGATGAAGTAGCGAGTGGATTAGAGAAATAGATCGAGTTCGAATTGTTCGCATTCATTGAGCCACTTCTATTAGCGACATATGCTGAGCGTCGGGTTTTTTTAGGCACAACGGCGAGCCAAAGCGCAGAACTGACGCGTCCGGAGGAATTTTGAACAGAAGCGCGGTACTCTCCTGAGCAAGCGTTAAAATCTTTTATGAAACACTTGAAATAACCTGTGTGTTGTTTGGACACTGCGGGGATGACCAGCCGATGATGTTTATCATTGACCAAGGGGCGGCAGACTTTAATTTCATCGCCATTTAGAGTCCACTCGACTTCTGGAGCAGGTTTTCCGTGCACTGTGACGTCTAGTACGAGCTCTTCGCCCTCAGTGATCTCCATCGTTCCAGATAGAGGCTTGAGGAATTGAGGTGCGCAGCGATTCGAAGTCATTGTCAGAGTCTGAACTGTATGGATAAAATAAAGTGTCGTGCTTCACTGATACTGAGTAAGGGGCAGTGTGAAATTTCGTTTTGAATAACAAGGATGAGTTACTTTAGTCCAAATTTTCTTAGTTGCCGCGTGGTGATATAACCCCATGTAGTAAGTCAAGAGAGAGAAAAGTGGGAGAGTAGGCCGTTGCTGAAGTCGATGAGGGCACAGTTACAGTCAGCGAAATCTTCAGCAAGGCGGTGTTTTGCGAGTTATCGCGAACGAGATCGAGATCGGGATCGAGAGTATCTTGGGGATCTTCTTGGAGATCTTCTTGGCGATCGACTGTAGGATCGGCTTCTTCGACGTCTGAAAAATTTTACTTTAACTTAAGTTATCTTTCGCTTTCGATATAATCAGCGCCAGGTTTAGACAAATCGGTTGTGCGCCAACCCGAAAGTATTTTTTATCAACTAAACAACCAGGCAACCGATTTTTTAGACTTGAACTTACCGAGGTGAACGGGAACGTCGATCTCTTCCACCACGTCCTCCTCGATCACGAGATCTGGATCGACTTCGGTAACGATCCCGGCGACCACTGAAAATCAACGTAAAAATCAACGCATAATACACGTTTTTTTACCGGTCTTCGCCGCCGATTCTTCTGTGAGACTTGCGCATTTCAACACGGACTCGTTGTCCGCAAATTTCTCTTCCATCAAGAGATTTAACGGCGTCTAATAAACGGGGAAGAAAGTGAAGGTAAATGTAGTGTCAAAGTGAGAGAGACTCTAACACACAATCGACGAACCTTCAGCGTCGTCAGGATCCTTCATTTCGATAAAGGCAAAGCCAGTTGGCCGTCGTGCAACCTGTTTTTAGGGTGGCAAAACTTGGTATCGGATTGATTTTTCGAAAAATGGAAAACCATTTTTGACAAATTCGGAATCTGATTAAAGCTCCAACTATTCGTTAAAACTACCAGGGAAACTTCCATTCTATCGTAGAATCTCTGTTTTCGAGTTGTTTCCTTGCCGTAGATGGTAAAAAATGAAAAGAAATTGAGTGGTCCTAAATTTCAATGTAGAACCAACCGGTGGCCTTCGTTTTTATGCGCGGCAATGGGCAAGGGGTCGCCCCCGCACGAAACGAAAAAAGCCCAGGCTTTTGGCGCCGTAAATTTCAGTTATCCTCGATTGAAAATATGATAACACTGCGGAAAAATGATATGTAGAAATCTTATGAACAAAAGAAAAACATCTAAATGCTCCTGAAATCGATTTTGCGACCCGTGACCATACGGAAATAACTTCCCCATATTTTTCAAAGGCCCGCTCAAGTTCGGCCTTGTCTCCATAGTCTCCCAAATTGCCAACATAAATCTTGGACGCGGCGTTTTCAACGCGAACCATATCCCGTCGCCGAGACATCTTTGGCTCTTGTTCTATTCGATAATCTGAAAAAGGCAAACTTTTAACTTTTTGAAGGCAGTTCGTTTAATTTAGTAATTGAGCCTAGAATTCAAGAATAATCTTCGACAGCGTTTTTTCAGTAGAAAACGACAGAGTGCATAAGATCTCGCTTCTTTTCTTCCTCGAAGGATTGGAGCAACTCGTCGATGTTTGCATCCAAATCGTTGTCTTTTATCAACTCGTCGAGCAACTAAATTTTGCTAGAAATCGGGCGAGCGGGGATTCTCTCCTACCTGTGAAAAGACGATAGCTCCAATATCCGCGTCTTCATGATTATCAGGAATGTCCAAGTTGATGACATGGCACTGGGTAAACGATTTAGCTTTTCTTTCGTTGAAATCGGTGAGAATCTGATCGTAGACGCGCTCCTCGCAGCTCAGGATGATGTTGAAGACATCCTTGTTGTCCTGAAACTTCTCCGGGTGCCGTTTGATCTTGCGATTTCGGTCCAGCATGTTTAGCATTCCATTTTGGCGGTAAACGTTTCGGTCCTACAATTTTTCAAATGAAAATTGAAGGAAAAATCATTCAGAAATAAGGATTGAACTCAGCACTCAGGTTAGGTTAGGGCTGTACCTTTCTGTATAAATCTTCGTAGATTTCATTGTAGGGCGTTTGAAAAGCATACACGTTTGGGTTGTCGTGGGAAGTTCCTGGGAGCTTGACTCGATTTCCCGTCCCATAAGATGAAATGTTGTACCCTTTCTTCTCCAGCAACCGGTGAGCTTCCATCGATCGATTCATGTTTGAAGAGCAAATTACAGCGATTCTTCAGTTGCGTTTCAATATTTTTCATAATTTCTAGGGCAAAACTCTCCAGTTATACTGTAAATTCAATTATCTCTAGAGTCTGCTATCAATCTCAAACGCTTTCTCAACCGTTTCTTCCTTTCGTCAACGCTCAACTCTGACATCAGTGGCCCACTTATCGCACTCGGCGACATCTTCTCAACCTGCTCTTCCCGAATGCTCTCTTTCTGAAAGTTCCAAATCTAATCAATTTTTCCTCTTTCTCCGCGAGAACGCTCCAATAAGCGGCCGAGCGCGGCGCAAAACGCGCGTTCATTTGCGGCGCGCGGAATTAACGTTTTTTTTCTTCACTTTTTTCGATCGCTTTTGAATTTACCGTATCTTACGTACAGATGCTAGAGATACCTTCCTCACTCATAAATTACGCAAAATTTTTTTCTTTGTTACAATTTTATTTCGTAAAAAGACAGAAAACTTGAACTTATTCTCAAGGGAAATTTTGCAGTAATGAATCTCTATTTGAATTTCAATGAACATGTATGAATGTGAGCGACAAATTTATAAAAGCATTTCGAATCTTCAACAAGTTCTTCTTTTCGTGATTTTTGGCTGCCAGAGAATGTCGAATCCATTTTCTTCGATGAGCCAGTCCAAGTATTCATCTTGGCGGTAGTTTCGATGCGTTTTCATCGCATCGAAAGTCTGCTTGATGTCCCTGTAAGGAGGTGTTTCTCCAAATTGGAGAACATGGAGGTCTTCGAGGACTGGGCAAAGGGGCAGGAGCTCTGGAAACTCGGCTTTCCATTTTTTCTCGTTTAGGAGGGCTTCCTTCATCTCGTAGATCTTCTTCTTCTGACTTCGATCGTATTTCCCCCAGGGAAGTTCGCCCTTGTACAGCTCAATCAAAACATAGATGGCGGAAATACAGTCATCCCTGAGCGAAGCGGAGCTGATGTTTTCGCGCTGATCCTTTGAGGGAGAGGTGATGTTGATCGACTTGTAGAAGTCAGTTCCTGGCCCGTGCTTGTGTTCGTCTGGCATTTCCTTCATCTAAGATTAAGATAACTGTTGTAATCCCGTTTTCGAAGTTTACCCCATTTCTGTAGCATTTAGAAAGACCAAAATCGACGAGAAAAATGTTCTGCTTCCGATCATCCCGGCCAGTTAAAATATTTTGCGGCTTGATATCTCGGTGCAGCAAGTTCTTGGAGTGAAGATATTCCAGAGCGCTGAAGATTTGCTCTCCCGTGTTAATGACGGTAGTAAAGCTCAATCCCTTGTTGTATTTCTGGTTGTAGTGCTTGTTCAAAAGGTAGAAGTCGTTGGCTTTGGCGTACTTGAGAATAGTAAGCAGATCAGGGCCCAGTTTTTCAAGAGCTTTCTGAAGATCAATAATGGTTTGTTTGGCGAAAATATTCATAAAAAATAAGTGATCTGTTCCTAAGATGTTGAAGCTCTGCGGTCCACGGAACTTTACTTGGCCAAAGTCAGGTAGTCGGGGGTCATCCACCACCTCCTTCGACTGAAGCTCGACATCACAAGCAAATCGATGGAAGAATGCGAAATTTCTCAATTTTTTGCTTTGTCGATCGTGTAGTTTGGTGTAAATTGTGTACTCGATCTTCAACTTTTTCGTGGTTCTCGCTAATTATTCTTCGTTTTCAATTAAAAATGGAAATAAACCGATTCCTGGGGGTATTCAGCATCAGCTCGTTCCAATTTCAGCACGACCGTTTCGTCTGATTTGGTTTTCGAATTTATCTTCAGAGCTTCGTAGACTGCACCAAATCCTCCAGATCCAAGTTGATTTTTGATCTATCAGAAATATTTGTTCATCAATGAAAAATTATCATTTTTTTCATAATGGATCGCAAATTTTTTAGTTGAAATTTTACCTGAAACATCGGAACAGGTTCCGGCACTGTTCTCCTTCGTACACAGACTGTTTGCCCTTCATCAATGATGAATCTGTCTCTCATTCTCTCGATCGACTCCTTTTTCTTCAAGAAAAATCGAAATAATAGAGAAAGCCTCCGGGGCGTCTCGATCTGCTTTTCCCTTTTTGATGAAAACCTGCGAACGTCTCAGAGGGAAAACGAAAAAGTAAATATCATGACTCATTACTTTCACACATGTTTCCGGAATCGATAGATGCGTTTTATTTTTACGCTTTTTACTGCCGGAGGCAAAAAAGACGTGACAGTTGGTGAGATTTTATTTCGAGATTGTGAACCTGAACTTCAAAGAAAATGACAAGTGTGATTTCAGCGAGGAAAAGACTTTTGTTCACCAGAGCTTTTTGAAGCCGTTTTCTTCAATCAACCAGTCGAGTTGTTGATCTTTGTAGAATTTGGAAGTTTTCATTTCGTCGAAGGTGGTTTTGATGAGCGCATACGGGGGCATTTCGTCGAAGAGGGTGATATGCAGCTCTACCAGAACCTTGCAAAGTGGTACGAGCTCTGGGAACTCATCAGCCCATTTATCCTCATCAAGATATTCAGTCTTCATCTCGCACATCTCTTCATCCTCATTATTTGGATGCAAGTGCTCCCACCAGAGCTTGCTTTTGTACAGTTCAACAAGGACGTAAATTGCTGAAATACAGTCATCTCTGACTGATGCATCGTCGTACATGAGATTAATCGAGTGATAATGAGCACTTCCCACGCGGGTTCCGATTCCATCCTTCATGAATTTTCCCTTTTTTGAGTGTGTTAAACTTCGAGAGTCAGATTCTTGAGTTACCTCTTCCTTGAAACGCTTTGCCACACCAAAGTCGACGAGGAAGATGTTTCGGATGCGATCTTTTCCTCTCCCGGCCAAAATATTCTGCGGCTTGATATCGCGATGGATTATCTCCTTCTCATGCATGTATTTCAAGGCGGAAAAAAGTTGCTCCCCAACTTCGACCACTGTTGTATAACTCAAGCCTCGATTGAATTCTTGATTAGGATGGCTGTTTTTCTTGTAGAGTTCTTGTTGTTTCGCATGATCAAGGAGTTTGGAACAATCAGGTCCAAGTCGCTCAATCGCTAAAGAATCATATTTCTAGGTTCTTGAATTGAAATGAGTTACCCAAGAAGTTGAATTTGTCCATTCCAGAATCCAACGATTTTCCGTCTCTGTACTCGGTGTAATTGAGGTTCACGGAATGCTCGAACCTGTGAAAAAATGGGAAATGATCAAGTTTCTTGTTCTTTCTATTGTGAAGAATGCTATATATCACATGTTCGATTTTAAGCTATCATTGGTTAAGAATTCAAACTTTAAATCTCAAATCGAAAAAAATACATTATATATGAACCAAAGACTGAGGAAGGTCTGCATTGGACCGTTCTACTTTCAGTACGATTTCTTTAGCATCTTTGAGCCTCCTTCCTAGATGAATATCGCCAAATCTACCACCACCAAGCCATCTCATGAACTTTAATAAGTATAGATTTTCTTTGATGAAGATGACGAAAGTTCGAAGCTACCTGGAACATCGGACAAGGCTCTGGCTGACTCCTTCTATGAACGCATGCGATGTGTCCATCATCAATACGAGTTTGAACATGCATCTCTTTCAGATTATTGTAGGTACCCATGTGCAATTGGAGTCATGGGCGGGTTTCTCTGAATATCTTTCGGGCCGTCCTTCGAGGTAATTCTGTTGACTGAACTATTGTGTCTTATTTTTGCAGCCCATAAACGGTGACTGCACGAGGGTAGATAAAAAGATACTTTCAAGAAAAATGTAAGAATTTATCTTGGAGTTTGTTAAAAGACAGGCACAGAGCACACAGACGTTCTTTGGCAGTAAGAAAACAGGATAATTCTCTCAATTAAATTATTTCCAAGCCCCACCTCTCTTTCGGATACAAAGTTTTCGTTCGTAGTTTGTGAAGTCGCCTCGTACGAGCATGACATTATTTTATACAACTTAATTATCAGAATCATTATAGCGTCCTAATTTTTACTTTACTTCGATATATAAGTGCTTTGAATAAGTAATCAGACTATAAGTAACAAATTATGGCTTTTATTATTGAAAAACTACACCGCACAATCTACACATCTGTTGGAATAATTCATCCCCTTTGTCTCCATTGTCCTGTACGGGCCCTTTAATTTTGCAGGTCGGTCCGAGATCGTCACCGCATTCATCTGTAGACGACTGCATAATTCACTCCTCCCTAAGCAATGATTCGAGCTCTGCAATAGAAGAAAGGGGGCTTTCGATTATCCCAGATTCCTCAGAGAAAAATGGCCATTCACGCGATCAATCTATCGTCTAAGCATGGTTGAATACATTTATAAGCCAAATCACGGACACCTGCCAGTTCACAATTTTTTCGTAAAAACGAGAAAACAAAGGAGAGCGTTACTTCCGCATTTGATGGGGCTTGACAGGCACGTTGCCAGTGCCTGAGGCGAGTGAAGAATTTGAGTTTGTGACTAACAAAGTTCACACAAAGAGCTCATAGGGCCCAGGCGATTTGACACATTGACAAACATTACCAAAGCAATGTCTACTAAATCCTACAATGCCTGTTAGTGGCTCCTGCGTCTGAATTCATCCGATAAGCGTTGCTAGAGAGAAGCAGTTTATACCAGATCGAGATTTGCCGAACATTATGGCTCAGTATAAGAGACTTGCAGGGCGAAGATCTCAAAATCCTTTAGGTAAGAAACAAGACAGCAAAAAACTAAGGATATGACAAATGAATTAATATCATATTTAGCTATAATAGCTAAATAATCATTCTAGGATATTAGATGATTCCTAATCCGCGCTTGCCTGATTTTATGAGTCTTTGTTCATCTTTTGAGTGTCTCGCTAAAAACGGAGAGTAAAAATGTACAGTGTAAATATGAGAAAATGAGCAATCAAACATCAAGTAAAGAGACACGTTCAGGAAACCCTCTACTGATCGCCAGTTTGACGACGAATTTCCTATTGCTTTACTACACAATCGCTCTCAGATCAGAATTATTTCTCCTCAAATCTACGAAGCCAATTTTGCAGTGGTCGGAAAATGAGCCCTGCGATTCCAAATCTGTTTCGTCCAATTTCGTCCACAGCAAAGTGAAATACAACAAGTATCCCGCTCCAAAAAGTCCACTTGTTGACAGCTCTGAGAAATTCTTCGTTGATGTAGGAACTTATGATCCTCCAGTTACGAAAACTCTTGCATTCAGTATTCTCTACTCACCAAGAGAGATCCCTAAAAAGGAAAGAGTTGCCAAGCTTGAAATTTGTATAGTCAAGAATTAATAGTTTGTTATCACCTTGTCAAATGTTTTTAATCGTTGACAACTCTTACAAAGACCGACCTTGTTCTTGGTCTCAAAAGCTCGCTGAAAAATAAAGACCGTCGAGATGCAATTCGAAGGAGTTATGGGCAACTTTCATTGTACAAAGGTTTTAATGCCAAGTTCGTCTTCTTGCTTGGCGCAAGCGAAGATGCCCCGTCATCACTAGTGGAAGATGAATTGCTTCATGATGATATTTTATTCGGCGATTTTGTGGACTCCTTCCACAATCTGACTTTCAAAGACTCAATGTTTTTGACTTGGACGATTCACAACTGCCCAGATGTAAAATTTGCGTTCAAAGGAGACGATGATGTTCTGGTGAATCCATTTGGTTTGTTGGATTTTATTGACGAGAAGAAAGACTACGAAGAAGCTGGAATCTGGGGGAACAAATTGCCGCAGCAGCCGAAAGTGAAAAAAGACAAAAGTGGCGTTGGCAAGAAATACGGAGATGATATTTGGCCTGAAGATAAATACCCACCGTACGTTTCCGGAGGTGGCTTGGTAATGAACCGTAAAGCCATTTTTGCTCTTCAAGAAAATATCAAAATAACTCCAATAATCCCGATTGACGACGCCTTTATTGGAGTGTGCATGCGTCGAGCTGGCCTACAGGTAATTACTGTCATTCTCTACATTTAATATTTGGTCTCTAGGATCACGTTTTTGCTGACAAACGATTCCACGTTTGGGGATTTCGGCCACGTGACGAACTTAAATTTGATGTTTGTAAAGTTGCTGAAACTGGTAATGTTTTATTCAAAATCCCAAAAAATGAAATATTCATTTCAGTGATCGTCCATAAATATACGCCCGAAAGTATTGATTGTCTTTGGCCGAAGTTTGTGAAGCACCACGTAGACTGCAAAATTGATGGTTACAAATATGTTGAAGAATTTCCACTTTGTAATCCAAAGGTACTTTTTCAAGATTTTCAGATCAAAATCGATCGTTTAGGACTGGCACAAGAACCATCCTGTTCTCCCGCCGATTCTGGCTGGGCCAAACTATCATCACTGCGGTCCGAAATGGAACAATACAGGATGCAGTACCACTGAGGCCGACTGGACGATACAAAAACCACACAATGGCCCCTGTTGCAGTCCTAACGGCTACTGCGGCATAACAAAAGACCATTGTGATTGCAAGGATTGCGTCGACTTTAGAAAAGTTGAAAAAGGTAAGTTTGAATGAAAAAAGACTCTTCAATAATTTTCATAGCGAAAAATCTTGTGAACAATCATTCGCATGGAGTCTGCTGCTCGAAATTGATGCTCGAGTCTACTATGCCCTACGCTGGTATTTTCTCTATTCGCATGGAAACCGATGCTAGCGACCCAAATAAGAATAAAGTCTTCCGCGACTCGTCTGGAAACGTCGAGTACATTCAGGAAAAGGTGAAAGAAGGTCAACGCATCTTCACGATCAAATATGGCAGCTACAGCGTATATGGAACTGGGTGGTACATCCTTACTCCCGAAGGCGGTGGTTTGGCATGGAATGTCAAATCAGAAAACTCGCATTGCCCGGCATTGGATGAATTAGAAGGCTACGGTGGAATAATTACATGTCCTGTTGCTCCGCACTAGAATAATTATTGATAGCTTCTATTTATGTTTACAACTTTGTATATTCTGCACATTATTTTCACATTTCTGTATCCAAAAGATTCATGAATTCGAGCTTCGAAATAAAAAGATACTTGCGCAAGACAAGAGTACTTGCAAAATATGAGAATCGATTTCAAGGGTAGATTTGGCATGTCCACTTGAAAATGAAGCTTCTGTGTTCTTACAGGCTGCATCTTCTCATCTTTTGCCTAAAAGAGAGTCACAAAGAGCGAATAGAGTAATTATAGTATTTCAAAAATTTGATAATGTGTTTGCGTTGCTGGCCATTATAAGGACTTGGTTGATGCAGTGTTGGATAATTTGACAGCAGTTCAATACACCTGGAAGAAGTTGTCACTGCCGCGTGTACTAAAAAACACTACCTTAGACTTTTTTTTATCTGACGATGAATTCGGAGGAAGAAAATTTGAGAAAAATTATCGAGGAGTCCGAAAAGAAAATTATGGATGCGAAAACGAAGCTTGAAGTTATCGAGAAGAAAAAGTTCGAAAAAGAAATTACAGATTTGCAGGAAGAGCATTATTTACGAGTCTCAAAATTCTTTTCACTAAGCGTAAAAATTCCAAAAATAGACAGAAATAGACAAGCTGGGAGATGAAGAAATCGGCATATTCGAAACAATCAAAAGTCTTCATGAGAAGCTAAGGTTATTCAATCAAATAAAAGTATCAGTATTAAATTTCTATTGAGAACCATTCAAAAGCAAAGAACCAAGGAGTCAGAAATATCTCAAAGCCTAAAGAAGCTCGAACTCGTATATAAAAAGATGGCGAAAGACTGTCCAAATCAAACCATAAAACCAAGTTCATTCGAAAAAACGTTTCTCAAGTCGAGAAAGAAGAAATTGAAGGCGATCAAACTGCCATCACTCTCTAGTGACACAATCAGCGTTTCTGAAGATAAATAAAGAATGTCTGTATATATGTACGTCTTTATTACAGATGGGAAATAAGTTAAAGTGATTTCTCGTGTTCTAAGAGCTGGGATTGAGGTCGTCCTTGAGTTGATCGCGTTGCAGCGTGGTCATCGTTGCCGCTATTTCTCCATGGAAGGTCGGAAGGTGGAGTGGGTTCAACGGGCTCTTCTGAAGTTTATTTTACGAAGATAATTTTAATATTGAAAATTTACCAAATAAAATCTTTGTTTTTCTCGGCGCCATCTCAAACATTTCTGGCTGTGGAGTTACTGGCGTTGTCACCGTCTTCCTAGGTTCCAAGCTCATTGTTTTTCTTCCTTCGCTTATTGTCTTTCTATACGTTTTTCTTTGGGCCTCTGTCTTCCTCATCTGCTTTCTAAACTCTATCTGCTCAGGCGTTTCTTTCAACGACTTGATTCGTCGGCGGACGAGGATTTCTTGCTGTTGTTTCTAAGGGAATTCATAAATAGAATTCGTGAAATAAAAAATACCGTTAAATTAGCTTGCTCAGAGCTTGAACCAAGATTTCGATACTTGATGTGGCCAGAAAGCTCGATTCGTTGTCTGTTCGCGTAGAGGTTGTCGCGAAGCATGTGGTGCATTTTGATGTCTGTTTGTGCTCTTTCTCCGCCAAAACCTTCTTGGCCATGGGGCGCCTGAATTTTTGTTAAAAACACACTCATCGCAAAAAACTTACTTCAGGATTGATCCTTTCATCGCCAACGAGAGCTCCAGGTAACAATAATCTGATTTTGTTCAAATCGTCGTCGTCGTTTTCTAGTCCAGCATAATTTTTAACATCTGTTTGTTTCTGCACAAGTTTCGCAGCATCCTCCACATTGAGTTGAGCCCAGACGTCAATGATGCCTTGAGATAAACTTGTTGGGACTTTTTAATTGCGTCCGCTTACTTTGGTTCTTGATTTTATCAGGCTCACGGACAAGAATTGGTGTAATGTAGTCATCTGTGAGATTGGCGATCCTGTTCATCCACCAATGACGGCCACGTGATTGAATAATGTCGGCGATTCCGACAGTCAAATGGTCCACGACGGATTCGGTCATTTCTTTCAAAACAGTCTGCTCCTGTTCACCTTGTTTTTTGACTTGAAGCCATTCTACGATCGGTTTAATTGTCATCCCCTAAAAAATTAGATAGCGAACATATTTTATGCTAACTACCTGGACAAAAGAGGTAAAGAAGACAGCAACGATAGTCGAGCACAACATTGATTGAATTGAAGGAACAGTATTGATGCACATAAGTTTGCACAAAGAGAATGCAATTCCACCTCGAAGCCCTCCGTATGCCATAACGAACTGGTCAACGTAGCTGATTCTATCAAGACGTCCAATGTTAAGAATGAAGGTGAGGACATAGACGGAAATGACTCGGTAAATAGTGATGAAGACGATGGTCTAAGATTGGATCGAGAACTTATTCTTTTTATCAAAAAATGAAGGTCTAAAAGTAAATCTTTTCGAATCCAATAGCCAAATGACAAAGCCAGTATTCCAGTGGACCCAGAAGTCGGAGATAGCTGAAATTCCGAGGAAAATGAAAATCGTGATGTCCATAATGCTCGACAAGAGCTTTTGGATGTAGTGAAGAGATGAGATCGAACTGGGAGCCATGTTTGCTTCACAAAATGGCTTCATGAAGAACCCGGCGAAGACGATCGCGATGATTGATGAGAGCTAGAAATGACAATTAACGCTAGGTGCACTTTTGTAAACGATGACCTTAACAATGCCTGACATTGAGAAGGCTACTAAGTATTTATTTTGTCCGTGAGAGCGTGAGAGATGAAGTTGAAGGCTAGGTTTACCTGAATCCACTCGGCGGTGAGATAAGCCAAATAGGCACAAGCGTAAATGAGGAGCGGTTCTATAATCGGAGCGTGTTTCGTGTATTTTGTCATCAGCGAGCCTATTTGAAGCGCAAATAAAGGTTGACGAGTTGATTCAGTTTACCGATAAACCCGTAGACGAGACCAACGACTAATCCACCTCCAGCGACGACTAAAAACTTCAAAAATGCTCGACCAACTGATTCAAGCTTCTCTAACTTGAGCATAATTTTTTCAATTTTGTCCATTTATCAAGGATGTCCTTTTTTCAGCATTAATTATCGACAACTAATTTTGTAAATTTCATTTGCGCCAGACACGTGAAGTAATTGCAAATTATATCAAAATTGTTTTCAACAAAGACAATGCGCCCTTGATAGAATCAAAGAAAATAATGAGAAGCCATTTTCCTTCAGGTCCCCAATTCGATGGTGGAGGCTCGTTATTTTCCAAATTCGCGAAGCCCTCAAACACTCGGTAGAGCACAACAGCTACACCATCGTTGAGCAGCGATTCACCGAAGACGCAAATGTAGAGGGTCATGTTCACGTGGATTTCATCGAAGACCGCAATGACAGCGACCGGATCCACAGCGGAAATAATAGATCCAAACAGAAGGCAGTGAATGAAACTTGCATCGTGTGAAGAAAGCGGATGATTTCTTGGAGAAATAAAGATGGATTTCTTCACCCTTCCTGATCTCTTCGTCAAAACCGGGAACGAGGCCATACGTAACGACGCAATAAATGGATCCACCAATTGCCATAGCGTTAAAAAAGGTTCCGAAAATCGCATAAGTCAATATCGTTCCTAGATTATCGAAGAACGGGTCTTTAGGCATGAAATATCCGGCCTCGAATACGATCGGCGGAAGGATAATGACGAAGAAAATCGTTGGCGTAAAGTAAATGTCGGCAATATTCTGGTCGTCTTGGATCAAATAAGCAATCCCTCCCGCCACAAGTCCGGTGCAGATAAGAAGCACACACTGATAAAGGATTCGTCAATCCATAAATTAAATCTTGGTAAATCCATTATGATAATAGAGTAATCATAACAGTTTTGAATTGACGAAACCAATCCTCAGGTACGGGAAAAGGATTGCCGCAAATTTGATGAAACCCGAGTTTTAGCAACGCTGCGATAATAACATAAACGGAAAGAATAAAAACACCGCCGACTTCTTCCCATCCATGTTCTAAATCTCCCACAATCTCAAGGTGCTCCGACGCTAAAGAACTCGACTTTACGTTGCGCTGCTAATAAATCTATAAGCTTGTTGAGTACGTGAAACGTGAATTGTTTTAGAAATCGTGTTACGTTTTCTAATTTGACGAGATTACGCTCAAAACATTACTGGTCAGGGAATTACTGCTTTGGAGAAAATAATGTCAAAAAGATGCAAAAGCAGTTGAATAGTACCTTCAGCTGAGGCCACAGCTATATCTTCCATTTTCCTGTTCTATCAACGGTCCCTTCACTTTGATCTTGAATCTCTTAGCACGAAAAAACGAAAGATAGTTGGCTAGAAGACGAGGCAGAACGAAAAAATTCCTGACGTTACTTGCCGAATGATATTTACCGACTTCAATGTTAACGCAGCCCATTGCTCAAAAGGGCATTGCTAACACGAGGACTCCAAAAAATGATATCCGGCGAATTGTTAATTTATGGCTTGATTTCCAAATCATAAAAATAATTGTAAGGGCATAAAAATTTAAACAAATATTTGTACTATTAGAACATCAAGAAGACGAAGTATCTTTGGGTTAATTGAGAGTGGAAATATTTTGACTATTACACAACTTAGGGAAAATATTGATAACTGTCTATAATAAAATATAAACAAGAGCAGCTGCGGAAGTTCAAATGGCGCTCTTATCAAACTTTCGAAAAAGCACGATCGTGATCTCTCATGTTCGACTCCCAGGCGCCATCAACTCCACGCTGAGCCGACGCTCTGCTGATAACAAAAATTGGAGAAAAAAAACACAACACCAGGCTGATACTTTTCTCCGATGAAGCTCGTTGCGGTGTTCTCGCTCGCAACTGGTGCCTCTGCGGCTAGAGGTGACAAAATTCTAAGAAAAATTACACAAAGAAATGGAGAAGGTAAGAGAAAAAATCGACGTACAACTGAAGATCGAAAGTGAGAACTAGAGAAAAACATGTGATATTTTAGTTGCTACTTCGGGAAAAGTCAAACCGAATCCAAACCTCGAAGATATAAATAAACGAGGAGGCATTGGCTGCCAACTTGTTGAAGTTAATGATGATTATATTATGGCCGTCAATGGTCGAACATTGAGAAGCTTTAGTAGCTGTGGACGGGGTCGGGTTTTAGAACCATGATTTCGAATGCTACATTTTTCAATTTCATTATGCAATTTTCGAATTATTTTGTGTTTTGATCCCCTAAAAGTGCGCGCAAATTTCGTGCGTTGGTCAATTCTGTGAGCGAGACAGCTCTGGTAGACCAAGAAAGATCATCGCTAAAGTCGTCGCCCAAGCCACTACGACTTATGAAGACGAAGAAATCGAAGTCAACCAAAAGGCTTGGAACGGTCTCATGGGATCAAAAGCGAACAGAGTAAGTTCTATGAACATCGCATGGAATTTCGTAAAATGTCCACAAGAACGCCGACCAAAGCTTTACGTCACAGGAAAAGTTCGCGAGTCAGTCAAAATAACATCGAATGAAGGAAATGGAGATTTCTCTGTTTACTCAAACACGGGGAAAACACGAGTCGCACGCTAGAACTCAGCAACAGATAATAACAAATCTGGATCTTGGGAAGTCCAGCCAATCGATGTTCCGGAAAAAATTACATGGATGCGAATCCGTCCTGCAAATACGAAGACCAAATTCATCGTCTCTCAAGACCCTTTCAAGTCAGGCGCTGATTACTTCTACTGGCGTGGGAAGATGAGCCCAAAAACCACACTCTCTGCTCCATTAGAAATATATCTTCAATATGATAGTGGAGCTAGAGTCAGAACAAAGCTGCTAGACTGGGAAATTGGCAAGTTTGCCTATTTGGATGGCAAGCCTGCACCTGCTGGGGAACAAGCGAAGAAGATTGTGACGCAATCGAAAGGCATCTTCAGCCAAATGGGATCTTTGTTCGGAGGTTCTAAGCCTTCGAAAAGCGCTCCCCCAGCGACTCCACCCAAGAAAGTGTCCTCGGGTGGCATGTTTGGGTCGTCATCAGGAAACGTTCATTTAATTTATGGATAGGGATTTTTTCATTGCAGTATTCAGCGGTAAATGATCTTAAAAAAGGTGGCGGAAGCTTCATGAGTGTCTTTGGATCCGGTTCATCTGGTGGCGGATTTTTCGGAAGCAAACCCAAACCGACTTCAGCGACAACAACACGCCGAACAACCACGAGAAGAACGACGCGAAGAACGACACCTTATGTCCGGCCAACTCGGCCCGCTGCAACAACCCGTCCTAGGAAGAAGGGCGGGAAAGGTGCAAAAGGAGGCAAAGGAGGAAAAAGTAATTATATCTCATATAATTCTTGTCAGCAATTTACAATTGCCAGTTACTCCTATGAGTCTGAATAAGTTCATTCAAGCCGTCATTATTTTATTCTTCTAATTGTCAGCTAAAAAAAACTATTTTTTAGCTGGTGGAAAGGTGGATTGCCCACCTGGAAAAAACATCAAGAGATGCCGTGATTTAGAAGCGCAAAAGAAAAAGCAGCATGATTCTCCTAGCAGTTCCATTTTCGAGCAACAAATGGCGGCCCCAATCATGGAATCGCCTGTCAAGGATAGAAACCTCGGCGCAACTGGAGCTCAGTTTGATAATTTCATTGCGGATTTCCTCAGTCCCTTTTTGATTGAAGAAAAAACCACCCCGCGAACAACAACGACTACCCAGCCACCAACTACGAAGAAAACATCTTTTGGAGGTTCACTTCAATCACTTACTGGAATCGGCGCTCCGGCAAATCCAACAGTAAATATTCTACCAAGAGAAAATACTAAACAGTTTCATTCTTTAGAGCGGAGTCTGCGGAATCAACCCTAAATCTGCTATTTACGCCGCGATCAACTCCAGGGTCGGATCTCGAGACGATTGTGGAAAGTAAGTTTATCAAAAATACAAATTTGTATTTTTTCTTTTCAGATGCGTATTTGTCTGGTGTCCACCTTTTAGCGGCTGCAAAGGTGGTCCGATTGCCAAGGTTCAAATTGTCGACGTTTATGATGGACCTGGGCACATAGCTCTCAGCCACTCTGCGTTCAAGGTAACACTATTTTCCTCCTTGTTTTTTCCCCCGTTTTCATTAAGGCTGCGATTGGGCTTCCAACAACAAAAGGAAACAAGGCAGATACTTATCAAGGAACTTACACAGTCACACCTTGCTAAAGTGGCCACTCTTGCGGGCCAAAAAGAACCCACAAGAGGAAATTTGATAATTGTGAACCCAATACAATTACAAATAAATCAACGCAAACTTCAATTCGTCAGAAAAAAATTTATTGATTCATCATTTTGGATTGAGCAAATTAAAAGTATAAGCACAGTAAAATGCAAGTAGAGAACAGTTAGGAAATTGGAACCAGATAAGTGGGACCAGCATGGAGCAGATTTTGAGGCAACGAATTATCGTTTAATTTTCTTTGTGGGCATTTAAGGGTATTTCATACATAGAATGAGGCTCTAGATAATTAACCGTAAGAGAAAATGTTTTGAGCAGCAATAAAAGTGTAATTTTTCAAGACTAGTTAACATTTCACATTGATACTATTCAAGATGTAAAAGCCATAATTGAGAGTACATCACCGACGAGTTTTGCTCGTCATACTGCGAGTTACTCTAGCCGGGCTCGAGTAAGAAAGGGTAGACGTTTTGACAAAAGAGTGAGTAAGGACCTGCTCCATCTTTATGCGGCGTTTTTGATCGTGCTGAAGCATTCTTATGAGCAGGTCCTTGAGTTCTGCGCTCCATTTTGTGAAGAGCGGCACTTGGTTTGTCGGATTATTCGATTTTATTTGATCTTCTGGGAGAAGCTTGCCTGTGCAAATGTCCTTAAAAATCCCTAATTATTGAAATTAAAGTTGACTTTTTTACCTGATCATTATCCCAGGGTATGTCGCCTGAAAGCATATCGTAAAGCAAAATGCCTAATGACCAAACAGCAAGGCCATTGGCAGTATATCTTTTCGTCATTATCCATTCAGGCGGAGAGTAAACCCTTAAACGCCCCAATTAGTAAGGCCCTCAACGGATTTTCTTACCGTGTCCCATCGAAATCCGTGTAAACAGTATCGAGGCCGTTGTGGAGCAGCGCGCCGGAGCCAAAATCGATCAGGAAGAGTCGCTTTGTGTCCATATCCACAACGAAATTTTCGTCCTTTAGGTCGCGATGTGCTACGCCGCGTCTTTTGAATAACAGTTTAACTTCTGCAAGTATGATTTGCATTCACCTGTGACAGAAATCGATGGCACTGACAATCTGACGGAAGAAATTTCGAGAAACGCTTTCTGATAACTTCCCAGCATCTGATATGAAATCTAAAACCATCATCAAATTTTGTTGAACTCTTTTTGATTTTTTTTACCAAACAGATCTTTGTGAGCAGCAGGGCGGTCGAAGATCAAGATAAACTCGACTGAGTTTTCAAACCACTCGCGAAGAGCGATGATATTCTCATGCTTGCCAATTCGCCGGAGAAGCTGAATCTCTAACGTGACTCGTTTCGGCTGATCCCCAACAACAATTTCGGTCCACTTGGGCACGCGCTGCTTCAAAATGTACTTGATCGCAATATTCTCTCTGGTGCGCTTGGATTTGCCGGAGTGAACTGACCCGAACCCTCCAGAGCCGATCAGCTTTCCTTTTTCGTAATAATCATCGAACCTTGAAATGCAAAATCAGTTCTGAAAAAACTTACTACCGGACCTGATCTTACGACTTGACATAGTCATATTTTCTCTTTTGCGTTTGCGTAAATAATTCATTGTAAAAAAATCTGGAAATTGGGAAATTTGGAGACTTGAGCTCTTTCCTCGCCTAATCGTCAAAAATCTAGTCATCAAATACGCATGACAAAGTCACATTTCAAGAATTCCGCGAAAAGGTACTAGAAAATTGCGTAAATAAGAATAATCTCAAAAAATTATAAAATCAAGTTTTTCAATAATTTTAAAAATTTAATTCTTTACTAATCAAGTGAATCTAAATTCCATCAAAAATACTTCAAAGATCAAAGTGAAATCATGAAAAACGATCTCTTACATTCTCGCCAGATAAGCATCGTATTTTCTTTCATAAAAGCACTATTTCACGATTGGCAAATTTTTCACTTGGAAATGGCGTGAAATTTTCTGCGGTTGAAAAACAAGGTACTTTCTCGGTCAGATAAAAGTGGCAAGAAACTTACTTCTTTGGATCAGAGTCATGGCGAATCGATGGCTGGAACGAGGCCAGGACTTGATCGACGACGTTTCTGGAGGTACTTGGCGCTACTGGAACTGTGCTGGTCGTTGGTGGAGGTCTGTAGTTGCTTACGCGGGAGCTCATCGTAAAAACTTCTCTTATAAGGATATTCAATCAATAACCAACTGCGAAATGCTGAAAAGCGGCGCTGTGCAATTTTCGAAATCGCTATATTTGTTGCATCGAGATTTAACAACAATTTAAAAAGGCTTTTTAAAGTCGGCCAGACTTGAAATCGAGGGAAAAGACGCGCAGACGGAAAAGGCCCGTAGAATTTTACAAGCGATTGAGACGAATAATTGGGCCTACTCCTCGTTGTTGAGGACCAAAAGCTTTGATGTTGTTCTCGCTCTTTAGTGATTTACAAGCTTGTTTATTACTGAACTTTCTAAGATCTTATATGGGCTTTTAAACCTAAGAATAATGCATGATATAATCGAAAAGGAAGTTCTACTTTTTTCTAGAGCTTTCGGATTAAGAAAGTTGAAGCATTCTTCTATTCGCCTGTGAGGACTATTGAAGCGACTCTAATTTTATATCCTTATTCCTTTTTGAGATGTTGTTTTTCCTGTTGAACTGGTTGAGGCTCGTTCTCTCGGTCGTGCTTCGTCAAGGTTCTAGAAACAAACCTGCCTCTAGGGAGGCGACAAGCGACTGGAATCGCAATAAAAAGCTGTTAAAAATTCATCGGTTCTTCGGAGACTACGCGTTCTTGTGAACAGGAAACTCTTCTCTTCTCTTGCGTCAGAATGCGGGGAGGGATGAAAATCTACTCGGGGAATCGAAATGCGCGCGAGCGAGAATATCGCAGCGCGAATAGGAACTTGGCGCCAGATTTGAATCACACTCGCGCGCTCCCCAGCGCCAGCAAAATAAAAATACAAAAAAATTGGGGTAAGGTCATGTGGATTGGTTCGAACTTGGTTTGCCGGTTCCAAATTGGCATTCTCTAATCAACCATGGTCTGCAGATTCTAGAACTCATTTTTACGAAAATATTTCTGTTATGAAATGGCCGATGATCAGTGGTCATTCATAACAAGATAAAATGTGGATCTACGAGCCAAGATTGCAGTACATCAAAAACGAGTAACTTTTCTTTGAACATTATTTATGAATCGTCCTTCTCTTTTTAGCCATGAAATTTCATGTCCCTATTTACCAGCACTTCAAGCTCGATTCACCATCGCCGTGATTTTCTTCTTCAGCTGCATTTTGTTTGGAATGCGTTTCATGTGCAAGCCATTTTTATGTCCATCCATGCTTGTCATCCTCTCCTGTTTCGGCGTCGTGCACGGTAAAGTCTAATTGCAAACCGATTCGAGTGAAAAGGTCTTTTTAGCTTTTTTCATGATGGGATCCTGCTCAACATTTGCATCGTTTGGCTTCGTTGTTGGAAACGTCATTTGGTCAGCGATTTTCATGTAAGCCAAGCTTTCAAGATAATTTACAGTCCTATGAGTTTAGAACTTTGTGGCTTCTTTTCTACAAATACTACGTGAGATATTACAAAAAGATTGGTGAGAATTTTTACGGCTGGAAAGCTTGCGTTTACATCCAGGTAAATTTCTTATGCAGTAAAACTCTGAAACTATATTCAAGGCTGGGCTTATATTTGTAAATGCGGCAGTGGCAGTAATCTGGCAAATTCCAAACCATTCAGAAATAGCGACTTCCTCGCTTACCTGCAATGTCGCTGGTTTTCAGCAGGAACTGTTCGTGATCACAGCTTCCCTCTTTCATTTCAAAAAATCAAGATTAAGAACATCTACCAGCTTAAAATCTACTTTCAAAATATGGACACCCACGAACGCGCAGAAACCATCATCGACCTGTCCTGATTCAAAATTTCAATATTTCTGTTAAATACTAGTACACTGTTTACTTTTCCATGGAGAGTCATTATATTTTCATATAAACTCAAAAAGAATTAAAAGATTCTAGTAGTAAATTTCTAGGATTAGACTTAGAAAGACAGACAAAGAACAGACAAGAGGCAAGTCAGCGAAGAGAAAAGGCAGCTCGCCTTTCATCTAAGTATATTTTTGCGATGAGTGGTTTTCGAAAAGAAGTGTTTTTGTGTTCATCCAAGGCTTGCGGATTGACTTCAGCCGAGTTTAGCAGCAGTCATGATTCCAAGCGTCATCAAGCTGAAGATGCATCCGAAGATCAGGAAGCAGAAGGAGCCCATGAGCAGGCGGGATTCCTTGAGGCTTTCGAAGAAGGGGAGCTTTTCGTCGCGCTGGATTTTGATGTAGAAGAGCGAGGGGAGGATGAAGATGAGGGATCCGGAAGCGGATGCGCCTTGAAATTTTGGGAATAGAAAATAGTCATTAGGGTCATTTCTTACCGACAAAGCCGAAGATTTCACGAATATCAGGCACATTGATAACCAAAGTAACACACAGAGTCAACAGACAGCACATAATTCCCAAATGACGGCTCCAGGCGAACGGGTGCTGGGGGAAGAATAGAAAGTTCACAGCTTTTCGGGCCTAAAAATGATCATCATCTCATAATTTCAAATTTCTCAATTTGAGAAAAGGTCGCTGAGATGGATGATTACCGGGAAATGAGTGAGTGGAAGAGTTAGAATGACTCCGATGAGGACGCAGACGCGGACAACAAGAGTCAAGGGATTCGTGGGATCGGAATGGTTGTAGGTAAGGAGCAAGTCGGACTGGACGTAGTTGTAGAATGTGAAGTAGCCAAAGAGGGAAGCGACGAAGTAGAGCAAAAAGCAGCTGGCAAGAGATGTTTTGGCGACATTTCGCATTTCTCCGTGGCTTCCGCTGAAAAAAGGATCTTATGGACCGATCTATGGATTGTTTCTGACTCACCTTCTAAGTTCGGCGAAGATGGGGAGGATAGCGGTGTGGCAGACAAAGGAGAAAGTCATGGTAGGCATCGCATAGACAGTCTTTATAATAAATTATTAAAGGACATTCTTCAAGTCCCGCATGGTCTAGGGGTTAGGATTCCGGATTCTCACTCCGGCGGCCCGGGTTCGATTCCCGGTGCGGGAGGACTTTTTCTCAATTTTTACCTTTTCATTCATCATGAAAGCAGAGGCTTCGCACTCCTGGGCTTCCAAGTTACAGTAAGGATCAGGCATTTTGTACGTGGAGGCGCATTCGTCGGAGATTTTCGAGTTTTCAGCATCCCAAATTGGAGCTGTTCCAAGTTTTGTTGCATTAGCGTTGAGTAAACTTTCAGCTATGAAGAAAATTTCGTAAATTCTTTTTGTTCTCGCCTTTACGCAACTTACAGGTAACTTCTTGCGTCGCGTCCCAGGTTCCGTCGGCGATGCTGTCATTAAACAGCGGGCAGTCTTCTACGCCAATGAAGTATTTGCTGACGATGATGATGGTGAAGAAGACCATGCAGGAGATTGAAAATCCACTGGTGTATCCTAAAGAATTCGGCTGATGATTAGACTGGAAAGAGAGTTCTTTTACCAAGAAATTCAATAGACTTAAGACTGGCAAGAGGAGCGACAATGCAAGCAACAACGACAATGACAATGATGTTTCCGTTCAAATACCATGGAACATTTTCTCCGTAAAGATCTGGACATTCTTCAGAAGTGGCGCAGATGATCGTGTGAAGAACTGAGGGGAGCTGATTTTTGATGATGAACATGTAGCTGGACATGGCGCCGATGTTCTGCATTAGAATGCATGTTGCTGTCACTAGCTAAAATTCTGTTGTGAGTTGATTTACTACGAAAGCAGCTCGGCATGGTACGTGATGCAAAAACGACTGTGATAAGCAAAAAAGTAAGGACCTTTTTCAACCACTCCCCCTTTTCGTACTACGAAAAGAAGATAATAACCGATATGTTGGAAACAAACAGATTCTTGCTCAAGGACGATTTAATTCTAAGAAAATCTGCATGTGTGAAAGGTCAGTGTTGAATGGAATCAAAGTTTACGGCGGTAAATGGTCATTTTCCAAGCCGTAAAAATTTCATTGCGTAATTTGCTTGTGAGAGAAATTCTTGTTACCTTCACCGAGTTTTTTAGATCTGACTAGTTTTCACTTGATATTGACTGTAACTTAATTGGAATCATGTGATTAAGGTGTTTGTTTACTGAGCGTTTTTGTAATCGCCTAAAAGTTGGACTTTGTGTACCAATGGATTACGAAAATCGCCAGTTCAGACCTATTTGACTTTTGACCAGAAAGAAGTTTGCTTTTACCCCCAGGGGTGTGGATCCGGCCGGTTCAGAAATGCTCTTCAAACAGTCCTTATTGTGTCAAAATTGGTACGTACGTTGCATCCGCTGCTTGACAGATAGACAACACTTACTTTTCCTGGAGTTCCGAATGCTCTGTAGCCTAATCGCTCGTACGATTTCACTCCTGTCTTTGCACACAGACTCAGTAGTAAATGGATCGCAAAATAGGCAAGGATCGCTACTGCCAGACAGATCAAGCTGAAATTAAAATGTCAAAAGGAAATGGCAATATTTATGATTTCAAAATCATTTATCGTCTTTATCAGAATCCGCTATAGTCTATAGACGTTATAAAATTTCAACAACTTACAAAAATCCAATATAACCGAGCTGTGCCATTGCGTAACTTAATCCTAGAATTCCAGAACCTTAAAAATCGATTCATAAATTGCCGTAAATGCTGATATACCTAGAATAGCGTTCATAAGATTAAATACTGAGAGGGCGAATCCAGCATTTCCTTCTTCTTTGTATCCGAGAGCCTCTCGGGCTTTATCTTCATTAGGCTGTCCATTAGCAGTGTCAACTAAGGAGGACTCTTCATATGTGACTGCTTTCTCTGGCTTTTCCACCAGACATTGTGACTGTGTTAATCTAATGATAAGTTAACCGAAACGTCCTAAACTTGCTCGAAACTTACATTTCTTCGTCTCTATTAGCCATCGCGGTATAAAATATTTTCTTCTTGTAACTGGTTTCTGCAGCAGAATTATGGCGCTTGCGAGACCTCTTCCTGCTTTCAGATCAATATTTGGGCACGGCCAAGTTGTCCGAAGTGGTCCGCAGCCAAAAATAGTCTAAGAAAAAATCAACACCAAGTTATGTAAGTCAATTTTTGTCGATCTTCTTGAGCTTTTATCGCTTATTCTCTAATTTCGAGCATTTCTCTGAGTCGGTTACTTATTTTTGGAACACGGTTGATGTAATGAATCTTTTCCTTCTTGTAATTATGTTCATTTGTTTACATATATAGTGATTTTATTGAATAAAAGGCTGAATAATTATAAAATTATTTCAAAATCTAATATTCGAAACAACTTACTGATGGAAAAACCTTTTTAAAACTCTTTTGCAAAAAGACTTTTCTAAAAATTATTCAAATTCTGAATATGATTTTCCGCCATTAGTGACTGATGTGCTCAGAGAGTCTCAGACTTTGCCTGGAGCAGGCTGGGACTCACACACAGGATTCGAACTGGCCGTGGGTCCCACGTGTTCTCACATTCTCAAGGTCTTTAGAGGAGATAAAGGGAGCGATAAAGGAGCAATTATCTGTAAAACAAGACGAAGAACGGAAGAAAATGTACTCGGAGAGCTTTAATGATTATATTTAAGGCATCGGATTATATTTTTTTGTCGTCAGAACTCTTCAATTATCAGTAGTCAATCTTCATCCTGGAAATCAGAGAAAATACCAAGAAATATGCATTTTTCGTTGCTCAGTCATTATTTTGAATCTCAAAAAGCTAAAAGCGATGATGTTCATTTTTGCTCCCTAGAATCTCAATAATTTATTCGATTTAAAATGGCCCATTTCCGTCCGGAAGTTCTCCTCGTACAGAGGGCAGTAAGTTTTATTACAAGTTACTGGCAGCAACTGTAAATTTCTCGTCCATGGCTGTATGCAAACATAACCTTCCCTGAAAAGTCAATTTTCCATATTTGGAATGTAACGAACACGATGGGATGTTGCATGTTGCCGAACTTTTTAATGCTCTTGGAAGATTTGTAAATCGCAAAAAAATGAATGCTCAAACTTTCAAATTGTAAAGAAAAGATCTTTAGTCTAATAAAATCATTCATCTTTATTAAATATTTTTCATTAGCAGTAAAACCTTCACTTTCTTACCTTGAATGTCACTCCTCTTTTCTGATCAACATTTTTCTCGGATCTGCTTTTCTGCTCAAGTCTTATTTTTTATCGGCTTCAGTAAAACCTAAGCTGCTCTTGATTTTTAAGAGTTTGAAAAATTTTAAGAGCCCGACGAACAACACAAATAACGCTCCTTCAACAAACAAGTCAAGGAAAAAGTTCATACCTTCAAAGGCCCTTGCCAATAAAATTGAAAGCGTTGTGTAACAATTTTTTTCATTGAAATTTATTAGGCGATTGCGGTTTACTAAATGAGAAGGGAAAGGGAGACAGCTTATGTATTCTAAGTACAGATCCGCTGAATGAAGGTTAGGATCGTTCGAAAACACGGTTCGCGACGATGTTCTTGCTCATGATTTTCTTTGGGAACTGTTAGAATAAAGCTTTTATATACGCTCTTACGTGTTCAACATGAAGCTTGCCGTCTTCGATAACTCGAGTTATTCTGACGTCTCCGAGAGAGCCACCTTTCATGATGATTACAATCTTATCCTCGTCTTCAATGATGCAGTCGGCGTCGACTTCTTCTTGCATGTAGTTCTTCATCTTGACAGTTCCCCCGATTTTGTACGAGTGAGAGCCAGAAATAACTCCCACAACTGATATATGAAATTATATCATAGAAAAATTTTCTTCAAAAATTAAAGTTTCACCTGTATAAGAAATAGTGAGGTTGTCTCCGGAAACTTGAATTTGAATAGTTGGGTTAGATGAAGTCATCATTTTCCTCTTCATCCAGCCGATTCCAAAAGCGGAAAGAAACTCATCAAATCTCTCCGACTCCACTTGCTTCCAGGAGCCTTCGAAATTCGCCCTCGTCTGGCTAAAATTTACAAATGAGCCCTTTCAATTCCCCTTGTCTGTTGCTTTCTCTTGCCTGTTCATCTGTGAAGGAGCTTTTGTGTCTCTTCCAAACTACTGTAGAGTAATTTAACCCGTAGTTACGGGATTTTTTGCTGTTGTTTCTGAGTTTAGAAGAAGCTGACATTTGGGTCACTGTTTTCTCGCCCCGGAGCCCGAGCAAAACCATGTTTTCGGATTTTCAAAAACCAATAAAATCAAAACAATTGTGTAACATTATTCTTTTAATAATTTATTAGGCAATTGCGGTCCACTAATTGAGAAGAGAAAGGGAGACAGCTTATGATTTCTGAGTACAGAACATTCATTCTGTTGAAGGAAGATTAGGATCGTTCGAAAACGCGGCTAGCGACGATGTTCTTGCTCATGATTTTCTAAAGCTAGCGTTAGAAAATGGTTGATTTTTAAGAACTTACTTGCTCGACATGGAGTTTGCCGTCCTTGATGACTCGAGATATTCTGACTTCGCCAAGAGAGCCACCCTTCATGATGAGCACGATCTTTTCCTCGTCCTCGATAACGCAATCGGCGTCGACTTCTTCATCCAAATAGTTCTTGATCTTGGCAGTTCCTCCGATTTTGTACGTATTGGAGCCGGAAATTACTCCGACGGCTAATCAATAAATATTTTCTGTTTCTCAAAGACGATTTTACCTGTGTAAGAAATAGTGAGATTTTCTCCGGAAATCTGAATCTGATCAATTGGGTTGCATTTCGTGGCCATTTTTCTCTTCATCCAGCCGATTCCAGAAGCAGCAAGAAACTCGTCGAGTCCGTGCGATTCCACCTGTTTCCAGGAGCCCTCGAACTTTGCCATCTTCTCGCTAAAAATTACAAGTGAGCTCCCCTTTCTCAACCTCTTTTTCTGTTGGTTTCTCTTGCCTGCTCATCTCTAGCGGAGCTTTTGTGTCTCTTTAATTGGGCCTTATCCAACCGGATCACCCTGTGAAACAATACATCTGATCTCAGACGATAAAACTTTATGCTGCGTTTTCTACATAGCAAGTCTTTTCAAAACCAATTTCATTTCCTTTTCTTGTTTACCTCATTTTTCTTTTGAGAATCTTTTTAGATCGGTCTTTTCGACAAAAAGTGTTCAAGAAAGACTCTAAACTTAGAATGATCTTTTTATGAGCTTGTATCTTTTAACAATCGGCCTCCTTTTAATTATTGTTCTCCACAAAAAAACCCACCAGAAATGACAGATGCTTCAAAGAAAAAAAAACGGCCCCTCCTTTCTCAAGTTTTTACCTTTCTTTGCCCATTTTTAATCGGCTTTCTCTCAGAAATAATCAGCGGAGTTTGTCGTTGATGCTTCTGATTTCAGAATAAGCTGAGAATTGTGTCAGTGTTCTCTCGCCCTGGAGCCCGAGCAAAATGATGTTTTCAGTTTCTTCTATTTGAAAGCGTTTGCGAATGCGAAAACAAAAACAACGAGGACGAGCCTAAAAGGAAGATTCATTATCAGATCGGTTTTTATCCTCAAATTGGGCAGCTGGCACGTTGGGATACATGTATGTTTTTGAGGGCGATTTTTGAAGCGTGGAATCGATTTTGGAAGTATACTCTCTTATGTTTAATTATTATTTGCTTATTATTTTGCTTATTTGCTTTCAATGAACAAATTTCTGAATTAACAATGAAAGTCAAAGGTCATATAGTTTCAATATCGTATTAGCCGAAAAACAGAAAATATAACTAAGATTTTCTAAGCAATAACTTTTCTCAGGAGAAATATCTGATCTAGAATAAGTTAGGTTATATTTAAGTTAAAGTTTTATTTATTTATCTCCTCCTCGTGATTTTCTATCGAATTCATCATCTAAAGTTTACCTCTCAAAATTTTCAAAACAAACTAAGAGAACTCGTTTGATTTCCGCTTTGAATTGTTGAATTGCGAGTGCTTCTGTTTCTTCCTTGTTTTCTCGTTTGAATAAGGCTTTTCTGGGATTGTCAGAAGTGGCGATGGAGTACTGATCTCTTTATTAAAAAGTTTGTTGAATATTCAGAGTCAAGGGCTCGTAGTAGCTGACTCAGCGACAGTGAGATCGATAATCTCATCTCAGATCATCCCGACTCGTGATACTGCGCTTTAGACAAATGAAAAGATAATTTTCACTCCGAATTAATTAATTAATAAGAAATTGATTCAACACATTTTGCTGATTTTTTTCTAAAAACGCATAAAAAGAAAAACGCTGATTTTCTGACTTCTGTTTGCAAATTAACAATAAATCCCCGTGTAAGAGCGCGGGACCACTCGGTTAAGTAACGACACGGTAAAATACTTGATATTTCCGAGATCAACAATTATCTCACGTTTTCGTAAACAATAAACGCGTGTGTTGCTCCACCACCACCACCATAAAAGCAGCAGATCAAGGAAAGAACTCATTCCCAAAGTAAAAAAAAACTCTCAAAGCAATGAAACTTTTTTTCTCTGTCCTTCTCTTTGTTCCTGCTATTTCCGCAGATACTGTTGGTAAGTGGTGAGCAGTACCATTCCTCAGTGCCGGGATGGCAGCTGTATCTGCCGCTCAAACACCTGCAAAATCGTCGAATGCACTCGAAAGAGACATTGTGGCGAGCAGGAAGTCTGCGTCTCCAACGTTTGCATGACGGTCGAATGCACCGCGAACAGACATTGTAGCGATTGCAGATTTTCGGGGGCAAAAAAGGTTTGCGACAAAACTTCGAAGCGATGCGTCGACGTTGAGTGCCTGCGAAATAACGACTGCGGGGAAAGGGCAATTTGCGAGGAGCAATCATGTGTTGCTGTCGAGTGTGAGAAGAACAGCCATTGTGGAATGCGCGAGATCTGCAGCTACAACAAATGTCGAGCTGTCGAGTGTGTCAGCGACATGGAATGTGGGGAAAATGAATTCTGCAATTCAGACAAAAGATGCCAGCCAGAAAATTAAGCTTTTCCCTAAGAAAATCTATCTTCTGCTTTTGAGCCCCCCTTGTAATAAAAAAATTATCACAGAAGTTCTCTTTGGTCTGTTCTGATTGTTTTTTTTTAATTATCTTAGAATAATAATAGAAATCAAAAAAAAGTGTTTCAATCGTCGAATTATTCCAAATGATGCCTCACCACTTCCTGGTCCAATCCTGAAACATTTTCAAAAACAAGCTCAATACTGTAGCGCTTTTGCCGGCCTCCCGCCGTGTCAGGATGGCCGAGCGGTCTAAGGCGCCAGACTCAAGCCTATGCTTGCACTGTATCAGTGTACCGAGTGTTCTGGTCTCCGATTGGAGGCGTGGGTTCGAATCCCACTTCTGACACAGTTTTTTCGCCTTTGTTTTTTTTTCTTTTTTTTTTTCCCGGAGCGCGCCTTTCGAGCAATCAAGTGCTTCGAAGAGCGAGAAAAACAAGAGAACAGGATTTTTAAATTTACCAAATTAAAAAGCCAAAAGTAGAGAACTAACGCTCTTTCATTTTCAGATGAGCGATGCCGTTCGAGAGAATCAGCATAGAACGCTACAGGAAAGCTTTCGAAACCAACAAAAACATTCTAGAGATCTTACAGATTTGGAAAAGCCTAAAATAGCCCGTTTGTTCATCAATTTCAGCCACGAAAAGTCGACGAAGTCGCTCACCAAGCCATAAAAACCTATTCAGCTGAATGGATGACCATAAAACCGACGGATGCATTTGTAAGTAGCTAACAAAGACGAACTGTCGCAAAACCGACAAGCTAAAATGCTAAAATAGAGAGTTGAAAAGTGAATGACCGACAACTTTAGAATTCCGTGGAACGAATGTACTTTAAGCAAGATCTCGTAGAAAACTGTAAGAAAATGAAAACGACTTTGAGAACAGAAGAAAGCTTTCCTAGGCCTCCGACAAAGTCAGTAACTCTGCAGTCGGTGAAGGAAATGAGCCCTAGAATGAAGATTTCTTGGGATAGACCGAAGGTAAAGCGCAAAAATCTATGATTCTTCATTCATTCTTTAGCTTTTATACTCCCTTATTGCCCCGCCAAAGCTCAAAACAGAAGCAGAAGAATATGAGTCGCGAGAGATTCCATCTGTGCCGGAGAAATGCCTCAAAATGCCCCTGACCTTCATCCTCAGAATCAACCATCTGAAGTGGGAGGTCAAGAACTTTGAACGACTCTTCGGATCGATCTCGATTTACGACATGAAGGAGAAGAGAAAAGTGACGGAAAACTTCAACTTCGAATTTACAGCGGCGGACAAGATATTTCCCGTTTTCAATTTGGAAGAAAACAAAGACGAATACGTCATACTGTTGAAGATCGAAAAGTGCTTCCAAAGTGACCAATACGATCCAATAGAAGCTTATCAGAAGGATGTTCCAGAAGCAAAGAGGGAGAAGATTCGCCTCGCCGCGAAAAACAACGAGTCCTTGCTGAGCCAATATCGAATGCAATTTGCGTGGACATTCGTGGCTTTCGCAGGACTGAAGCGGCGGAAGTTCACTCATCATTCTTCAGAGAATCGAAGGAGAAGCAATGAAAGTGAAACGTATTCCGTGTTTTCCGACTCGGATCGAACAAGCAACAGCTCGTTTAGCATTGAAGATGAATCCTCGGGTGCTGGCAGTGAGTTCATCCCGCCTAATGGAGCTATCGATTTCTCCATCAAGCAGGTGTACAAGACTGACAACGAAAAGCTCTCCGATGAGCAGATTTGCTGGCACATCGTCGACGTCTGCAAAAACCCACAAAAATATAAGCAAAGAACCGTCAACTGCGAGTTTTCCATCTCGCTCATGTCCCCCGTCGACCTTCACAATATCCGCAGCGACGATGGTCAAAAACTCAAACCCTGGCGAAACGACATCCCGCAAACTATCGGACAAATGGTTCGCGAATTCCCAGTAGAAAATCGAGTGCCAAGACCTCTTGTCACTTATCGAAACGTCCTCTACATCTTCCCGACCTCTGTGAACTTTTCAAATCATCAACGAGCGCGTAATATCGCCGTGCAAATTGAAATCAGAAACGAGTTCGAAACTTTGCCGGCGATTTTTGGCGAAGACGGAATCATGAAATCACACCATGTCTCGAGCGTCGCCTATCATCGCAGCCATCCGACCTTTCTCGACGAAATCAAGGTCGAAGTTCCTTCAAATCTAACTCCTGACCACCATCTTTACTTTACCTTCTTCCACATTTCCGTCAAAGAAGGCCGACAACTCCCCGTCGGTTTCAGTTGGCTCCCACTGATGAATGCTAATCAACACCTGATGAATCAACAGGCTAATTTACCCGTCTGCTCTCACCCACCACCAAGTGGCTATGGAAGAATCAGCCCCGATGCAAATTTGCCCGGCGTCAAATGGCTTGAAAACAGGAAATCTCTTTTCAAAGTAAACGTCTTGATCGATTCAAACGTCCATATTGAAGACAGAAATGTGCATTACTTTCTCAAATGCGTTTTGGCTGCAGAAAAGCTTGAAGCTGAAGACACATTTACGACCGTTGCGGGGAGGAGAATGCCAGTCGAGCAGCTTCATGAAGATCTTCTGTGCTCAATTCGATCGCTAGCGCAAAATTCTGCTATGAGCTCGGTCATTAAACATTTGCACACAGTTTTCAATCGAATAGTCTGGCTCATCGTAAATCCACCTTTGACGGAGCGAATTGTTATTGCTCAAGCAGCCTTCAACACTCTTGTTTCTCTCGTCTCAAGAATTCATGAAGATCATTCGTTGAAGAGGGACGCCCATGGGCGAAATCGCTATTTGGAGCAATACGTTTACTTTGTCCTGCGAGAAGGAATAATGGACGAAAGCTCATACGATCAAAATGTCCCAACTTTAGGGCGAAAAGACTGGATTCGCCACACAATGAAATCGAAAAATACCAGTTCCAAGCCAAGTGGTGCATCAATCAACCGCCATTCCAGCTATTCCGAAACTTTAGGACTTTCCAGGATGAATCCATCCGCTTCAAATCCTGATTTGACCCCGAAGAAAAAATCGACGATGAAAACATCCCCATCGACGATGAATCCTTCTAAAGATGAGATAAAACGACCGTTGTTCGAAGAACTCGCTTTTCAAATGGTCGTTTGCTCGAATTCCTCGAAGGAAAAAGTGCTTGAAAATGTCTGGTTCTTTTTGGAATTCATCACTAAATCGGCTACTGAGCATAAATTACAGCTCTCCAGCGAGAAGGGTAAATCGAACACAATTTCTGAACGCTTTTTCGATTATCTGAAAAGCATCGTGACATGGATCACTCAAGAAATCGCCAAAAGAAGTGGCAATAGATTTGAAGATGCGCGCCGAATGAACTCTTCGTTCGGATTCTTTATCCGAGATTTAGTCGAAATTCTCAGCAAGGAACAACTCTTTGACCTGATCAAACAATACAACGATATAACTAAAGACGTCTCCAGAGGATCTGTAGGAGACGATCAGCAGACGCATTCAATGAACATTCTCCGTGCTCGATTCTTCCGTCTCATCGTCTTCCACGGATCGTATTTTGAACTGATCGACGAGAAAAAAGCTTCAATAGATTATCTCGGGGAAGATCCTCTTTCGCAAATCATGTCTGATGTTATCAAGATTATGAGTACCAAGAGTCCTTTGGACGTACATGGACTAAATTACAATTTATGCTCGCTCATGAAGATTCAATCGGCCATTGACGCGGATAATCGTTACGATGACATGAGCGAAGAAATAGCTCGCCTTTTCCTTCCTTTTGTCAAATCAACTCTTCACAGGATACATTTATTCACAGACGATACGAAAGAAAAGCATCAATATAAGATGCCTGTCACGTCTGCGCAGATCCTCTTAGTAGTAAATTTGTGGGTGATTCGAAAGATCTGCAACAGCAAAGCGACATTTCCATATTTCATCAACGCAATGGACAAAAAAGACCTCATTCTGTTCAACCAAATGCTTTTGTCCATCACGACACTCCTGAAATATTCACCTGAAGCCGTTCTTGATAGGAAACGAAACCCATCGAATTCGAAGAAAAACATCGACCAACTGGATCTGATGAATAAAGGCGCTGGATCAGCTGTAAATTTACTGAAGCAGAAATCAGCGTCGCTAGGAAGATCTCCTGATCAGGCTCCTGAAAGTAGTTTCAGATCGTGGAAACAAATAAAAACTCGTGGATTGACAGCCACTTCGGGTTCTGGAAGAGCATCTGCATCGTCCATTTTCGACATCGATAAGACGCACCAAGGAATTATTCTTGATCTGGATAGCTCGACCGAGATATTCCAGTCCGTCATTGACATTCTCGAACAAATCTACGAACTGAAAGAAAAAGACGATGGCGATTACTGGCACCGTTCCTATTGCCAAGTCATGATTCATATCTTGACTTGTGACGGGACAGCTATCTGTTCATTGACTCGACTTATGAAGGTTTTGCGAAATCAGATGCCAAAGTTCCTCCCCTGTCTTATTTACACTCCGTTACTTTCCGCCATGTGTATCAAAATCGCAAATTTACTGAGCTCTGGCAACTTGGAGGTCTCAAAATCAGCTCAATTGACGATGATGAAAGTACTTTCCGATCATTATGTCCGATTTTCAACCCTCTCCTTGCCTGCTTACTGGATCAACGTCGGAGTTTGTAATCTTCTCGGGCTGAGAAGGTATCAGAGCTTTTCTGAACTGAGAACCGTCAATTGTGGCAATTTGTATTTCCATTTGAAAGAGCTGTCGTCTTTCGGATACTCGCAAAACGATTCACCCGAGTTTCGTCAACACTACGTCGAGTTTACTGAAAGAATCTTGAGTCTGGTAGAAGCTGTCGACAATTTCATCGATTTGAACTCGAAGAACATCTCTTCAAATTTCACTTTGATGCAAATCGCAGATTTACTCGCCTATTGCCCGCTATCAAGGATTGATGCGCTCACTGCTCTAGCCGAGGAACAAAAAGAAACCCATCCAGTTGAAGCAGGATTTTGCCACCTTCACAAAGCTGCAATCATTTTAGAAATCATCCGGTACGCTCCATCACCGGATAGTGACAATCTTCCTAAATCAGCAGCTCTCTTTTCACGAGATCTTGGCTTGAGGAGTTTAGAAAGCGAAGCATTTGTTTCGGACTGGATCAATAGAACTCTCGATTCCGCCGTGACTGAGCCTGCTAAACTCCGCTTGTCGGTCGGTCACGTTACCGCAGTTATGTTTGCGCAAGAGAGAGATACAAGAGTTTCACTAGACGGATTCAAGCAGTCCTTGGAGGCTGCTGCAAAAAGCTTCTCGAAGGGAAAGATTTCCGAGATATCCATTCGTTGTTACCAGACTCTGTTGAATCTTCTTTCGGGGGATGTAAATTCCATGAGAAATGTCACAGAAAAGCTTCTTCAAGGTATTCATGCATTGTCTTTTTGACAAGCTAAACATTTACTCAGCACAGCAAGAAGCAATCGAACAAGACGATCGCTACGGTGATGAACGATTCGGTTGCTATTTCAAAGTGCATTACCGAGGACCGGCCTTTCCTGTCACTCTCGCGAATAAAGATTTCATCATTCGAGAGCCCATGGCTTCAAAATTATCGGAAGTCTCAGATCGTGTTCGAAAATCAGCTTCCGCTCTTATTGGAGAGGATGTAGAACTCGTTATGGAAAGCGTTTCGCCAACTGGAAACAGTAATTCGGTGCAGGTAACCTTTCTAAAGGTTCATAGAAGAGAATGGCAGAAACCATTCAAGAACTGGCAAGATTTCGTTAATTTAACGAATTTCGTCTACGCAACTCCGTTTACTGCGTCTGGGGAAGCTCATGGAGATGTAAAGGTGACGCTTTACCATTGTAAGCGATCGCGTTAATTTGAGTTCAGGTTCAATACAAACGTAAAACATTCCTACAAGTCAGAACACGGATGCCTTACATTCTTGGACAAGCAGAAGTCAAGAGAAGCTGGACAGAGGAGCTCAATCCCTTGCAAGTTGCAAAAGAGGATATCACCACAAAGACTTTGGCGTTGTATGACTCGCTTAAATCTGACGATACGAGGATCATACAACTGCAATTACAGGGATCTATTCAAGCGACGGTCAATCAGGTAAGATTTATCTTGAAAAAAAACGTTAGTAAAATATTTCAAGGGCCCTTTGCACCTCGCGAGAGAGCTTCTCGGTCAAAAACCAGTCACCGAACAAGAAATACTCGACTGGGAAGACCTCCGTGATGCTTTTATCGACTTCATGCATGTCTGCCGCTGTGCCATTTCCAGAAACAAAGAACTAATGATCAATTCTCGCTCAGAATATCACCTCAACTTAGAACAGAATTTTGCCCAAATCCAAAAGGATATTCGGCCTCTATTATTAACCTAATTTATCTAGCTCTATATATATTTACCTTACTGTACTGTCTTACATTCCAATTCTCGCATGCCTTCAGTTACGCAAAAAATCAGTGTCCTTCCTTTTCAACTTTCCCTTCAGTGATTGATCTTCCGAGACCTCTCACATCTCAAAATGACTTTTCTTTGATGGCCATTTCCCGGAATGACTATCAGCGCATCTTATCAGTTCCATCAGCGGGTATCTATGTAATCAATGTTTTACCTTTGCAGGAAGCATGCTGTTTCTCAATCAGCTGTTCACGAACGATCCCAGATGGCCGATGGAGCTCTCTCGAGCACTGTAAATACGCGTGTGATTCTTCACATTTCATTCATTCACAAATACACAATCAAAAAAGCAAATACGAAAATGACTTTTTTCAACCTTCCTCTCTCCGCTGATATTGCTGTTTTCTCCAGCATTGTCTTCGCCTGCCTATTTCTCCTCATTTCCGGCATCCTTCTCGCTGCTTATTGCCTCCACAAGCATCGAGCTCGCCGTGAACGAGTCACTCGACCGATTCCTCAAATTTTCTCAGTCTCGGGAGCTCCATCGATGATGTCTGCAATTTCCACTTCCACACCAAAGACAAAGCGAAATCGAAACAACTCCTGCTTCGTTCATTGCCCCTCTCCTAACAACACCCCGACCAAACCCGCTTCCGCTTTCGGAACTATTAACCCAGCATTCCAAGACGATTTTGTTTCTGTCATCGTTGATTTTTAATTTGTTCTCATTGCACTACATGTAAAATAAAAAGATAAAAGATTAAATGTGTGTAATTAATTCTCTGATTTCCTTTCAAGCATTTATTTTTCCAATATCATACAGAGGACCTTTGATGTCTTATGATCTAATCGCTAAAAAAAAGAGGTCAGACGCAAGATTTCCGCAAATTATCTTACAATTCCGGAGCCATTATCATAAAACCGACTGATCAGCTGTATCAAGGTTTGTTATCGCGTGTAGATTTGATGGTTATCATGGTCAATAAAAAACTGCGGTCGTATATAAATGCCCTAGAGACCTGCTGAAGCTAAACCATTCTTTTCAGAAAACTTGGCATCGATTTCGGGTTTCTGTCTCTCGCGTGATCAATAGCGAGCGTGGGTGCTCGAAAATTCATCCCCACAAGAGAGCCGTTCAGATCGTCTCTAGATCCAAGAGAACAAAACAAAGATAGCTGAAAAGAAGAATCAACAGGAGGAATCTAAGAAGATCTCACTGGAGATTCTTCAGTGAAGATCAATGGGAGTCGTGAAAAATACAGGTTTTGATCTGACCTCCGTCAAAAGCTCCAATTCTGCCATTTTCCTACGAATAGAGCAAGGGAAAATCGATGAGGTCAAAATTCTAGGTAAATAAAATCGATATTCAACTAATTGAATTTCTTGCTTCAGCTAAAGAGCCCGAATCGTGCCTCGGAGTCAACGAAGAAGGTCAAACACCGCTTCATTTTTCAATCGAAAAGCAACAACATGAGATCTCGTTGTTTCTACTTAGACTTGGACATGAAGTCAATACGGTCGACAGATCCCAGTGGACGCCGTTGATTTCAGCATCCAAATTTGGTAATGTTGAAGTTGTGAGGGAGTTGCTCAAGAGAGGTGCGAAACAGAAGTCAAAAGATGATGACATTTGCGAAATGGTAATTTATCGTCAAATTCTTTAGTTCTTACAATTATAAAACATAGCCGAACATGATATTAATTTTGTAAATTCAGGGCGAATGGTCTGCTATAACATGGGCTGCTTATCGCGGGCACGGAAGAGTTCTCGAAGCTCTTTTGGAAAACCCAGCTACTCGTGGCGATCCAAATTTCAATGGCCTCGACCAGGGCGCATCTTACGGCGTGACCCCTCTTCTCTGGGCTGCGGGCCGAGGACATATTGATGCAGTAGATGTGCTCCTGCAAGATGGAAATGGCGTTGATGTCAATAAGACCGATAAATTCGGTTGCAATGCTCTTTTCTGGGCCTGTAGAAAGGGCGAAGCTGGGGTCGTCAAGCGATTGCTCAAAGCTGGAATTGACATCAATGCTATCGGTGCTCATGGCCAGAGCGCGCTTATTGTTGCGACTAGAAATATGCACGAAGAAGTCGTTGAGATGCTGTTAAGTGCGAACTTGAAAGGAAGCGATCCTGTCAATGTCAGTCATGTAGACTCGGATAACAATACTGCGCTCAACTTTGCTGCTGATAAGGTTAGACATTTTTATGAAATTTTATCCAATAAATTGTGTATTCAAACATGGGCACAAATGATCTAAGCACAAATAAAGTTTTAGACTAAAACTTTTAGTTCACATTTGATTTTCTCGAGTTTCTCGCCATCTTCTAGTATGTCAATTAATTTTTTTGAATGAACAACTAAATATTATTTACGCGTCGTTAATCCTCTTTTTAGGGCCTGACTGCCACGGTTCGTATACTTTTGGAAGCTGGAGCATCAAAGAACCATCAAAATAAGAAAAAACAAACTCCTCTCATTCTCGCCGTAAAGAAAGGTCATTTAGAAATTGTCCGACTTTTGCTCAACCACGATGTCAACGTCAATTTACTCGACAAAGAAAATCGATCCGCGCTGTATCTCGCTGTCAAAGAATCGACAATGGGAGGAAAGAATCCGCATAAAGAAATAATCAAGCTTCTTGTCAAGCGAAAGGACATTTATCTCGAAGCTTTCACCAAGATCAACGACAACAAGAAGATTATAACTGAAACCGCTTTATTGAAAGCTGTCCGGAATCGAAACGCATCAATTGTCAATATTCTTCTCAAGGCTGGCGCTTCTGTCGATGTCCGTGACCAAGACTGGAACAATCCTCTTCATCTTTCTATTCGATTTCGGGACAAGACTATCACCGAAATGCTCCTTCGAAATCCCAAAAACTCCAACCTGGTTTACAAGAAGAACAAGGAAAATGAAACTCCCCACGAGATCGATCTCGAAAACCCAGTTTCAATCCTTACCAAAATCTGGGGCGAGAAAATGGTAACTTCATCCACCAAGGGTCTCGCTGATGATATGAGCCAGTACGAGCTGTACACAAACTCTCTTGCCGATATTCTGGCTGAGCCAGAGTTGAAACTTCCAATCACTGTTGGTATTTTTGCAAAGTGGGGATCTGGAAAAGATTTTCTCCTCCTCACTCTGGCGAAAGTCATGGGCTCATTTGTTGGTGATGAAGGTGATGTTCATTACAAACCGCCATTTTCCGTCCACGTAACTTTTTTGATTATTCTTGGCTGGCTCTGCACTCTCATTACCGGCCTTGCTTATCCGAACACGTCTAATCTGGCCATCATCATCCCTTGCATCGGTGGGGCTATCTTGCTTTTCTACGGAATAATAATGGCTCTGGCAACTTATGGAAATGTCAAGTATATCGAAAATGATCGCAAGAAAAAGTGGCGCTTTTGCAATAGCATCGCAAAAGCTCTCACTAGATTTGGAACTCGCTTGAAGCTAGTGATGGCGATGCTTTTCAAGACTGGTGTGCCTAATCCGGATGCTTCCAAAACTAAGCCTGTCAAATTTCTGTTTGCGAATCAAGCTAGACTCAACATCGGTGCTTCTGAAAACTCCCTTGCAGAAGTTATTGGAGCTTTGAGCAAAACAGCTGAAGAAGCGTATGGATTTCTCCCTGTCAGAATTTACCGAGCAATGAAGCCAAGAAAAGAGTCTGTCGAAACTCGATCGTTTTGTTGTTTGCCTCTTCAGTCGATTTTCATCCTCTTCTGGTTGGACATCTTCTGTTTAACCTGCTGTCTCGCTTTTGGAAAGGACAACTTTCCAACACCAGCTCATTTCCAAACAGCAGCAATTTTGACAGGAGTTGTCGGTGGAATTCTTCTGGCCATTCTCACTGCTCATTACTGGCAAATTATCAAGCACATGATTGAGTCTCCCTATTCTCGAGTTTTGAAAGAAGCAAACAAGATTAAAGAAGGCGAGAAATCAGGACGAGAACAGCTCAAGAGAGAAGTGGACTACCTAGCTGCGATGGTCAAGGCATTTGATCAGTATGGAAGTCATCAAACTCGAATGGTTATCGTCGTCAATGGCTTGGACAGTTACAAGCAAGACGATGTCCTCAAGATTTTGGAACTTGTCAACTCTCTTTTCACCCAATCGCCTTACATCGTCATCTTCGCAGTTGATGATAACCTCATTCGAAAAGCTGTCGACAAGGATCGAAAAGACACCTGGGAGATCAGCGGCCGAGACTACCTTCAAAATATGATCCACCTTCCCTTCTACATGCATCAGCAATCCAATGACTTGACTCTCCGTCGTCGAAAGATTCTCCCAAGCGACAGTGACTCTCACTTCGACATGATCAGTCTAAGACCCTTTGATGATAGACATGGCTCTGTTGCTGGTTCTACCAAATCTATCTATGCACCGCAAGAGAGTCGCGACTCGCTTTTCAGCCCACAAGATGATCAGGGTCTTATTCGAAGACGGTAAGTTTGAGTGATCTGTTTTTAATGATCAGTTTTTGAATAGTTTTTTTACGTTTTCGAGTGTTTGTGACGTGTGGTTTTAGTGGTCGTGAGGGACGACGTAACACCTTGTTTGATGAAAATGGAGTGAAACTTACAGAGTAAGAATATTTAGAAAATCCGTCTTCTTTACAATAATTTAGCTCAACGCGAAAGTCACGATTCGAAAAGAGCAAGAATAACGAAGCAGAAATGCTCCTTGATGAAGATTGGCTCAGTTCCATCTCTCCCCAGATAATGAAGCGCATTCTCAACTCAAAATCTTTGACTGGACGACTTCTCCGTGCCAATTTCATCCCTGTTTCTTCCGATCGACTCTCTCGTTGGATAAAGTTGACTGAATTGGCTCCTTACCGAACATCCTGGATCATCTGGTATATCGAAGAGAACGAAGACCTCGACTTGCATCTACCTCTAAAATCAGTCTACCAAAAGATTCTGCCGTCCATTCCGAACTCAACTCAGGAGGACAAAGTCCTCGCGATTGATTCTGTCGACTCCCGAGACATGGAAGTGCTACTTTCCGCCCGAGATCCCAAGGACGCGTTGACTGTAAAAGACGTCGTCATGTTCCTTCCCAACACTGTCAATCTCGATCCTAACCTACGAGAATGGATCGACGATGTCTTCCACACTCGCCAGCTGAAGCTTCAGAGCCCAAACCAAATGCCACCTTCCGGTTCAAACCTCCTTCTTCAGCCGCTGACGAAAGTTTCCGAAACAACTGAAAGCTCATCCGAAACTCCGCAAATTTCAGCCCACGGAAACTTGAGTAATATGATGTCTCTAAGCAGCGTTCCGCCTGCCTCTCAAGTGTCTGTCTGCTTTGACATGAACTCTGAAGAAGTCGCGAACTGGGTTTTGAGCATTGAAAATATGACTGCCGGTGGAAAAGCGCGACTGGAAAAATATGTTCTTGAACAAAACATTACAGGGAATTTCCTAATGAAAATGCGAAACAAGCTCCAAGTCATCAAGTAAGAAGCAAAATTTCGCATTGATTTTTATAAAAATTCTAGGGCGGATACTCAGCTAAACCTCGGCGATTTCTTCCTGCTGGAAGAAGCGATTGCAAACATCAAACCGACAAATCGTCAAAACACAACAACTACCAGCTCGACTGGTTTTACTCCTCGATCAGAACGCCACGAGCCGCTAGGCGAAACGACGGAGAAAGGTTCCAAAGAGCGAAAGCTCTCTGTCAATTTTGATGTTCCACCGTAATTTCATTCCGTTAATTTTATAGAACAATTGATTCAACAACTGAAATATCATTATCAAAGATTAATCAATATTAATCTTTGTTTTTTATGTTGTGTGCTTGTTTTTTAAAAACCAAAGGTTGATTTTCATTAATGCTTCTTCTTTTAACTAAGCAGCTAAAGGAGGATCGACGATGCTTCCTGCACCGCGTAACAGTATCTTTAAACGGCAAAATTTGCAACCCGTTCTTGAGTAAGCGCTTTTTGCTTTTTTGGCTTTTGTTTGCTTCTTTCGCAAAAGGGAAATTTCGAAAGGCATACATCTGAAATTTCTTATGATTTGAATTTTCGTTGAACAAGTTCTTTTAGGAGAAAGTGTGATGAAAAAAGGCATTCCCATTATGACTTTGACTCCACCTGAAGGTTAAAGTAATTCCTCTTTCTATAAATTTTGTAAGTGAATTTTCCGCAGTGAACATTCCCTTGACAACTTTTAACCTATTCCGATCATTTTCCATAAATTATTGTTGTCCGCGTGCGTGTGCCTTACTGTAGTCTTTGCTTTTACAAAAACTTAGATACGAACTCAGCGGAACACCTCCCAATCAGTGAGTACCGCCAGGCACTAGCTGATTATTGGCGAATTACTGCTCTTGAAGATGAAAAGTATGAAGTTCTCAAAATTTGAATAAAGATTACAACAAATCTTGAAAGCAAATTACCATTAAATATTTATAGGCATATTTATTGGACTCACATGTGTCCTGTCAGGTTAAAAGGATCAGCAGGAGAGTTTTAGTTTTGATATCTGATGAGGCTCAAAGTCGCTTTGGGAACATTTTGTTCCAAACAGAATGATCTCTTGGAGAGTAGGAATGGTTTGAAGTAGATTTTGAACAACTAAAAAGATAAATTTGCGCTGACGAAGGTGAAACTTACTGTTTGAGGTTATTTCTCGGTTGTTGGAAAAATTAAGCACTTCTAGCTGACAATTTGATTCGAGATCGTCGAGGTTGTCCTCTATGTATTCTTGTTTGATATTGTTCTTGGAGATGTTCAGATGTTTGAGGTCTTGGACGGTGTCGAGGAAAAGTTTTGTCAAAGGCGTGACTATATCCTCAGAAGTGGTGATTTGCGCTGCTTCAAGGGTGTGTAACGAGAAAGAATCGCCAAGGCTCATTCTTATATTTTCCAGTCCCATCTGGCCGATCTTGAGGTTTTGCGAGATGTCGAGGTTGGTCAACTAACGTCGTTTATAAAAAAAGTCAAGACTTAGTTACGCTACCTGGCTCAAATCCATCCTAGTTTCAAAGGTAAGATCGGTCAGTTTCATCCGGCAGAGTTTCAGGTCCCTCAATTCTTTGAAATTCTCAATGATTTTCGACAGTTGTGGGCCGATGTCGCCAGTGACGTTTGCTTGAATGTCCAATGATCGCAGTGTCGGATGAGTCGAGTTTGCAAGCATATCTAGGCTTGACTTTGTCAGACGGCATTTTGCGAGCTGGAGACAAGCGAGAGATTGAAGCTCTGGCAAAGCTAGTGTGATCTTATCAAAGATCGGTTCCAAGTTTTGTGCGGATAAATTCAAGTCGACAAGAGATGGTCCAGAAAAAATGTTCATTATGGCAGTTATATGCGCACTGGGATTTGATTGAAAAACAACACCAGTCAGCGAGATCGATTTTGTTGTTTCTGATAAACGTTTTTAAATAAGTTCTTGGGCCTTTACAAGAAGGTAGATTAAAAACGATTCCTGATAATTGCAGGGCATTAATGCAATCCTCAGAGGGCTCTGCACCTGCTTTGCGCACAATATCACGATATTCCTCAATTGCCGTCGATGTACTAAATCCTGTTGACCATTCATGAATTTTGACAAAAATTATGTCTCCTTCATTCTTGTCGAAGTCTATTGAATCAGAAACGACTTCAGAGGGAGTAAGCTCCACACGGTCGTTTACATCTTCACCAACATAAATTGAAATCTGAGGTGTGTCGTGCTTCCGATCTTCTTTGCGTATAATTTCTTTGATGATTTTGTGTCTAAGACGAGTGATAGAGAAACTTACTTTGAATTCAAGTCAGTGTTGGAAAAAACCCGCCCGCGAACCCCGCGGGGGCGGCGGGCGGGGGCTGCGGGCGCCCGCGCCCCCCGAACCCGCAAAAAATTTCGGATTTGGCCCCCGCGCCCGCCCGCGACCGCAAACAATTTCTGATTTGGCCCCCGCGCCCGCCCGCGCCCGTACAAAATTTTTTCAACCGCCCGGGGCCCCCGGGCGTTGTTATAATTCTCTTCCCTCGCCTTGAATTGAGCTTGACGGCCCAAATGGCCAATTCCCCCCTTTTTCTCCCTCCTTGGTTTTTGAATTTAAGGGATCCCCCCTGTTTTTTCAACTCTTTATCACAGGTCTCATAGCATGTAAACCTTACGACGAAAAACCAAAATTTCACCCGCCGACGACAATTGTGCCATATATGGCACATGGACTTTAATGCCATCGTTTGACCAATAGAATTCCGAAAACCAAACCTTAACCCAAACCGAAACACAGCCCGAAACCTAAACTCGAACATGAACCTAGTGTCAATCCCAGACTAGTGACCAAAAATGAATGAAATAGAGTAACCGAAGTGATCGAAGAGAGAAAATGGGCGTTTAAAGTTTTTGTGCCATATATGGCACACTTGTCGTCGTAAGGTAAAGATTCCCTGTTTTATGAGAATCATTTTGATGTATCACACTATCCCTTAACAAACATCTTAACCCGAAATTTTGGCAAACGTAAAAATGCATATAAATAGTACTAAGCGTGAAAATCGCATTTTTCCGCTTTTCAATGTAAATGAAAAAACAAAGATCTTTCGATAGCTTTGAATCAAAGGAAAAAGAATATGCACTAGAATTTCGTCTTAGCCCTGTTCCATGATTTTTGAATTTAAGGGGCTTGACGGCCCTTCGGGCCGTCTCAGCCCTGTTCCATGATTTTTGAATTTAAGGGGCTTGACGGCCCTTCGGGCCGTCTCAGCCCTGTTCCATGATTTTTGAATTTAAGGGCTTGACGGCCCTTCGGGCCGTCTCAGCCCTGTTCCATGATTTTTGAATTTAAGGGCTTGACGGCCCTTCGGGCCGTCTCAGCCCTGTTCCATGATTTTGAATTTAAGGGCTTGACGGCCCTTCGGGCCGTCTCAGCCCTGTTCCATGATTTTTGAATTTAAGGGCTTGACGGCCCTTCGGGCCGTCTCAGCCCTGTTCCATGATTTTTGAATTTAAGGGCTTGACGGCCCTTCGGGCCGTCTCAGCCCTGTTCCATGATTTTTGAATTTAAGGGCTTGACGGCCCTTCGGGCCGTCTCAGCCCTGTTCCATGATTTTTGAATTTAAGGGCTTGACGGCCCTTCGGGCCGTCTCAGCCCTGTTCCATGATTTTGAATTTAAGGGCTTGACGGCCCTTCGGGCCGTCTCAGCCCTGTTCCATGATTTTTGAATTTAAGGGCTTGACGGCCCTTCGGGCCGTCTCAGCCCTGTTCCATGATTTTTGAATTTAAGGGCTTGACGGCCCTTCGGGCCGTCTCAGCCCTGTTCCATGATTTTGAATTTAAGGGCTTGACGGCCCTTCGGGCCGTCTCAGCCCTGTTCCATGATTTTGAATTTTAGGGGCTTGACGGCCCTTCGGGCCGTCTCAGCCCTGTTCCATGATTTTTGAATTTAAGGGCTTGACGGCCCTTCGGGCCGTCTCAGCCCTGTTCCATGATTTTTGAATTTAAGGGGCTTGGCTGGGAACTCTAAGTTGATCAATCTCAGTTTTGTCCCCAACCCCACCCACACCCATCGTTTGAAAAATTCAAATTATCTTAGTTTATCACTCTATTATGGTTTTTATCAAAAATTATTTTTTTTATTTGCTGATTTCTGAACCCGCGGGGCTTGCGGGCGCGAGGGTTACGGGCGCCCTCAACCCCCCGGGCGCCCGCGGGCGCGAAAATCTGCGGGGCCCCCGCCCGCGCCCGCCCGGCCCCGCACGAAATTTTTGAGTTGGCCCCCGCGCCCGCCCGGACCCGCAGGAAATTTAGGAATCGGCCCCCGCGCCCGCCCGCAACCGCGGAAAATTTTGAAATCGGCCCCCGCGCCCGCCCGCGCCCGCGGGAAATGTTGCGGGTTTTCCAACACTGATTCAAGTTACCTGAGGATTTCGATGGTGACACAATCTTCGATTGTGATCCGAAGTCTTCGCCGAGCATAATCCTCATTCAAATATGAGACCGTCAGTCGTCTCTTCTTGCTCGTGGAAGAAATATTCATGCTACTTGTTATTTCTGATGGCTTTGGATCACTATTGAGCGTTAGAGAAGATAGATGACTTCGGGAATCCTCATCTTCAGAGCTTACTATTTGAATCCTTTTTGAGTCTCGAACTTCTCTCTGTGGCGAGCTTTGTCTTCTTTTTCGACTTCCAGAAGAGCTTACTCTCGGAGAATTCCCTCCATTTGATTGATGTAAAGAACCGTAATCACTAGAACCACCAGAGCTTATCGATCCAGCACGCTTTACTTTTTTGAGAAAATGCTTCATTGGATTCTTTGCCTCTCGTTCATCCCTTTCTTGCTCATCATCATCCTCGTCGTGCATAAGTCTGCTAACTCCTTGAAGTCTTCTCGGTGCAACTTCGATCGCTTCCTCTGGCGTGGTCGGCCTCGGTGGTGGTCTTCGAGTACTAGTTGGCGTTGCAGTCGCTCCAGCTTTCCCTGATTTCGCGGCTTCTGCTATCATCCGAGGATTATCACGCTGAGCTTGAGTGAGCTGATACAAGGATGTCTGGACCGAATCGAGTTTGTTTTTCAAATCATCTGTAAGAGCAGATTTGTATTGGTACTGAATACTTTCCTTGATTCTGTTGTACGATTTCAAAGCAGTTTCATTCTTTGAGTTCTTTCTTAGAACATTTGGCCCGTATTCGACAATAACTTGAATGAACTCCAGTTTTTTAAGTTGAATATCAGATGATTCTCCAACCAGTGATTCAATTGCATCTTGAAGTGGTGTTATTGAACCCTCTTTCGTGCCTTCGCCAGACTCCTCTTTTTCGAATTCCATATTTGAGTGTGTTAAAGCATTGACCATTGCCCCATTTTTGAGCAGGATCTTCGCAACCTTAGGAAGGCCCCAATTGGCGGCTTCGTGGAGCGGAGTAAGACCAGTATTGTCCCAAACATTGACTGGATGCTTCTGGACAGTAATCAGCTGCTCGATTTCTGTTAACTTCGCTCTTGGCTCGTCAGTGAGTTTTAGATCAATCACTTTTCTCTGCAAAAGAGTTTCCCCGAGACGATTTCGATCAAGATCCCACCAGGGTTTGTTCGAGTTCGTTTGCTTCATTGGCTTGGGCAACTTCACTGATTTTATTCTGTCCTTGATGTCAGTGGGAGTAGCTTCTTCGTTGTCTTCAAGTGAGTCCAACTCACGCACAGACTGAGAGCTTGAAGACTCAAGCTGATCAAGCTCTTCTGTAACCTCAAAAATCATATCTTCACTGGAAGCAATAGTACTACTGTTATCGCTAAGAAACTCTTTCATTTGTTTCAGGACACCAATTTTCAACGCGGCAGAAGAATCGAAAATAGTCTTCACATCCTCGAAAAACTCAACGATACAACTGTTTGATTTCTTCGCATCCTGCATCGAAGTAACAGCTTCGTCCAGGAACTTGTAGCGCTTTTCAAGAGGAGTGGATTCTGCCTCCATAGCCAGCCTGTAGTGATCAATTTCACTTTCATGATCTCCTAGCTCGTTGTGGACAGTGGCTAATGTAACGTGAGCTGAAGCTACTTTTTCGGAATTCGCCTCTGTAAGAGCAGTTAATCGTTCTGTGTAACGAGCCAAGGCGCCAACGAGAAGGGTGCTTTTTGACACTCGGTTTGAAAATTTATCATGGAAGAAGAAGCAGATGTCGCCCATAATATCCTTCATTCGTGCGATCTCCTCGAAATCCACAGGATCCACAGCCTCTAACTCTTTCTTCTGGCAATCATTGAGATACAATACTTTATATATTTCTTTGCATTCCTGGTTTTTCGGGTAAATCGCATGAGCATCGCGATAGAGCTCCATCGCTTTCTGGAATTTATACTGGTAGATGTACATACTGCCCCAGCAGGTGAATAGTTCAAATTTTTTCTCGTTCACAACGTCTTTTTCTTTCAAGTGATCAATAGACGCCATCGCTTCCTTGAACTTCGTTTCTGCTGAAGAGTAGCACCCACGATTAGCCTCTTCTGCAGCGATGATATTGAACCAGTCGAACTTGTCTTCGTAAAGATTGTGCTCTTTGGATATTCTGATAGCGTTATTCAGTCTTGATTGACTCTTGTGCTTATCTCCTTCTTGATTGCGCTTTGTATAAATCATCGCAAGCAGTCCTTCACATTTGAAACGCATTCTGTGCATTTCTTCCTCTTTCTTCTTTGAGCACCCAAAAGCAGCAACACCTCCTTTTGCTTGAACAGAAATTTGCTTCAGCGCTTCCTTTACATCTGGCATTGCTTGATTTATAAACCCATTATCGAAGAAATGTTTTCCACGGGTGTAATATGCTTCGGATCGCTTCTGAAAATCGACGCAACTTGTATTCGCTTCATCCACAAGTTTGTGAAAGAAAGAGAGAGCTTCATTGAAATCCCCCAGCCGGTCATATGCTTCCCCAATGTAACGCAACTGAGCTGCGATTTTAACACCAAATTCTGAACCTTGTTCTAAAATATTTTTCCTATAAAGAAGCTTGATCAATAGAGATATAAAATGAAGACTGACCTCAACTCGATTTCCCGTTCAGAAAAGTCCTCTATGTCTTCAGTAGAATATTTGCCACTTTGTGTTGTTGCATCTTAATTTGATTTTAATTAGTTGAGCTTAGAATATAAAATATGCTTACAATATGCGTAGATATCTGCTTGCTCGAGTTGAATCTCTATGCGTTCTCTTTGTGTTCGACATTTAGTCTTTTTCAGCCTTTCGATGTCTTTTAATTTAGTTGGCATTCTAAATCCTCATATTTCACATTGAGAAAAATAGAGGAGCCTTGTTAAAAACAAGGATTCCTCCATAAAAATCGAATTCGAATTGTCTTTATTCTGGACTTCAAGGAATGGCAGCGCTTGTAGTGGTAGAGATGATCAAGTGAGGTAATTTTACATAAATGAGTTTTCTGCAATTTCTTTAGAGATTTATACAACTGTATGGTTTGTAAAGAGTTCATTATACAACTTAAATTTATATATTTACAATCTATCAGAACATGTGTGGCTTTAAATAATAGTGAAGGCAATGAGTGATGGATCCGTTCATTTTGAACGGGAAAAGTGACGCTACAAGGGGGCTACTCTAGATTTAAGTAGGAGATTTTTAGTTGAGGTGAACGCTAAATTTATTGTTTCATGTATTCCAATGCTGTTAAAAAGAAGTCAAAAAGAGGGAAACTGGAGATTGAAATAAGGCAGTTTGAAAATGAATACGAGGAAGAGATATTTTTAGGAAAAAAGAGCAGGTAATTTTTAAAAGTTACTCTTCGACGACCACTTCTGCACCTAGTCTGATTGCAAGAGCCTCAAACAAAGAAGTATCGCTAGCTGGAATGATTAGGGTAGAGCCTTTCTTTGATTTCTTGAAGAGGAGCTCTATAAGTAAAAGCTTAAAACTGTTATAGGAAAAATGAATCTTACTCTTTGAGTGATCGCTCTTGAAAGAGTTGGCATCACAGATTGCCAAAGCAGTGCGTCGACCAGAAATGCGCTTTGATCGAGCTCGAGTCGGTTGGGTGGGGTAGCCGACGAATTTCTCGAATTCTCTTTTCACATTGCTACCAACTTTTAGCGTGACTCTCTGCTTCTTTGTCCTTGAAATATTTGTAAACAAGGATAACGGGAAAGTGTTTTACTTTGGGTTCTTGTTTCCATCAAGAACTTGAATATCCATCGTGATGATTGGAGAAACTCCACGGTTCTGCATTCTGTCGACGATCAGCGGCTTGAAACAAGAGGTGTTGTGCTTGAAGCTGAGTTTGAGCTCCATCTTGCTTCCCATCAAGTAGTTATTGAGCACGAACTCCTCATTCACTCCACCGTAAACTAACTCAAAAGTAAATAATTTTCTCATAAAGCGGGCCTGACCTTGGTGTCCTTCCTTTCCGTTGATAATCACAAAGCCCGATTGCTCACTGCAAGAGCAACTGATAAGCTTCTCATGTCGGGTTTGAAGAGGAATATTCTTGTATCCGAAGGAAAACAGGAGGGTATCTCCCGCTTGAATACAATCATGAGAAATTTCGACCGTAGTGTGCTTGTTTTTCTCGACGAACAAGACGATCCCAGTTCTCTCAGTATCGGTGTGCTGCATCACGGAAGCAGCTGCTCGGGAGAGGATTGTGAATTGTGGAGGATCAAAAAGCTGGTGAGCTGGTGTCATAGGATAGGTGAGCTGAACTAGAATAGAGTACTTTAATTTCATTGTCTGACTTTAGATTCTTACGTGGGTAGGATTGTTCATACTGCATTTGTTGGGGAGCAGGACTTTCATAGATTTCCAAGGCTTGGGTATCAACGCTACTAATCGGTGAGAATGCTGGTGGTGTGGAGACCTCGGACATTCGCTCTCCCATGTTCGGGACCTGGAAGTCTTGATATGACGCCCAGGCGGCAAGGTTTTCAGCTTTGATGTTTTGTGGTGTCATTGCGTCCATAATTTCCGATCCGTTTCAATTTTTCTGAAGAGGATAAAATTGGGTGTGTGTTAGGTCAGAAGTACTTTGTGAACATTGGAAACTATCATGGAAGCTATTCAGTTTTCTTTAGGTTTCGGTTCTTTTGCCTCATGGCTAGGACTTTTTGCGACATCGCATCGACCTTTTGAACCTTCTCAGTTCTCAATGAGAAGTAAAAGAGAATTAAATATAGAATAACAAAGACACCGCAGCAGAAAGAAGAGATAATTACTGGCCACATGTCGGGGAATTTTCTAAAAGACTAGCTTATTGAAATCAACGAAGATTGATCTTACTTTGGAGGCACCACTGTATGCGTGACGTAAAGCATAATCTCCTGAAACATGAAATAGGCTCCGAAGATGGGCGCTAGTCCTCCGTTTCTCCCGCTGAGCATACCGGGTACAACATTGTTTATTCTCGTAAAGTCTCGTTTCATCTCGGTTCTTAGGAGGATAATCACCCCATAAGACATCAGTCGGAGCGCGAAGTAGTAGCCAACATTACTGTCTTTGACAGATAGTGGGAGTAAACTAGCGAAGTTTTTTTCATGATGGTCAAAGGTCAATTACCTGAAGAATGCTGTATGTGTAAGTATAAGGGTGAAATTGAGATTCGTATCCGCTAGAAGGAGCGCTTTCGAAGGTTGGAGAAATAGTGCGCCAGTGGGGCGCCAAACAGGCTGAACCCGGATCTGCGACCAGGTGGTCTTGATTCATCTCTAACACTCGCGAACAGGGAAAAAAAATCATTACAACTTCCAACCAATCCTGGGAGAACGAAGAGCAAGCATTGCTTTTCATGGACTTGGAAGCTCAGTAAAAAAGAACGCAAGCGCTGATCCAGTCATCGCATTTGCCATTGACTTCGCAGATTGATCCCATAAAAGACGAAGACATGGAAGAGTCGCACAAATGAGGGTCAAAAGAGCGGCGAGTTGAAGCTGGTTTTCAGGGGGAATCACATTTTTGACTTTGAAAAGAGTGTGTAAAAGGCACTAAACAATCTTATAGAACGTTGATATCGCTTCAGAATCACACCCAGACGTTGGCAACTTTGTCTTCAAACAGTCCCCTGGCGAAAGGAAAAAGGCGGTGAGCGATTTGACCAAGTTGAACTGCAGGAGTACTCGTATACAATAGAAACGGCGAAAGAATAACACTTGACGTAACAATAACAGAAGTTCCGTAGAGACCAACTTCTGTGAATTTTCCTAATAGAGTCTTCTGTTTAGTAGCTTGTCCAAGAAGAATGAAGAAAAATGGCAGTGCGTGGTATAGTTGCATTTGCTTGTAAAAGAGGGAGAGGGTGAAGAAGATTGCACCAAAGAGTCGTTTTGAGAGGCTGGCTTCAGTTACAAGACAGGCGGCAATTATTGCGAAAGATAAACTGATTGAATTGTACTGGTAGTGTCCGTGGTCGACTAGAAAAAAAATATCGCTAGAATCTAACCAACGAATGTACCTAAAATAAGACAGGGATTGAATAAAAGACCAAGATATGCAAGTTTTCCAAATTTTTTCTTGACAAGAAGAGCGGCAGGCACCAGAAGAAGTAAGTCACCAATAAGAACTGTTAATCTCATAAACACTTGATGCTCAAAAGATTCAAATCCTCGGGAGGAATGGTCAGCAACCCAAGATGGATTGAACAGTTGAGCGACTTTGCCACAGAGGAACATGTGGTATGCTGTTAGAGGAGGATAATCAAGGCCCTAGAGAATGTGTAACCATAGGATATTTTGTTCTTAATTTACCCAATATTCTAGGTCGAAGAAATACCACTTTGAAAGGGGGTGATGAACCGTGAGCTCCATCCAATGTCTCTGAGCTTCATAATCTCCATACATTGGCGGGGTATTCTTTCCAGAGTAGGGTCCCAGACTTACTACCCATCTTAGTAAAAACGACGCTCCTACGATTACAAAGTCCAACATTCTTATAATTTTCTTTTTTTTTCAAAAAATCATCGTGCACGGAGATAAATTTCGCAAGCAAACGGGAAAAATCAGTGCATAGAGATTTGGAGATTACGAGATAAGAAAAACGATTCAAAATGATGCTTTACAAATCAGTCCTTGTTCAGTTGTTTCTCATGCATTTTTCCTGCGTTATTTCAATTAATTCATTTGCAAAAGATGAAACACTGATTGATAAGACATCGAAAAGGTATATTTGAGCGAGAAAAAATCGGAAATTCTGTCCAGCAGTAAATACAACTCAAGTACGTAAAATGTGATAAAGCGGTAAATAATCTCTTTCGAGAGTTTTAAGTGGTAATAATAAAAGGAAAAACAGACAGCATACAGGTAAAGAAAGGGAACATTAAAGTGTTTTCTGAGATACCGAATTAAAATTTTTTCAATTTCAACGAAGGAGGAAATTTGAAGAAAAAAAGTTATAAACATGCCAAGAGAAATTTGCTAATCAGGATACGTGAGATGGATTTTAGGCAAGTATTCAATTTTAATTACATATTCAAACATTGGCGAGTCTTCGATTTGAAGGGTAACCAAGCCCCATCGGAGGCCCAGCTTGTGATACAGTCTGTGGTTCTCGTAGTCGATCAGCTTTTGGATTCGTAACCGAGTTCGTTTCGACAAGCTAAATAAGAAAAGTTCAAGTTTATTTTTATACGCGTCATAAGACCACCAGAGGAGAAATGACTGGATTATCTCTTGATATGAGGTGATAGCTATTAGCATTTTAGCAAGGAATTGTCAAAATCAACCTTCCAATGGTCGCCAGTCTGGCGCGACAAGTTATTCGATAATGATAATCTTATAATGATAGAAATAGCCAATATTTCCATTAACAACATACCATACAACTGGTAAAAATGAGCATCCAGCGCTGCAAACACAAAGGGCAAATCCAGCCACGAGCCATCGTAGCTAGAAAGGATCGTAATTGATGGTCTTCTATCATGAATAATATATTTACTTGAGAGGCCATGCTTCGCTTGAGCGCGGAGTTGATGCGATTGATCATCTTTGAAAACTCCTCGGGAGCGAGGCGACCGGATAGTTGGTGGGGAAACTCGTTGTCATATTTACAGCAAAGTCCGAAGATTGTCACTTCGCCGGTTCCTTTGAGGATGATTGGTGGCGGCACTTCTTGTGAGGGGAAACGAGACGAGGAGGTATCGGAGCCTTCTACTTCTTCTATTTCGTCCATTCAATCTGAGAACAGTATCTTTCAGGTTGTGAAACTAGAATTCTAGCTATTTAGCATTTGTATTGAATTGGAAGTTGTCAATGAGCGCAGAAATAGAATAAAAGTATAAAGAAGATTCTTTCCAGAGGTAAAGCACATGATTGGGGCAAAGAAGGAGGGTGAATAGATTCAGAGGCATTAGTTTCTGAACCACTTGATGTAGACAATCATTCCGATGATTAAAAGCTCGCCGATGATGATTCCGATGAGAAAAAGCTTGTTCCCTGTTAGACCCATCCAGATTCCGCGTATCAAACGCGAAGTTGACGCTAAAAATGGTTAGATTTTGGAGAAAGGCTCGTAACTACTGAGTTCAGTATTGGCTTCTTCAAGTCGATCGCGCGCGCCTTCAAGCCGCTCTCGTTGGATCGCCAAATCTTCCATCGTTTCTTGCCCGAGTCGCTCACTCTCTAACGCAATCGCCGTCGATCTCTGCAGGGAAGCGTCGACTCTGCTAAGACTCATGCGAGCCTCGCTTGGCAAATTGTCCAAGTTCTCGAACTGATTTCGGTAGTCTGCTACATCTGCAAGCATACCCGTCTAAAAGCAGATAATGGCTTTGTTTAATGCTAATGAACTTCTTACTCTGTACTGATATGGAGCGACGGAGGCTTCTTGATGAAGTGCACTGAGTACTTTTTCGACTTTTGTGACGTCCCTTGGTGTTATTCTATTAGAGGTGATTAAAAATTGAAACTTGAAGAATAGACTCACTGGTTTTTGAATCTGATATCATTGAACAAGTCTTCAAACTCATCCTTCAAGTTTTCAAACTTGAGTGAGCTCATTTTTACTCTAGAAAAATCTCATTTCGGAGAGGATTTTTGAACAAACGTTGATTTGAAATTTGAAAAGGTAAGGACGTGGCTACAAACTAACGAGATATCTGTACAGAAATGTCAGTACGGAGAAAATAAATAAGAATGAAAGGAGGGTTTCTTTTCATCTTCAGACAATTGATCGGGCGATAAGCTCCTTCATGATTTCGTTTGATCCGCCATAGATGGAGTAAACTCTCGAGTCAGCGAACATTCTCGCGATGGGGTATTCCCACATGTATCCCCAACCACCGAACATTTGGAGCATCTTGGAAACGTTTTCGTTGTTCTTTTCAGTCACCCAGTATTTGCCCATGGAGGCGGTGTTGTAGTCGAGGATGCCATCTTCATACATTTGAATGGAGGTATCGGTAAAGTTTCGTGACATGGCGATGTCGGTTTTGATGGCAGCAAGTTCGTGCTGGATCGTCTGCAATTTTGACTAAAATGAAGTTATTTTTTCGAAAACTGCTTCTCTCATTCTTACCAAAGTCTTGCCAAACGCCTTTCTTTCCTTGACGTATTCTCGAGTGCACTCGAAAGCGTATTCCATTGTGGCGCAAGCTTGGACAGTAATCAAAAGTCGCTCTCGTGGAAGCTCATGCATCAACATGCCAAAGCCTCGGTTCAAGCCTTTCTCTCCACCGAGAATGGCCGAAGTAGGAACTCGGAGATCATCAAAGAAAAGCTCAGCGGTGTCCTGGCCCTTGAGGCCGATCTTGTTGAGTTTTCGGCCCTTGTTGAATCCTGGCATACCGTCTTCGATGAGGAAGAGAGAGATTCCCTTGGCGGCAGATTTCGCAGTTGGGTCAGTGATTGCGCAGACGATTACCATGTCCGCGTGCCAGCCGTTGGTGATGAAGACTTTAGAGCCGTTGATGATCCAGTCATCGCCATCTCGCTTGGCGAAAGTTTTCATTCCCTAGAAACGAATAATAGATGCTTGATAGTGTGAGTAAGTGAACCTGGAGATCAGAGCCAGCTCCAGGCTCTGTCATGGCGATAGCAGTAATACATTCGCCAGAAATCATCTTTGGAATGAACTTTTCCCTCTGCTCAGGGGTACCGTACTGCGAAACGTAAGGGATAACGATGTCAGAATGCAGTCCCCAGCCAATGGAGCTGTTGGCGATGTAGCACTGCTCCTCCATAACGACCATGGATGATTTAAAGTCGCCACAGATGCCCCCGAGATCTTCGTCCATGCAGTTGACGCCGAGGAGACCCATTTCACCGGCGCGAAGCCAGATTTCTCGAGGAACATGGCCGACTTTGTCCCAGTCTTGCTGCACGGGCTCGACTTCTTCTTTGAAGAATCGTCGGACAGACTCTCGAAACATATCGTGATCTTCGTTGAAGATTGATCGAGTGCCAATTTCCAAGAGAGAACCTTCAGATCCCCAATTTGGTCGACGAGCTCCGGCAACGCGGGCAGAGGTGGAAAAACAACGTTTCATTGCCATTCTATTTCTATTCGTGAAATAAACCTTTTTAAGATAGATAAATATTATTTAGATCAGCTGAGCGAAAAAAAAACTTTGCTACAGAAAATTTGAAAATGATATTTTACCATTTCTACGATAAGCAAGTAAAGCGAGTATGAATTTAACGTTATCGAAAGTATGGCAACTGGAATATTGGATTTTGTCATGGTAACACTGTAAAACGAAAAAATATACTGATAGGCTAAAGAGAATTTTCTTATCCGGATTAGTCAGAAATAGTTTTAATTAGGATTCTTTCGGATGAGGTACAGAAATAAGCAGAAATGGAAGAGCGAGATAATTTCTAAATAGAAGAGAATTCGGTTTGCTTCCACGAAGCTGTTTGCGTTGGCGTATGAGAAGAGCCAGTCGGTAGCCTGAGCAGAGATAATCGTGAAGATCTAGAAAATGTTATGTAACGTTAAGATAAGAAGTGATTTCTTACCTGAGTCGTTCCGTAAAGCTTTCCAAAGTGCTCGTTTCGGAATGAAAGGCCGATAACAGTAGCGTTGATTCCGAAAGTAAATGATCGGTGAAGAACAGATAAGAAGAAAGAGGCGTACTGTAAAGTTGTGTTTGCGATGAGCGTTAGAGCGGTAAAAGAAATTCCCAAAATCGTTGTCAAAAAGACTCCAGCGGCGAGAGCTTTATTTTTTTCGCCAGTTTTGGCGAGAGCTGAAAAAGAGAATGAAAATCGACGGAAAGAGCTTTCGAACTGACTTGAATCAACGACCATGCCGTTCAAAAAAGCATATCCAACACCACCGAATTGAAAAATAGCAAAGTTCGTCATCATCGTTCCGGTAATCGATCCTGCTTCTTCCTGAGTACAGTTTTGATCGAGTTGAACAAGCTCTTTCGTTCCAGGAGCGATGCCACCGAGATAAAAGTACACTCGCGTCACTTGAATGATGAAAAACAACATCGTTGAAATAAAGAGCGGGGAGAGAGCAACTTCAGAGCTAAAAAATGCTGGAACTTCCTTCTCATTTTCCTCAGCTTCTTTCTTTTCCTCTTCGGAATGGGGGCTCTTTTCTTCGTCATCCAGGAGTTCTACGTTGTTCTTGTTTTCATCAGTTCCAGATTCAGGCTTTGAACTGAGCGATTTGTAAGCAGGGACAGTTTTATAATCGGCAGGAAGAGGCTTCACAAATGGTTCAATTAACTTATTTGGTTATTTGGTTACGAAGGCTCTTTTGTAAAAATATAAATTTAAATAATAATAATATTTTTAGGTTAATTCATTTGGAACCATAAATAAGGAATAGCGTCGATTGGAAGCAAGAAGAAGGTTCTAAAAATGATAAGAGCGGAGAGAGCAGCATAAATCGTCCATGTCATGGAATATCCAAGAGCGTTGTAGATTGTCAGGAAGAGCAGCGCAGAGCAAGAGCTTGAATCCATTGCACCATTGAAAACGCAGAGAACTCGGCCACGGGCAGCTTCGTAGTAGTTGGCCACTTGAAATTGAGTGACGAGCAGAAAGATACCCGCACAGCAGATTGATGTCCAGCCGTATTTTAAATAGCTTCAAGAAGAAATAAAATAAGCCTTCAATATGAAATTCCTACTCATCACTTTCGCCAGGAGTTGCAATAGTGACCATCATCGACCCAGCAAGGAAAAGAACAAGCCCGACAAGTCGAGTTTTCATCGATCCATAGCTGTCCATCAGAAAGCCAGCAAGAAATGCTGCAACGGCGAATAACGTCGTTGCTAGAATTCGCTTGATTCATTCCCGATTCAATTCGATTCACTTACCAAGAGTAAAAATAGCGGTAAATGCGGCGTCCTGAATCTCTTGGGCGCTTTTCTCATCTTCTTTGGCTGGTTCTTCTGGCGCTTCTGTAATCGCGAGAGAAATGTTCCCAGTCTCTGTCCAGTAGAAACCTTCTTTTTTCAAGATCTTGAGCAAGTTTGGCCAGCCGAAGATGGTGCCACAACAGAGGAAAATCTCTAACACTGTGAGCAACGTTTGCCCATTGTGGCCGAGCTGCATTTTCAATTTCAACTGAAAAAGGTATATTTTAGTATCTAAAAGAAGACACGGTCAAATGTATGCTTTTATTGCCAGGGAAAGGATCTGGGCGTTGCCAATATTTCAAAGTCAATATTAGTGATCGGTACGACCAGAGAAAATATTTTTACAACTTTATTGTTGGTTCAGACGCGGAAGACTTTGATTTTTGATCGTTAACATAATTATGACACCAGGTGTCCCAAATAAAGCAAAAAAATATCAAATTGGATTTTGTCAGATTCAGGAGCAGGTTCTTAGAAAAAATTAAGCTAAGAGGTTTATTTTATATCATGTAAAAAATCAACATAAGTGGCTATCTTCTTGAAGACTCTCTTTGCGTTTCATCCCTTTCTTTCTCTGACCCTTTCTCTGCGCCCGGGGCGGGTCAATGCGCTTCGATTGGCCGCGACCCGCTCTAACGCTCCTGAAATTAAAATTCTCAAGCTGTTGGAGAAAAAACAACCTGGACGACGCTGCTGTTGTGAGAAAGAAAAACCGCTATCGTTATCGTCTGAGAATGCTTAATAAATTGTTGATGCTGATGGGATTTTTATTTTTGCTGGAACCTGATAGATTGTCAAGAATCCGAGATTCTCAGGCTAATTAATTTTTTTCCTACCGGCAAATTATTCGTGAAAACGAATACTGTGGCCAAAATCTACATTTCTGAAATTAAATCCGTCTTCCGACAAAGGTCAGTCAATGTCCTAATTCTGAGGGCCAAGGTTATTTATTTCATAGTATGAAATTCATACTCTGCCTATTCTTTTGAAAAGAAAACATTGACTTAACACCTCTTAGAATTTGATTCAGCTTCATAATTTGCCACAAAGAAAATGTCAGATCAGGAAGAAGACGAGAAAAAATCGATCGCGTCTGTGAATAACGAGATAGTACCACTGAAAAATGTTCCAAAAATAACTGTTCGATTTCACAATAATACTCAAGGTACAGTTTTAAGGATAGTTGAACGTTATGAACAGTAAATTAAGTGTCTGTTATTGTGCACCTCTCGTCGATTGGCAGTTTTGTTCACGAGCAACGATCAGTTCCTTCCAATGCAAGCGTCGAATTTGAAATTGCTGAAGGTCTCGCTTTCGTCGTTCTGGCCGTCTCTTCTGAAAATGCGCCAGCTTCCATCAGGGAAACTTTGGAGAATCCTCTTCCTGAAATCGCTGATCGAATAAATCATCGAAGAATGATCACGACTTCGAGAAATAATAGACTGTTTCAAATTTTTGGCGGCCCGATTCAAGACGAAGCAGAGGAAAACTGGATGAAATTGTTCATTTGCTCCACTTATGACAGTTTCAACGACTTTCCGCGAATAAGAGCACTGCCAGAAACGAAAAATAAAGACGCTTCCGCTGGCGATAAGGCTCTCCGATTCGCGAAGAACAACAAGACTGCTCTTATCGCTGGAACTGCTTGTGCTGCTGCTGGTGCTCTTTTTCTTCCAGTCGCACTTCCTCTCCTCGGCTTCACCGCTTCGGGCATCGCGGCCGGTTCAGTCGCTGCCTCTGCCCAGTCCTTTTTCTACGGCGCTTTTACTGGAGGAATTTTCAGCGTTTTCCAATCCATGGGCGCTGTCGGTGTTTCCGCGGGAGTAACTGCCACCATGGCTATGTTTGGTTTTGCCACTGGGGCGGGAATAGGAAAGCTTGTTCAAGCAGAAATAATTCACCAAATTCCTGTCTTTCATCGAATAACTGGCGAAACGCGGATTTTGGTGGATCATCCCTTGTTCCGAAATCTCAGGTCGATCACCATTCTCATTCGCGAAGACGGAAATGAAACACGTCGAATTGGCTTCATTTGCTCATTCACTCGGTCGAATCAAATCTATCGCTACCGATTTCAATTTTCCAAAGCTCGCTTCGACTTCGAACTCCAAGTGCCGCGAGTGACTGGGGAAGAATGGCAGGAGTTCATCTGGCTTGATTTCGCGAATTTTGACGGACAGCAACTTGAGTATGTTTATGTTCTCAAACCTCGTCAGAAAAAAGAAGATAAATGAATAGTTATCCTGTGCCTACGAAAAAAAATACATTTGCACTTATGATTCAGCCCTGTGTTTAAAAAAATGGGTGGGCACAGCAGGTGTCCAGGTGACTCAACTTTCCCTTTTGTTATATAAACCGATTGGCTCTCCTCAAATCTTACAAGATTTTCCTCGTAAAACGGAAAAGCAAACAGAGGTGACGTTGACTTTCAGCAGCAACTTAGAAAAGCAATGAGTGGTCAAATAGTAGTTCCCGTCATGACAGCAGAATCACAGAGATATTCCGTCGAGTTCAAGAGCTCCTGTGAAGGTAAAAAGCCTAAATCTCACACTTCGGAAAACTATTATTACTTGTTTTAGCCCATATTATCGTTCACGTGACTTTCACTGGGGAGGAAACTCAACCAACTTTCGTGGCCCCTGGCGAGACAATTACACTTCTTCTTCCCTGTGGTCTTGCTGGTGTACAACTCGTAGCAACTGATTTGGGCAATCCAGATTTCAAGAAAATCCTCGAAAATCCTCCCGTGGAGCTTGTTTCTCGAATCAATCATCGGAATGTGATTTCTATTGAAAAGCAGGGTCACCGATTTCAACTCTCTGGAGGACCAACTGCCGGTGTTGCGGCTTCTGAATGGAAAGCCTTGAAGATCGACTCGAACTTTGACTTTTCTGCCAAGATCCATCTTCTTCCGAGAATGGTCAGTCACACCCCAGATGCTGGCGACAAAATCGCACGTTTTGCGCGAAACAATAAAGCTGTCCTGATCACTTCTGCTGTTTTTGGGGTTGCTGGAGCAGTTCTTCTTCCAATCGCCCTGCCCTTGCTTGGCTTCGGTGCTGGTGGAGTTGTTGCGGGATCTATCGCTGCTGGAGCGCAATCAGCAATTTACGGGTATTTATTGATCAATTCGTATTTTTTTTCAAACGGAAATTCAGTGGCTTCACTGGAGGAATCTTTAGCGTTCTTCAATCAATGGGAGCTGCCGGCGTTTCCGCTGGAGCCACGGCGATGATGACTGCTTTTGGCGTGGCCACTGGAGCGGGAATCGGAGCACTCATCAAAGAAGAAATCCTCCACACCATCCCGATCAGTCGAATCATCAAGGGAGAGACTAAAATTGAAATCAACTACAAGACGTTCCAAATCCTTGAATCCGTCACCATCGTCACTGGAAAAGACGGAGAAGGAAAGCGCAAGGCCATCTTCATTTCTACCTTTGGTCGCTCCGAGAAAATCTACCGCTATCGATTCGAGTTCACTAAATCTGCCAACGATTTTGAAATCCAAGTGCCTCAGACGTCAGCTGATAACTGGCGAGAGTTCTTTCCCATCGACTTCGACAAAATAAACGGGCAAGAACTTGAGAATATCTACGTACTCAAGCCTCGCTCTTGAATCATGAAATCCTGACTGTTTCGTTTGTTTCCTGAATAAAAGTTCACACCCGAATTTGTTTCTTGTTTTGGAAAATTTAAAACGATAGCTTCAGAAAATGGGTATAGAAAATGTAAAAACAATCGTGGCGGTTCTCTCGGGCAAAGGAGGAGTTGGCAAAAGTAGTGTCTCAGTTCAACTCGCTCAGGGATTCGCTGCGGATGGATTGAAAGTTGGAATTCTCGATTTGGATATTTGCGGCCCTTCGATTCCGCGAATGCTGGGCCAAGAAGGAGAGAATCTTCACGAATCGGAAGAGGGGCTCGTTCCAGTCATGCTTGGAGAAGGTCTTTCTGTAAGAACAACTGTGATGCCACGTATTGATATTTCTGTAGCTAGTTTCTGTGGGATTTTTGGCGGAAGCAGAAGAAGCGATTATTTGGCGAGGCCCAAAGAAGAAAGCTATCGTCTCACAACTAATTAATGATGTTCTTTGGGGAGCATTGGATGTTCTCGTCATTGACACTCCTCCAGGAACATCTGATGAACACATTGGTCTCGTTTCGACGCTCAAAGAGCTAGGAAGAAGAGATTCTGTTCGAGCGATTCTCGTGACGACGCCGCAAATGGCCTCCCTTCAAGATGTAACCAGGGAGATAAACTTTTGTAAAAAGACGGAACTGCCAATGAGCGGAATTATCGAGAACATGTCTGGGTTCGTTTGTCCGCATTGTTCAGAATGCACGAATATATTCAATAAAGGCATGTTTTGTTCGATCGAGGTTTTTAGAGATTGATCATTTTTAGGAAATGCTGCAAAGTTGGCAGAAAAGTATGAAACGAAAGTATTGGGCACAATACCGATTGATCCAAATTTCGGTTCCACGTTAGACGAAGGCAGAGATTTCATGAAGGCCTTTGAAAATTCTGCAACTGCGAGTTCAATCAAATCAATAGTGCAAGAAATCCGTTCGACCTTGTAATCGAAGGTCTTCTGCTGTAATTCAACAACCAGTAATTCTACATATTTCTTTCAGTTTTTCTTTTTAGAATGGCTGCTGTTGATTCCTTAGGCGACGCTGTTGTCCAAGCTTTGGTCGAGGAACCTCTTGATTTGCTTCGACTGTCGCTTGATGAGCGGATTTTCGTCAAGCTCCGCAATGAGCGAGAACTTACTGGTCGTCTTCACGCTTTCGATCAGCATTTGAACATGATTCTAGGTAATTCAAAACCCAATAAATCAATCCTCAACCTTATTCCTACAACATGCTCGGTCGTTTTTATTCAGTAATAAGCCAAATATTATTTTTCGCGCAAGGTGTAGAACAGGGATTAATAATAAATTAAGGAGACGTTGAAGAAACGGTGACCAACGTGGAAATCGACGACGAAACATACGAAGAGATTTACCGACAAGTGAAGCGCTCGATTCCGATGCTTTTTGTCCGAGGCGACGGAGTCATTCTCGTTGCGCCACCGCTGCGAAAATAGATGAAATTTAAAGCGTTTTAGTGGGTTAAAACAACCAACAACTTGACTTCGACTGCCCGTGATAGCAATATTATTAAGCTCACGTTTTTGTTAGAGAAACTTCATTACTTGGCGAATCTCTTTCTTTTCCCGTGCAAACAATAAATTTCCAATAGATCGATGGTGGATGCTCATGGCTGGTTTTCTTTAGAATGACGAGAGAGACGTAAAACTTTAAATCCAAGATATCAATTCTTCCAATTTTGAATAATTAGCAAAAATGCTCCAGAAAGGACTGTTTTTCGGAATCGTAGTCGTTTTTATCTTCAGCTGCGGTTATTATCTCGGCGTTTCGCAAAATGCACGAATAGAGAATGGACCATTACCTGCGGTCACGTCCATAGAAGATTTTAAAGGCATGGTTGATTCGGTTAGGATGAAATATTTCTAGTTTTGGGAACATTACAAATCAACCGTTGATCAGCCGATTATGTTCGTAAAGAAATTGCTTCACTGCGCCTTGAGTCGGAGAAAAATTCAAGTCCGAAAGAAGAAAGAATCAACAAAGATGATGAAGTTTTAGTTCCGCCAAGCCCCAAAGAAATAATACTATCGGAAGAGGATCTTATCGTCGACAAAAAGAAGAGCCAATTAAAGAAATTGTCGAAAACGAAAATGAAGCTCCGGCCATTGAAAATACTTACGATGCAAAGGCGGAGATCCAGAAACGATTAGAGGGATACAATAAGTACTGTGAAGGAAGGCGTAGAAGTCTGATTGGCGTTTCCTTTATCACTGGATACATTTCTCGATATGGAGTGTCTACTGGAGATGTTCATTTCTGGACCTGTTTTCTCCCAAAGGGTAAGATCTTTTATATAAAGACAGGTGGACTGAATGAATAGGGAAACTCGACGAAAAATGAGCTTTTTTTTGGGCTTAGTAGGGAGGGAGTATAATACATGTTTAGAAAGCCCAGGAGCTGGGGATCATTCTGACTATTGACAGTAAGGGGTTTGACTCATGCCCCGGGGCACTTTTGGCCTTCCAAAGAGGCAAAAATCCGGTACTCTCGGGATAAGGGACCGTAGCTTCTAGTATCCCGGGTCTGTGGATATGAAACCTATATCAGGTTGTAGAAGAGGCTCTGAAGATTCAGAATATGTGTAGAAAACCATCGTTAGGCCCACTCTGGAGGGCGCTAGAGGCTCTAGAACTTGAGGAAGTTGGCCGAAAATCGGCACTCTTGGTCCCAAAAAGTACGAAACTGTTATTCATTCGACTGAAATAAGTTTAAGGACGTTTTTTATCGATGAAAATATGTAAGAAAAGTATTTCTGGGTCATATGAGATATTCCGGGGTGAGTTACTACGAAAATCTCTTTTTTGTAAAATATGACCCCAAGTGACCTTAAATGACCCCAAAATACGTTTCCGACATATTATTGAAGGTTTAAAACGTTCTTAAATATATTTTACTCGAATAAAATATCAGTTTCGTACTTTTTGGGACCAAGAGTGCCGATTTTCGGCCAACTTCCTCAAGTTCTAGAGCCTCTAGCGCCCTCCAGAGTGGGCCTAACGATGATTTTCTACACATATTCTGAATCTTCAGAGCCTCTTCTACAACCTGATATAGGTTTCATATCCACAGACCCGGGATACTAGAAGCTACGGTCCCTTATCCCGAGAGTACCGGATTTTTGCCTCTTTGGAAGGCCAAAATAGCCCCGGGGCATGAGTCAAACCCCTTACTGTCAATAGTGAGAATGATCCCCAGCTCCTGGGCTTTCTAAACATGTATTATACTCCCTCCCTACTAAGCCCAAAAAAAAGCTCATTTTTCGTCGAGTTTCCCTATGAATGAAGCATTCAATTTCTTCTAATCTTATTTTATAGTTTCACAGCAAGTGTTTCAGGTAGCTAATTTCAGTAATTCTCTTCTTTCTAACATTGCTTTTGTACAGTATTTGTACAAAAAGCAGAGAAAAAATAGGTTTTATTTTTTAATTTTAACAAGTAGCTTTTTGGACGTTTTAGACAACTAATTAATTAAAAATTTAAGCGGCCAGTAGTTCGCTGTCAGTAACAACTCTTTTGGCAACTGGTTACATTCCGCTTGAGCACAAAAACACCGTCGAAACGAAGACTTGGGACGAAGGGCGCAACAAATGCAATGACAGACCTCTAGGGAAGGGGGAATTGTCTAATTGCCTGCACAAATACGCGGCAATGCCACAGAAGTACCGATACATGGGTGCTAATTTGGAGCCAGGCGATAAATTTGCATCCATTATTGTTGGACGAGAACCCATGTGTAAGAACATTCTGCATTTATTCAAACCCTAATCTTCCAATAACTTCAGCTCGACTTGTTTCTGCCTGGAAGGACAAGATCTATCGCGGCTCTGATCGAACTTTTTACTACAAAAAAGTGAAGACGGCTTTTTCTCAGACAAAAAACCCGAAATGCGCCAACTATGCTACTTCTGAAGCTGCCTGGGAAGCCGGTAACTGCCGTTTTTTCATTCGAGAAATGAAGATTTTATAGGTTGCCGGTTGGAATTCAAAGATTTCGCGAATTGGGTAGCTCGAGGAAATTTTGCTGCTGATGAGCATTGGAGACCAGCTGCTGATCTTTGTGCCATGTGTGCTTTGAACCTGTCATTTATTGGCCACTCTGAGCATTACGGAGAAGATGCACAGGTAAATGAACAAAAGTGACGTTCTCGTTGATAATTTAACTCACAGGTGCTTGCGGAACAATTGAATATCCCGAAATCTTATCTTCCTGACGACTATTCAAAGTCAAATGAACATGCTGCCGCGCTGAATGCAAATGCAAGAAAAGCCTCGCTCGACGAAATGTTCGCCGATATACCTCGGGAAACGCTTATCAGCTTGAGAAGGATATATGAGCCAGATTATATCATGCTTGGCTACGAAATGCCAGAGTGGCTTGCTAACGCCTAAATATCCTATCTTCCGGTTTACTTTTTGTACTGATAAAAGAAATGATGTGCAATCTATGTTAACCTTACGACGACAAACGAGAATTTCCCCCCACGACGACAATGTGTCGTATATGACACATTGCCTTTACTGCCCTCTAGAGGCGATTATAGAAGTCAAAGAAGGGCATTATGCCACATTGGAACCAAAATTAAACTCTGAAACAAAATTCAAGCCTCAACTCTAACCCGAACTCGAACCGAAATCCCCGAAAAAATGTATAATTTTGCCGGCGGAATATATCCTACCGACGACAATGTGTCGTATATGACACATCGCCTCTACCGCCTTCTAGAGGCCATTTCATAGGCCGAACTCCGGTCTAAATACAAGCTTTAGCCAAAATCAAAATCTGGGACGGAACTTAGACCCAGACAGATACCCAAACCCGACCCACAACCCAAAAATTCAATTTCTTCTCCGGCGGAAAAAAGTCCTACCGACGACAATGTGTCATATATGACACAATTTCAATGCATTCGTGTGTCATATACGACACACTAGTAGCGAAGCGAAATTCGCTATTCTCATCCATTTCTAGCGAAGCAGCGCCCATAAATTTGATACCACGTGAAAGCTTAAGCTAAAGCGAAAAGTAGGGGCATAAAGGGGGGTCAGCGAAATTCTCAGACCATGTTACAAATGAGTTACGGGCGTTTGAAACTCTTGGTGTCATATATGACACACTTGGCGTCGTAAGGTTAATAGCAGTCTTTTACTTCATGTATTCATGTGTGAATTCTGGTGAAATAAATTCTGTATGTCCTACTGTACTATTTTGATTTTCGCACTTTGAGATTAGATGAATCCTCTTTTATTTTTCTTTATACCGAGAGGCTCAAGCGTTTACTCCGAAAAACATAAAGATTTTGATACTTTCGGTATAAAAGCTTGATATTCTCGGCATTTCCCTTTTTCTGTTTCGCAATATTTGACTCGTATGATTCTTCAAACTCTCGTTTTAAAAGTTAGTTCCAGTTTCAAGTCTTAATAATTTCATAATTCAATTTCTTCCAGCCTCTTTGATACCAAAAATCATTTTTGAATGGAATACAAAAAAATTTTTAATGACAATTTAACTATATTTCGTAAATTAAGTATGTGCAACTGACAAAAAATGGCGACGGAAGTGATTATGAACTTGATTTACGATGCGACATCGAAACGACAGCCAGATTTTCTAGTCGCCACTCATCTAAAGAACATCATCAACAACAATAGAGATAAAGAATATGTCATTCTCGAAGTCGCCTCAGTTCTACTCGAGCAAGCGTTCCAGGGAACAATTACGAACAGTTATGTCCTATCATATCTCAAGTACTGTCTTCGAGCTCAGCTGATAACTCCTTGTTCGGTTTTTGGAAGCCTACCAGCGTTCAAAGCATTTGATGCCCCAGAAACATTGAATGTTCTCCTGGCTCTACTGGGCGATCAAATCACTGAATTCTCGCAGCAACGAGCCGATGATCCCGTTCCAAGATTATTTCAAAGCGTCATCACACTCGTTAACTGGCTGGTAAATGCGGTCAGACACCTTCTTCAGCGACTACAGGAGCAACCAGAGCTCTGGAATCGTTTGGGTGAAAATTACTCAATGATAGTTTCTTACCTTGCGATCATTTGCGAGAGCAAGAAGTTCTGTAGCCTTCTTTACATTGGAAGCATCGACGAGCCAGAAATGTGGAAAGGGATGACTCAATCTGTTGAGCAGCTGAAGTCTGAACTCGCTAGAATCGCGGAGACGATGCAGCGGCAGCAGTTTCACTTTGACCTCGATAATGTGCTGAACATGATGATTTCTAGCTTCCCACTTTTTGAAGAGCCCGTGCAGAATCTCAGTAGGATGCTTTGCCAGAGTGTCAATCATGATTCTAGTAGTGTCTCTATTCTCATGCCTCTTGAGATGATGCTTTGTGCTCCAAACTCGGTTCTATATAACAGGTGAAGCTTAGATTAACGACTAGAAGTCAACTTTTTCTTTAGCTCAAGCATCGAGAACTCCTTCCAATTTCTCCGTGAGATCCAAAATGTCCTGAATGTCAGCTCAGAAGACGTTCTAAAGACAATTTTCACTGTTGGAATGACCTCCGTCCCCTTAGACAGCTCAAATCTATTCCGATGCTCTGCTGTTATGCTGATTCGTGTTCCTCAGCTGATTAGTCTCTACCTGACAAAAACTGGAGAAAGCATCAATCTCTTTCCCTTGGTTGTTTCGTTTTACAATACTCACTGTAATAAACTGAAACGCAGCCAAGAAATGCAGATATTATTTGTTTCTTTCCTCCACGTTCTTGTCAATCGTAAGTTAAAATCAAAAAGGACCCGCATTGAAATGAATTCGTAGAAAATTCGATTTCTCATCAAGATGCAGCAAAGCTTGGCTACCAAGGGCAAACTGACATGTCAAAAAATCTCGCTGTTGTTCACGCTCTCTTCGAAAAAATAACGAATGAGAAGAAACCTTTGAAAGTCATCGATTATCTCGATAAAATGACGATCGACTTCGATACTCTTCTTTACGTCGGAGCGGCGGGAGGAAACTTGAATAAACTAGTGGCTCTTCTTATAAGCGTCTCGCAGCAGGAGACGACAAAAGATGCTATTTTCGGAAGCTGCTTTTTGGTCCTTTTTCGAATTCAATGCCTGTTCGGAAACGAGCCCTTTAGGATTATTTCCATGCAAACGCCAATTACCAAATGGTTGTCGACATTCTTCCTTGATACCAAATTAAAAAGATATCACGAAGAGCCAACTCAGCAGCAGCAGGAATTCATCGACCTTGTACTCACAAAACTCAACGATATCCCGAAAAAAGGTGTTGATCACGCAGGCCCAGCATCATCTATCTTGGAAATTTCTTACTCGCTGATAACAACAATTATAACAGGAGAGGATTAACTTGAACAAAAAAACTTTTGAACCGGGTTTTGTTTATTCTTTAAAAAGCGACTTCGCAAGGACTCTGCCCAGAAGAAAATGCTCACCAACTGTTCAGCAACCTGCGGGACCACTCTCGTACTGGATTCATGGCTTGTTTCCTTGTTCTCGCGCAAATCGCATCGGAGGGAAACTCTTCAACTGCCCTTATCGCCACGAAGATGATTCCACTTTACAAGTCCGCTAAACTAAAATCAAAACTAGCATCAAATTTGTATCAGAAAAACTGTCAGTGGATGGAAGATTATTTTCAAGTTAATTTGAAAGAAGACCCAAAGGAAAAACTTGAAGATTTAATCAAGAAACTCTCTATTTCTCTACGTTCATCTCAGCAACAAATGCACGATATCAAGCGATGCGCGGATGAGCTCGGAACTGATTTGTTTACGAAGATTCTAACCGGCTCAATTATGAAGCAAACGCGAAAGGATTTATCAGAACGAGCTTGCGCTGTGGCAATCGGAGCCAGTTCTGTCGATTGGGTAGGCGTTCCATTGTCGCTAATTTGGTACCAAGTTCCTGAAGTCATGTGCGCTGTTGAACATGCCTCTGTTGCTGATCCTTTCGCGCTATTTCTAGCTACGTCTCTTCACTTTTTATCAATTTATCAACGAAACAAGGGCTTTAATGTGATTCATGCTCCAACCGATCTTCAAAAAATGTTCATCGAAGTTGCTGGAAAGGAGCGCAGTCATTTCCATGGGCGGATGGGTGATCAACGAATGCTTTATACAGTAAGACTCATTATCATTCGCTATAATTACAGTTTGAGGATGCCAATAAAGTCATATTCGATCGCCTGGAGTCCCTTGCTTCCATCAGATTCCCTCCTGCCGCCACCACCAACGGTTTTCTCAATAACTCTTCTAATTAATATTAATCTCACTTAGATCCGCTGTTTATCATGAACGCATTTCATTCCCTGGGTCGAACCCTACATCTTTCTCTGACAAACAGTGGTCCTCATCTGCCTGTTGATTTTTGCATGACTCTTCTTGACAAAATCATTCGACGGAGCTTATCTAATAATATCAACATTGACAATGTTTTAAACATCCTTCAGGTAACAATCGACCATGCATTTTCATCTTTATAAATTAATTTTCAGTACCTTCCTTTCTCCTTTCTCAATGTTCTGCTGCAAATTTCTGGGATCAATTCTAACATCCCTGCAGTTCTTCTTTCTGTCGTCGATTTACAACTCCCAAATGTGCGCACTAAAGTAGCGCGACTAATTGCTCTCGGCGAAGCTCGCCCTCTGCCATAAATGTTCTTTTCAAAGTTCAATCCATCTCGCATTTCCAATAATAGAATGAAATCGAACTCGAAAGAATCCACGCTTCAGAACTATTACAAAACGGTCAGTGAGCTTCTTTTCTCTTCGATATCTCCTTGTAGCGGACTTGTTGGAGATGGAAAAGTTGCTTTTATTCGGGACTCGATTTACTCGGCGGCGGCGATTTGGACGCTCTCAATCGCGTACAAGTCGGTTTCCTCAGATAACGGCATACAATTCGAGCTGGAGCAAAAGGCGATCAAAATTATGAGAGGCGTGCTGACGAGCTTCATGTACCAGTCTGAACGAATAGAAGACTACAAACGAGATCCATGTCCAGCTCATGCGATTCGAGCTTATTTTGACTGGACTACTGGTCAAGAATGCGCTATTCCCGCCGAGGTCCGTTCCTACAATTCTCAGCATCATCTTCAACTTCACGCTGTCGCGCTTTTCCTCAACTATTTAGCACAAATGATCAAAGCAAAGCTAAAAATCATCTTTACCAAGTCCGAAATTTCACTTGTTCAAAACTTGGTCTATTACATTGAAAGATCTTACCGAACTCCCGACTTCGGAATCTGGGGTCGCGGAAGTCGACACAACAATGGAACTTCGGAACTTTCTGCATCATCTGTTGGCGCTGTGAAATCTGCGCTTTTCGCAATTGACGGTGTAAACTTACTCGGCCCAGAATGCGCATCTTGGAGCTCAATCTATGTCGACCGAGATGCCTTTTCGCGAAATCGAAGAACCCTTGAAGAAATTTTACCGAAAGAGTCAAAATCAAAATCAACCGACAGCGCGCTCATTTCAACGCTCTCTTATCCTTTCTTTTCGATTGCTTATTCAAGCTCCATTTATCAAGAGACCATGCAAAAAGTGCGCTCTGAATTGGAACGTCCCAACGGATACATTCGTTTCAGCAAAGACGGCTTTGGAACATGTGTTGAAGACAAAACTAGAGGTCACTATGAGCCAAACGAGCTTAGAAACTTTGACAAAATCGAATGCCAGTGGCCTGTGTTTGATGCTCAAATGCTGATAGCTTCACATTTTACCGGGAATCAAGAAGATATGGAATATTTTCGATCACGCTTCAGAAATCACTTGAATAGTAGCTCAATTTTCTTTCCAACTTTTTATTTTTTCGACGAGTCTTCTATTGATGCTGCTAGAGGAGGCAAAAATGGTATTAAAATGCATCCAAAACTCTTGGCAAATCATCAATGGGTTCAATCAGTGGCAATAATTGCTCTACTTCTTGACGATGGATTCGTGCGCGCTTCGGACATTGATCCCTTGCGAACCTACGATCGCGTTCGCGATGAATTCTCGCAGAATCCTGATAATGAAATTCGAGTATCACTTATTTCCGAAAACAGTAAGCTTCGCACAATGCTCTCTACCTTCGCTGTTGAATCTGAAACACCTCAACAACTAGAGCCTATCGTAGTCTGGCCCACGCAAGAACTACAGAAAGCTTTCGCACTGATTGGAGAAGATCGCGCGATGGGGCTATCAGGGCGACCGAAAAGACCTATCGGAGTATTGGGATCATCCTGTGTTTACAGGATAATGGGCCGAACGATCGTCACTTACCCACTTGTTTTTGATGTCTCAGATTTTTACATTTCATCTGATACCGACACACTCATTGAAAATGTTTGGTATTCTTTGGACTTTCTCCGACAACATCATGAAGACAAAGATCCAATTTTTCTGTTCGTTCTTCGTGAAGAGCTTTTCAAAGAACGCGCTCTTGGCGCCATCCTCGATGTATTGGCTTGCTTTCGGCGAGGAAATTGGCGAGGAATAAGAATTCGCCTTGGACGTTTGAACTCATTTGTAGTTAATTCGCGGCACAGACCTCTTTCTCTTGTCCACAATCTGCAGGAGAAGAACTCATTGATTCTTGGCTCCGAAGGAATTTTCAGAAATAATGAAAACAGAGGCAAACTATTCCGAGCCACTTCTGCAGCATCATTGTATTCGCAAAGCTCAAATCACGATAAAAACTTTGACGTGGTTGACGAAGAAGTTAACGCATTCGGAAAGGATTAATTTTTTATCAGATAAATAGGTTTTGCGTATTCTTTTTTGATCCTTTTGAAAGAATCAATGGAAGCCATTCACGATCTAAAAGAGTTCTACTCTGAAACCGACTCGCTTCACACTAAAAATCTCATATTGATGAAGCTCTCCAAACTTTATGGAAATGATTTCACTATGAATGACAATGTTACTGTGCGAGAAAAGCTCAACGGAATCCTCCGAATTTACACGAAACGCAAGGACTGGTGCAATGTTCGACTAATCGCCGCCTATTGTGAAAAAATTGTCGACTCGCTTGCTCCATCTGTCACTACTATTCTTTGCCATCAAAAGCACTTATCACTCGGAGTCTTCGGAGAAGATGATGTCATAATTTCATCGCCATTACCGCCTTCTGAGATCCAGAAAATTCTCTTTTCGAATGTCTTCCCTCACAGTCCTCAGGAAGCGGTGCTCCAGCAGGAGATCGTTCTCAATTTGGGCATGCGGATTCTTGTTTCAAAGCCACACTTGCTCGATGGAATACTCTTCTTGCGCGTTGGCTGGATCGTCAAAGCAATGAAGCTTCAGCTTGAATTTACTGGACATTCTGAGAGCGATATTTTTAGCCTTTCGCCATCAGAGGCTATGAAATTATTGGAAGAAGTTCTCGGTAAAAATTTAATCAAGAGCTATTTATGCTTACTTTTTCTCTAGCTCCTATGAATACAACGAACTCGTTGCATATCCGAAGACTTGATGGCGCTTTACAACGAGCACCAGTTTGCTTTTTCGAGCGATTCTGGATTCTCCTCCTTCGATCTCCTCAGATTCAACTTGGGAATGACCTGATCGATAGCAAGACAATAACTAATCAGCTCGATCCAAGTGATACCGCCTATAATCTTTTGGTCGAAAAACACTTACAAAACGCTCGAAAGCCAGAAAAGCGCTCGATCATGATAGAAACTTGCATGCTCATGGCGACTCTCCTGGAGCGAAATCCAGAGCTAGAATTCACTTCCACTTGCAATATTGATCAGATTATAACCCGAGCTCAAGAGGACTTCGCTCGAGACTGCCCGACAGAAGACTTCTACGCTGCTAGACCAGAAGACACCCTGAAATACCTTTCACATTCAATAACAGTTTTACTTGTGAGCGATGGGGAGATTTCCCTCGCGAACACTGCCGGTTGTAGAGTTCAGTAGACACGACGAATTTTACCTGCTAAATTAATATCTAATTTATTCAATTTATCGAAATTTTGAAATTAAGAATGTTGAAGCGACAGATTAGAGAACGACGAGAGTACCTCTACAGAAAGCACAAGGAAGAGGCAGAAGGCCGAATCAGGGATCGAAAAGAAAAGCTCAAGGTAATCACCTATTTGAAGATATAGAGGACTAACCCATCTCAGAGAGCTCTCGATGAAAACAAACCGATTCCCACAGAGCTCCGTGAAGATGCACTAAAGCTCCAAGAAGCGATTGAATACGACGATGCCGGAGGACAGACCTTCTCCTCGATTGATGATGAGTACAAATATGCGGGTGTTGAAGACCCCAAGGTATTTTAATCCTTCATTTTGCGTTCCTACCTTTTACTTAGATAATGGTGACAACTTCTCACGATCCGTCGGTAAAACTCAAGCAGTTTGCCAAAGAAATGAAGTTGATCTTCCCCAACTCGAAACGAATCAACAGAGGAAACACAGAAATGCCAGCACTGATAAATGAATGCCGAAAGAATAATTTCACGGACTTGGTTGTCTTTCATGAGACGCGAGGAAAGCCGGACGGAATGATTGGTACTATTTTCGAGAAATAAAATTTTGAATGCATTTTAGTCTGCCACTTGCCATACGGACCGACTGCGTATTTCAACCTGTCGCATGTTGTTATGCGGCATGATATCGAAGATTGCGAGAAAATGTCGGAAGCGTTTCCTCATCTGATATTTCATGGCTTCTCAACGAAACTCGGGGAGAGAGTAACTAACATCCTCAAGTACCTCTTTCCAGTGCCAAAGAAGGAGTCGAAGCGAATCATGACATTTGCTAACACTGATGACTTGATATCTTACAGGTTTACAATTTTTCTTTTTATTAGATTTTTTGAGCAGAATATTTAGTAAAATTCGAAATCGAATTTTTCCGTAATACGGAAAAAAATTTTCGATTATCGAAACATTCAAAAGCATATGCTATAGGGATGATAATAGCACGATACAACGCTTTTTATAGCCCAGAAGATGGCGCTTTTTATCAGATTAAATTTCAGCAGATGCTATTCTTTGCTTATGCAACCTACGAGGCTGCCATTCTTTGCAATTCTGACAGTTGTTTTCTAGGCATCATGTGTACAGAAAAGACGAGAATGGCAAGATCGAACTGAAAGAAGTCGGCCCCAGGATGGAAATTAAAATGTTTATGATTCGCCAAGGAACGCTGGACAAAGAGGAAACATCGAATGTCGAATTCAGAATCCATCCATTTATGAACACTGCGAAGAAGCGAAAATATCTCTAAATGGCTCACTGTTTCGAATCGAATGTGGCATAAATATGTAGCAAATAGTAGAAACAGTCTCTATTTTCAGATTAGTCAAATGTCGGACTCGTTGACGTTCGCTATCAAGTTTGACGAGAAATCCGAAGGCGGGCATACTTTGTTCATCCGAGAGCACAAAACAAGAGTCGAAGAGGCTCATAGGCCCACTGGGCGTACTATCATTGTCTGCAATATTCCCCCATGGTGCCCAAAGAATAGCATCAAAGCCAATTTCGTGCGATTTGGAAAGATCCAAGACATTCAACTTCAACTCAAGCCGGGAAAGAAACCTGAAGAGGAGGAAGATACGCGAAATAGATTTTCAGGTCTGTAAAGCATTTATTCGATAGAATTTGATCGTTTTGTAGTGGCATATATTGTCTACGCTGAAGAGGCGTCGATAGAAAAGCTCAAGAAAACCGCGAATGCTAAGAAGACGAAGACAATGTACGCGAGTACAGTCGAGCATACTGTAATTACTGGTTACCCACTTTTCTGCGCAGAGTACAACCAGTCTTTCCCTGATATAAAGAAGCTTCAAAGTATGGAAAATATTTTTTCATTCAAAAAGTAAGAGCTTTTTAAGCTGAAATTAACGAGTTCATGGCAAATTTCGACGAAAAAAAGACCGAAGAGGAGATGGAAGCAGAAGATGGCTGGCAAGTCGCTGGCAAAAAGAAATTCGTGCGTTTGACTGAAGCGGAGCAAAATGAGATGAAAAAGAAGGTCGCTAAAAAGCGAAAGAAGGATCAACAGGTGAATTGGATTTCGCTTTGGTCAGTCGTAACATTTGCTCTTTCAGTTGAATTTTTACTCTTTCCAAATACGCGAGAGCAAGAAAAACAAGATCGTGGAAATGAGGAAAAAGTTCGAGGAAGATAAGAAGAAGATCAACAGAATGAAGCAGGAGCGAAAGTTTAAGCCTGTGGCATCATAAATTTGCCATTGTAAATTTACATTTCTCAATGTAGCTTTATTTCTTTTCAGAAAAAATGGTTATCGATAGTTTGTCCAAGCTAGCGAGAAAGGCTTCTGAAGCCGCTGATGATCTTGCTGATAGAATCGACGACGAAATTAGCAACGCAATGGATAAGCCAGTAGAGCCGCTGCCCCTTGGTAAGACTTTTTAAACGTCATCGAATTTCTAATGACCATTTAGAGCAGCAGCTTCTCGTTGGAATTCCATGTGGAGCTTTACTAGGAGCAGTTGTTGGTCGTCAGTCGAAACAGACAATGATACTCGTTGGAGGCACCCTTATAATCGCTACCGCCGCTAATCAGGTTCGTGTGCTTTGCAATAATATTTCTCAAAGCTGATAAGGGCGGATTTCTCGATGACGTTGACAAAAAACAGCTCAAACGCGACGCTCGATCCGCCCGTCGTCAGCTCGACGATGAACTCCGTCGTCGCGATCTTCCCACAACAAACCAGATGAACCAGTTTTTCAAAGTGAATAAATCGATGAGCTTATCAGGGCTTGGAGCCTTCCTCGTTGGGGCCGCAATCTTCTTTAAATAAAAACCATGACCATACAGACTTTTTTCATCTTTGCCTAGACTACTACAAATTTGTTCTTCAGAACTTCACTTATTTTTTATTACCAACTTATTGAAATACTGTTTTTATTTAATTAATTAACTTATTGTCCACTTGACTAAAATACATAATTTTGATTTTCCAAAAGAATGCTAGCAAATTTGAACCGGGGAGTTGGTTATCAAATGCGTCATTTGCGCTTGAAAAAGTACAATGTTTCAGTCAAGCCGAGCCAGAAAGTCACATTGAAATACTTACAATCCTACGACAGTGAAGATTCGATGATGTACGGAGCGACACGGTCAGATCTTCTCGTTTTGGAAAAGTCCTTCCCGAATTTGTACAAAGAATATATTAATACAGACCTTGTCTTCGACGAGGTAATCCTAGTCAAATAATTGTCGGCTTGAAATCCTGTATTTTAGACGAAAGAGGCGATCATTCAATATTTGAAGACAGGCGAAGTTCAAAAGACGACGGGCGCGGGTCTCAATCCTGTGGACAAGTTTATGGCAAGGAACATAAATGAACTTTCAATTCTGCTCATTGCTTTGATGATTCCGATTTGCGTCGTGCCATTTTTGTAAGCAAAACAAGCAGACTTCATTTCTGAAGCTCATTTTAGAGTTTTGCGAGAATGGTTCGTAGAAAAGCAAAAAGTTATAATGCGCGAAATCCAGAAAGAAATGAGAGAGCTAAAGCGTGAAAAAGCTCTCATTTTATCAAACATGGAGCTGAATAAAGCAACTATTTCTATGCTAGAAAGTTCGTGAGAGCGCAATTAAACCAGTTCTTTACTAATATTCAGCAAATAGTGGTGTGATGGTTACCAAATTCAGAATGCAAATAAATCGAGCAAAGAGCGGCCAAACATGTCTCCGTCGCATTTTCTGGCTGAGTCACGGACCGCGGATGACCTAGTTGATTTTTTGAAAGAGAGATAATGGAAGAATATCGACCTGAAAAATTGAATGTTGTTGAACGAAAGAAGCAGTTGAAGGTGAGAGAGGCTCCTTATCTCTCTAGTTTTACGATTATTCTAAGGAACTATACACACCGGCGAAAAGACGACAGGAAATAATTGGACTGGCTCTTGCTTGCAGTCTTATAGGAATCCAGGCTTACTTTACCTTTTCAACGTTGGCCGAACAAAATTGGGACACTTCATTCTTGATCAAAAATGTCTTCGCGGTTATAACAGGCATTGTTATTGCGGATTTCTTTTCCGGCCTTGTTCACTGGGGTGCTGATACGTACTTCAGCGTTGATACTCCTGTCCTTGGTCCAGCGTAAGAGATTATTAATTTATCTCGAAATTGAATATAATATAAGGTTGATTCGCCCGTTTCGCGAGCATCACATCGATGCTACTGCCATGTGTCAGCATGATTTTGTTGAAACCAATGCGGACACTTTCAGTCTCATGATTCCGACGCTTTCTATCAGTTTCTTCAATTTTATGATGGGAAACAAACCCGATATTGATGGAGCGTTCGATCTGATGCATTTGACGATGGCAGTGTTTGTTGGATTCACAAATGAATTTCACAAAGTATACTCGCTTCAAAGACTCTGAAGAAAAATAACCATTTTTTCAGCTCTCTCATACTCATCGGGGCGTGTCTTCTTTTGTCCGATTTCTCCAAAAATGTTGGCTTATTCTACCACCGAATCATCATCGAATTCATCATGTTCGCCCCCACTCCAATTACTACTGTATCACTGTCGGATGGTTAGATCCGCTATTTGGTAAGATATCGTTCGTCACTTGAAAGTTATTATGACACAACTTAGAGCACATTCAATTCTGGCGGAAGGTCGAGAAAGTCATCTTCAATCTCACCGGAGCTATCCCGCGCTACGACGATCAGAAATGGTCAAAAATGTCGACTTCATCCTGATCAACTTCCTGCATTACACATGTTAAATTATTCCTCAAATAAAAAAGCGTTTCAGCACATATTATTTATATAATTCATAAGAAATGACTGTCGGGGGGAAGTTAATTGTCCTTCATGATTACGAGCCGCAGCAGGTCGATGAGCTTTCCATGAAAAAGGGAGACTTGATTCTTCTCAAAGAAGAAATTGAGGATGGTTGGGCCATTGGAGTCAAAATTAAAAGAAATGGAGAGGTAGGATTCCCTTCTCTTCCTTGATATCAACAAGAAATAAGGAATACGGTCCAACGAATTGCTTCCCGACAAACTTCACAAAGCCATACACTGGCGGCGTATCAGACGAAACAGAAGGTAGCATCAAAAGTAAGAAAAGCTCGAAAGTGCACTACACTCCTGGTGGCTTTCATAAATATGTCGAAATGATGAAGAGCCGTCCAAAAGCAGCTGGAAAGCGGCGAAAGCCATCGCGCGCTCATAGGAAACTTAAGAATCGACTAAAGTGGGGCGAAAACTCGTGGCAGTTTTTTGAGCCATGGAAGTCGTTTAGATTCAAGGAACAGGGGTACAAAGGATCATTAACATACGGCTTTAGGTGACTCTGAAACATTGACATTGACAAGCCAATCAGAATCTGGGGACGAGGATCTCTCTCTTTCAGAAGACGATACGGAGGGTATAAGTGAAGCTAATTTTGCACCCCCGGAACAGGATAAAAATCAGATCAAACGAAGCTCGGGCGCTTGGACGGGCTCTCTCACGTCCATCTTACGAAATCCAAGCCCAGATCGAAAGGGTGCAAATCGTCTAAGCGTCGCAGATGACAAGGCGAAACCAAAGGATCCAACAAATCGTGTTCCGAAACCCTTTTCACCTCTCGTTACTGAAGAAACACGAGGCAGATCTACAGAAAAGAAGTCATCTCAAGACAAGAAACGATTCGTATCATCAGGTTTAAAGATCTTTTGTAAGCTTCGATAGCATTCTCTAGTGACGATTCCGTCACTGTCCCCAGAAAGAAAGCCGTCCCTCCCCGAGGAACGAAAGCCAGCGAACCCTCCGCCAGCTCAAAAAACTGTTTCTATTTCTCGATCTGAAGAATCCATGCCGTCACGTCGCGAGACGCGGACTCCATCACCAGATCGACGTGATCAAGATCATTTTTACAATGACGACGAGTACTTCCGAGATCAGGGTCGAGTAGCAAGCCCATCACTTCCGAGTAAGCCGCCAGTGACGCCAGCGATGAAGATGGAAGAATTGAACCAGTATTATGAGTTTGCTGAAGATGATTCAATTCTTGAAGACTTTGAAGAGGTCGATGAAAATTTTCACCTAGGTAACATGATCATCATTTTGTCTTTTCTTTAATTTTATTAATAGACGAGACGAATTCCTTTCATTTTCGCGATCAGTACGTTCCAGACGATTATGAAGAGTACAATTCCGAAGGAGAAGAATATCCAATGGACGAGATCGAGCAGTACGAATACGAAATGAATCAAGCTCATTACGAGGAAGAATACGACGATGAGTATGCTGACGAGATCGAGCCACTTCCAGACTTACAATATCGACGCAGCAGCAATAACAACAACACTTATCGGTCAGAGCCCGATTATTCTGAGCTCTCCCGACGAGGACTTACTACCAAAAGCGATGCGATAACAGAATATGAAAACCGCAAAATTATCAAAGAACCCGGTCCTCGCTGGGCGAAACCGGTCATCGAAGGCCACAAAGGGTCAGTTCCAGCAAAGTGGGGCAAGCCTGTGATGGAGGAAATGACTTTTCCTTGGAATAAGAAGGACGCCAAGAATCCTAAAACGAAGGGCCATGGATTTCAGAAAAATGACCATGTCCACAAGCTCCCAAGCTGGATCTCAGAAAAAGGCAAACCGAAGCGAATCATTGCCCCGCTGCCAAAATCGCAAAAACCGATCTACAAGATACCCGACAAGCCTGTCAGGAGATCCGAGCCAGTAATCCCACGAAGACCAACCCAGTATGTGCCAAATCGATCAGTTCATTCCACAGTCAACAGATCCACTTTGAAATCGAATCGTTCGACTGGAACAATCGTAGACAAGTCGGCCAAGATCGACCCGAGTCAGTTCACAGGAATAAAATTCATTCGTAAAAATGGAAAGCTTTACATTCCTCGTCATCTCAAAGAAGAGTTCGCTCGACAAAAAGCGATTCAAACGATGGACCCGAGAAGGCGTCTAGTTTCTGATTCAACGATGAGATCAATGAAGTCAATTCAGTCCCAAGGAGAGCTGCCAAAAGTGATATTATTTTGATTGATATTTGATCAATACATTTTTAGAGCTCAACTCCAAAGAAGAAAATTGATCCTTCAAAGCCCATGTCAAGGGCGGAGAAAATTGAGTTTGTGAAACAGCAAACCGAGCTAGCCAAAAAAGTAGCGCTTCGTCCTCATCTAGCAGAATCAGATGTTTTGGCCGCGATTCTTGATCTGAACGACAAGGTAGAAATAATTTGAAAATAAAAGTTTCAACAACGAATTTAGCCCCCAGAGGCCGTGGCACCTAAAAAAGCGGCAACGCCATCTGATGACGCCGCTCTTCAAAATCATCCAATCTTCCAGCTCTATCCCTTATCCGCAGCGTGTCGAGCAAAGCTCGTGGAAATCGAGCTTTCGAACCCGACCATTCTCTACTCTCAGACATTTTACTCCATCGGTCACTTACTCAACACACACAAAGAAACACTGTCCATGGCTGACTGCAACTCAATTATCGCCAGCATTATCGTTATGAGACTTGTCTTGGCCGCAATACTTCGCGCTAGCGAATGTGGCGCTTCAAACGGAAATACTTCCAAACCAGATTCACTTCTTTCGTCAGAGCTAACCACCGTCCACGCTTTCAAAGAAATCTTGCCGAATTTTCTCAGCCCTCCCTCGAAAAAAGACTTCCAACGGCTCTCCCTTCCTACTCGAAAGTTCTTGGCAGACAAGAGTCTTTCCGATTTGAAAAAGCTCACGTGCGTCGCGGACCAGAAACAATTCCGCAACGCCTTGCGAAAATCGATGAATGCTGAAAATATGACATTTGGTGAACAAGCGAAGCTAGAGTTACTCTTTCAAAATATTTCGCTCGAGATGCTAGAAGAATCCGCACAAAGACTCAAAAAGGTAATCAATAACGAATAAGTTATTTTCCTCCTTGATTGCAAAGCGCGATGATGTTAATTCTGATTCTGATTGGCTGATTTTTATTTTTCAGGAGTTCCGTCTCGAGTTCAACAAGCCTAAAGGAGTGAAACCGAAGACGTTCCACTTGAACAAGGGAGAAATTGACAAACTCGTCGCTCAGCAGATGCTCAAATGCATGCAGAACAGCTAAAAACTAGAAACCCCTCGCATGCTAAATCCTGTCTTTATCTTTGTGCCTTTTAAATCCGAATTTTGCCTATTATAATCCATTTTACCTCTTCTTCTCTATTTTCTGTCTGCAAGCCCTTTCTTTCATAATAATATTTTCTGTTTCTTACTGATATTTTTCAACTGGTTCAATATAACTTATATTGGATTGATTACCATCTCCAAATTATTTTTGCTGACTTTTTAACAATAAGAATGTCGATGCAAGGTGGGGCCACCCCCGGCCGCGGGTTAACCCTTGACGAAGGGCCTCGAACGATGGAATACATTTGCGGTGAATGTCACTTCAACCAGGAAGTCAAGCCAAAGGTAATAATGTCTCTCTCTAATCTCTAGAACTATGGTTTTCTTTCAGGACCCCGTCCGATGCCGAGAATGCGGCTACCGAATCCTCTACAAAAAGCGAACCCGACGATTGATCGTCTTCGACGGCCGATAGAGAAGAAAACTCCCTTTTGCGCCTGCTCAGATTGATAGAGCTTATTTTCCCTGTCGGATCACTGCTCCCGTGAATAATGCGTCGTCTATTTTTCCGTTTTTAGAGCCGAAATGTCGAATAGTGCTATGTTAGAGACACTCGCGAAAGAGGCGGATGCGCTGAGGATGAGAGCATTGGCAAATGAGGAGCGAATGGCCTCGCTGAAACGAAAGGCGTCTGAGAATTTCAAGAATGTGCCTACCCCTGCGCCCAGACAGAGCAAATTGAGCATCACGGATGAAGATCGAACCCTGGAGCCAACTGCTCCAGCGGACAGCAGAACCAGGTTAGCATGAGTATCAATAAAGAAAAGGGACCAACAAATGATTTCACTAGCTTCAATGATCACGCAAATCTGACAAAAGAGGAACTCATTGAGCGTCTGGTGCAAATCGAAAACATGAACAGAGACTGGGTTGCTTACAATGATCAGCGAGAAATATTTGTTCAAGAACTTACGGCAAAATATCACTCAACTACAAATGAACTTAGCAACGCCGTAGCAAGTATCGAAACACTCAAAAACAATCAGGTAAAGACCAACACCCTTCCTTATCTCATTTTTTTCAAGAAACAATTAGCAGAAGAAACACAAAGAAAAGCGGACGTGCATCTTGCAAATGCTCGAAATGAAATCAAACGAAAAGAAGAACTCAATGAAGATTTACTAGCGCGACTCAAGGAAGCTCAAGAGCAACTCAAGCTCGAGCAAAAATTGCTATACAACGCGAATCAGAAAAATGAAAAACTCGAGGTTGAAATATCGAACTTAGAAACGGTGAATCAGAATTTGAACAGATTTCTTGAACATGATCGCTCCTCAAAATGGTAAGAATGTAATTCTGGAACTGTTTGCTTATTATTTTTGAAGGAATCAAACTGCTCCGGAGCCAACGGCGATCGAAGAAAAAATGGACAAAATGTCTCGCAAACTCGACAAGATCACCATTCAATCTGGTCAAAACACAGCACGAAGTACATCATCAAACGCGACAGATACATCAAAAGTGACAACACGCAGAAGCAAGGCAAAAAGAGCACCTCCGATCCCACCCCTGCCAAATCGTGCAAAAATCAATGATCGTCGATCGCTCGGTGTGGAAGTTTATAGACCAGATACGATTCTGAAGCCGCTTGATCCAAAGAGCACTAAATCGAGAAGATCTGTTGACACGACTGCGATCAGGTTAGTTCTATTGATTTTTCTTGATTGAGGGGCAGCAGAAAGCAGATTATGTCCATAAAAAAGTAGGCCAGTGCAGACCTTATAAGCGGGGTTTTTCATAACATAATTACATTTGATAAAATGAAAAGTAATCATCTGAATATGTTCAAAAATATGTAATTCTTCAGCTGCGAAAACTGTGGGAAGAAATGGCCGGTCTCTCAGCACGCTCTACTTCTCAAGCACTTGGACGAATGTGATGTCATCTAAGAATGAACCACTTCTATCATCATCCCATCACTATTTTCTCCACCATTTTTCCTTTTTTTATCACTCCCTGCCTTCTAGCTTGCAACATTCCATTTAGTTCGAAAAAGCAACCTCAATTTCCTCTCTATATTTATGTGATTTTCAAATACCGTATCGTATTCGTAAAACTGGTGAGAATAAAGGAAATAATTATAGAAAAAAATGGCTGATAATAATCCAGATGAAGAGCTGGTTATTACCATGTTGGGAGCTGGGCAAGAAGTCGGCCGCTCCTGTCATTTGATTGAATTCAAGGGCAAGAAAATTTTATTAGTTAGAGTTCTAGCAGCATTCTAATAAAACAAGGAGTTGAATATGTTCTCAAAGAAGCATTTTTCGAACTCATGAAAAGACATGGGCATCCACCCAGGCATCAACGGATTGAACGGTCTGCCATTCATGGATTATACAGAACCAGACAAAATCGATATTCTGTTAATCAGTCATTTTCATTTGGACCATTGTGGTGGTTTGCCGTGGTTTTTGACAAAAACGCAGTTCAAAGGGCGTGTTTTCATGACTTACGCGACAAAAGCTATCTACAGGTGGCTTCTGTCAGATTATATTAAAGGCAAAGGGTTGAAAATAATCATTTTGGCTACTTTAAAATCGAAATTTAATAAAACCTTTGAAAGTAACAGGCTTCAAATAAGTCGGACATACGATGTCTGTAACTTTTGATTGGGTTAAGATAATTACGATCTGTAACTTGCAGACTGTAGCCGGATATAAGTTTACATATTTTAAGAAGAATTGGTGTCAATAACATTTATGGTGGTGGAGTTATGACGTCATGAAAATGCATTATAGAAGGGCACTATCAACTTTGTGACGTCATTACACCACCTCCACATATTCAAATGACACCAAAATCTTATTTAACACACATCAGACCCTCCCCAACATGGTGCAAAAGAGAGAATCGAAATATCTCGACTCTAACACTTTCAAAATCGCTCCACCAATTTATGTCCGACTTATTTGAAACCTGTTAGTGTCAAATGTTGGAGTAGAAGAACTTCTCTTCACAGAAAAAGATCTTGAAGAAACTCTTGATAGAATCGAAACAGTGAAGTTTCACGCAGAAAAAAATGTCAACGGCATAAAATTCTGCGCTTACCATGCTGGCCACGTCCTTGGCGCCGCGCAGTTTATGGTTGAAATTGCCGGAGTCAAGGTTCTATTCACTGGTGATTTTTCGAGGGAAGAAGACAGACATCTTATGGCTGCGGAAGTGCCGCCACAAAAGCCTGATATTTTGATCATGGAAAGTACATACGGGACGCATTTGCACGAAAAGCGAGAAGAAAGAGAACATAGATTTACCTCCGTCATTCACGACATCATCAACAGAGGTGGTCGATGTCTGATTCCAGTCTTCGCCCTCGGAAGAGCTCAAGAGCTGTTGTTGATTTTGGACGACTACTGGGCACAGCACTCGGAGCTGCACGATATTCCAATTTACTACGCCTCGACTTTGGCAAAGAAGTGCATGAGTGTATATCAGACATACACAAACGCGATGAATTCGAAAATTCAAAAAGCAATAACAACGAGGAATCCTTTTCAGTTTAGACATATTTCGAATTTGAAAGGTATTTTCTCATATGGCCAAAAAAGAGCTCATCTGGTTTAGGAATGGAACAATTCGATGATGATATCGGCCCATCTGTAGTTCTAGCGTCGCCTGGAATGATGCAGTCTGGCCTCAGTCGCGAACTGTTTGAAAAGTGGTGTACGAACAAAAGAAACGGGGTTATTCTCGCGGGCTACGCGGTTGAAGGTAATATCCGGCCGACTCAACACCGCATAATCTATTAATTTCGTCTATTAGGAACGCTCGCTCATCAAATTAAAACTGAACCTGATGAAATTACGACCCTTTCCGGCCAAAAGCTGCCGCTGAAAATGCAAGTTGAATACATGTCATTTTCAGCTCACGCTGATTACAGGCAAATTTCGGGTATGAAATTTTTAAGCTTTAGTTTTGAGCTAAAACGCTGATAGAATTCGTGCGTGAAATAAAACCGCCACATATCGTGCTGGTACACGGAGAAGCAAATGAAATGGGAAGGCTAAAACGACAGCTGGATATTGAATACGAACACGATGCAGAAACGGATATTACGATTCACATGCCAAGAAATGCGGAGAAAGTGAAGTTCCACTTCAGAGGAGAGAAAAACGCAAAAGTCGTTGGATCACTAGCTCATTACTTGCCAAAGGTTTTGGCTTATCCGAAGCTTATCTGAGTAACATCAATTGTAGCAAGAAGACGAGATCGAAGGAATTCTAGTCAAGAAAAATTTCAACTACAAAATCGTCGCTGCTAACGATTTAAAAACGCACGCTGAATTGGAAACAACTCAAGTGAAGCAAAGATTGTCCGTCGACTTCCATGCGCCAGCGGATTTGCTCAAATTTTACTTGGAACAGTTGAGCTACGATGTGAAAGAATTCGGCAATCCATGCGGTTTGTTTTTCTGGCACAAGATCAGGACTAGTTGATTTTTAGATCGAAAGAAAGTGAAGCGCGGGGATGGGAAATGCGGTTTCATAGTTTTCCGCTGCATCAGAATAGTCTTCGACGAAGCGAATAACATGGTCATTCTTGAGTGGAAATCAACTCCAACAGCCGATGCTTACGCTGATTCTGTCCTAGCCATGGTCATTCGAGTTGATACAGAAGCAAAGGTCACTGCCAAGGTGAGAAAAGGCAGCAAAAGAAAATAAGCTAAAACCGACCTCTTTCTAGCCTCAAATTATCCATCCAGAAGGGGGAGAAAAGTTTCTTCAAGAGAAATTCGAAATGAAGTGCAGAATTTTATTAGAAACGATGTATGGAGACGGAGCAGTGGAGGAAACGAAAGATAGTGGTATGATTTTCAGAGAGAAAGATCATCGTTGTTGATTTGACTTTTTCTGTTTTTAGATGTGATTATTTTGCACGCAGACAACAAAAAAGTAGAGATCAATGTGAAACAACTCACGGTTGAATGCGAGGAAGACGAGAAACTCATGGAAATGGTTCTTGAAACGGTACACAGACTGTACACTGCTGTAATGCCCATTCCTACGCAGGCGCTCTGCTGAATCTGATGATTTCTAGATGAATTTTTGTTCACTTCAAAACTGCCAAGAAAATTAATAAAAAATATTCATGTGATGTTACGTAATAATCATGGAATTAAAGTTACCGTTCGAAATTTCTGAAATAATGCCACAGTGACTGTATCGATCTCCCCAGGGCATGACTTTATTATTCAAAAAACAACGTCGATTTAAACTTTTACGATTTGAAATTACGAAAATAATCATCTCACGAAAGGACCATATTTATCTTCAATATTCTCGGGCTTACTGGAACTTTCCAGAAAATTTATAAACGCCCAATCAGCGGTGAGATTTACTTTTCTCTCTCTTGTCTGACTCATTTTGGAGCAATTTCATCGTTCTGATCTGCTCGAGCTATTGATTTTTTGGTGCTGGGTGAGAGATTTTCAGAAAAAAAAATTGGACAGAGAGGTTCTTAAAAAAATTATTGCAAAGTCTGCATTTTAGAGGGTTTTTAAGAGATTCCAATTGACACATTGCATATAATCCGGGCGAATATATGCCATTTACTCTAATCTTCGTTCATAAAAAAAATTTCAAGTAATCAATTTTAGAAAAAATGTCCGTAGTCGGATTTGATTTCGGTAGTCAGACCTCATTCTGCGCCATCGCCAGACAAGGAGGAATTGAAGTCGTCGCCAATGAATACTCCAAGGTACTGTTTCTATTCTTTTTTCCTTTATTTAAAACAGTTATAGCGAGCCACAGAAACCGTTGTCTCTTTGGGCGACAAGCAGCGATTCATGGGAACAGCCGGAAATGAAAAGCGAATCTCAAAGATCAAATCCACCGTTCTCAATTTCAAACGACTCATTGGCCTCCCATTCGAGCATCCTGAAGTTCAAGAGCTCGTCACTGGCAAATTTCCCGCCGCCTACAAGATTGTCAAGGATGAAGCCACCGGTCTTGCTGCCGTAGATATCCCAGGCGAGGGGACTTACACGATCACGCAAGTAGCCGCCATGTTCCTCGGAAAAATGAAAGAAATCTCCGACACCAACCTTGGCCGAAGCACGGAAGATTGTGTCATCACTTGCCCCGTCTTTTACGGAGAAGAGCAGCGACGAGCACTCCAAGATGCCGCCGCCATCGCCGGTCTCCGCCCTCTCCAGATCATGTCCGAAACCACCGCCGCCGCCCTCGCCTACGGTATTTACAAGCAAGATCTTCCCGAAGCCGCCGATCCAAGCAGAAACGTCGTCTTCGTTGATTTCGGCTTCAACTCGCTCCAAGTCACCACTGCCGCCATGAACAAAGGCAAGCTCACCATCCTTGGATCCGCTTACGACAAGACCCTCGGTGGAAGCAACTTCGATAAGGTCATCTGGCAGTACATGAATGATGCATTCGTCGAAAAATACAAAGTCGATACGACCAAGAACATCCGAGCCCTTGTCAAACTCGTTGAAGCTTGCGAAAAGACGAAGAAAACCATGTCCGCCAACGCGATCGACATTCCTTTGAACCTTGAGTGTCTGATGGATGATAAGGACGTCAACGGCAAAATCAACCGGGATCAATTCCACGAGCTCGCGGCCCCGCTTCTCGAGCGAATCAAGGCCACTCTTGTCCAAGGTCTCGCTGCTTCCGGTCTCAAAAAAGAAGATCTCTACTCCGTTGAAATCATCGGAGGCGCCAGCCGAATGCCATGCTTCAAAGACGCTGTCAAAGCTGTCTTTGGTCTTGATCCCTCTACTACGCTCAACACCGATGAAGCCGCCGCGCGAGGTGCTGCGCTCAAATGCGCCATTCTCTCTCCTACTTTCCGTGTCCGCGAGTTCAACATCGTTGATAGTGTCATCAACGAAATCACCATCGCTTGGGCAAACGATGCCACTGGCACTGGTGGCGGAGACCTCAAGATCTTTGCCGAAAAGAACCCGTTCCCTTACACCAAGGCTTTGACCATCCATCGAAAGAGTACCGAGAAGTTCGAGATCTCGGCGAAGCTGACTGGCGCTGAGGGTGCAAACAGAGACCTTGGCAAGTATGAAGTCAGCGGCGTCAACGACCTTACCCCGAAGAGCAGGAGAAAGGAAAAAGGTTAAACTTTACTTCCGAATGGACGGAAGTGCTCTTTTCCAGCTTTCTGCTGCCGAGCAGCTTGAGCGATACGAAGAGTGGGTTGAGGAACCTGTGAGTAAAACGTCATTCGTTTAGAAATTAATCGTTTGTTTAGGTTGAACCAGTGAAGGGTGAGGAGAAGCCTGCTGAAGAGAAGCCAAAGGAAGATGCTCCAAAAGAAGCTGGTGACGAAAAGATGGACACCGATAAGGATGCTAATACTTCCCAGGATGGCGAAAAGATGGAGACTGACACGCCTAAAGAAGAAGGTGATGCTCCCAAAGGTTCAAAACCATCTTATTAGCAAAATCATTACCGCCTGTTTTAGAGCCTGAAATGCAGAAGGTCAGAAAAGTTCGACAGCGAAAGCTCGCTCTCGCTATCAATACCCCCTTCCAGCTCGGAAGTCTCCCAACTGCAGTGCTCAACAAGTACCTCGAGATCGAGTGCGAACTTAGATCCAAGGACAAGGAAGAGCGAGACAAGTCTGACGCTCGAAACGCTCTTGAAGAGCTTGGCTATGCCATCAGAGACCGACTCTACGCCAGATACGACGGCTACGTCCAGGAAGAAGAAAAATCGAACCTCTCCAAGACATGTGACGAGCTCGAAGACTGGCTTTATGGCGATGGAGAAGATGAAGCCAAAGGTACGAAAAAAATCAATTTCTTAGGATCTTAGGGTCATTTAGGAGTCTACGTCGAGCGAAAGAACGTTCTCGAAGCTCTCGTCCAGCCCATCGAAAACCGTGTTGTTGAATTCACGAAAAGACCTGCTGCCCTTGAGAAGCTGACAGCCACCCTCAACAAGTATCAAAAGGTAATAAAGCACGATCGATAAGAATCCGACGGATCTAGTTGATATTGAACCGAGTCTGAAATTTAATTAAGATCTGTGGTGAGGTCGAGGCTCAGGTTCCCGAGAGCAAATATCTCCATCTCGCCCCCGAGGACATCAAAAAGATGAACGATGCTCTTGCCGAGGGCTGGGGATTCTTCAACAGGACGCAGTCCGCACTGAAAGGCGTTGAAAAACACCAGGTATAGCCTTGAAGCCTTTCCAAGATCTGGTCATTATCGATCGTTCAGGACGCTTCTGTTACTTCCTTCGACATCGAATCGAAAAGCAATTATATTGAAAATCTTTGCAAACCAATTGCAAGCAAGAAGCCGCCAAAAGTCGAGCCGCCAAAGGAAGAAGAAAAGAAGGAGGAGGCTCCCGCCGCTGAGGAGAAGAAGGAAGAGGTAAAGTGAAAATACTTAGATTGATTTTATTCGATTTCTTTAGAAAATGGAGGCCGATCCAGCACCCGCTAGTACGAACGACGATCTGGATTAAAAAGTCGGCACTTCTCCTCGCTTAAATCATCGGTTACCGTATTAAAAATCAAGAAATACCTTTGATTACTCTCATCTCTGAACATTTAAATGCTTTGATGTTTATTGTTTCGATTAGTCAAATTTCATTTCTCTATTTAGTATATTTATCAACTTCTTGCTTCAAAGATTACCATTTCTCGCTCAATTTAAGTTGTAACTTTTCCTAAAAACCGAGATTCCCAACCCCGAATGACCCCATGAGAGGACTGGGTGAGGAGTGGTAGATAAGTGTGCCCATGTGCGGTCGTCCGGTTAGGCTTTTTCTAATGACTTATTAACTTCCTACTATTTCCTTGTTTTAATGATGAATCCTGTGCAAAATCCTTTAGTAGAAAACTTATTATTCATCCTTTTTTGTTTCTATTTTTTTGTTCAACAAATACAGTCAAAGCATGTCGATCTTACTTTGTCGATCCTAATTTTGGAATCAAAATACACGAAAAAGATATCTCTTCAATTGAATTGAGTACCAAGCAAAATCCCTGACAAAAAATACAGCCAGTTGTTAGCTAAAGACCAAGAATCAAAGTTACCATGTACACCAAATTTCTTCCTGATTTCTATCCTGGAAAGTAATCCTTTATGTCAGTGCGCTGAGGAAAATTTCGGAAATGGTGATTCATTATTTGAGCATCAATCGAACTTCATCCTCCTTAGTCTAAATTTATCAATCTTTCCTTCATTAAACACATGTCCTGCTCAGTGAATATGAAATATATATTATCGTAATTTTAAAATTAATTTTGCGTGTGAAATAAAACAAGTTTTTGGTTTCAGAGCAATGCTTCTTCAATCACTTCGGTATTGCTCCAGACCTGTGCGTTGTCTTTCTCTTCTTCAAAAAGGAACTAGAACTAGTGTTAGTCAAAAATGGACTCAGCAGAATCTCGTTTCAGGCAGGTTTCGTTTTTGCATGTAAAATATTCGAAATTATTAGTGAGATTTCGCCGAGGTACGCAAAGAAATAATAACCAAAACGCAGCTTTTCCTGTTGGTCATTATCTTCTCCATGGTTTTGCTCCGTTCATTCTCGCAACTATCGGTCTTACAGAAGGATTTAAATGGCTAAGGGAGAACAAGATCTCCCTGGGAGACGCTAGAATCGCCTGGTACGCCCTCGCCGGCTCGTGTTTAGGAGTCTATCTTGGCTGGCATTACGGGGCTTCCGCACTTATGTCTAGGTGGTTTCAAGTGTATGCCACAAGGTAATTTGTTCCTCCAAATTAATAATTGGAGCTACGGTATTAAGAGGAGCATTTACTGGCTGGCCAACTTGGATTCTATCCGGTTTCAGTCATATAAGTTTACTTCATATGGCGGTAAATTTGTTTGTTGGACATTCATTTATTCAAGGATTTAACAAGGTAACAATCTGATAGCGAAACAAATAGGGAATTTATTTATAGGCTAATAATTGGCTTGAACCTTTTCTTATCGGGGCAGTTTGGTCTGGATTCTTTTGCGTTCTCTACGGTTGCTTCAGGACGATAAACGCAGTAGGAGCGTCTGGAGGAATTTGCGGCATCATGGGCTATTTGTCCTACTTCATGTGGAACAACGAGCGCAAAGTCATCGCGCCAATGTTCCCCTTCAATCTCGTCCTGGAGCTGCCTCATCAACTGATTGAATCGACAGGGAGTCAGTACAACATCCCGACGGCTTTTTCAATGAAAGAAGCGACCCTGTTAATGATCGCTACGTCCCTGTTTTTCGGATTCAGACAAATTCAAACAGGAAGAGGTCTTTTTGCTCATGCTGGTCATTTGGGGGGCATTCTTGGCGGGCTCTTCACTGCTTATAATCGAGATATGGCAGATAGACATAAACTGAGGGAAAATAATCAAATTGCCAAGTTTCTGTTCAATTAAAAACATTATTCTTCTTTCAATAATAACGGATACATGATTTATACGGTATAAATTATACCTACTAAGGTACTAAGGTTATCACTTTTTGTTTTATTCAGAAAGAATGATCCTGTGGCGGCGAAATCTGAAAAAGTGCTATTACTCAGAAAACTCGGGGCCGCTACTCGCTGATTTGGGATTTCTAGCGCGTGTTGGAGCAACTGTAATATGCGTGCTTCTTCCGCTTGTTCTCGCGCTTCTGTCCGGCAGACTTGTGGAAGATTTTGACGTCAGACATATTGAAATGGACGCTCGATTTATTGAAGGAGTTTTGGTTGTTCATTCAAGCTCATCTCCGAGCATAGAGGTACAAAAAAGCATGAGGAAACGTTGAAGATAATTCTAGGTCTTTGAATTTTCACGAAATCACAAAACAATCAGCGATTCTTTCTCGTCTTCCAGCTTCACCGCCGCCAATTTTTCTGACCGCTTGGAAGTGACTCTTTCTACAGATTCAACAGACGTAACCGGATTCGACGTGTTCAGCTACATCCAGGCGCCGACAATTTCCAAAACCAGCCAGTTGATTTACTCTCAGTCTAAAATCGCCACAACTGCCGACGAAGCAGAAATTCACTACAACATACGGTAGGAATTCTCTTTCTAATGAGAGCGAAGATTTCACACCAGAGTCGTTAATTCCTAATTTTTAAAATGCTTGAGCGGGGTCATTCTGGCCGGCAGCCATTTTTCCCGCCGCCGATTCTCATTCTTTTTTTTTCCAATTTTACCTAATATTTTCAGACTTAGTATAGTAATCACGCATTAATAAATATGGTAACAGGAATATTCCCGAGCACGCGCAATTACTATACTATGGAAGACTCTGATTCGGAGAGTCGTGGTTATGGTGAGGGTAGTATGTAAGCGTGTGCTCGTTTTACCTACATACTATCGTTTCATTCTAGGGATGGAGGGTGGGTGAGTTTTTTGAGAGTTGTTCGAATTCTCGGCTGCGCGAGTTTGGAGGCTCTCAATAATTCTCTTAACCTTCCCTATAGATATTATAGCCTAGGGCTATAATTTTTGGAACTGAATTGCGTGATTCTCTGCAGCTTCTTTTTGTCACTCGCTCTCTTACGCCTGTGTCACCTTCCGCTTCTGGAAGTAGGTCATGGCGCTCCTGCTTCCTTAGCTGCTAATCCGAGCTCGCCGAGCCATGCAACTGCTAATCCGAATCCGATATTCGTATAGTAATCACGCATTAATAAATATGGTAACAGGAATATTCCCTCCCTACCATTTTTGTTATTCTCATCATTTGGAAAAAGTGGCTTACTTTTTATTTTTGAACTGATTAAAAAAGGAAAATTAGGCAGCTTTTGGATTCTTTAACCTTGAAGGCTTCAGTTTTCGTGCTGAATCGTGTCCGCACTTTCGTTTTTGCTGCTGCCGAGGCTGCTGTCTGTTCGTGTCTAGGTGGACGTTTTTGAACGACTTTCTTACCTATATTCTTACCTTTTTGGCGGGGACTTCGGCCTCCTCGTCATCACTGGGCACTGGAGTGCTTGCAGGGTTGGTGATGCGTCTCTTTGCTGCTCTTGCTTCTGCGATGGCTGCTGGTGCTCCGTCTTCCGCGCACTCGAGCCAGCATCGCTCGTAGTAGTCTGGCATCGTGCTTCCCGGTGCCCAGCGCATTGTGTGGGTGAGCGTTGTCTGGGTTTGGCCGGCTCGGCGGCCTTCGATGTAGAAACTGACGCGGCCTGAGTGTGCTGAAACCTGGCGGCGTTGTGTTTTTTTTTTTTATTTTGACTCCGCTACCTTTTTGCCGATTCCTACTTTGTCGCTGTAGCGTCTGAGGTAGTCGCCTGCGATGCTGGTTTTTTCTTCGAGCAGCGGGAAGAGCAGCCCTAGAAGAAAAATTGTGGCCATTGATGGTTTTTGGTGAATTTTGGATTTACCTGAGTCTTTGTCCCGGACTAGGTGTCGCAGTTCTTGCGCAAGTGGGACCCCGTGTTTTATATCCATTGGGATGTTGATTGTTTCCATTCGTTTACAGAATGGGTCGGTCTTGCTGCTTCTAATATGGAAACGCCAGAATTCTTTGGCGGCTTCCTTCATGATGCTTCTGTCTTCGATTCTGAGGCTGAGAGCTTCCCCCATTCTTGCCCCTGTGACGTAGGTGACGAAGAAGGCGATGGCTACTTCTCGCGGCTTGGGCTTATCCGTGTCCATTAGCCCCTTCCAGAGCTTCACCGCTTCCGGTTCGTCAAGTATCTCGGCTTGCTTAATGAGGTTGTGAGAGTTAGTTCTTTTTTTTTTAATTTCTGGTAACCTTGGGGTACTGAAGGGATTCTTTGGCCGATTCTCTTGCTCTTCGTTCGCACCAGAGCTTTATTTGTCTTTTGAGCTTCGAAGTGAGCGGCTTTTTGAGCTTCGCAGCTGCTACGTCCTGGATGATAACTACGCCTTTGCCATAGGCGTAGGCTTTGAGCTTCGGTTTGTCTAAGAGTCTGTCGAGGAAATTCTGGATGATTGATTCGTCATCCTTTTCTTCCTCGTTAGGGTTTGAGAGTGCCTCTGTGACGTCCCAGATTTCTTTAAGATGCTCAAATTCTAACCATGTCATGTCTAAAAAGATAAAAAATGTTAACTCTTGCATCCGAGATGGTTGGAGCGGCTTTCGGAAATATTTTGTTGTTTATAAGCTTTTTTTTTTGAAAAAGAAAAAGGAGGAGAGGCGCCTTGGCATGGGCCTGTTTTTAGAATAGATTAGCAGCTTTTAAAGATCTAATGATTGAGCGGCTTATGAGCGGCTTATTTTTTTTTTTGGTTGTTCTTTTACTCGACTCCTCCCTGGTCTTGGGGCTTCTTGGTGCCGCCGTTGGGATTGCTTCCGCCTCCTCGGCCACGTCCACGGCCTCGGCCACGACCTCTTCCGCGTCCTCTTGAGCTTTTGCCCTTTTGTTCCTCCGAGCTGTCAGATTTCTGACTGCTGCTTTGCTCCGTCTTCTGCTTTTTGTGCGTTCCGTAGTCGTTGTAGCCGCCTCGGCGACCCTTTCTGCTGCTTCCGTCTTTGCCGGTGTGACGCCAGTCTTCTGAACCGTCCATGGCCGCTTGCATCCACTTTTTGTGGTGCGGGGTTGTCCAGTTCATGCTAAGCATGTAGTCGAAATCGTGCTGGGTAGAAGCTGTCATAAGAGATGCGCATCTGAGCAGCGCGTTTCGTCTTGGCATGTCGGGCATTCTGATAAGGGTGTCGATAATGGCTGAGACGACCGGCTTCGCCGAGTGCTCTGGGCCCATGGCTTCTTTATAGCGTCGGAGAAGCTCGAGAAGCTCGGATCCCTTGAAGCTTCGTTGCTTCTTTGGGTCCGTGACAAACTGGCGGAATAAGCGGCCCATATCGTCGATGTTCTCGCCCTCGTGTTGGTTGAGGTCAACGGCCGCTACCTGGGTCTGTAAGAAAGGTGTTAGATTAGCCGCATGTTCTTTTTTTTTGAACTTACCTTGTAGTAGGATATTTTGCCCGTAATGGGGTCGACTTCTTTGTGAGTTGCTGCTGTTTCCCCTCTTTTGAAGGTGAGATCGGCGATTTCTGCTTCGCGAATCTTGATGGCTTTGAGCATACCGGATTTCGCGTTGTAGCGTTCCATTTTCTTGCTGCTTAGCTTCTCCAGAACTTCGCCGATCTCCTTCGGATTGTTCTTGTCGTAGAACTGGTTGTCCTCTGCTGAACGCTTCCTTGCGTTAGGTTCAGCAGCTTTAATGGCGATGCTTCTTTCGCGGTTTTCTGCGAGCGTCTTCATCTCGGCCTTGGGATAATATTTGTAAATTTATATGATAAAATAAGACTCGTTGGCTTACGATGAGTTCATCGGTGATAGAATCGTGCATTGCCAGGTCGCCGCGGATATCGTCGATTTCAAGTTGCAGCCGTTTGATATCGCCCGAGGTCTCTGGAGCTGTTTTTTCGGCCTCGTAGTCAGCTTGCGTGATGGCGAAACGGGCCGCTCTTGTCTTCGTATCGTGCTGCGTTGATGCTAGGTGCTCTTTCACCATGGACAACACATTTTGGCGTTCTGCCATTCTAGCTGCTTTGGCTCGATTCTGAAAAAAGGGGCTTCTTTTTAGCATCGACTTTTGTACGAAAAGAAAAAACAAATTTTAGATTTTGGATGGAAATTATAGTAATCAGAGCAGCTTATTTTTTAGAGTCTGTACGATATAGCTTTTACAGTTGAGATGTTTGATGCTGTTTTCCAGTATCCGGATGCTGTTTTGACTTTTGTGGGGGTGAGGATGGAATCTGCTGGAAGATCAAAGATTCTTAAACCTTTAGATCTGGCTGCTGTGATGACTGGAATCTCAGCTTCGTAGATTGCCACCAGAAGCACCCAGGGTGTTGGGATTTCCAACAGCCTCTTGAAGAATCTGTAAACGACTGCTTGCGGAGGGAAAGCGTATAGATTCTTTCCTATTAGTTTGTGGATCGGGAAGCTGAGGAAATCTGCCCCGATGGCTCCTTGTGATTCTCTGCGGCTTATGAAATCTTTGCATTTCGTATTAAGAATCTGAAAAATCTGGTTTTTCTCTCTTCGCCTTTTGGTTTTATTTTTAATGACGCGTTTGCGCTCTCTCTTTTTTTTGCTTACCGTTGCTGCCACGTCGACATCAAGCGCTTCTGAGAGATGAGATTGAAGATATGCGAAGCCGTTGGCCGTAAGGCGCTGCTCTCTTGAGTCGATGATTCTTGACGGCGCATCTGCTAGCTGCTTTTTGGTGCTAACCCAGTCGCATTTCAGGTCGATGCTGAATTTTTGTGCTGCTTCCCAGATTCTGACCAGGATGTCGTTCATTTCTAGGTCTTTACTTCCTGCGATTATTCCCTGGACTACTGAGTCGTTGTCGCAGAGGAAAAGAACTCGTTTGTTTTCGAGCTTTGGGCCGTACCATTCCACGGCGTAGAGGATCGCCAGTGCTTCTTTGATGCATATGTGTTTATCGGCCGCTTCCTCGTCCCAGGCGAATTTTTCTTCGAGCGCCCATTGTTCGATTACTATTGCCCCTGCATGTGATGACGCGTCGGTGTAAATGATTATACCCGTGTCTTGGCGGCTGTGCTGCGTCCAGATTCTTGAGAGGCCCTTTTCTTCTAGCTTCCGCCACCTGTTCCATTCCGCCTTGATTTGGCGCGTGAGCTGGATCTTCTCTTGGTTCTTGTTGTCGGCCTGCTTTATCAGAAGCGTCGTCTGTCTTATGAGAAGCCTCATGTTGGGAAAAACCTCCGCCATACTTGCCATTGTTCCCCTGATTCTTTCTAGCAGCTTCATTTCCACTAGCTGCTTTTCCAGGGCCTCGTTCATCAGTGAAATTAGCGCGTTCCATCTTTGCGGCGGGATTTCCACTGTTTCCTTGACTGTGTCAAGAATGAAGCCGAGGAATTCTATTCGCTGAGTCGGTAGAAAGGTACTCTTTTCGATGTTTACGTAGCCGCCCAGAGCTACTAGAGTTGCTGCTGTTGCCCAGACTTCTCTGCTGGTTTGTTTCCCTTCCAGGAGCTGCTTTCTTTCTTTATCTGATGCTGGTGTGACGATTAGGAGTCTATCGTCCAAGTAGAGCGTGATTTTGATGCCATTTTTCCGCAGGAAATTTACGCCGCAGAGATTCATTAATTGGTAGATGCCTGGAGCTGCCGGGAGTCCGAATGCCAGGATGTTGTTTCTAAATCTTTGGCCTCCCCATTCGAAGCATGCCATTTTTCTACTCTCCTCGGAGAGTGGCAGCTGATGGAAACCTGAATATCGGCGCTAGGTAATCTTCTTTTTCCAATAATTACCTTTTTTGTCATCGAACTTGTAGAGCAGATCTCCTTTCTTGAGCATCTGAATTGCCGTCCCCACTGCTTCTAGCTTGCATGGAAACGTGTACAGCTGTAGCGGCTTTAGGATTCCTCCATTGAGGCATACTCTTGTCTCCCTGCCCGGTTTATCTACCAGGATAAAGCCTGATTGAAGCCAGCAGTTCGTTGATGCTTCCGAGAGTCTGGAAATTGATCCCATTCTGCACCATTTTGTGATTTGGTCCACGATTTCGTCGTTTCTTTCTCTGACTGCTTCTTGACTAGCGACTTGAAGCTTCTTGAATCTTTTTCCAATTTTTTCGTAAGGTTTTGGCACAAATTTCGACAGCCGCAGGCGACCGTTGTACCAGGTTTTATGATTGCCGCCCAGCTTCTTCAGTGCTTCTGAGTTCGCATGATTCCTCTTCCATCTCGTTACCAGCTTCTTTTTCTTGAATTCAACTGGCTTCGTGTGGGGGATCGGCTTCAAATTTAGAAAAGGTCGGCTCCATTCATCACGAAGTGATAGATGAGCGGCTTTATTTTCTCTGGCATCTGCTGGATGAGTGCACGCCAGTTATCTTTGTTGTGTGTCCAGATTCCCGCGACAAAGTCTGATTCCTTTTTGAAAAATAAGGTGGACCAGTCCGGTTTTTCTCGATTGTTCAAGACGTCGAGGACTCTATGTAGCAGCTTTGATTCGTATAATTTCCATTCCTGGAGTGACCTTGGTCCTTTATGGGGTGATTCTATAATTGTGACGGGTGTGATGATGTTGAGGTTGATTTTTTCGAAAGTGCCTTTAGCTGCTAAAGCCGTCATTTCCGTCTTGATGTTCGTCCATGATGGCGGCTTCTTCGTTTTCTTCTCTCTTTCTCTTTCTTTGACGCTGGAATCCATTGTTCTCGTAGCTTCGTGGAATCGGAATGCGCCAGAATAGCTTCTCGTATGTTGTTCCGTTCAAAGATGCTGGAACCTCGATGCCTAATTCGATCCTATCATCGATCCCGCCCAGATTAAGGATCCTGTATTCTGCCTCGGGGATGTTTGAGCGATTAGGCCAAATTTTTCTTAGCGATAGAATCGCTTCCCAGGCCGTGAAGTTTGGGTTGGAATCGATGTTTATTAGGAAGACTTTCAGGCTGCTGCTGAGTGGGTTTGATTCGCCCAACATGATGTTGAGATGCGTCCACGCTGATCTCGCCGCGCTTGCTAGCAGCCTTGGGAAGATGCAGCGGGTGTTGGTGATTTGGAAAAGTATGTCTCCAAAGAGTGCCTTCGTGATAGCTGCTGCTAATTGCTGCTCGTTAGCAAAGGATGCTTCTCTTTCATTTTCCTGTCTTCTAAGTATCTGCTTGAATCTTATGTTCCAGATGTGGGCGAACATGACGAATCTTGGGGATGTTTTAGAGGCTATTTCTGGGATTTTCTCGCATTTCGCAAGAGCCATTCTGAGGATTGCTGTGGCTGAATTGCCCCAGAGTTTTTCCAGAATCCAAATGACAGCTTCTTCCAGTTTGATGAATTCTTCTTTGTCGACTGAATCTTGTTCCGTGGGCTCCATCATTTTTGCCCAGAATACTAGCTCCTTCGAGCAGAAGACTTGAGACTTGTGGACTTGCTTCATCAGGTTTTCTACCACCGGCCGCACCTTATTCTGCAGCATGCTTTGGCCTTCTTCGATTTCGATTTTGTTTGTTGAAGCGAGTCGGCGATTTATCTTAATTGAGATGCTGTGCGAGATGATCGCTATTGTTTGGAAGGCTTCTATCGTTTCAGCTGCTTCGGTATCTTCTTCTTCCATTTGGGCCAGGATTTTTCGCACCTGATTCGATGCTTCTTGAGACTCGGAAATTATTTTGGTGGCTTCTTTGACTAGATTTGTCATTTTTTCTGCCACTGTGTCACCGTAGCAAGCGATTCTTTTGGGTGGTACCGCAGCATTTGTGTTGAGGCTATTTTGAATGTCCCAGACCAGACTTTTGAGGATTTCTAGCTTGAGGCTGGATTTCCTGGCTGTCGTGTCCGCGACGTGAGCCTCAAGAGGGGGCTCATCATTGGTTGCTTCGAGGTCTTTATCGGAACCAATGGAGGCATTGCTGTCAAGAGATTCTTCTAAGTTTGAGGCTTTGTTTATTATATTTTCCTTTTCTATCAAAAAAAAAAAAAAATCATAACCCGAAGTTTTATGAGGTTGGGTCTCTTTTGAGTTTTGCCGCTCGGGTTTTGAAGAAACTGATGAAATGCAAAAACTAGAATCAGTCCTAATTTCAAAATTATCTCCTATAAAGGATTCTATTATAACCGATGCTAAGTAGCCTTTTCCTGAAGCTGAAGGCATTTGAAACTCAGCTGCTTCTGAGTCCTTTGCTGCTTCCATTTCCGAAACTAGGGTACGTTATTCGGCTTCTAAAATTACTGCTTCTTGAAACTTTGTTTTGTAATAAAGCTGCTTATTATTATATTTCTTTTTTTTTTTGGAAAAGAAAAGGCATTTGTCTTCTAGTGAGACTTGCTTATTTATTCTGGAACAGCTGGCTTTTGCCAATGAAAGGAAAAGAGTTTTTTTTTTTTCAATGAGTAAAGGATAAAAAGGATGCTAAAAATCTGAGGCAGATTTCAGAAAGTAGACAATTTCTGTCTGTAGATGCTTTTGCTGCTTTGGCTGCTTTAGTAGTCGGCTGATGGTGCTGCTTCGATGTTGATGCCTGGCAGCTGGATGTTGTGGTCGTGGAAGCATCGGACGAACATGTGGCGGATGAACTTGACTAGCTTCCCGCCGACGATCTTCATCGTGAAGACCATGAGGATGTCCAGACGCTGAGGGTCGATGAGGCCGGCATCTAAAATTAAGTGTTATTTCTGAGGAAATTTCCAAGGCTTGTTGACTTACCGTAAGCTTCTTTGAATCGCCGCTTGATGCCTCGATAATTGACGAATTCAAAGATATAATGGCACATCCGGATCTCGTGCTTGCGGATGAGGCTGGAGGCGTTGAAGGGTGGCTCGTCCTTGATTCGCCAGCCGCTTGGTCGGTGGTACTTGGCGAACTTGTGGTCAGGCTTCTGCGAGTTGGAGAACTTCTCGAAGCTGAGGCTGCTGAACCAGGCTTCCTTTGCTGCTTGTCGCTCTTCCGCGCTGAGCTTGTCGTTTTCGCTTCGTCGATGGTTGAGTGCTTCTCGAATGGCGGCTTTGTCCATGAGCTTGGCTTTTTCAAGGGTTAAACTTTATTGTTTTTGGAGGCTATTAGTCTTTCTTTATAATTTAGAGTTTTAAAGTTTTTCCCTTTCCTTGTTTCTTTGTGAGGTAGTAGTAGTTTCCACGCTCTCCGGTTTCGGCCACTTGGAAGATGCTGATGCGAGGGGATCTGAGTGGCTTGTCTTCTCCGGTGGCGGCTTCTGCGGCTTTGTCGGCTTTTTCGAGCAGCTTCTGTTGAGTCTCCAGGCGTCGCTTGGCCTCTCGTTCTTCTCGTTCTTTCTGCGCGAAGTATTCCTGGCGGATTCTTGTGTTTTCTTCCACTTGGCGCCGCGCTGCTGCTTTCGCTTCCAACTTCGCCTTTTCCTTTCTTGCCTCTTCCAGCTTCCGCTCGAGTTCCTGCTTCTCGGCTTCTTCCTTCTGCTTCAGGAACTCCTGGCGCTGCTTTCTTTCCTGCTCCTCTCGCCGCTGGCGGTTGATGGCTTCTTGGCGGCGTTGGGCTTCGGCTGCCTGGCTTTCGAGCAGGTTCTGGAGGCTTTCTTCATGTAGGCCGCTTCGTCGGTTGACTCGATTCATCTTTCGTCGAAGCTGGATTTTTTCTCGGAAGCTGGACGAATCGGACTTCTTTGGCTGCTCTTTTTCGCCGATAAAACCCTCTGGTTTGGGCTCTGATCCGAGGGGTTAAATTACTTGAGCTTTTATTTCTATATTGAAATTTTTGAGGAAAGGATTTCTGTTTCAAATTGAGAGTTCAGACTTTTAATTTTTGCTTCAAGTTTGTTTCTACCCCTTTCCTTCGATGTCCTCGTCGTCCTCCGAAGCTTCCTCGCTGCTGCTGGCCTCTGAAGCTGGTCTGAGTAGCTCTGGGTCGTAGGCCACTGGGGCGTCGAATTGTCGGATGTCTTTTGTTGAGGATTAAAGGATGTTTCTAATTTATTTCGAAAGCGTTTTTCCTTTGATCCTTTCCTGACTGGGCATTGTAGGATTCCTCCTCTTCGCTGCTGGAGACATCTCCGTCGCCCTCGGTGGTCTCCCCGTCGTGGAGAGTGTCGACGCCGCTGCTGTCCTCTTCTTCAGCTTTTTGGTTCGCTGGCTTTGCTGACTCAGCTTCCGTTTGCGCTGCTTTCTCTTCTTTTTAAGGTTTATCCTTTGTTTTTCGAGCAAGTCAGATTTCAGTTTTTTGAGCCTATTTTATCTTTTAACGTGGATAAGCCTTTCCTGAGTCTGTTTGGCAGGCCTGCTGCTGATGCTGAGCTGCTGTGGTTTGGGTCGCCTTGTCCTCTGGCAGGTTGAGGAGGTACTTGACTGCGTATGAGTTCGCTTTCGCGTACTCCCAGCCTTTTTCCCTCATCAGCTGCTTTCTGTTGGATCTTCTTGCCTCTCTTCTTTCGTCCTTGGAGAGCGGCTTGTCTTGCAAGAAGACGAAGTCCCGTCTGGCCCTGACGTCGGCGATTTTTTCCCAATAGCGGGGCATGGCTGCTTCTTCCTCTTCGTTTTCTTCGAGGTAGACGAGGCTGATGATCCATGGAATGTCCACATGGCCTCTGGTGACGTTCATGGCCGAGTAGAAGAGGGCTTCTGGGGTGAGGTGGTGGTGTTCTTCCTCCAGGTCTTCGTAGGAGTCTCTGACCATCTTCGACAGGATCACCGAAGCTTTGGTGATCGCATCCATGTGCTGCTGGAGCGAGAGGCTGACGCTGTCGCGCACGAGACCTTTTTGGAGGGTTTTAAAGCCTTTTATTTTAAAAGGATATATTATTCTTTTAGTTTTTTCTTTTTCATTTTAAACCCTGTTCCTTCTACGAGCCTCTCTGTCAGCGCTGTGAACTGCTGGACCACCTTCGCTCGATGCTGTTTGAAGATCTTGCCTTGTTCTTCGTCGATTTCCTCCTCCGGGTCGCCCCTTGCCTTCTTGAGGATGGATTTTGGCTGCTTGCTGCTATCTTTGCTGCTCATAATTTCGGTCTAGAAAGTAAAAATCTTTAGGATTTTGTCTAGGGCAAAAGTAATTTTTTCGTTTTATGGCAGCTTGAGTGTTTTTGCAGCTTAAAGAATCCTTTTTGTTAATTTACACGAGACCTAATTTATAAAGAAAGCAGCTCAAATAAAATTTTGGGAGGAATTTTTTGCAAAGAAACTTTTTTTTTTGAAATTTTGGTGAAGAATAAAAAATTTTGCAGCTTTTAACGGCCTGAGAGGCTTCAGTTTTTTCTCCGGGAGAGATTTTCTCTTTTCTCCGGCTCGCCGCTGCTTTTATTTCTCTGAATCTCTTTTTTGAGGAGTTTTTTCTCTTTTTGCTCAAGTTTTTTTGATTTCTGGCTCTGTTTCTCCTTTTCCTTTTTTCGCTTCTTTGCTGTGGCGCCGCGCGCTGATTGGCCCTCGCGCCGCCCAATGGCTTTCGCTCTGCTGCTTTTTGGTGAAAATGGCGGATTCTTTGATTTAGCTGCTGAATCTTGGTTGGAAATCCCTTTCTTTTTGGAAAATGGCTCGAATTAATTTAGATTAATGAATGGATATTGATTTCCTTCCTGAATACTAGTGTGAATGAGGCTTTTGGCGTCTTTTTTGTTTTAGTTGAGGAGGCGAGTGAGTCTTTCTTCCAGCGTCTTAAGATAGAGTCTTGGATGCAGCTAGAATTTCCTAATTTCAAGCTTCTGAAAACTTAATTAATTTTTTTCTTTGACTCTTTTCCTGCAGAGCTGGCGTCCAAATATTTGGGAAGAAGTTTTCGGGTTCAGCTGCAGGGAGGTTTTCTTTAGCTGCTCGATGGCCTGCTGCTTTGACTGCGTCCATGAGGATATCTCTGATGTGGGTCGTGAATGGGCCCCCGATGCTGATGTCGAGTCTTTTCGCCGCTGTCTCTTCCCATGAAGTGTTGTTGCTTCTGAGCTGTATTTTCGCTGCAGCGCTGATTGACCAGTTTTCCGAAGCTTGGCCGTTGCAGATTTTGAACATCAATTCTGCCACTTTTGGGTGTGCCCAACATGGCAGAAGGATAGATTCGTATTCTCCGTCGCAAGCTACAGATGCGACGTTCCAGGTGCCCGTGATTCTTTTCTCGCCGCTTTTGAATCTCGTGAAAGGCCCTTCGTTCTCGGCTAAGGACACTAGTTTTGCATTGTAGATTTTCTGGCAAAGCTGCTTTCGGAGGCTCTCCGCATCCTCTGTATTTGGAAGGACGATGATGATGTCTTCTAGAGTGGCCGCTGTGAGGCCTATCAGCGTCGCCACTTGCTGCCAGTCGCCGCTTTTGATCTTCGTGATGCTTTCTGCCAGGATTTTGAGTGGCTCGTTAAGCACATTCGCGCGATGTCCGATGGGGAACGCTGCGAATCCGTTTCTGGTGTATTGGAGGCCTTTGTGGTAGATAACTAGGCCCTTGAGGAACGGGTTCTCAGTTCTTTCGCGGCTTCTGACTTGTGCGTCTGAAGCTTCGTATTTTTCTGCAAAGTCTGATATTTTCTCCTTGCTGCTTCCGAGGAGGATTTCTGTGGATTTCAGGCTTCTATGATTGAATCGAAACCCTCTACTTCTGTTTCCTGGAGTTTTTCGATCAGAGTTGAGGATGCGGCTGCTGGCGAGTTTCCTTTGAAGATTTGTGACAGCTCTTGGTGAAGCTTCTGCCACTCCACACCGGTGATTTTAATTGTTTTCCGTTGAGGCTTCACATTCGCGATTGCAGCGGCTTTTTCTTCGTGGAGGACCTGGCAGTCTTGTTTTCTTTTTCCATCAATTTCAAGCTTTGAGCTGTGCTTTGTACACCAGGCTTCCTTCTTGCAGAGTGGCCAACTGCAATTCCAGCGTTTTTTAGCATCCGCGTCAGCCTCCACGGATAGTCTAGCATCTTCTGCTGCTTTCGTTCTGTGGAATAGCCACGCTTCTGTGAATCTTTCGATGATGGGCGAAGGGCTGAATTTTCCTCCAGCTGCCCACTTCCAGCCTGTAGTAAGGATCTTGAGGTGATGGGTGACTTCCCTCGGGATTTCCGGGTGCAGCTTGAGAGTCCTTACCACTCTAACCATCGTGTCTAGCAGCTGCAGTTGGATGTTCAGTGGTCTTGAGGAGCTGACCATGCATCTGTCATTTCTCCAGTAGTTTTTTGGGTTATTGAAGCTTTGAATGCATTCTTCGCAGCTGTTTTTCGTCCATTCCTTGGCCGCCAGTTTCTTGAGACTCTCCGATTCTTTGGAGTTCAGCGCCGGATGCTCTGCTAGCGCGAGGAGGGCTTTCTCGCGCTTGTTTGATGCTTCTCCGCCGTAGTACAGGATCCAGAGTTGCGGTGCCGCTTTATGAGGGATCCAGATGGTCCAGGTTTTTGTTCCTTCTCCTACTTTTTTAATTCGGAGGGTGGAATCCATCGGCGTGTATTTCCTAGCTGCTGCTTCAAGCCATGGCTTCAATGATCTTGCTTCCGTCAGTTCTTTCCACGCTGCGTGCCACTGGGTGGTCATTTCGCTGCAGTCGCCGTCTTGGCCGATGATGCTATCGTTATTGAGCTGCGTATGTGCGAGGTGGAGGATTAGCTGCGAAAGTATTTTCGTGAGCGGTGTCGAGCTTGGTATTTTGGCGTCTTGCTGCTTAAATTCCCCAATCACTTCCGGGATCCATGCTTTGTTGTTTTTTGGTGGCTCTCTGGCCCATTCTGTGTCACTGCCGTTTTTCAGAGTGATCCACGCGTTCTCTCGGTGGCAGATGCTGTGCCAGGCTCTCGAGGCTTTGAGCATTTGCAGCTTTGCGAGCATTTCCGCCGGGCTTGGTTGGGCTTCGATCTTGTAGATGGCATTGAAGATTTCCTCGGTCCCTTTGGTTATGAGCTTCCCGAGCCAGGAGCGGCTGTTGAAGCTTTGATGCTCGTAGTCTGCTTGCGCTTTTGAAGGGTTTTCTTTTACTATCTGGTAGCAGACGTCGTGCCAAAATCCCTGGTCAAGGATTTGATCGTGGTCGAGGTTGTCCCAGGCTGTGAACCATTCCTCCGAGCGCAAGGTTTGTCTTTTTGCGAATTCTTCTAGGACCGCCGTCGGGAACAGCCTGCTTGCTTCTTCGGGGCTCGGATCCGACGAGAGGCGGAGCTTGTCGTTTCTTCTGCTGCTGGGCGGCTTGAGAAGCTTTCGAGCTACTATTTTTAGCGGGACTTCCCTCTTTTCTTCTTCTCTTATTTCTTTCAGCAAGTCTGAGAAGGTCGGAAGTTTCTCGAGGTCCAGGCTCGGATGCAAGTCCTGTTCTCCTTTCATGACTAGCTTCGTTGGGCTTACTGCGGGGTTGAAGGGGTTCGGGGCTGATTCTAGCTGCCAGTCTTCCAGGGTTTTGCCTTCCGCCGCCGCTATGTTTTCCGAGATACGGTTTAATATCTCTGCTGGATTGCTTCGTTTCGGAGTAAGCCAGAGCGATTGTTTTCCGCTTGTGGAGCAGAATATTATCTTGCACCAGGACGAGAGTTCCTCGAATTGAAGCTTCGCTTTTTCCGGCGTCTTCTTATTGAAGACTAGATTCTGATTTGCGAGGAGGCTGTGAACGTCGGAGAGAACGAAGAGTCTAATGAGCTGCACATCTTCGTGTCCCGAGAGGAAAATCGTTCTTGAAATCCTTGTCCAGTCAATGATTGCATCTAGGATGAGGTCATTTCTTTTGGAGGTTTAGACTTTTTTTTTTTAGAGTCAAATGTAAATATTCAGGAAATTAATGTATCTAGGTTTTCCTTTTTGTCTGCAGAAACCTTTCCTGGAGATCGTCTTTCCAAGCTTCTGAAGCTGCTTAGCGGCGTAATCGAGTGGCTCTTTAGGTTTTGAATCCGACGCCAGTCCCCATTTTGGAGCATAGTTTCGAGCAGCTATTTCAAATGCTTCGCCAAACATTCACTGAAAGAGATTTTCGTTTAGCAGCTGCTTTCCGGTTTTAAGAAGGGGTTGAAACAGGGGCTCAAGGTCAGTTAGGTATGGGAGCTTGAGGGCAGTGAAATAGAGGCGTAATGTTCCAGTCGTAAATGATTCTTGGAAGCTTTTTTTTCTCTTTCGGAATCTCGAGAGAATGCTTTGTTCCCCTTTTTTCCTTTTGGGGGCTCTTTCGCCATTGGCTCCTGCTCCGCCGCGCGCGCTTTTCAAATTTGAAATAGCTGCTGAAGCTGCGGCGTCTCGGCGTGAGACTTCTTAGGCTGCTGATTAGTAAGCCCGCCCCCCCTTTTTATTTGGCTTAAAACTTTTTGGCTTTAGTTTTGAGCGGCTCAATCTCCTGTACTGCGCACTTGGGCGATATTTGTAGAAGGAAACGAGTATAGGGGCTGCTTTGTGTACGGAAGAAACCGAAGCAGTGAAATTATAGTCTGATGCTTTCTTAGCTTCTAAAGTGTATAGAAGCTGGCGACTAGAATGTTTATAGTCCTTGGACTTTGAAGAAATTTTTAGCTTCTGAGAAGCTTATTTATAGTCTTAGAGACTGGTAGTTTATAGTCTTTAACGGACTCGGGATGGTGGTAAGAATCCAAATGATGGTCTACCTTAAGAGTTTTTTGAGAGTTGTTCGAATTCTCGGCTGCGCGAGTTTGGAGGCTCTCAATAATTCTCTTAACCTTCCCTATAGATATTATAGCCTAGGGCTATAATTTTTGGAACTGAATTGCGTGATTCTCTGCAGCTTCTTTTTGTCACTCGCTCTCTTACGCCTGTGTCACCTTCCGCTTCTGGAAGTAGGTCATGGCGCTCCTGCTTCCTTAGCTGCTAATCCGAGCTCGCCGAGCCATGCAACTGCTAATCCGAATCCGATATTCCACAACGAAACAACGCTTTCTGGTTGAACCCAGCTCACGTGACCAGCGATGGGGACTACAGTTACCTCCCAAGTAAATTCCAAAACGTCTGGGACCCTGATCAAGCAATCAAAAACGCAACCGATCAGCTCGTTAGACTGACAGCTTCCGACAGGGTCAAGTGGTCGTTTAATGGTTCCGGCGCCGAGGGGTTCAATCTAAAGATGATTTTCTGGCACGGCGGCCGAATGCTTACCATGGCCGAGCCGACTACTGCCAGTCAGCTGTACAGAATTGTCATTCAGTTTATTTACTTTTGCATTCGTAAGTCAAATACCTAGAGAAAGGAGGCTAAAATTGTTTTAAGCTATTTCATGGCTGAGTATGAAAATTCTCGACATTTGCTTCGACAGCGGCTTGTTTAGCGCAAATTGCAAGATCGAAAAAATCAACTGAGAGATGCTCGAAAAGAGAAGATTTTTCCTGAGACTGCCAAAATTTTGATTGCTTTGTTTTCTACTTTTTTAATTCAGATTTTAACTTTTGTATCAACTCTTTTTTTAATTTTGATTTATTATAAGAATGTCGTTAGTTCGATGTCGGATAAAGCGGCTCGCCCAGCTTACATCGTCGGTAAAACAAGTTACACTCGAGGAAAATGTTCCAGAGACCCATTTTAGAGCCAGATCTGCAGGATCAAGGATAAGCTTTGGAACGTTGAATTGTAGGCTACAGGGGACGAACGCTTTAACTTTCAACCCGGCCAGTGGGTTGATTTCTTTCCACCAAATTTTCTCAATCCAGGAGGTTACTCGATTTCCTCGTCGCCGAAGGATGAGGAAATGGAATTGGCAATAAGAGAGGCTCACCACCCGGTGGTCAGGTGGATTTATGAAGAAGCAGAGGTTGGAGATAAAGTTTCGGAAAGGATGCTCAAACTGTCGATAAAATTAAAAGCATTATTTAAAAGTCGATTTTAATATTTTCTCTACTCTGTTATAAATTCAAGAAAATTGTCAAGAAGAAAATTCTGCTCCGTTTACTGACGATTCTGGTAGCAGAAGTCATCGCATGTGCGCAAAATTACTCATCATAAAAAAGTAGTGACTCAGCCCTGAGAGCGCCGTTCTTTCCACGAGCCAACCAGAGGCGCGGATTTACACGTGAATTAGAGAAATGGGAAATTCCTGCCTTATCGTTACGATGAGCGCTCAATTTTGCATCCTGAAGGTTAGGTTCAAGTCGGTGGCGATTGGTTCTTGAAGAAAAGAAAGAATGGACAGAAGAATCTGCTGCTAATCGCCGGGGGAGTTGGAATTAATCCGATTCTTTCGATGCTCAGGAAATTTGATAAAATCGGTCCTTACGGGGCATTTTTGAAATAGAAAAGTTTACTTATTTGATGCTCTTTTCATTCCAAAATAGATTACTGTCGATTTACTTGACGAAATCGTTTTTTAGTAGTTTTTTAAAATTTTGATTTTCATCAAATTCTAAAAGACATTTATCCTCCGACGACGATGGCTGGGAAAGCATCACATTACTGTATTCGGGGCGTCACTGGGACGATGTTTTGTATAAAGACGAGTCGCTTTTGTGCTTGGAAAGTCTGCCACAACTCAACATTAAAATATTTTTGTCAAATCAACAATCACTTGGAAACTTGGCCGATTCTCGTCGCGTTTCTTTTAGGTTCGCCATCTTTTTAGATGTTTTGATGACTTATTTTTAGATTGGGAAGAATATCGGAAAAAGAGGTGAAAGAATTCGACAACAGGGAAACAGTATCGTATCTCTGCGGACCTCCAGCGATGAGCGACGAAGTCAGTTCTTGGATAAACCTGGCAGAAGTCAATTACGAAAAGTGGTGGTGAAAACAACAAAGATTTAAGATCAATGATGAAGATTCTAAATGAACTAGACTATTTCAAATTATCAAATTTCTCTTTTTTGAATTCTTGATTTCCAAACTTTTTTTTCTGAAAAACTGTTTCTTCAGCAATTTTTCCTCTCAATTCAAGATTCCCTCATTGATGAAAATAATTCAGACCAGATTCGGACAAATTAAAATGCAGAACGACGAAGGACGCGTTGTCGATCTTTACATCCCCCGAAAGTGCACCGCCTCCAACCGACTCATCGGCGCCAAGGTACGCTCCACCCTTATCACTCCCTTTATCAACCCGCTTTGTTTAGGACAAGTCCTCTATCCAGATCAACTTCTGCGATGTCGATCCCGGTACTGGCGTCATGTTGAAGACCAACACCACCTTCGCCATTTGCGGAGCTCTCCGCCGAATGGGCGAATCCGATGACTCCATCTACCGACTCGCTCGAGAACAAGGTCTTGCCAAGTAAATTTGGCCCTTTTCTGTCCCTTCATTTCCATCATAAAATGAAATAAAAGAAAAAAGACCAATCTCTGGAAAAGTTGAATTATGAAGTTCTTCTCCCTTGGAGATTCTATAATTTAATGAGGTGATTAATTTCTGATTTGAGTTTTCCTAAATGCTTCCGCCTTGAACATGATAGACCGCAAAGGGGATAATATCGACCCGTTAAATTTTCGCAAATTGCACTTTGATCGTTTGATGGTCGACTTTAGACTGTTCTTCTGTCATCAAATGTGAACATTTCAAATTTATTTGAGCAGGCGCTGACTTCTGCAAATGGGAACTTTAAGATTTTTCCTACGGCTCCTCTCACAGTAGGCAAGAATGAGGACGACAGCTATCTGCTGGAGGTTGCTTCCCAGTCCCTAAGATCCGCACATGGGACATCTACGAGGTGTTATTTATGTGACATAAATAAATTATGTCCAGGTTCTGATTCTCAATTAAAAATAAGTGAAAAAGGCCAACTCAATCAAAAATATTTTATATGAAACTACGTCCCCGTTGTATCCGACTTACATTCCCGAAGACTTTTGTTTTCTTAAATAAATGATCGGATAAATAAAAAAGTCCACGGTGAGCTGTCAAAAATATAAAGAAAATATCCAAGTTTGACCACTATTTCAGGAAGCTATTCTCTCAAGCGGTGGCTTTTCCTGCCGCAAATGAGTTTTTTTGGGTGGGATAATGCTGTGAAACCGTTTAGGTGTAATATCAAAAGTGTAATTAGGCGATTCTGTGGCGTCGGTTTTCATGCCTCGCAAAAGGAAAGCAAAGAGCAGCAGAAACCGAGCGACTCTTCGGCATTCACTCGGCAATTAATAATGTTAAGAGCGTCAAGGTCGAGGCCTTTTCTAAATGAGTATAATTGATCTATAATGTCACTAATGGTTCACATTCAACTCTTCGGCATAGCGGACAGCTCAATTAGGGGAACCACTAGTTGACTTTCACCCACTCGTTTTTGGCACAGCAGGCAAATCGAAACCTCTCCCAAAAGGATGTTCAATTCGATTTCACGAGGACTGGCAAAAGTGGCTATATTCTGTCTGTGACTGAATGCTTATTTCTGAAAAATGAGGCATCGCTACAGACGTTAGCAATTGATAATTTGCTGAAGTTTCGAATGAAACGTTTCCAGTGACGAAATCATTGAAACTCATGTAAAATCAAATTAACTCTTCTCTGTGGCAAATGCGTAGTAAGGATTTCCTTTTCGGCAAATGCAGCCGAAAAGAAAATCATTTTGAAGGCATAATTGTGATTTACTTTTCGGCACACTGCCGAAAAGTATAACCATGTTTCACCTATTTATTGGAAAAGCTTTTCGGCACTTTGCCGAAATAGAAATCAGAATTGATTCATGTTAGAGGGAAAGTTTTTCGGCAGATCTGCCGAAAAAATTTACTTTATTTCATTCGTTTTTCGGAAAAGCTTTTCGGCACTTTTTAAACAAAGAATTCAAAAGACTAGAAAGAAGAAGACAGTATGTCCTTCTTGAAATTAAGAGTGGTGCATTAATATTTTAAGAAAAATTTAAATTTCCCAAGAAAGAATTAATAAGCATTATAGTTTTTACTGAAATAAAGGTTAGGGTTAGGGGAACTGGGCAAAATGACAGAACAACCTCACCCGAGGGGGATAGGCTAGGGTTAGTTAGGGTTACCGAAGGTAACCCTAAGTAACCATAGACTAGACCCCGGCATCTTAGGACCTAGGGGGCGGAGCCCCCAGGTAGGGGACGCGTGAATTTGAAAATTTTCTACTGTAAAGAAGAGCCTTTCGTGAAAATTTGAATAAAAAGGTCTGCCGAAAAGTTAATCCCAAAAAATGATTTTCATTTCGGCACTTTGCCGAAAAGCATTCATAAAATTACGATTTTCATTTCGGCATTTAGCCGAAAAGCTTTCCCAAAAAAGTGATTTCCTTTTCGGCACTGTGCCGAAAAGCTTTCTTGAAAATAGGCTTCAAACTGGAAATGCTTTTCGGCAAAGTGCCGAAAAGGAAATCAGAAAAAACCATCGAAGTTTTCGGCATTTTTGCCGAAAAGGAAATCCCTACTACCGGCAAATGGCAAGTTCAGCCATCATGAAAAACGCAGATTCGGCGGTTAGAAACTGGACTTTTGCCTGGAAAGACAAGTGTCATATTGACCTCTTCCGGAAGTGAACCTCGCACGGCGGTCAGTAGTGGTTGCTACCAATCTAATTGATTTCATTGCGATTCGCGTTTTTGAATAATTATTTCTTATTCTCAGAGTCTATTTGCCACATTTTAGGGGCAGTGGAGCAGAAGAACTTGAAATTGATGCAAATGAATTAAACGCGCACTTCGAGCTCAGGATCTCTGGCTATTAAGAGTTTATTAGCAGTTAAAAGAGAGGATTTCATTGCAGGTTATCATGCGTAATAAGACCATATGGTCGTATTTTGAATAAGCAAATTTAGAAGCTGATTGAAAGAAATATGTCCATCTTCTCTTTGATCTAAAATCTTGTAGAGTTTGTCCGGAGCTTCGATCATTGGTGACGATTCAAAAGTCACTGAAACGTTGGTTGATAAGATTTTAAGCTTATGATTGCTAACCTACAATCAGTTGTTTCAATTCTTCCTTAGGAAGTTTTCCACCCTCACCAGCATTCTCCTTGAATACTTTTAAAAGTGTCAGGAAAGGACCTCTAAGTGATGGCATAAGTCTTATATAATTTATGATGCGAAGGGCGACAGGACGATTGCTTACCACATTTACTTCCTGTCTTGTGTATCTCTCCAATGGGGAGTCCCCATGAATTTGTGCTAGTTGATAAGTGCTCGCGAGCCCAACAAGCATTATTTATGTCTCCAAGGCTCATAAATGAACTGTTATTTGAAATTATTTTCTGTATTAAAAAATAACAGTCTCGCTGGGGTCTAATTCAGAAGTCTCCGAATCGCGCCTTGGCATTAGGTGGGGCTAAATTTGCATGCTTAACTGTGCTTAAACAGGTGGTATTTGAGGACTCGGCGAAGAGCACCTCGGTGGCTCTCCAGGTCGCACGGTGGTGATTTTCGGCTTTGGCTGAGATCGACAACGGGTTGTTTGCGTTGTCGTTTAGTTGAACGCGGTGCGAGCGCAGGTTAACCCTCGTGCGCGCGGCTGAGCCGATAATGGCTGCCGTCAGTTTAGACGAAATAATCGGTAACGTGCAGGAACAAAGAGTACACGTTGTTTTCAATAACAATCAATCTCTGTTTTGAAACATTATTTTTTACGAAAGATTTTAGTTCACAGCTTATCCTCCTTGATTTTCTTTTACACTTCTTCAAGATTTAGCTGTTTTCTAGCGCGCCTTTTTAGGAAAGTTTCTAATCAATTTCCCTTGATAATAGCTCTAAAATCACTGATCAAAACTCTTCTCCGTGTGAAACTAATCATTTTTCAATTTGAAAAGTCAGTTTCATACATTCAATGTCAATTCCGCGCAGCTCCTGATTAGATTATTCGAAACATGGACCCACTCTCAATCAGGGCGATAAATGGAAAGGAGCAGAAAATCAGAGTTTCGGTTTTTTTAACACCACGAGACTTGAACCGGTGGCTCTAATTAAAAGCGACAGATTTGACAGCTTCTGCTAATACTCCGCGCCTGTTGGGAAAACGGAGCCGAATTATTTTTAGAGGGAGTTTTTCACATTTATTTGGTAAGAGTTTGTTGATGAAATTGGGCGCGTGACATTTTCTGTATACAATAATACCGCGTCTTACGGTTTCTAACGTGTATCATGATCAAATTCAATAAACTTTAACCCATGTCAAGGTCTCGCCACTATTTAGCCCTTCAACAAGATGACTACTATTTAGAATCTAGTGTTGATTATAGCATCAATCATTCGCGTTCAAAGTTTAAACTTCGAACCTTGGTTGTTTAAGTTTAATCGTCTTCGTGATTTTAGAAGAAATTTCTTTACCTCAGCAAATTTTGATTTTTGAGGGGCATAACATATTTGGCAATAGTGAGGGTAAACCGGAAGCTGATCCCGCTACGGCGGTGGATGGTGTTGATTGGGGCCTTAATCAATTTCATTGCGAGTTTTGAAATCTGTGCTGGGTCAGATACAAGGTGCCACCACCTCCACCACCATGACTTTGCTGCGGCTCGCCGCTTTCAGTTCAACTGGCGCTTTCTGCTTCAACTTGCCATAATTTCATTTTTACACGGGCTCGTTCTTTGATAATTAATGCCCCAGCTATCCTTTCGCGCATAATTTTCATTATAGAGTTCAGAGAAAACTTTATCATTATATTAGGATGACTTTGTTTTGTCGGATGAGAATTTTATTTACAGATTATAAGAAACCAGAGCATAATCAAATGGTGAACTCGAGTCAAGAAAGGAAGCATCTAAAACAGGCAAAGGAAGAGCAGGATTGACAAAACCGGTCGACATCTCTTCGTGATCGAGGATATGCTCGATGAGGCGATCTCGGAAGGAGAAGGCGGTCGAGTTGCAGATGTAGCATTTCATGAAGCCGTAGTCGTTTCTTTCGTGGTTGAGGAGGTGGGCTTTCAATCCGCCAGGTTGAGCGTAGGAGCTTTCACAGCCGGGAATGATGCAAGGATGGCGGGAGTGTTTAGGCCGAATTCTTAGTTCGAAACGGGCTGTGATGCATTCAGCGCAGGGGCAGTATTTCGATTTCTTGACTGGAGCTTTCTTTTTCTTCTTCGCTTTGCCAGCGTTTGATTTCCTTTTATCGCTAACTTGGAAGGACTGAGTTGGAAACGGAGGGGAAGGAATTGAAGCAGGAGAAGAGCCGATGGAGTTTGAAACAAATTCTGGAGAAGAAAAGCAGGGCGACTTGGTAATGGTGATCGGCGTAGAGCAGACGAGAATCTTGAATCGTGGTACTGGAGTCATCTCTGCAGGAGGATATGGAGAAAATGCTGGAGATGAGTACGCAGCCGGAGAAGAATGTGCAGAGTGATACCCAGGGGACGATGGATGAGGAGGATAGTAGTTGTTTCCAGGAGAAGTTTCGCGAGTCAGAAGATTGGCGATTGTCTCAAGATCAGCAAGAAGGCCGTTAGTTGCAATGTTCTCAAACATTTTTGGTTTTTGTTTGTTTTTTTCTGATTACTTGGAAATTTCCGACGACTTATACTTCCTGGAAAAGCTGTCGGAAGCTTATGCATCTGGTACCCATCTTCTTGATCAGAGAGATCTTTAGATGACTCTGATGAGCCCCAGGTGGGCGAATCAAAAGCTAATTGATCTCCACTTTAGATGAGGAAATACAGATTTCGAGACTGGGCTAATAATGATGATAATTGAATTGATAATGGTCCCACTAGAATATTTCCATGTAAAGGTGCTTCGTTAATCGATCCCTTTTACGGTCTTTACTTGTCCAAAAATAATTCAAAAATATTTAGTATACTTGTTTAATGTTTTTGTCGCTGGCGTGCTCTAAACGACATTTTTCAAATTCATTTTTAGAGTGTTTTCGCGACGCTTTCTGGAATTAGAACATCATTTATTATGGGCAGCGCGTTGGGCAGTCCATATTTTAAATGAAAAAATCAGGAAATAGTGTTTAGTGTAAAGCGCGCCGTTTGATATGGTCTGCGTAACGAACGGAACATCGACAAGAAACATCATTCGACTTCTAAAATACCGTTTCCATGATGTCAACACAAGCACTCAATTCATGCTTACTTTTTGACGTATTTTATAACGTGGGAAATACGATTTTTAATCAGTTATTTTTTAATTTAAAGCTTTCTTTTTTATCTCTACTCTTGCCTTTTTGATGGAAATAATGAATTTTAGGTCAGCAATAATGCGATTTGTCTGTCACTCCCAAATTATAATATTTGCTGGAAAATTTCTGTTGGATTCGGTGAACAAGCACGCAGTCTGAAACCGGTGACTGAGACCTTGCGCCCGATTTGCTCGGCGGTTTCACGCCTTTCCAAGGCCGTGATTAGAATAATCAACTAAAACAATATATATGTGTCCCTGTGGCACTTCGAAAGCCGCATTTTAGCGATAATAGAACGACGCCTGAAATTGACAACTTGTTTTTCTCCGAAAATGTTTTTGGATGATCTGCTCTTTGTTCATTTTCGAGGAAATGAGCTTTTCTTTTGGAAAATTTTTGTAAAGAAGCCTGTATTTTCCTGCACAGTTTCCTTTTACTGGTTTTTACTTTATAAATTATATTATAGATCCATTATATTTAGAGAAAGTTTCCTAAAGACCACGAAATGAGTGTTCTCATCTTTTGTAATATCTACAGAGCGGATACTGTCCTTGAGATACATTAGCTCCTGTATAATTTATAAGTTACCTTTCTTTCATGAAAATTCCCGCAAAATATCATCTCAGAAATATCTTCGCAACATAAAAATGGTGATAAGAATAGTCCAAAGTAACTGACATGACTAAACATTAGAGAGCTTATCTAAAATAAGACCTATATTTATTATTCATTGTCAAATGTTGCCTTGTTGAACTTTTTGAAGCTCAAGAAAGCTCGCTCTGCATAAATCCCTAGGTAGCGCGCTGATGATAACGTGAGCTTGCAATTTCTAGGTGGCGCTGTTCAAATTCGGAGAGCTCCCGCCGAGTCCTCCGAAATTCATTCAATCAATTTGATAAACCAAGAAAGCTATTTCTAAGAAAATCGTCTCCGAAAAAACATCAAAAAGAAGAAAGAGAAAAGAACTTTTGCAAAAAAATGTGTCCGAAGAATGGAAAACCCGTCCCGTTCTATCTAAATGGGATCGAGACAGAAGAAGAACCGACCTTTGTTGACAGGCAATGGTTATTTACTTTAACGATTTTACCGATTTGAAAAGATTCTGATCACTTTGTCAATTATCAAAATACGTGTCCATATTATAACCAGGGATAGCTTTCACATATCATCTTCCACCGAAGACTCTGGATGCGGGGGCTCATCATCGTCCGATGTGGACATTGAAGAAATCGACGTAGAATCGACCTCGAATTCCTCGACCTCGTCTAACTCGCTCAAAAGCTGCAATTTCTCCATTTCAAATATTCTCAAGGAAGAAAAGCCCAAACAGACCCTCTCTCCCTTTACGAACCCAGTTTATTCGCAATTCCTCCCCATGTTCAACCCACTAGCGCTTTCTCTCCAAAACTTCCCCGTACATTCCCAAAGTCCCTTCCAAGTCCACATGCCTGCGCAACTCCCCCGAACCTTCCCTGAAATCAAGAAAGAACCCTGTATCGGTGGCAACAGCGAAAAATCTCTGAGCTGCGAGGTCTGTGGCAAAACTTTCAAACACCTGAGAATGCTCAATCGCCATCGACGCAATCACAGTCCCTACAAGAAGTACAAGTGCGAGTTCTGTGGCAAAGGATTCAACGACTCCTTTGACCTGAAGCGTCACGTTCGAACTCATACAGGCATTATTCAGAATTGTTTTTGTTTTCGTGTCTGTAACACAAATTTTCAGGGGTGAAGCCGTACAAGTGCAGTGAGTGCGATAAGTCGTTTACGCAGAGGTGCAGCTTGGAAAGCCATCTGGACAAGATCCACGGAGTCAAGCACAAGTTCAATTACAAGCAGAGGAGAGAGAAGATTTATGTCTGCGAGGATTGTGGACACTCGACTCATGATGTGAGGTGAGTATCTTTTCTCGACGGCGAACAAAGCATGAAAGCATGAAAATTATTTTTATTATCATTATTCAGAGAACACTACAAGCATTCAAGAGAGCATCAAGCTGCGCGAAACAATCTAAAAAGCCAAGTCCCAATTATGGCTTAATTGAGCTTATACTGCCGCAAAGATGAAAACTGCTGACAGCATCCGGCTGTAAAATGAAAGTATTTGCCATGGAGTGAATATTTTGATTCACGAATTCCATGAAGATAGCGAGCCGTGGTGTTACTTACTGTACATAAACGTTTAAATAAATTTTAAATATGAAATAACGCGTCCAATCCAGTTTTTTTTGGCAAGCGATGAAGAAGGATTGAGGCAATGACCTTTTCGATCATGTGTGAGTTGGCCTGGTGCGGCGGATGGACCGTAACTCTGTCACGATTTAGGTTGATCGAGCCCCGGCGTTGCCCGTAATTAGCAAATACCTCCCGGCCTCTTTGATATTTTTTATTTCCTAACCTCGTAAAAACCATCAAAGTACTTGAAAACGACCAGCTTGGGTGTTCATTTCCAGACTAGAGCACGAAAATGAAGCTGTAAGTATTATTTTCGTTTTTTCAATTTTTTTCGTAGCAAATTTTCAACCCTTTTTTCTAGCGCACCGAGCTTATTGGCGCTAGCCAGTGGCTATAGCCGGTACAATGCACCCAGCTTCAACCTTAGTAGAGGATCTCGACAGTTTGATGCTGACTTCTCTCAGTGGCTCAAAGCACCCCAGGGTGGCTACACACAAGCCTCATGCAAGTGTGAGATTGAGTGCACTCCTGACAACATTGACGAGATCTGCGGTGCCGATGTCGTTATTGCCATCGATATGACCAAGTGCGAAGACGCCGATGACCTCAAAAGATACACCTCCTTTGTCGACTCTGTCATCAACAACCTCGAGACCGAACTTGGCCTCGGTGGCGACAGATCTACTGCTCGAGTCTCAGTCGGTCTTTTCGGTGCTGAACTCGTCCCAGTCATGAAACTCAGCGAGTGGAATGTCGATATCGCTGATCTTGACAGCGCTAAACGAAGCTTTAACTCTGAGATGAGGAAGTTCACCGAGGGAGGCAGCTGGACTATCTTCAATGGTGCCCAGCTCGATTTCAACACTGCGTTTGACTTTGCTTTGGAGGAATTTGACCGGACCGCACGAAACCCAGGTATCGACCAGGAAATGAGCGATCTTGGCTTTGAATCCACCAAGCTCTTCGTCATCTTATCCGATGGAGTGGTCTCCCAGAACACCATGAATACTGCTGCCAAGCGTGACCTCGAATACGCAAAGACCGAGATCAACAGCCTCGGCGGTAAGATTGTCACTGTTACGCAATCTTCTAGCGATGACATCCGATGCCTCCACGGTCAATCCATGGGATGCCCTCACCGAGAGTTCCTCCTTGAAGTTGGTGATGTTTTTATTGATGGTGCCAACGGAGTAAAGGCTTCTCGAGAAGTCGCTGCGATTGTCAACAGCAAGAAGTGCATCAAGCGAGGAGAATGCAAGCCGTGCAACTGCGAGTGCGAGATGCCCCGAGGTCCAGCTGGTCCAGAAGGTAACCTTGGTTGCGATGGTCCAGAGGGTCCCTGTGGTGAGCCAGGTATCCCCGGCAAAGATGGTGTCAACGGTGTTCCCGGAGAGAAGGGTCCCCAAGGACCTCAGGGTCCAGAGGGTCCATGCGGTGAGCCTGGCTACCCTGGTGAGCGAGGTCCCCCTGGTGAGCCTGCAACTCGAGGCGGAGATGCTGAAGAGGGACCAGTTGGTCTCCCTGGCTGCAGAGGTGAAGCTGGTGATGAAGGAGAAGTCGGAGACAAAGGTGTTCCCGGCTGTGATGGTCCCGTTGGTGATACTGGTGATGTCGGTGAGAAGGGTGAAACTGGTGAAGCTGGACAACCCGGTCCCCCTGGTGATCTTCTCCTACGAATCGGACATGCTACAGAACTCCAGACACCAGAAAATGTTGCTGCTAACATCCGTGAGATCGTAAAAGAATGGCTTGCTGATGAAAAGAACCGTGAATCTATCCTTTGCATCACCGAATGCGAGCCTGGAAGCTCTTTGAAGGAGTTGCCAGCTGAAAAGGCTCCAGAATGCGGACCAAACGAACTTCTTGACGAAGATAAGTGCCGCGGCGACACAAGCAACTGTAACCCATGCGTTCCAAAGCCCGATCTTGATGCTTGCCAAGAGCCTTTGGATATCATCTTCATGGTTGATGGTTCTGACAGTATCCGAGAAGAGGATTGGCCAAAGGTCAGCGACTGGATTTCAAAGTTGATGGAAATGATCAAACCAACTGAGCGAGCTCAGGATACCGCTGTTCTCTACCAGCAATACTCCGACTCTGCCGATTTCCCTCCATCCATCTTCGAGACGATCAAGTCAAAGACCGACCCCAACTCTGCCCAGTTCTTCTACGACGATTTGATGGACCGAATCCGAAACGAACGACAGCGATCATCTTCCACTCATACTTACCACGCCCTCGATCAGATCAACAAAGCTCTTTCCAACAACCTCAGAAGTACCGAAAACGGGCTCAACTTCCGACAGAATGGTTTCGATGAAATCACAACTATCCTTATCCATTTAACCGATGGTATGGCCCGAGATCCTGAAAACCGAAAACAAGCCGTCATTGATCAGCTCATCCAACGTGTTGACAGTAAGACATTCATCAACAATTTCATTTTCTTAATAAAAATCCTAGTTCGAGCCGCTGTTGCAGTAGGAGAATCAATCCACAGTTCTTTCAAGAACCAGCTCCTCGAAATGGCCGCTGATGAGGACCACATCTTCGAGTACCAAGACTACAGCAAACTCGGAGACTTCGCTCATGAGATCATCGAACTTATCAAGCAAGATTGCCAGGCGCTCAATTCCGACTCAATCTTCCCTCAGCGACGAAGCCAGCTTCCGGTCGGACGAGTGTTTGAGCACGTAAGTGATTTCATTTTACTATCTTTATTAATGGGTCTCTTCGACAACAAACTATTTACGATGCTCATTCTTCATTTTAGATGGACTCCAGCTCTTCGTTCTCATTCGAAGACGATTTGATGAGCCAGGACTTCCTCTCCTACGACAAATACCTTCCACGAAACGACAACCGTCACCGAAACTAATTTCAATTTCACTTTACCAATAAAAATAAGCTTTTGCCAGCATTTCCAATAAATTCGATGCTTGAGAAAAAAAAACTTTCAGCGTCTTTCACCTAAATTTCCAGTGTTTTGCAAGATAAATTTATACGACTTCGAGACTTTGAAGATTCTTAAGATTTTTGACTGAATCTTTTTCTGCCTATTACCGGTAGCTCACTGTCGAATTGATTATCAAAAAACGCCAAAAAACTAAAAAGCAAGCATCACCTATGAAACAAATGCTGGTGCAGGGACAATACTGTCAGTTGTTCAGAACAAATTATTTAACGTACCCCCCCCCCTAGCTCGCTCACATTTTGTGAGCATTTTTCCCTTGCTCGCTTAGTTAAATTTTATCAAAGTCCCCTTGCTCGCTCTCATTCTTGTTTCAGCGCGCTCCATTAGTCGCCATCCTTCTTTTTACCTCGCGCGCCCTTGTTCGCTCCTCCTCACCCATTTATCCCTTATTCGCCGCGAGACCGCCAAAGCCTAGCTCGGCTTGGGTCGCTCTTATAGCTCTTACTGTACTTTCGACTCAAGCTTTTCATAGGGAACTATATTTTCATTTTCATGAATATTTTGACAGTAACTAAACTTCATTTCCTCTTTTTAAAGCGTCCAGTTAAATTTTTATATCTTGTAGCAACGCTGTATTATGCCGTAAACTTGATAGTTTGACTTTATATGTACATTTATACTCAAAATAGTCGAATCTTCATGTTGACACTGGTTCCAGAGTTGCAAATTTGCTGAGCTGAGTGAGCTGAGCAGTCGCTCAGCTCAGTGATTTTGGAAAATGATCTGATCTGCTCAGCTCAGCTCAGACAATTTTCACTCAGCTCAGCTCAGCTCCATTATTTTCGAACATGATCTGTTCTGCTCAGCTCAGCTCAGCTCAGACGATTATCACTTAGCTAAGCTCAGCTCAGCTCAATGATTTAAATACAATTTTACTACCAAAAAACAGTAAAAAACAGCTCAGCTCAGCTCTAATTAGGGTCCGCTCAGCTCAGCTCAGCTCAACTCTCTTAAGCAAAAGGTCTGCTCAGCTCAGCTCAGCTCAATGACCTCTGAAAAAGGCCAGCTCAGCTCAGAAACCTCCGAAGTAGGCCAGCTCAGCTCAGCTCAGCTCAGAGAAATTTTTTCGCAGGTCAGCTCAGCTCGGAAAAATTAATCAAAATTTGCAACTCTCGAGGAAAATGGCATTTGATTTTTTATAAAAACAGTCTCAAAGTTTCAATCCATGTATTTCGAGTACTTATGTTTACTTAAAATGGAGTGTCCAAATTTCTTCTTATTAAAAAGATATAAAAATTTGACAAAATGGACGTGAAAGAGCATAAAAAAATAAGTTTGCTTAGAAAAAATCATGAAAATCGAATTTTAAGACCATTCTACGAGTTAAAAAGCCTTTTAAAAGTGAAAAAGAAAATGAGCTACGCGTTATAAAGCGTTCTCGCGGGGCTTCAGGAGCGAACAAGGGATAAATGACGGAGAAAGGCGGGCGAGCAAAGGTGCGCCGTCGAAACCAAGGAGGGCGAACAAGGGGTCGTAGGATGCAAAAGAAGAAAAGCGACCAACGGATCTTGGTAACAAAAAGCGAGCGACCAAGGGGGGTCTTGTTGGAGTTTAACTAAGCGAAAAAGGGAAAAATGTTCACAAAATGTGAGCGAGCTAGGGGGGGGGGGTACGTTATTCCATTACGAACTTAGGATGAGCATTTAGACGTAATAGGTACTTTCTTCTATTCAAAGCATTCATTATTAAACACGCATTTTGGAATGATAATTCTTTCAAAACTAGGTCAGCAGATGAAACATCAGTATGAACTTGTAAATTAACAGGATGTCTGCCATATTTCGTCGAAATAAGAGCTTCAAACAACGGAGTTTCTGACAAATGATTATCGAAATGCAAATATCCTTTATTTTATTTTCGGGCATAACTGGAGCATTTATCTTCAGTGGCTTTTACGATGCAATTTGCTGCAAAAAAGGCAGGAGAGGATATTTAATAAGCACGTGATTATATGATTCTAGCGTACCGCGAGCGATACCCATCAGACTGTACCCCACTGAAGCTTACTTACTGTCACCAACCTAGAACTGATGTTGATAATTTCTATTGAATAAAACAACATATTGTTTATTGTAAACAAAATGAACTGGAAACGGCAGATTTCGGGGAAAATCAGATTTTAGGTGGTTCATTCTTTCCAACGGGTTTTCTGAGTCACTCGAGCGCTCATTGGCTGATTCGCTTTTCGATTGGAAGCGGGCGTTATTTTCAAGCGCCTTTTTCAGCGCGCAAACTTGACGACACACCGATTTTTATAAAAGTAAAAACGGCACCAGCAAAAATATGCAGGCGGAAAACAAAGAGAACGCAGATCCAACTACGAGTGAAAAGAAAGAGACAAGAGATGAGTGGTCGCTAGCGAAATTTGACATTGGAAAGCCACTTGGCAAAGGAAAATTCGGATCCGGTAAAAATTCAGTTCTAACTTTTGTTGCAGTAGGATAATAAACAATTGTAGTTTATTTGGCTCGAACAAAGAAGGAACATTACATCGTGGCCGTGAAAATTCTCTTCAAGGTAACTTTTCCTAGGAATATCTTCAAAAACCACTCATTTTCTCAGTCGCAACTGGTCAACGGAGGGGTAGAATCGCAGCTGCGAAGAGAAATCGAAATCCAGTCGCATTTGCGTCATCCCCACATTTTGCGACTTTTCGGCTGGTTCCATGATGAAAAGAAGATCTTCCTCGTCCTCGAATACGCAGCTCAAGGTAAAGAAAAAACCATTCTAGTGCTTATTCTATAGCTAGAATAGTTTGTAATAGAAAAGTTCAGTTCAAATTCAATATTCATGCATTTTACAGTTTTATATCTTTCTGAACGAAAAAAGAGCCCTAGAAAACCAAGTACAGTCAGGTCTTGCAATTACGCGGTTTTTATTTTTGGGATTTTCGCCAAAAACCACGTAATTGCAAGCCCTAAAATGCACTAAATAGTGCAAATTGTGTATCGGATTTTCCCCAAAAACCGCGCAATTGCAGGTCGCGCAATTGCAAGACCTGACTGTACCCAGAGTTCAAAAATTTTCGGCTCCCGGGCAGGGGAGCGGCGGCCGGCCGGGCGCGGGCACGCTGCCCGCCTGCGCCCCCGGGCCTCGCGGCCTCAAGCGCCCGAGCCAGTCAGGGCCGCGGCCAGTTTTTATGATTACACCGTGCCCGCCTGAGCCCCCGGGCCTCGCGGCCTCAGGCGCCCGAGCCCGTCAGGGCCGCGGCCAGTTTTCGTAAAAGAAGAAGAAATTTTCGCCGAAAACTTTGAAAATTTAAATAAAAATTGAGACTTTTTTCGGTAACCCGTAAAAGAATTTTCTTCGAGAAAGACTCCAAAAATTGGCTCAAAATTTGGTCTAAAATCAAGATTCTCGCGAATTTCCGTACTTTTTTACCATTTTCGCTTATTTTTTGACGGCAAACTTATTCAAGTCATCGAATTGAAGCTGAAAATACCGATTGAAAGTAGGTCCCTCTGTGCTCGCGGGCGCGGCCGGGCGCGAGCAGGAGGGCAAGGGCCCGCGCCCGCGTGAGCCCGCGGGCACCTTCAATTTTTTGCCCGCGCCCGCGTAAGCCCGCGGGCACCTTCAGTTTCGGGCCCGTGCCCACCTGAGCCCCCGAGCTTCATCAATTTTGTGCCCGCGCCCGCCTGAGCCCCGACCATTTTTCCATTCCGAGCCCGCGCCCGCCTGTGCCCGGGCAAATCGCGGGGTTTTTGAACTCTGACTGTACCTACTTTGCTTGAATTCTTCCTTTCCAAAATTGTTAATGATAAGTGGTACTTTACTTTTATATTTCAGGCGAACTCTACAAAGAGCTGATGAAGAAGGGCAAGCTGAGTGAGTTCCGAACTGCCACAATCACGCACGAAGTGTCGGACGCGCTCAAGTACTGTCACGCGAACAAGATCATCCACAGAGACTTGAAGCCGGAAAACGTCCTCATCGGTCTCCAGGGCGAGGCCAAGCTCGCCGATTTTGGCTGGTCAGTTCGCACGCCCAGTAGACGACGAGAGGTAAAGAAAAGAAAGTAAAAAATTCAGTCTAAAAGATTTTCAGACCATGTGCGGCACTTTGGACTACTTGCCGCCAGAGATGGTTGAGCAGACCGACTACGACTTCACCGTCGATAACTGGACAGTCGGAGTCCTCTGCTACGAGCTGCTAACTGGAAGGCCCCCATTCGAGCACGACGATAAGAACGTGACTTATCAGCGAATTGTGAACACGCAATTCAGCTTTCCAAGTTTCGTCAAGGAAGGCGCTCGTGATTTGATCACGGTAAGAAAGGGCATTTTTTCTCTTTTCCTAACTATTGGTTCCAGCGATTGTTGCAATACAGAGGCAAGAATCGAATTCCCCTGGACCAGCTGCAGCGACACGCTTGGATCCGTGAGCATGCTGTCCCTCACCGATGGACTAAAGATCACTTCCCAGTCCGCGGGTACCCAAACTACGCCGACCAGCCGGAGAACTGAGTCTGGAAGCACCGTACCAACACTAGCACCACTTTCAACTGTTCAAATTTTACTTTTCACATTCCGGCAACAATTTATTCTCACCCTGCCCTACCGATTTTATTAAACACTATTCAAAATAAAACTCATCAATGATGACATTTTTAACTTGACCAGAATCGTTTATTTGCAAATTTTAAGCATGGGCGGTAACGGGAGAGACGTTTGTATTTTCCACGGTTCTGATCGTCTTCTGTCAGCAGTTTTTACCGGAAATGGGAAATTCTGCGCTACGGGAGGGGATGGACGACTCGCTACAGTTTGGGACACCTCTTGTGGCGAAGCAATTATGAAAATGCCCCCACATCTGAGTCCAGTTACCAAACTCGCGTTCAACAGCACAAATACTCTTCTCGCGTCTGGAGATGCTGACGGTCTTGTCAAAATCTGGGATTTGAAGGAAGCTCGACTAATGCGCAATCTCGAGGGACATCGCCTCGGAATTACATGTCTGGCGTTTTATCCAAACGAAGAAACAGTCGTTTGCGCTAGCGGGAGCAAAGATGGCAGGCTCCGACTATGGGACATCAAGCGCAAGGGCTTCTTTCGAACATTCGGGCGAAAAGGAGGAGCTGTCATTCTAAGCTGCGCCTTTTCTCCTGATGGTAGGTTGATTGCAGTCGCAGATGAGGAGAGTATCAAAGTCTACGATGTGAATTCTGAGGGAGCTCCGCTCGTAAATTTATCTTGTCAGAATCCTGGAAATGTTCAATTTCACCAACGAGAAATGATCATGGTTTATTCGACCTTTTCTGGTGGAGTCATTCCTGGCAATTCTTGCGTCAATATCTTCGACTTAGAAACGAAAGAAACAACGTCAAGCGTAATCAGTCCAAGCCGCGTCGAGTCGATAGCCTTCCATCCCGTAAAACCAGTGTGCTTTGCGCTGACAGAAGACGGATTAAAAGTTGTCGGGCTCGAGTCCAACCGCATCTACGATTCAGTTAATTCTCCTTTCCGACGCGTACACAGTGCATTCGCTCTTGAGAGCGAACTCCTCGTGATTTGTGATGACGCAAAAGCGCCGGGAAAATTAATGCAATTCGACATCATGAAACTTTGCTTGGAGCAGCCTGATACGCCGCAAACTGCTGGATCGTCGAGGGGTATTTTCGAGCAATCGAGGCCTGGGACGATGGAAAGTATGTACAACGTGGACTCGCCGTTCTCCGATGACGCTACTGGTGCCAAAATCGAAATAAAGGATATGCAGAAGTTCGCTGCGTTGTTCGACAAAAAAGCAAATGTAAAAACAGCTGGAGAAACATATGTTGTCCCACCAAGACAAGGAGATTTTAAGAATTTACCGAAAGTGTCAAAAAGGAACGGATAAAATTTAGACCTCATTATCTTTTGCGTTCTCTTCTATGTTATCAAGTATTGATTTTATCCGGAAATAGCGATTTCAATAACGTAATGAAACCGCAAATTGTCCAGCGCTCGATGATTGATATTCCGTCGTCGCGAGAACAAAGATTCGAAGAACCCTATCGACGAGAGAAAAGCGATGTCAGTGTAAGAAGCTCGGTTCCTGCGACTCGACCTCAAAAGAATCGAGAAGTTCCTCATGTTCCGCACGTACGCGGACGGGGAAGAGTAGATCTTGAAAAATTGGTGGACGGCTCTATCGGAGATATCTTAAGAAATAGAAGGTTCGTCTTGCTTCCTTATTTTTCTTACATTATTTAGAGAGAATCTGGTCTCAGCTTGCGAATCCTGGCCAGATGTCGAATCAGTGTTGGATAACACCATCGCACTCGAAGATGAAACCGTCCTCATTGACATCCTCAATGTTATAAATCGCCGAATCAACGTCTGGAATCTTTCCATGTGCCATAAACTCTTGTCAGGTTGGGTAAAACGCTGTTTCATTTGATCAAAAAGTCTTATTCAGAAATAAAACCGTCTCTACTTTCCCTTATAATGTCGAAAGAGGAGTCGACACTTGAGACAGTTCTTGATGGACTGTGTCTAATAGGACGTCATTTTGGCAATATCATACTGGAAAATCTGCAACAGGCTCCAGGTATCTTTCTTTAATTTTTCATAAGTTTATTGAGTCGCCTTATACGCATTTTAATATTAACAATTTTGAAATTAGGCGCACTCGACATTCAAGCGAGCGAAAGATACGAGAGGGCATTAACATGCTCCAACGGATTACGTCAGGCCAGCTCAATTCTCAAAAGTCGACAAGCAACCTTTCCTCCATCAATTTCTTCCAAAGTTCGATCTGCTATCATGGAACTCAAAGTCTTCTGATCTTCAATTAGCCTTACAGACATTCTTTTCTCATTCTTCATGACCTGGAATGCCGCGCACTTGTTTTCTTTCACGAATCTTTGCACTTATATTTTTCTATTCTATGATTATGTATTTTCCATTTAAAACCAATCCAGAATCTAAGTTATTAATTGTGAGAATTAAAGAATGCCCGAAAAGCCGCTAAAATGGGGAATCCTATCAGCTGCGAAGATCTGCAATGATTTTCTCGCGGCCATGACTACCTTGCCCGCTGGCGAGAATCTACCAGTCGCAATAGCGGCCCGTTCGAAGGTGATTACGAGTTTATCCCGCATTTTTTCAATTTGGATAATTAGAAATAGACTTTGACAAATCTTTCTATAGAAATCTGCTCAAGAGATGGCAGACAAGTTTAATATTCCGACTGTCTACGAGGGTTACGATGCTTTAGTAGAAGGTAGGTTCATTTTAATATCTAACATTATCGTTGGAAGCTTTTCAATGGAGAGTTTTAAAAAGTTAGAGAATCGCTGTTTTATTTACACTTGACTCCTAATTCAACCGTTCAAAAGATTGTGGAAGAAAGCCTTATTAAAAATTAAGACCCAAATGTGGAAATAGTGTACATTGGTACTTTGAACAATTTCCACTACGAATGGATCAAAACTATCCTCAACGCTGGAAAGCACGTCTTTTGCGAGAAAACCCTTTGCCTCAACGCTGACCAGGCGAAGGAGGTCTTTGCTCTCGCTCAATCAAAAAAGCTGTTTCTCGCTGAAGCTATGTGGGTAAGTCTGTCTGCTATCAATCATTTGGAAAGACAGGGAATTCAAAAGAGTCAAGTTAGCTTGACGATTTATCTTTAGAGCCGCTATAATCCGAACATAAATAAAATGCGCGAGATAATAAGATCCGGCTCGCTTGGAGCGGTCAAGACTGTCGAAGCTAATCTTGGAATCGACATCATCAACGTGCCAAGAATAAAAAAGAAGGAGTTTGGAGGAGGAGCTCTATTAGACCTCGGGTAAGAGATAACCTGCGTAATAAAGGTTTATTTAAAGGTTATCACTGCTTATTGTCTATTTTTAGCGTGTATGCTGTAATGGGTGTTTTAACTGGCTTCAACGATGAGAAACCGAGCAAAATGACTGTAACTGGTTCAACGGATAAAGACACTGGAGTGGATGACAAAGTGGAGATACAAATGGAGTTTTCGGATGGCCGAACAGGCATCGCGAAGACTTCTACTTTAGAGCAGGTAACTTCGATCATCCTCTTCAAATTTATATTTTCTTTCAGTACGATCAGACTTGTACAGTCACGCTCGAGCAAGGAAAAATTGTTCTTCCTGATTTCTGGAGCGGCTACAAGGTTGAAATTCATAAAAACGACAAGCCTGAAGATGTCGAAAAGTTAGAATTCCCCCACCAGAAGCAGAACAGCCGTTCAACTTTACCCACTCTGCTAATATGCGTCACGAAATTGCCGGCGTTAGAAGAGCACTTCAACAAGGCCTAACAGAACCTGTTGAATGGGACTCGCGAATGTCGATTTTGACGGCAGAAATCCTCACACAGGCGCGTCACGACTTGGGATACAAGTTCGACTTTGAAAAGTAAAATTCTTGATAGTTCAAAATTCGTTTAATGTTAATGTTCAATGTTTAAATTTCTGTATGATCTGATCTGCCCCTGATTCAATAAAAAGCCTTCGAAATTCGATAATTAAATAGACAAATAATTTATTTAAAAAGTGTTCTATAAAACAGGAAGCAGCGGACAGTACGGTTCAATTTCTCAAGAAACAAAGTTGTGGCAGTATGAGGTACAGTACGAGTTCCACGGTGAAATGTCAATTTACAATTTAGTGGATGGGTTGAATGACTGATGAGTGCTTGAAGTACAGTTTCTTTTATTCGCGGGGTATCGTCGTGTCTGAGAAAGTTCCATCCGAATGTGAGTTTTTCAGAAGGTGCGATCTTTCGCTAAGAGGTGACCCGACAGTTGAGTTTTCCGTCCGTCTCGGTGCATATTTTTCTAATAATTCTTTATTCACTTGCTAATAAAATATCTTCTACTTACGTTTAGTGACGCAAAAGGCATAAAGTGAGGCTGTCAAGAGCATGATAAGGCCACTGAGGAAGAACCATGGCGCCAATGTCGCGAAGAATTCAGAAGGTTCGCGGCAGTTTACCCTCGTCTTGATTTGATCCTTGTCCAGCCTGAAAAAACAGAATCATCAACTTGATAAGCTCATCATAAAATGATTAGGTTCTTTTTATGAGTACGCATCAAAGAATTTAAATTAATAATAGTTCAGGAATTCTATTGTGTATTTGTTATGACTATCAGCAGATAATAACTCAAGTTAAACTGTTGACACCTCGCTAGATTGACACCTGGGCTACTTTTATTACTTATTGTTTCGGATATTAACTCCTCTCGTGATGATTTACTAAAAGGTTTACGCACGAGGTCAATTAATTTTAACTTTGGCATTTTCATTATTCTGAACGGCTACTTTTTGAATAAAAAGAGATTCTTCTATAGAAGATTGAGGCTCTCTGTAACAATGATAGTATTTGCTGAGGATAAACTTACGTTAGCTCTGTATGAGCGAGGCGACACTGTTCATTGTACGACAGTTTTCGGTTCATTTCATCCAAGACTCCATCGTAGTCTTTCGACAGAATCAAGTCTTCGTCATTCATTGTTCCAGATATTGCGATATTGTCAAGTACTGAATCGACGATGGCTTGCTTCTGATTGTTTGAAGGGCTGTGATCTCTGCCACATTGTTGCTCGAGACATTTATCAGAAGATGTTGGGAACATTTGGACAGCTTTTCCGAACTGGCAACCGCCTGAGCAGAGGAAAAGGTGTTTGCAGAAGATCATCGATCTGTGATCTAATGAGTTGAAGTGATAGCCTACAAAAGGTATGAGTTTAAAATCCTTTCTTCACTTGATCTGATGAAATTTTAGACTTACCCATCGCACAAGTATTACAAGCTTTAGCTCTATATTCAGAGCTACAAAGATCTTTGCTCATTTCATATCTTCTCTCTCTTCTTATAGAGGCTTTAATCTCTCCGAATAGTAAAATAAATGTAAAAATAGATTGCAATTTCAACATATTTTATCAGTGTTAAAGTTTGGCATCTGGTCTGTAGACATACCTTTATGAACCAAGACTCACAACAGCGACATTCAGAGAGAGAGGGCGCCTCAGGCATCAGGCTCTCCTTGTAACAAATGCAATGAACATTGTACAGAGAATACTCTAGTCACATTTACCCCGCTAATCATGTGGTTAGAAGCTATGTTTAATAAAAACTGACGCCATTAGGAGCCGGGAATCTTCTCTGCAAAGAAATGTATATAAAAAAGGAGCTGGCTAATCCAAGATATCTGCATTCGACATGGCAGGTCTTGACCGTCAAGATAGAAGGCGATTTTAGATTCGTAGATATTAATCTGCTCGGACTTCGCTTGCTGCATATCAAAGAAATTATTCCGGTATATATGAGTCAAACTTTGTCAAAGAACTAATTATACGCTCTTTGAGGGAAGAATTTTAAGAACGAGCGTTTCTTCCGCTGATAAAGAGCGCAGAAGATTCTAGTTTTTTTTGGAAAGAATGTTAATAATAATTTAAGGAACTCGCCATATTTGGCAAAAGAATCGAGAAAGAGCGGAAGGAACGGCGGAAGAAAGAGCGGTGTCTCTTTGAAGATTGCGTATGTAGTAGGTGAGGTCATTTTTACGAGGCACGCACAATGGAACGCATGAATCCACAACCCTCAGAAAATGCTCAGTATCATTCATCAAGGCCTTTTACTGCGACGTGAAAGAAAGTTTGCTTTATATGATTCCCATGGCTTTATGAAAGGGACTTCAAGGGGACTTTGTTTCGTAAAATTTAATTATGCCTCGGTAAAAGAGAATTTCGATAGTTTTGAATCTCTGAAGCATTGATTCAGCTAGTGATTGTATGAACTTGTTGAACGTTGATAAGTTTGAGTGCGTTGATTTTACAATGAGCCGTCAAGTATTCTTCAAAACTATTTCAATGGAACGAAAATCTGCTAAATAAACCATCAAAAAATCAATTATTAGCATCCACGTGAACATGTTCATTATTCAGACCAGGAAGCAATTCATATTCGCAGGGGAAGTCCGGGATAAACAATATTAATAATGGACTAGTTTGGAAATCAAGGGGCTTACAGAGCTCGAGCAAATACACATGGACGAGTTGAATATAAAAGAATCTGTTTTGAATCAAAGGCATGTGATGCGCATTGAAAAGTTTAGAATCTAAACTTTGACGTGATAACCTCCATTATTAGTATCCCATTATAACCGTCCAAAAAGGAGAGTCCTACGTGCATTCCAACTTTAAATAATCAGGTAGTCTTGTCAAAGAATCTCAGACAATACCTGGAATTTGAAGAAATTCTTATTTTTGTTAAAATAGAATAGTGACGTTTTAGAAAAATCGTTGCCTAAGAATCCTCAGCATGATATTTCCATAAAGCATAAATTAAAGCTCTTGCTAAAAACAAGATAATCATGTTGCATGAGAATTTGACACGAATGCAACAGATGCCTAATAAGTCAATCTAGTCAGTACTTCTGAAAATTGCCAATCATCAATGAAAAACGTGATTAACTTGACGGGAAAAAGATGCCATCAATCCAACCTTTGACCGTTTCATCGTCTAAAATTAGATAGATGCGCTTCATAGGATTTAGACTCGGATCGCCTCGGTCAAAGCCAGCAAATGCTTCCGATTCTCAGAGCTCCGCCTTTTTCATTCCAATTGAACCGAAGAAGAAATAAAAAACACATAAATTATAAAAATAAATACGATTATATTATACAAAAATAAAAATAGATATATACAGTTATAAGAACAAAGAATTGGCAGGCAGCGCATCCCAGCTTCTGTCCATGTCTTCAGTGGCAAAGACGAGATTGTACTCACTGAGCTTGTCTCCTTTCAATCGAATCATGAACTTGTCGAAAGGCAACTTGATAATTCCGTCGAACTTGAAGAAGATTTCGAGATCGTTGCCAGACTCTACTTCTCCAGTGACGCCAGGGGTGATCGTAATTGGGTAGTCATCGAAAGTCTTGTCCTTGTCGACGCAAAAGATCTCGAATGTCGTCTTCGGCTTGTGAGATAGTGGAATTGCTCGAATCACAATTTTACCAACGTACTCCGTTATCACCTGATCTGGGATAGCTTCAAGCTTGACTAAGACAGGCTCAAGAATCTTCTGGTCGTTTCCAATATCGGCCTTTGAAAAACCAACTCCGGCTCCTTTTCGTTGACTGGAGTATCCGACGTTATCAAGGAAGGCTGAATTCAAAATCGCCATTCCATGGATGTGGACTTTTCCGTACTCTCTTCCGAAGAGGCGAAGGTTAAGTACATCTTTAAACACACCCATGTGATCGGGTGTGAATGAAATATTTAGCTTGATCTCATCTGCCATCGACAGAATTCCAAACGAAGGGGCGCAATTGAACAACACTCGTCCAGATCGGTTATTTGCGAGGAATTGATCGTTGTCGGAATCAAGGGAGATTCTGAACTTGATCGGGAACTCGGAGGTGTTACGGATGGTGATTGTTGTCTTGGCCTCTTGATTCGGTTGAACGATTCCCATGTTGATGGTCGGATCGCTGGGAAGAGTTATGCCGTTGTGAATCAGCGAGCAAGTCGGACGAAGACCTGTGCCAGTCATGGAGATGTCGAGAGTCGCCACATGTTCACAGTCTTCTTGAGTTTGATGCACTTGAAGAACTTCATGATAGGGCTTGTCTCTGATCGGACTGAAGGTCAATAGCAAAAAGTGCGTTTCGCCAGGTTCGAGCTCGCCTAAAGGATTGAGTAGCTGGAAGGGCCCATGAGGATCCAACAAGGAGGATTTCATTTCCACCGTTTGATCGGAAATATTTTCCACCAGCAATGTTCGCTTTTCAGTCTCGCCAATCGGTGCCGATCCAAAATCAACTGCTGGTTTTCCGTTGAAATTCTTGACGACTATCCAGGGTCGAAGTCTGCGAACGCGGACGTGCACCCAGAGACAGTTTTCATAGCGACACTGATCAGACGAGAGCGTCAATTCGGAAGTGGAACCTGGCGTTATAAAGCAAGGAACGGGGATGAAATCGTTGGTGGAATTGTAGCAGCGCGTTAGTTTGTCTCGTGCTACCCAATATAAAGGATTTCCTTTGTTAGCTTGGAAAGAATCTTTCGCAGCCTCTGTTCTGCTCTGTTTTCTTCCGATCTTGCCAACTTGTGCCATAGAACGCTTTCTGCCCAAATTATTTCGACTCTGCGTTTTGCCCAGTCCGCTTCCATCATCGCCAGTTTTTTCCATATGTAAAGCACGCATCATGGCAATAATATCGTTCTCCATCAACGTCGGGTTGCACATTATCGTGACGAACTGTCTTTCACCCGGATAGATTGTTCCAACCGCGGGAGAAAATATCAAGCCGCATGATTCCGGATACGTGAAGCAAAATGAGATCGGCCCAACGGGAAAGTAATCTTCTTTTCCAATGCGTGGAATGGATTGATGGAATTCGGCGATTTCAGTGTGATTGTTGTAGATGTAGAACGATTCTCGGTGCGTGCCATGGAGTGGCGTGGTGAAGTCAATATGTTGCTTGGACAATTCTAGCGGAGGATGAACAGCAATTCCTTGACATTCGATGACACCTTTGAAGCCTCTAATAGTTTCTATGACAACTTCAAATTTGTACTCGCCAGCTGTGGATGGCATGAAACTGATGTCGACATCGAGGTTTTCTTCCGGTGTGATCGAGCCAAATCCTAAATCAGGCCGAACTGATATAAAGTCGGGAATGTTCGGGAAACCAAAGTCTTGAATCAGCAGTGTCGGATTTGTTATTGTTACAGTGTGGTACACGCTTTCGTGAATCGTACAATAGCCGAAATCAATCTTGTGCGTGCTCAGCTTGAGTTCCATATCTGTTACGATTCCATACACGTAAAGCTCGAGTGGGCGTGTTTGCTCTGCTACCTTCAGTAGAACAGGAACCTCGATGATGAAATTCTCCGGATCGTAGAATGGCGATTCTTGCTCTTCGAGCTCAAGTACTGTATTTGCATCTGGCTGGAATCTGACATGAGCTTGCATCGAAGACTTGCCTTGGACATAACCAGTTTTTGGGTACATTTCTACCATTGACTCGAATTCTTTGGGCACGACGAAACTGACCACTCTGGCAGCGTTGGCTGTGTTGTGAACCGTGAATTGTTCTTGAAACATGAATCCGTATGTCATCACTCCGAGATCAAATTCGCTATTGGAAACCGAAACTGGTAGATCAATCGAAGATGCGTTGACAGCTACTATGAATTCTTCCACAAAGAGTGCCCCAACATCTTTTGAATCGTTGCTCTTCGTCTTGAATACTTTGATCTTCAGCTCGGCCGTTGTAGACCCAGGCATTTTCGGCGAGTATGTGAGCGTAATTTCTGCGTCTGAGCCAGCGTGAAGCAGCCCACCGTGCTCTGGGTACATGCTGATTTCGTCTATGATGCCAATGTGGTCAGGATCGTTGTCGGAGTCAGGATCGTTATCATCGTCTTGATGAAGAAGAGCTCTTTGTTCGTCGCCTTCGAACTGCAATTTGCACGTGAATTCGCCGCCCATGGCACCAATATTAGTAAGCGTGACTACGCGTTCGACAACTTCTCCGACAACTGTCTTTCCGAATTGAATTCCTTCTGGGCCGACGTCGATCTTTGGCTGGACGCGAGGAGGAATGCATTCTACTGGAATCGTCAAGCTTCCAAGAGGAGTTGTAAAGACGATAGATCCAGTTATAACTTGGATCAGAGCAGGGCGGAAAGTCAGCTTGAAAGAAGTAGCCATTCCAGGCGAGAGAGGCGCGCAAGGCTCGTATTCCACTGAGCAGAAGTCTGATAATGTCGTCGACAACGAATGATAACGAATAGAAGATGTATTGTGCGAAACGTTGATGAGCTGCACGACGACGGTGTAACCTTCTTTCTGGTCTAGCTTGAAGTCTACGAATTTAATGACATCAGGCTTAGAAACGAAGTCGGTCGCTTCGATGACTTTTGTTTCATTATCGCGATCTCCAAAGTCGAAGTCGTCAAAGTCGCCGGACGCTTTAGTTCCCGCGCCCCAAAGGCCATCGAATTCAGGCTGGATCAATATTCGCCCTTCATCTTCCGCTCGTTTCGCAGCTAGAGCTTTTTGACGCTCCTCTTCTTCCTCGTCCATTTCTTCTTCATCAGAACTGTCAGAATCATTTTGGCAGATTGTAACAGGTCGACCACCGAGTTTATTCATCATATTAATTTTTCCGACGCCCCATCTTGTGTAGCTCTTTACTCGTTGTACCCCACCGGCTTTTAATGGATTCAGTTGGGACGATGAGTCTTTATCTGATCCAATGTCTCCGACTATAACAAAAGTAAAATTTCAGTTCTACTAAACTTTGTACTCACGTGATCCAAAATCAAGCTGTTCTATCGGAGCCTCGACGTCAACTGCTGCAGTTTCTGAGTTATTTGACTGGGTCTCCTTCGCGAGCAATGGCTTGAGTAATTTTGGTCGAGAGAGATTCGAAATTTTTTCATCTTCTTTCCTCTTTTTCTCGCGGAAAAGCTGAATTTGCGCCGCTCTTTCGGTCAAACCGCTGGCCATGAGTTCTTTTATTCTGTTCTGTTCTTTCTCAATCTGCTTTCGCCTTCGTTCGCCACGTTTGCCCTCATTGGCTGTGATATCATCACGACTTGCAGAGATCGCTGACTTTAGCTTCATAATTTCATCTCTTCTACGAGTGTCAAAGTTTTGCTCCGCCAGCTTGGCGTTTCTTTTCTGCTGGCTGACAAGGTGAGCTGTGTCTTTTAAAAATGGCTCCAGTCTTTGGTGAGTAGTCAGGGCTCCGTCGATTTCGGTCATTATCTGATGAGTTTGCTCGTCCTTGTCTGCTTCTTGTATTCGACGGTTTTTATGCAGCTAAAAGAAAATATTGAGGTTCAAGAATTAACTGCGGAAATCAAGGAAGAGAACGTTGTTTTAAAATTTTGACTTACCATATGTATTGCTTTTTTCGCAGCATATTTTTCCTTGTTCAACCTCTTGTCGCGAATTCCATCGAGTTCTGCCTGCTGCATCAGCTCGAAGGGCTCATTTTGTTTCTGCAGATCTTCGAGTTTCGACAGCTCAATGCGCGCTTTTTCGAGCTCCAGTGTGATCACATCGTGGTCGAGTGCAAGTTTTTCTTCTTTCGCTACCTCGCCACTGAGCTCGGTCGACAGACATGTTCGTCCCTGAAAATTATCTCTAGAACAAACTTATTTTTTTTATAAAATCATGAGTTCTCTACCAAAAGCTGAAAATTGAAGGTCAAAATGACGTTAAAATATGGTTTTGTAAGGGTTTTTTAATAGTTTTTAGTCCTATTAAACCAATAGTTACCTTTATAAGTCTGTCGAGAATATGCTTTGGCGCGTTATTGTGCAGTTGCTTGTCGATGATTTCAATTTCGTCTTGAATACTTTTGATTCTGCATTTGATCTGTGTCTGCTCTTTCAGCACATTCTTCAATCTTTCTTCGCATTTGTGAACAATATTCTGCGAGTAGCTGGTCTGCCCTTTGTATTTTTCGGAGTTCAGCATTTTCTAAACGGTTCCGTTCAAACTGATTTCAAAATGAGATCAACATCGGTTCTAGGGATGCGTTCTAGAGAATTTCACCGTTTTTGTGAATTTTTGATAACATCGAGATAAGTTAATTTCGATTTTAATTCTTAGTATGCAGTTGTTTTACCGTTACATATGACCTCATGAAATCTCCAATTATTTGTTCTTCTGCGATTTTTATTTGATTAAAACTCAGTTGAAGCTGGCCCACTCCTCCAACTGAGGTCCTTTTTTAATGCCGCGTGCATGGATAAAGAGATACTTCTTTTGCGAATATTGTCAACTTCGACAGACAACAACTGCTCGTAAACAAACGGAAATCGAATGTAAGAGTTGTGGAACTATTTTGTATGAGATCGGAGACAAAAGAGAATACGGCGGAGATGGAAATCTCTTTGGTTACTTTGAATGCGTTTGTGGAAAATGGTGGGAGAGTGCCTATGCTCATGCAAATTACTGGCAAAGATGTCTTGAGTGTAACCGAGAGGTGTATCCAGATTGGATGAATGAGCTTGAATACAGTGGTGAACCTGATCTCAACAAACCTCATGAAAAAGCTTTATGTCAGAGATGTTTACTGGGAAAAACATGTGGTTATAAAGAACCTTCTAGTCGATCAACGAATACCGGTCGAAAATCTAAAACTTCAAAACAAACAACGAAGAATAATAAAAGTTCTCCCAAGATCTTCAGCGGGGACGGTTACTACATAGAAATTCCATCAAATTTGTCAATTCAGCCATCAATCACTGTGAATAATCGTTCTGTTGACTTGACGAACGATTTTAATGGCAATTTTCCTCCCTTAACTCAACGATCAGATGCCCAAGCTGTCAAGCCTAAGCCGAAGACAAAATCAGAGTCAAAAAAACCATCAAGCACAAAAAGAAACGCCACTTCATCGCGTTCAGTAAGAAAGGTTGGTAAAACAACAGCCAAATACGATGATCAGCTGACGACACAATCCGATAAAATTAATCAAAATAGACCAGTCCAGAAACTATCTGTTAGTTATGGCAGTGTCCACACTCGCACAATAGACGACTACAATCGATACAGAAGGTATCCGCCAAAAGAAAAGAAATCTGAAGAGCTTGAATTTCCGTGGATTCCGGTTATTGGTGTTACCATTATCGGCAGCTTCATTTTGTATAATCTGATGAAATAGATCACTAAAAAATCTATTGTCATAAAAAAACTCAATCAAAAATTCATTATTTATTTTCTAAAATTACCATAATTATGGATGGCACATTTTTCGAAATAAAAACTCTGAGAGAGATCGACGATTGACTGTTTCGCGCATTTTTCCCAAAGCGGAAGGTAAATCAACGCCTATCTTATCTTCTGTCAGTAGATGTGTAGCATAAAGATTTATTCGTTCAATAATCTTGAAATTTGAATTGTACGATTTTGCAGGCACCGAATTTAAGTAAAACGACGAAAGCCACCAGGGCAACAAGAATATCGAAGGTGTAAGAGGCGAGAATACGTTCAGGAAGCGTCGTGAAGAAAAGCTTGAGACGGCTCTCGGTGATCTTGAGCTTCGGTCTGCGTCTTTCAAGGGTGTCTTTCTTAGGTTCGTATAAACTAATAAGGGCTTCACCGCAAGATACCCGCCTTAGAATCGTTCTGCGAGGACTGCCATTTATTGAATTATTTTGTCCATACAGAGGACCGTGAGAAGCATCATCTGTCTGAGCACAGGGTTGAAAATGAAGAGACCGGAAAGATATCCGGAGATTTGATGAATATCCGTCTTGATATCCTTTTTAAGCACGTCGATCACAGAAGGTTAAGCTTGCATGTCAAGAGTAATTAATTGACATCAACGTGAGTCAGAAAGCGGCTTCTAAGGTCACTTGACATTTAAACCGTTGGTTTCTACTTTCTTTTCTATGAAACTTGTCTTCTTCATTTTCAACCCTTATTCTGATGATCACTTTCCGACTGGTACAGGACAACTGTTTCGTCTTCTGTTCCGGAGGCATCTGCAGAGAAAGGTTCTAATTATTCACCTTCCCTGGCGATAAAAACTCACTCTACGCGCCTTATCCGCCCCCTAGTTAGTCCGCCCTTATCGCCCAAAACGAGCACTTTCAATAATCATTTGAACCGTTTCGCCAACCGCCATGTGCTATTTTACATTTCCACTAGCACCAGGGCTAGATAAAAAACAAGTCGCGGTAAAGTTTCAACGCTACGTGATAACCACAGGGTTCAGAGGCAATCGCGCTAAATATGACATGAATGTTGCCAAAACTGAGTAAATATTGAGTGAACGAAAAAGACGAGGAATAAATTTCTAGCAAGCGAAAAATAAATAAATTTGAACCATTTCCTAAAGGCTCCTCCGCCAGTGGTCCAGCGGCGCGCGCTACCATATCGCTAAGAGCATCCCCAACATTGGCTGCTGCAGCGAAGAGCCTATTCCCAAGAGTGGCTCCTTCCTCTGGCGTTTTGGCACCCTTGAAGTTGAAGAAAGCGGCGGACGGATCTGGCGCGTTCTTGGCGTTGCGCTTTTTCTTCGCGTTGTGAGCTCTTTTAGACGAGCTTGAAAAAGAGCCTGGCTGAGTAGAAGTAAGCTGCGATTTGCCCCATCAAGGGACAAGTGGAAAAGGGCTTTTTCCAAGCTCGAAAACGTTCCTGAGATCAGTATAATTCGCCATGCCAAAACGAACTTTATTTCGGATTTTCAAACTTCCATGTACGCGATAAATGCGACAGACTTTTTGAATCCTCTCCTGGAGTCTTTTCAGCTGATCGAATGAGTCTTTCAAGCATTTGTATCTGCTGGTTGGCCTCAGAAATAGCCTTCTTATTCTGAAAATCAATGATGAAAAAATAAATCGAGTCCACTAAAGTTCTCCGAGTTAACGTGTTGGCACCTTTTAAAATGAATCTAGTTATAATCATATCCAGAAAGATGCTGTATCTGAGGAAAAACGCAGTTTCGAAAAACGAATTGGAAGAAAAACAACTCGCTGCGGGTAAACAGCAGCGGAGAACATGGAAAAATGTCCAAGTTGAACTGGTTGCCCTGTTTTTGTAGAGCTTGCAAGTTTCGCAAAAATTATGTGAGTGAAGGGTTTGCTTACAGATTTGCTGCATTTATTTGAAACGGCTGGTGTGGTGTATCTCCGCGCCGCGTTACGGTACTCTTTCAGCTTTTTTAGCATCAGCTGGGCATCTCTGATGCGCTGATCGAGCGTGTGCACTTCGGTGTAGCCCATTTTTAAAACTGAACACTTGCAAATAAATTCCTGCAATAAATATGGCAGTTCTAGAAAAATGCATTTCGCTTTTATTTGTTAATCAAAAAGGAATCATCATCATTTTTTAATGGGAGTAGAACGGTACTACTCGTAACAATCTGATACAAAGTTGGTAAAGTTAACAGATTCTGCTGTGGAAAAGAGTGGTAAAAGGAGGAATGTTCGTTGCGAAAGGTGATTTTTTCGATAGAAGGGAAAGGGATTAGCTGCTGTTCATCGAATTTTCGGCATATTGTTTGGCTAAAAAATCGTAAAACTCTCTCTAAGAGGTTAAATCTTACTGTAAAGTTCAGCATGCTTTGATTGTGTGGCATGAAGTCGGGTGTATTCTCGGGCTTTTTGGTTAAATCTTTCACGGTCAGACACAAACATGGCGACTTAAAAATTTCAGATGCGAAACAAGTCGATATAAATAACAAACCGATTTTCGCGTTACGTTCTCTCCATAGCAGGCCCTTGGGATCGTATAGAGTAGATACAAGTAGGTGAAGCTTTTTTTCCAGCCTCATGCACGGTTCACCATCATTAATCGTACTTGGGCAAATATTCCCTGCACTATCGATCCCAGGGTGTAATATTGGCGTCAAAAACGTCATTTTTACACAGTCAAATGGATAGTCTTTGTTGACCTTGATATCGAGCAAGAAATGACCTCCCTATAAGTATTTAGAATTACTTTATGTTGTTTTAATAAGCCGATGGAAAATTTACCTCATACAGGGATCCCTCTAGGCCATGGATTGTTGCGGTGAAATGGTAAAAATTGTCATTGATAGGACGCAGCGTAAACTTAATGTTCTTGATTTTATCCGTTCTCAGATATAAACTTACGAATTCAGATGGTTCTTTTAATAAAGAATGAAAATCCTTCACAAGTAATCTTTGGTACCTAGAGTTTGCCATTTCTCTGATCTTTAGCTATCTGTTTCTTTTCTCGTGTTATTGATATTCTAGGAAAACTGCGAGATATTTATACCTCGGTTTGCTACGACTCCTAGAATTTGAGACTTAGCGCCTACAAAAGTACCGGAAGGGTCCTTCTTCACTGACCGACTTTCCAGTCTAATCAGCGTGAAAAGTCTAAGTGGAGCGGAAACATTAAATCAACCTCTTTGTTTATTTGTATGTTTGTTTGATTGTTTGTTGGTGCATGCTTTTAAAATTTCTCCTACAAGAATTCATCGGGCCCCTTCTATTTCTCATTGGTACCCAATAAAAGCTTTAAAAGATATATTCACTTGGAATTTTCATCCGCACATAGAAAGACGAATCACCAGCAAGGAATGCATTCCAGTTGCGGTTCTTTCGTACAAGTTCTGAAAAAGCCATGGCTCGAGTACCAGAGCTAAACGTGAAAGTCATTTTTTCCCATGTTCACGGCCGTGTTTTTGAATCTTGGCGATTTCCGCATTTGTGGAAGAAAATAAAGATTAGCGTTTTTGTCTTGGATGCAAATTTGTACAAAGAAAGGAACAACTCTTCTGTATCATGTTTTACGCATATCATTTTCTTACATAGCTATGCAGCCCCACGGAACTTGCGGCGAAGAATAAGTTACTTTATGAGTTGTTTTCTAATCAGCTTTTGTGGGGTCGAAATTCGTTCCAGCTCATTTAGCTGGCTGCTCTTCCCGTACCGTGGTTTTTGGAGAACTACAGCGAGTTGCTTTGAATTATAAAATTTCCTTTCAGCACAAATTCAAATTACATCGTCATCTGCTCAGTCTACTTCAGAACCCAATTTCAAGGTAAGTTGCTACTAATCGAGTCAATTGCATATGAAATTTGTTATGTTAGTTACCTCTAGGTGAAATATTTTCTCATTACAGAAATCTGAACATGCGGCTTATCAAATTGGAAATGTGGCTTTTACTGCGGATGTACGTTGGTTACATCTCGCGCGCTCTCTCTCTCTCCCAACATGCTACTAATTGGTGAACATAGTTTATTTGGAAATATCTTGGGCAATTTAGCAAGCAAATTCAATTAAAAGAACGTGTCTATTGAGAACCAGTCGTCTTCCCTCACCTGTAGGCAATTATTTACTACATAATTAATTGTGATAATTACTCATAAATAATTGCTCAAATTAATATTAAATGATTCCATTAACGCTCACATGCTTTTCTAATAGTAGAAAAAGGATAGAATTAGCAACCCAAGTTCTCCACGCAAGGTCTTCATATCTCGGTGCTAATGGTTTATACGGCCCTGTGCTATCATAATTTGAGGTAATTGGCAAGTCTCCAGGTACTTTAAAAAACCAAAGAGCAAGACGAAAAGTACTAAAAAGTTCGACTCGGGTAATCCAGTAGGGTGCGATTCCCAGGCCCGAGAAATTTTCTAAAAATGAGAAGATCTCTGGATTACAGAATTTCTTCATCAGCGCCGCATTTCGAGGGCCTATTTCATACAAAGCCGCCCACAATTCTTGAGTCTGACAAATTCACAAAACTCTGCGGGTTTAATTTGACACTCTAAGGGTTGACTTGTCAATGTTCATTTTTAGTTTTACCCAGAAACAAACACTTTTATAAATAATATCAAGGTCGAGATTTGGGTAAGAGATTCCGGGTTTTGCAAAATACTGTAAAAGTTCTCTTCCATTAGCAAATACTTAGCATACTAATTCACACAGCCAAAATAGAGAAACAGCTACTTTTTTCTTTATGAAGGTGCATTATTCGCCTCTGCGAGATGCAAAGGTACGTGTAACGTTCGAACGAGTACTTTGATCGAGCACTGTCTCATTGCATCATGTCTGCGAATGCCGCCATTCAATCCGTTTCGATCAGGAAAAGAAGCTGCTCCATCAAGTTCAAAATTTCATGAGCGAGCAGACTCTCAATGCAGCAGACTCTAAAAATCATGCTCAAATTAATCGAAATGGTCTCGTTTCTAGGTCATGTTCAGAATTCTTTCCGCTATAAATAAATTTACCAGTTCACCAGGAATGCAAATACCAAAAATACCACTCGGCGGGTTTCTGGAAAACGTTGAAATTTGCATACAAGCGATATGGAAAATAATGGCCAAAACGCGTGTACTCATACATAAATTTACGAATATCACAACAAACAGTACGACCCCAAGAGCCCTTACGACGAGATTTGATAGAGAGACTGTAGCTTTCTTCCAGCGACTATTGTCAACATGGCTGTTATCTCGGGATCATCATCGTTTAGTTTTGATATACCGAAATCTCTCGGAGTCTCAGGATTGTAACCCTTACTTCTGCTTGCCTAAATGTCTTTTCCTTACGCAGAAAATTTTACTGATTGCGAATTTTTCGAAACTAACTCGATTTTCAGCCAAAACTCTTTATATATTTTATAAACAGTTTATTATTACTCAACAGGGATATTGAGCAAGGGTTGTGTCTTCGTCAGAACAACTTGGATAGATGTTTCGCTCAGGTTTCTAGCGTCAGTGAGCCAAGCCCGTGGAGATGATCTACATAAAACACGTAAATTGTTGATCACATTACAAAGCCTCTCAGAACCGGCGTAAGCGGCGCAATACCGTATGAAACAAATCTGGACCGCAGAAATTTCATTCCCCAGGTCAGCTTTATTTTCGGCAGCAACTCTTATTACCTTGGCAACTTACTAGTTGTAGGTCAAAAACACAGATAACATTTCGATATCAACCACTGATAGGGAGAACCTCACGTTCACGACACTCTAGAACGCGAATTTTTACGCCAGCTTATCTCACATGAAAGAGACTGTTTCTGATGCTGAGATATTCGACCGAGACGACTCAAAAAAGGCTTGTTATTTGGACGAACTTCTTCATGAGAATTCTCCTTTGAATCCCTGAGGTTTCTGGACAATTCTAGCGATTCGCACATCGACATCTCCAGCGAGATTTTTGCATTACTGGCAAATTGACTTGAGGTCGTAATCGACGAAAATATGAGTAACAACTATTTGAACTGCGAATTTTGGAAGAAACGTAGCTTTGTCTAATGCATTGAGTGCCGAACTGACCGCCGTATAAGTGCGAAATTATCTCGAGTATAAACGAGAAAAGATAAAAATAGACGCCGATTCTGGGTATTGTGAAAAGTACATAACGTGATTATCATTATTTAAATAACTCCTCGAACTTGAATGAAAGAATTCTGGGTCATTTTTATCCGCTGGATAATCGGCAGAGTTCCATAAAGACGACTAGTTTATTAGTCGCTAGAAAGCAGGGCGACCAAAAGGGGGTTGAATTTCGACACTCGCGGCTTGAAAAGTTGACAAGCTGTAAAATTCGGAGGAAGAGATTCGGTAAGACTAGGCTCCCAAGCAGTTCCCCGATTGCCGCAAATGTGAAAAGATTTTAATCCGTTCAAGGAGGGAGGAATTTTTTGAAGGGAACCGCCCGAATGTAAAGACGTGGAGAATACACATGTTTTCACAACCTGCTTTTGGAGAAGCCCGTCTAAGGGAGAATTCATTTACCAACGATTTTATCAACTTCTGTAGAATTTTTACAAAGCCCGTTATTTATCTTATTTTACAAGTTTGCGAGAAAATCGCTCTTGAAAAGAGCAGCAAGAGAGAGAACGTGATAATTTGAATAGAAATCTTCACTCGCACTCTGTTTGAAAGCTGATTATGTGCCGTATTTGCGCCGCAGAAATCTCCCCAGAATAACAATTTTGCGGGCGATTGGCTTCGGCGGCCTCCTCCGCTCAGGAACCAAGATCCTCCTTAGATTGTTTTTAAAAGTCACACAAACGTTCCATTGAACTGGTAAAATTTTGACTGAGCTGGAAATTGCCGTTTTCGTAATTCCTTGCTTCCAGGGGATCATTCAAGCTGGATAAGCCGCGTTATCTCAATTTTAGCTGCAAGTTTTAATGAAATGATTTAAGACGGAATAAGTGGCTTAAAATGAAAGATAAAAGCCTCATCAGAGATTTTAATTAAGAAATTGAGCAATTTTGGATTTCAATAAAAAAACTTTTCATGTATTTTTAAAACAGGGGCCGAATGAAGTTTGTAAAAGGGATGATGTTGATTCCAGGCAGTCGTTCGACAAGGGTGGATAAATTTTCGGCTGGTTGAGCGATCCGCGTTTCCGCTTGCTAAATAGACTACGCCTCAATGTATCCAGTGCTCCAGTATCCGAATGAGACTTGATCCAGTTTTAGATGGTGCTTCGGAAAATGAAAGATGAGTGAAATTCTGTTCCTCGATTTGATGATTTCAATGTTTTCGGCTTTGAATTACAAAAACCTGAAATTGAGCTGACACTCGCTATTCGCCGGACAGGATCAATGTCTGTAAGACTTTGCCATTAGAACTGCTTCAATTCTCCTTTTCGACTGAGTAATTTTGAGAATCTCAGAATTTTTCACTTATTGCAAAAAACTAATGTTTAGGGCGCGTCATTATTTGCCAAGTTGGATATTCAACATTACGTGGTGCATAATATTTATCTTCCGAAAATTAATCGAATCTGAATCTGAAAGCGATGAATCCGCGAGAAATCGACGCTGAAAAGACAAAAGTTCGAAATGAAATTGAAAAAGAGCAAAAACTCGTGCTCTTCAAGTCCTCCTTTTGACGCTTTCGGAAAAAGAGCTTGAGAAAAACTTGGAAAAATCGCTCTTTGTGGTGATTTCCCGGAAATTGGCTATCCAGTGGGTACTTTGAAGAAAGAGGCGGCGACGCTAAAAGAGGATATTGAGGAAAGAAGGTATTTTATAAAATTCTTGCGCGGAAATAGTTTTCAAGATCATCAATTATATTAACCTTCTAAAGAGAAACAGGAAAGGCCTTCAAAAGAGCGAGCAAAAACTGAACGAACTAAAAGCTGAATTGAAAGATTTAGAAGAATTGTACGACATGGCCAGAAAGACGGAGAAAGAAAAGAAGGAGAAAGAAGAAGAGGAAAGAAGAGATG